AATTATTTGATTCAAACAATTTATTTGATTAAAATAAAAAAATTATTTATGACAAATAAAATAATAATAATAATATTATTAATAATAATAAACTCAACCCCCCTTACCCCCCTTATAAATAAGGATTTATTTTTATTCTATATTAATATAATTCTTGTAAATTTTTTTAAAAAAATACATTTTTTTACATTTTTTTACATTTTAAAGTTTTCAACTCTTTTATTAGACCCTTTTTAAAACTAAATTATATTTTATTAATATCTATAACTTCTATTTTTATTTAACATAAATTTAATTCCTACTTATATTAAAAATTTATTAATTAACGAAATCTAAATTTAATATTTACTTAATTTTAAATAATATTAAAATAAAATTAAATAAAAAAAAAATTAAATTAAATAAAAAAAATAAAATAAAAAAAAAATAAATATAATTAAATTATATTTTTATTTTTATTATTTATTTTAAATAATATTATTATTATTATTAAAGATCTTTACTCAAGGCCTTTGTGATCGGCTTGTGCGTTGGTCTTCGGAATCCAATTTGATTCCGGAGTCTCAAAACGGATTCAGAAAGGGTAGAAGCTGTTTAGACCATATCTTTACCTTGTCTTCCATCATCCAAATCCATTTAAATAAACCAAATGCAGTGGTATATGCCGTCTTTGTTGACTTTAAGGGGGCCTTTCCTTCTGTCCCACACAAATTATTATGGCAGAAGTTGCGCTCGCTTGGCATGAGCACTAAAGTCATCAATATTTTGAAAGACTTCTATAACTCTGCGACTACGCGAATAAGAACTAGAGAAGGATCTACTGATGAGGTCCGTGTTACACAAGGGGTACTTCAGGGTGAAGTCCTCAGTCCCATTGAATTTCTCTTATTTATTTCTGATATTGACGATTTTTTTATTAAGCAGGGTTGTAGAGGTCTTTCTATAAACAGTAAGGAGGAAATATCAATGTTAGGTTACGCCGACGATTTTGTCCTCCTCTCGGATACCGTTACCGAATTAAAAAGAAAACTCAAAGCCTTAAACCTTTATTGTTCGCAAAATGGTCTCACGGTGAATGTAAATAAAACAAAAGTTGTTATTTTCCGCAGATCTGGAAATTCATCGGCAAAAAAATTTAAATCTTTTAAATTCGCAGAAAAACGTATTAAAGTTGTCGATGAATACACATATCTAGGAGTTACGTTCTCGGGTAGTTGCTCATTCTTGCCTGCAGCAAGAAAAGCGATTAGTGCAGCGAATGTCGCCGTGGGTTCGGTTTTGAGGGTGATTCACGGGTGTGGCGCGAACTCCTGGAATTCATATTTAAAATTGTTTGAGAGTCTGTCATTGAGTGTTCTTTTTTATGGAATTGAGGCCTGGGGCCTTAAACATTTGGATCTGGTTGAGGGAGTGCAATTATCTTTTTACAAGAGACTCCTGTCTCTGCCTATATGTACGCCAAACTACGCCGTTAGACTAGAAACGGGTTCGTCACACATTTCGCTCTCGATATTCAAATTGATCTTAAAATGGCTTGAAAGAATAGCAAAAATGGACCCATCAAGGTTTCCTAGGTTATGCCTTGAGAGGCTAAAAACTCTGGCCTTGAGGGATCCATCTGTAAAATTTAATTGGTTTTGTCAGTTGAGGGTATTTTTTGAGGAGTGTGGTTTGGTAGACGAATGGCGAGATATGTGTCTCAATATAGAGTCAATTAATATTAAACTTCTTATTGAGAAATACAGTAATTTTTTGTGTGAGAGGGATAGAGCCTCTTATTTGCGATCTAGGAGTTTGCAAATTTACCCGAGTCTCTCGCTTGAGCCCGGCCCTCAGCCATATTTGCGAATGAAACTGCCTCTGTCTTTTAAAAGGATCTTAGCACAGATTAGGCTGATCAATGTCCACGTCTGCAGAATTATCCTTGATAAAAAGAAAATTTATCGTTTTAATTTAGAATCGAATTGCAAGTATTGTAAATCCGAGAATGAATCTTTGTCACACATACTGTGTAACTGCTTAGCGTTCGAGCATATATGGGAATCGAAATTTCCTGCGCTGAGAAATGTTGACCGCGGAGACTTCTGGTTGGATGTGTTATCGTCAAAGAACTTTATTATAATTAAGACCTTTGTCTTTTTAATTAAGAAAGTTTTGTCGGAATGTCAAGATAGATAATTTGTTTTAATTTTTACTATGTAACATGTTTTTGTATCTTTTTTTTTCACGAGCGGAACCCTCTTGTAAGCATTATTATAATGCATAAACAAGTATAAATAAATAAATTATTATTATTATTAGGTATTATTATTATTATTATTATTATTATTATTTACGCCAAATAAATAATTTGTCTGAGACAAATATACGTTTAATTAACCCAAATAATAATTATTTAAAATTAAATATTTATTTGATAATAGCTTATTTAAATAATAGATTATTTGAATTAAATAAATTTTTTTCAGTGTATATAAAGATTTGGCCAAATTGGAATTCTATATTAAATAAGAATTCAGTTAAATATAAAATAGATATGAAAATTCAGTTCAATATAAAGTCTATAATTTATAAAAATATTGTTAATTGTGAAAAACAATTTAAAAATTTCAATTTTCACCGATAAAAATTTCCTTTCATTTTATTATTTTCATTGTTATAGCTATTCATAAAGCAGTAAAGTTTAATTTAAAATTTTATGATTCAACTAGAGACATCTATACACAATTCTATGAACTTTAAAATACTTTTTCATTGATAAAGTAGTAATTTTTGTTAAAGTGATCTATAAATATTATTATATTAAATATTTATTCTAAATAAAATGTAATAATAAATTATTTTTTAATCCTTCGAATTATCTTAAAAATTTTGCTTTAATTTAATCCTATATAATAATAAAATTAATAATCATTTAATTATAATAAAATTTTCCTTAAATAAAAAAAAATATATAATTTATATTTTATTAATAATACATTAATAAAAAATAAATAATATTCTTATTATCATGAGTAATATTTGAAAAGCTGTAATTAAATAGAGAAATATATTCTCGGAAATAATAATAAATCTCAATATATATACTGTGAGCCTACACCGCAAAAATAAATAATTCAAGTTGCATGTCGCGCACATAATAATTTCTAAAAAAAAAAGTTTCTTCACTTCATATGAATTTTGATAGAACAATAGTTACTGCAGCTGTTAAAGGGACAACAATGCAGCTGACTCATCAGTCGTGCTGGTCATGCAAATATATTTTGCACCTGTTCTTTTTCTATACACTGACCCTCAGATTTTCGGAAAAAAAAATTCTAATATTAAATATTAAACTTAATTTTCAATGATTTAATTTTGCAATATTTTTTTAATATTTTGCAATTTTTTTATTTTAGAAAATTTAAATTAAATAAAAATAAACCAATAAATGGATTTTTAATTTGAATTTTTTTTTTTTAATGTAGAAGAAAAAAACAAATAATAAAAAAAATTATTTGAATATTTTGTTTTATTAAATTATTTTTAACTATTTTTGAAAAATGAAAATTTTTATTTCTAAGGAAATGCGCTTAATTTTACAACAGTTTATATTAAAAATGATAAAGTGACAGTAAACACGTGCTTCACACCGCGTGTATCGACTTATATTATGAAATATTAAATTTCATCTCTAATTTTAGTTACCTCACTTTATATTCCCTTCTTTGTCAAACAATTTCTAAAAGCAAAACTTTTAGACATTCGTCTAATTTATCATTAATTTACTATTAAAAATTAAAAAAAAAAATTATCTATTTTCCATGAAAAAGCATTAATATTGCATTGGTGTATTGCAAAATTTATGAGAAAAAAAACGCGAATGAAAGGGATGGATCCAGTTATATCCAGATGAAACCGGTAATTTCCACCATAGAACATAGAATAGTTTATGAAGCCAAAACACGGATTTAAAAAAAAAAAGAATCCTACAATACAGGGAACTTTTTTTTTAATAAAATAATAATTTAATAAATTCATAAAAAAAACCGTAATTTAAAAAAATATTTTACAACTGACACTATAATATGGGATGGTAACATACTATGTTTTAAAAAAAAATGACAATGGAAATAAAACTAGCAAAATCTAATTATAAGAAAATAAACTCTCTCTCTCTCTTTTTCTCTATGCACATTTTATATAATTGAAGCAATATCATTAAAAACTATAAATAAGTTTTATATAAAGTAAAATAAATTCCAAACATCGAATGGCAATTGTGACCGTTGTGATTCCGTGTTAAAATTATAGGAAATTTAAAAAAAAAAAAGAAGAAAGTTTCACTTACTTGCTGGATTTTCGGTCGTCTTTTAACCCTTGATAAATTCCCGTTGAAGTCATGATGAAGGATTCTTGTAAATTTTTTCAATAAAAAGACAGCGATTTACCCACTTGAAAATTGTTTATAGCAAAAAGGCCAAAACGATTATAAGACGAGAGAGACACGCGTGAACTCAACCACAATACACACACAACTATAACTGCCTACTACATCCAGATTCCAGGCGGATGCGCTTTGCTTGAATATGATTGGTGGATACTCCAATTCAACTATTATCGACTACTTTGAATGTTAAATATTTAAATAATTTTGATAAATATGTTTTATAATTAAATTACATATAAACATCAACAATAATTAATTACAATTATTTGACTTGAATAAAAATAATTTATCAAAAAGAGAAATAAAAATTTAGATTTTATTTGCGCATGTTTTTTTCATGTATTTTTTATGCGCAAAGATAAAGATAAAGGTGCTTTCACTTCAGTATCGTTGAATTTTGATTGGCTGTACAATAAATCGAATTTTTATTACAGCCAATCAAATTGATTCGTTGTCCAATATTGGATAAAAGTACCTTAAGGTACGTGTTACAATTTTTTTTCTCCAATTAAACATACCCATCCCTTATTAATTTACGTAAATTATTTTTCCACGTGATGTATATACATAAGAAACATTGATTTACGTGTATCTGCGTAAGAAATGTCAAAATTTGTTTACGTTTACATTTTATTAATTAGATTATTATTTACATATTTATAAATGACATGTTCTGGTTTTTATCAGTTTTATTTATAATTTTTTCTAATTTTATTATTATCACAATAAGTTCATTTGGCGATAGATCACAATATTATGTTCTCTGTATTAGTGATTGTAATTCAAAAAGCTGTCAAATTGGTTTGTATTTTTGTTTAATTTTTAATTAATTTTCGTTTATTATATTAAATAGTTAAAAATAATTATGTAAAAAAACAAAGTTTTTTAAAATAAGAAAATAATATATGGTATCTTTTTTTTGTAATTTAAAATATTTGCGAGAAAAAAGAAAAAATTAAATTATTTTTTAGATGGTGAATTTAAACAATATCCCTCATTTGATTTACGTTTATTAAATTGGTCATGCAGGGATAATTGTAGTTATAATTGTATGTGGAAGACAGTTAATTATTTTACAACACATGGACTCGATGTACCACAATTTCATGGAAAGGTAAATTAAAATAATTTAATTTTTTTTTTTGAAATTAATTAATTTGAATATTAATTTCAGTGGCCGTTTATTAGAATATATGGTCTACAAGAGCCAGCATCAGCATTATTTTCATTATTCAATTTATATGAACACGTGACAAAGTATTTGAAATTTAGAAAAGAATTAAATTCCTCTTTTCCAATGGTCAATGTGTGGACATATTTCTTTACAGTAAGGACATTAGAAAATTGATTTAAATAATTGGGAATTTTTGATAAATTTTTTTTTCTTTTTTTTACAGATTTGTACACATGGTTGGCTTTGGTCAACAATTTTTCATGCCAAAGATGAATATTTCACTGAAGTTATGGATTATTCTTGTGCTTTCACTACTGTTTTAACTTTATTTTATTGTTTTATATTAAGGTATTTAATTATTTATTATTCTTATTAATTAATAGTTTATTTATTTATAATTTAAATTTTCATTTATTTTCAATTTTTAATAAATTTAATTTTTTTTCTCTCTACAGAATAAGTTATCAAGATACATTGAATATTAAAATATTTTCTGCAACAACTTGTGCATATATTGGCATTCTTTTGATGCATTTATCACATTTATGGTCGGGAAGAATTAATTATGGATATAATATGAAATTTAATATTGCAATTGGTAATGAATAATTTCTAAAAAAGAAAAAAAAAATTTTTTCTAAAATTACAAAGCTGAAGTACGCAACGTTTATGATAAACGATTTTTAAAGAAATAATATTTAAAATGAAAAATTCTATAATTTTTTGCCGAAAAAATATTTCTTGTAATTTTCATTAATCACCAAATTATAAAAAAAATATTTTTTAGGCAAAAAATTATTTCTTTTAAAATCGTTTATCATAAACGTTGCGTACTTCGTATAAAATTATTGAAATTTTAATTTCTTTCCTTTTTTTTCAGGTTTTATTACTTTTGTTATAACAATGATATGGTGGTATCGAAATCGACGAAAATTACCACATGTCCATTTAATTGGTTGGTTTACTGTTTTAACTGTTACTGTTACTTTATTAGAAGTATTAGATTTTCCTCCAATTTTTTGGACTTTTGATGCTCATTCTTTATGGCATGCGGCAACAGTTCCACTTGTCAGTCTATTTTATAGATTCATAACTCTTGATTGTTTCTATTTAAGAAATCAATATCTCAAATTGGATGAAAAATATTTGTTATAAAAAATTATATAAGAAATTTTATTTATTGAGAGTAAACAAAATTTTTTTGTTTTTAAAACAGAAAATATATAAATATTTTATTTTCACTATTTTAGTGAAGTAAATGAAAATAATATATATTATTAATTTAAAATTAATAATTCAGAACAAGAATTTAATTTATTAATAAATTTTCAGTTTTTGAAAAAAAAAATTGTTTTTTATTATAAAAGTTTATTTGTACGATAGTATACATTGATTTTCTTTCACACGATTGCAATAGCATATAAATAAATTACAAAAATCATGCAGAAACTTGTAAAATATACTCAGTATACATTAAGTTTCTATGTTTTGTTATTATAGTATTTCAGTAATAAAATGTAAAATTGTATTTTATTTAAATAGTTGTAATTTTTTTTTTTTTTATCTATAATTTACATTTCTTTTTTTGTGAAAATGTAGAAATAAATATTTTTTTAAACAGACAGTTTTGTTCTTTAAAATATTTTGGGCAGTGAATACAGCTATATTAAATTTTTTTTTTTTAATAGTTTTCTCAATTATTTTAAGGTTAATATTATAATTATATTTTAATCGGAAGACTGTAAAACAGAATGAAAAATTTTTCAAGGAATGTTTCTGATTTAGAATTACAATTTCTAAAAACTACAATACGATAACACTGCGTAAAATTGATTTCTGGAAAAATAAACAATTTTCTCTCTTCCTCTTTTTTTTTTGTAACTTCACTTTTTTTTTTAAGTACTAGTCTGTACATTCTTAATTTTCTTTTAGAATATAATTTACACTTTCAAAATATTGTCTCGGAAGTTAATATTAAAAATGTTTTAAAAAAATCTTAATGTAAATAAATATATATCGCGATATTTTTTTTCGAGTTTAATTAAGAGATTATAATGTAAGAAAACGATAAAATTGGGTAAAAATATAATTTATCGATTTTTTTTTTTAAATACCTAATTAAAATTTTCTTAAAAATTCAACCATTTTTGAGTAAAATCTAATTTAGTAAAAATAAAAGTATAATAGACTATAAAACAATAGATTAAGCCGGAAGTACGTCGCCATATTTAAATTTGCCTAATTACCTTTACATTTCACTAAGAAATATTTATATTTTTTTGCGACGTAATTGCAATACGATAAAAATTTTGTAATACAATTAGATCTTAAATTAAAAATCATTAATCTCGCAGTCAATAAAACGTAGCACCAAATTTTTAATTTTGTGCACTGAGATCATAAAATAAACTGCGACAAAAGAAAAAAGTACTTTTCTTTTTGTAAAATTGTTTTCTTTTTTTTTTCATAATATTGTAGAAAAATGGCACGTAGTTTGTTCTGTTGGAGAACTATTGGAATATTTCATTGTAAAATTAGTGAAATGTAATTATTTTCGCAAAACGCAACTTCCGATTGACACGGTAACCGTAATAATTAAAAAAAAAATGCTTTGCGTAGAATTTTATAAGCTCTAATATAAAGTGACAGAAACCAAGTTTCCATCATGGAAGCATAAAATGCTATCACATTTTCTGAATATAATTAGCTGCTCCTCTGTACTTAAGTTTCAGCAGTCATGTCTGCCTTTTAGTCACCGGATATAAGTACAATTTTTTTTTTTCTTTGTTTCTTTATAAAAAAACAACTATCTCGAAAAATATTTTGTGTGTTTTGCTTACAATATTCAGTGTTTAAATAGGGCCTCGTGTTCAGGATTATCGTCCCTGTGTTTTTCAAGATTACCCGAAAGTGTTGGATCGGGTCTTCGTCTCTTGAAGAAACCAAGCTTCCAAAGAATCAATGTCAATAAAATTAATAACAATAAACCGGCAAGAATCGCGCCGACTATTATCCAAATTGGCACTGGTTCAGGTTCCTGTTGATCCGATATATCTGGATACGCAACAGTTTCCGCCTGTGAATAATAGATTAATAATAATAATTTAATAATATAATTTATTTAGTTATTTAAGTAAAAGATTCATTCTCACAATTGTAAAATCATCCGACACATTCTCTTGTTGTATTATAACACCAGCGGGAATAATTATTTTCGCATGCGAACCTATTCGCACCTCATCCACTTTGCGATAATCTTCAGCAAGTGTGGAATTCCAAAGTCTAGATTGAAAAAAAAAAATCAAATTGAATTTTTTTTTTTTTAAATTAGAAAAACTATTTTACATACCTTGCTTTAATAGTAATAATTGCTTCTTTTTTTCTTTGTAAATTTTCAATTCTACATATAATATCTGTGCATTTTGCCGTTTGTCCTTTGCAACTCTTAAAAAAAAAATATATATATTTTTTTTTAAAAAAAGATAATTTAAAAATTGAAAATTATTTTTTATCTACATACCATGTGAACAATTTGATGTCTACGTCCATCTTTAATATACGTTCGTGTATTTACCACTTTTTCAGTATCTCTTCTTCTTCTAATGTAATTTGAATTATTGTAAACAATAGGATATGATGTCGTTACAAGTGGTTCAATTTCACTGACACTTCCTTGTAATTTCAATGGATTTACATATCCAGCTGCTACTTCACAATTTCGACTTATTCCTTGTGCTTTAATTATAATTTATTTATGAGAAATATAGTCATAGAAATAAATTATTTATTAAATTTTTTTTCAATAATTATATTTGGAATTTTTAAGAATAAAATGGAAAATAATAAATTTTTTTATAAGCTGAATTTTTTTGACAAATAATAATTTTTTTCATTTTAATTCATCAGTTTGAAAATAATTGAATAATGAATGAATTTTAATTTTAAGCCTATCTAAAATTAATATTTTAAAAAATAATTCAATTTTTAAAGTATTTTTGAAGTTTAAAAAAATTAAATAAGTATGATACTATGAAGCCAGTATGAATAATATAAAAATGGAATAAAAATTTAAAAAATACCTTGAACAGAAGGAATGTCTTCCAAATAAAGTAACCATTTTCCATGTGGTTTGTCATTAGCAACTTCATAAGGCCATCTAATTTTAACATCTAAAGCACTAACTCTCCATGGTCCCTCGTTAAACACTTCATAAATATGAAAAACTTTTGGTCCAATTTCATGTAAATGTTTTATTGCCGATTCGCCAATAACGGGCCCTCCATAATATGCCCACTGACTTTTCGATGTACTATTCGAAAAAAAAGGGAGAATTAAAAAAAAATATATATATATATTTTATTTGAAACAAAAAAATAAATACATACCCTTTTATAGATAATTCCGCTCGACGAATAATAGCTGCTTGTAAGAATGTGGGTATTTTCTCATTAATTTCCTTTGATGTTGAATTAGCAAAAACTTTAAATGTCAATTGTGATTCATGATCCTCCAATTTTGTTGGATCAAATCTCACTTGTAAAAATACAATTTTATCTTTTTTGAATGGATTTCCCAATGAGCAGGCAACAATTGTTGTATTATACATACTACAAATTACCGAATCATTTGTTTTTGTACCAATGTAATTTAAATTCGGTGAATGTTCCACGAATAATTGTGCCTCATATGCTGATTCACCGATATTTTTTATAGTCACATTCACAGCAATATCTGCATTCTCTCTCAATGTTAATTCATAAAAATTTTGTTCACTTGAAGACACTAAAAAAATTTTACATTATTTTTAATTTTCAATTTTTTTTTTTTTTTTTTTTTTTTGTAGTCAGAAAAAAACAAACCTTTAAGATCAAGTGCAGCTTTTATTCGCAAATCACTTTCGCAAATATCATTTTCACCGCAATCTTTTTGAAAAGTTGCCTCAAACACTTTGGCAGCTTCTTGCTGATTTAAAATTGGATAATTTTTAATATCAGGCAATGGTGAGCCTTCTTTTGGCATTACAGGTTCTTCTTGTATTAATGTATAATTTAAACGAAATTTAATTGGTGATTGAATATCTCTTGTATTCTCCTAGAAATTTTTTTTTTTTTTTTTATTATCTACTTTGAAGTGATTAGAATTTTTATTTTTAACGAATTTTTAAATACCTTTAAATAAACTGTTTCCGATTGACAGTGAACACGTTTACTGGCATCTAAAATAACTTGCCGATGAATTATATGCGAACGTGAATCACGTGCACGGAACCAAACTCGTGAAAATTTCTTTAATCCCGAATAAGTTTCGGCTTCAATGAAATAATTCAATTTCAAATATGATTTGCCTTCTCTCTTTATAATTGATCGTGTTTCGCAACATGCTTCAAATGAGAAACTGAAAAGAAAAATTAAAAAAAAAACGTTCTTGAAAAGTTGGAGAAACAAATAAAAAAAAAAAAAATTAGAAACAACGAACCAAGTGTAATTCGATGATGGATCAACAAAGCAGCCTGGTTTACTAGGATCAATGGATTCTATTTTCTCTTGATATAATCCATCTTTTTTAACGTATTGAATGTAAGTTGTAATGTTAATAATATTTCTCGATCGAAGTAAAGCAACAGCTGCATCATCATAAGCGCCTACCAATAAATCCGGATAACCATTTTGATCCATGTCAATTCCTCCACTAAGTGAATAACCAAATGTACGTAATGGTACAGGTGTATCCTCCGAATGAATTACCTTCACAAAAATTAAATACAATTTTACTTTGAAAATAAATAAATTAAAATAAGAAAAAAAAAATTTATACCTGTGATGGAGTAGTTATCAAACCATTTTTCGAGCCAAGATAAATATAAACAGTTCCTTTTCCTTCATAAGGCGCGCCAATAGCGACATCCTCATATCCATCTTGATTCAAATCCCCTAAATTCGCTATCGCAAAACCAAACCTATAATAAATTGAAAATTAAAATTTCAAAAATATTTATATTTAATTTATCAGACAAAAAAATAAAAATATATACCTCGATTCTTCTTTGCCAACTAATTTTGTCGGTGCACATTTTTTGCAAATTTTCATATTTTTTTCAAATGTCGTGTAAACATACACGGCACCGCCTTCTCCTTTATTAAAATAAAATGGTGCCGCGACAAAAAGATCCGAAATTCTGCAATAATTTTCAAATTAAAAAAAAGAAAACATTAAAATTAAAATTTTTTAAAAATACTTACTTATCACCATTTACATCGGCTGAAGCGATTTCATAACCAAAACTCGATCCCAATTGTTCACCATCTAAAGTCATGACAAATTGTAAATCTGCTTTTCCTTCGTTTCGCATAAAAAGAACAACTTGTCCAGTTTCATTGGAACGCGGTGCTCCAGCTGCGTATGCTAATCCATTTTTGAAAAAATTTCCAACAGCCACAGACATTCCTATTAAAAAAAAATTTATTTCTTAAAAATTAGTAAATAAAATAAATAAAAAATAATCTTTAAAATTAATTCTACGATTTTCTAATTTTTTTTTAAATGATTAGAGATATTTACCAAGATAACTGTATTTTTTAACAGGTGAAGCATCTTGCATGGGAGCATTGTAAATCGTATTATCTCTTTTAAAAAAATTATCCTCAACCGTTGAGATATAAACAGTTCCTTGCCAGGTATAAGGACCAGGTGTGCCAATCATAACGTATTCCTCAGAAGTTAATAATCCACTTGTACCAGCCAAACAATATCCAAATTGTTCATGTGCCCTGTAAATATTTATTTATACATTCAAAAGGTTTTATATTGAAATATTTGGTAATTTTAATTGCCGATTTTTTTTTTTAATTAATTATAAACAATTGTTAAACATAAGATTTTTAATTATTATTTTTCTCATTTTCAACATATATTTTTTTTTTTAAATAATAAAATTATTATCAACATTTAGTTATAAAAATTAATAATTAAAAAATTACATTCGCATGATTCATGTGATTTAATAATAAATAAATAAAATTTTATTACTTGTCAGTAGGTTTCCCGGAACAAGGCTTTTTCAAATCTTTCACTTTTAAATCCTGATATAAGACGTAACATTGTCCTTGTCCCCACATAGAATCTTTCGATTTCACTATGTGACGATGAGCACAAACCTGAAAGGATAATTTACATTTATATTACGTTGACTTTTAAAATAAATTATCGCTATTTTTTTCTCTAAAAAAAGAAAAAAATTGTCGTACCTTTTGCTTCTAAAAATTTTAAATAAAAAAGAACAACGAATTTTAATGAAATATTTATTAATTGACACTGCTTTTTTTTGATAAAAAGAAAATTATAAATAAAAATCATATAAATTTATTAAATATTGTTATTTTTTAAAATATTTCTCTAAACAAATGAATTATATAAAATATTTCTCTAAACAAATGAATTATATAAAATATTACCATCACTTTTCCACCAGGACCTTGACTTCGTACTGTAACTCCAAGCCATTGGTTATCTTTCACTTCATTATTGCCAGGTGGAATTAATTCTTCACTATCAATACCTACGGTAAAAAAAAATGAATGTAAAAAAAATGTAAAAATAATCATTTTTATTATTTGAATGAAATGCTGAGTGCATATAATGATGTGCGTCAAACTTCAAAAATTCTTCAAGACAACTGCGGTTAATATAAAAAATTCCTATAAGAAAAATATTAATCTTTAAAGAAGCGGAATATCAATAAAATTCACTATTTCGTCGACTTCAATTTAAAATCAATAACAATAGATAATAACTTAATAGTTAAAATTATTTTAATAAATTTTGTGTTTAAATTTCAGTTAGTAACGTTTTCAGAAAGCAATTTTTTTTAATTAGAGAATTAAAAATTAATTTCAAATTATTAATTATTGTGTAGAATTTATTTTAGTAATAAAATTAGAATTAGTTAATCTCTTATATTTTCAGCTTTTACAATTGTATAATTAATCGCAGAATATTAGAAAGGCGAAGCAATGTTTTTTTTTTTTACTCATGCTTATCCTGAGAAATGTTTTTTAAAACACATTTTTTATGCTTGTTTTGTAAATGTAAAATTGTTAGTTTGAAATACAATGTAATTGTGTATGTGTGATAAGTTGATGACACTGATTAATATTAATGAACGTTGATTGGTCAATGAAAAATTGCAAAACTAGCTTTCGTTAAAAAAAAAACAGATTTCAAAGAAATAAAAACTAAAAAAAAAAGTATTAGTTGAGTAAAACTGTAAATACACAAAAAAGCTTAATGCATAATTAGTAAAACGATAAAAATTCAAAAAAAAAATAATGGCAACATTTAATTGTTAGTAGATTTACCAGTGAGTATATATATATATCTTTATAAAATACAAAGAAAGCACATTGAAAATTCGTCATAATAAATTGAATGTACTCACTTTCTGTTGTTTAATTAATTTTGAAAAAAAAAAATTAAGCTTATTTTCTGAACATGCTTAAACTTTTGTTTATTTTTGTTAATTTTTTTTATTTTCTCATGCACAATGTCACGTTCGGCTCAATTTTTTGCATAATGATTGTGTGAATAAAATAGTTTCAAAAATAAACGTTTTATTGAGAATGCTTCATTCGTTTCATTCTCAAAAAGAATGCCGGTTTGTTGACTTACTTGAATCATATTGACCACCTTCGTCTCCTTTAATGGATAACCGAAACAAATTTAACTTAAATTATTTGTGTTATTTAATATTTAATGTAACGAAAATGTGTAACCAAAAATATGTGTATTTCAAAACAAAAAAAAAAAATAGAAAATTATTTTAAAAATGAAAAAAGCTGTGGAAGATTGAAAAAAAAAATTCTGATTTAATATTTCTATTATCTTTTTACTAAGAAAAAAGACCAAAGAAATAGATATTCTATAAATAAAAATTCATCACTTAAAAAATTCTCAGCTTTTGTCAATTTCAATTATTCTTCATAATTTTAGTTTACAAAATCATATATATATTTTAATTATCAATTTAAATATAAAAAAAAAAAATTCTTACTTTTTTGTCCATCAGTGATAACTTGTTGACAATCTCGTAATGTCGAAGTTAAGGGACATTTCCATAATGCACCGGATCTATTTGTACCAGGTTGTATATTTTGATCTAAAGGTGCTCCCACCAAAATCCTATTATAATAATAATTATTAATAAACGTTAAATAATTAAATAAATATTATTAAATAAACAATATAATATTTTGAAAAAAATGTTTTTAAGAAATAAAATTTAAAAAAAAATTCTTTACCATTAAAAAAATGATATAAAAATTGTAAATAAATAAAATAATATCTAATTTACCAGCTTGTTCGTTCTCCATTAATATCAGATATTTCCTGATGTTCGGCTACAGAAAAACCGAAATAAGAACCCTTTAAACCTCTTTTTATAACAGGTATCCGTGCTTCTAAATTGAAACTGTTTACACAAGATAATATAGATAACACAAGACACAAAATAATGCCGCCCTGCATTTTTAATCAACAATTGTTAATTATATGATTTTCTTTTTGATTTACGTTGAACGTAACATTGGGTCGATGATTTTTTTCCAAAAGTTCTTCACGGCGTCACCTCAAATGCCTTGGATTCTTAATCAAGATCCACCCACGTACTTGTAACAAGAAACGACAATCACTTGAATCACTTCAATGGAAATTTCTATACTTTAAAAATGACTAAAGCCTGCATCATTTCTAACAGTAATTTTATATTATTCTATTAAATTTCATTGACAAATAGAATAGAAATAATATTCATTGAATTTAGAAATTAATAAAAATTATGTATTTGAAAATTTTTTAATATTTAACCAAATTTTATACAGTCACACCCCGTTGTGCAAGCAGACGGAAAATATTTTCTTTTCTTTCTCTTTCTATATTAACGTGACCTACATATGTTTATCTTTATTTGACACATGAAATTATTAATAATATATTTTTGTTTTGAAAAAAAGAATAAAATAATTTTTATTTTATTAGTAATTTAAAAATATGTATTTAATATTCTTTGCTAATTGAATATGTTTGAAAATATTAAATAGAAATAATAAATTTAAAATAAAATATTATTTTGAATGTTTTGACACTCGGTACAAGGATGGGAAGTTAATTTCTCAACGAAAGGGTTGGATAGTCTAGGAATGATTTATTACAACAACTTCTCAATTGTGACACTGGACAAATTCCCTACAAATTTGTTGTTCTACAAAATGCTTTTTTAAAGGTGCTTTTATAACTTCTTGATTTTTGGCAAGCAAAAATTACGAAACTGTGGAAATAAAACCAATTAGCGATCATTGGCAAAAAACGAATAAGTTACCTTTAAAATTGCAATGTGATCACGCCTTTATAATTTTCGGACAAGTTTTTTTTTTTAAACTTCCCACCCTTGCGGTAACCTTAGTGCGTTTCCCATATCGCGGCAATTAAGGTTAGGTGTCAAATTATTAAAAAATTAGATAAATTTACATTATTCAAAATTGACATATGTAAATAAATATTATTTTTAATAATTTTTGATATATTTTACTTGTGAAAAAATTCAAATGAATTTATAACATTTAACCTCTAACCTATATGTCACTTCCATATTTATAACATTTATATAACTCAATTTTCGATACTTACCCTTTGGTATCATTATTATTTTAGTATAATTTCATAATTATTACAATAATTTAATTTTAAGAAAATAAATTTTCTTTCCTTTAGATAAAGTTTAAAGTCAAGTGACCTAATGAAGAATTGGATGACAATAAATTTTCAAAATTAAAAAAAAAAATGGGTGCTAACCAAAGTTCGCATAAATTGACTGTTGTTAATGATGAGGCAGAAGGAAATGTCATTCAAGTTTCGAATGCAATTGTCCAAAGGCTAACGGATGGATTAAAACAAACATCGAATCAATCAAAAAATGCGGATGTAAAAGTTCAATCTTCAAAGAAACCATCAATTTCTGCTGAAGAAATACCTTCAGGAAATGTGTCGTCAAATGGTTATCCTTCGTTTCATTATCCAGAATATACAATAACTGCTTTACAAATGCAAAAACAAAAGGAAACAGAAATTGATGAATTAGATCAATATTGGAGTAAACGTCTACTCAATTTGGAAATGAAACACGAGAAAATAAATAGTATTCTTCAAAATGAATACAATAAAGCTGTGGTTGATTATAAAAGTGGTAAGTTGATTTTATTTTTTAATTCTTAATTTCATTGTTTTTTTTTCTCTTTAATTCATTTGAAATCAAAAATTCTTGATATCGTCAATTTCTAGAGAAAAGAGGCTGTGGTGAAATAATGATTCCATGTATGGAGAATACAAAAAAAATTGCAAAATGCTATCAAGATAATCCACAGCATGCTTTGGAATGTGGAACTTTCGTCAAAGAATTCGCCAATTGTGTGGATGAATGTCGAACAAAAATTATTGCCTCTCGTTGCTAGTAAATAATATACATAATTAAATTTAGTTCACCATCTTAGGCTCTTTTTTTCCCCTCCATCAATCCAAAAAAAAAAAAAACTTGGACAAAATTTCCAATTGTAAAAAAAAAATGGTGGAATTGTAAAAATTTTTCTGAAAATAGAAAAAAAATCTCGTGAACAAATTCACATTTATTAGATGTTTAAAAGTAGAAAAGCTTTTAAATATCTAAAAATGAGATTTCTCTCAGTTTTTAATTTATAAGCACTGTAAATTATATAGACAGAAATAAAAATAAAATATAAAAATATTGTTTTAAAAATTATATTTGTTTTTAATTCAAATGATTACAAGTTATTTTTTATGTTACAGGAATCACAGGCACGTGTTAATTTAACTGGAAATTTTATGTGATTACATAAATTAAAAAATTTTTGAAATAGAATTTAATTCCAATTATTTTTTTTTTTTTTTTGCAGGCACAATATTTAAATTAAAAATTTTTCCTTTTCCAAAACGTTTTTTAAAAGATCTTTTTTATTGTACTATTTTTTACAGTAAAAAAATTGCTTTTGATAAAATTTGCCAAATATTTTGTTTTTTTAAATGAAAATTTCCAAAAGTATATTTTCTTTTTATTGTTGGTATTGAATAGTTTGATTCTTTTTCCCACGTTATAAGTAACACTAAGTTCTTGAGGCTCTTAAAATGTATAGAAAATTGGAAAAATCTATTTTTTTTGTCAAAATTTATGATTTGACATATAGTTTAAGCAAACACAATAAACTGATAATAAATACGTTATGTAGAAGTTTTTCTTATATATTACGATATTCTTAAATGGTATCAACGCAAAAACGGATGAAAGAAAAATTAAATTAAAAAGTAACAAAAAAAAAAAAATGTAAGAAAATGTTTTTAAATTAAAATGAAAAAGGACGAACGTGAATTAATCGCTCTTTTTGTCGCTACCAGTTTGAAGTAACTTTGAATGTTCTTCATTTAAACGATCATATTCTTTAGCAAGTGAATCGGCTTGCGATTTAATTGCCAATTTATCTTTTTTCTCCTTAGTTAATTCATTTTCAATATCAGTATTCTTTAATTGAAGTTCTTTGATTTGTGTCTTTAATTCGGACACTGCTTTATCGTATGCTTCATTCGATTCATTTTGTGCACTCTCACCAGTTGTTTTTTGTGATAAAAGTGTTCTTGCTGTTGTTGTCGCTGATTCCGCTTGTCTCATTGCAGCTTCACTTTGTGCCAATAATGATGCCTGAGTTGAAATCAATAACACCAAACGTCGAATCACTAAACTCAAGAATAATGCAAATCCTGATATATAGAAATTTCTTTGCGCTCGGAATAATCTCATATTGCCTAAAAAAAAAAAAAAAGAAAATTGAAATTAAAAAATAAATAAATATATTTTAGAATACACACCTTGCATTTCTGCATCCAAATGAGCGTGGGCATGTTCTCCGCCTTCGATATTAGAATATTTTCTCATTTCTCGAATGGCATCCAAAAGAAATAGTACTAAAATTGCAAGCAATACAAGAAAATACATTGACGCTTGATTGCTTAAACTTTGAAGAAATCGTGATCGAAAAAGTTTTTGCCATCTTCTTGGTGAAGCTACTGGTAAAACCAATAATAAAACAATGAATATTTCCACATAAAGAAATGATGCAATTAACGTCCACTGTAGACTCATTTTTAATGATTTGTCTATAAACAAAAACGTGTAATTAATTAATTTTTTTTAATAACAATATATTTCTTTTGAATTTACATAAATCTGACGCAATTTGATAAAAAAAAAATTATAATTATTATTATTAATTAAATCGATGTTTATATAAATTATTTTTAAAAAAAGACAAAAATTTAACAAAAGCAACATTATTAACAATGACAATGCAATTTTATCTTAATTACACTTTTACAAATGAAAAATAAATCAAGAAAATGGAAAATAGTGTCATGAATACATTTCTAAATGTTAAATACGCAGAAAATAGTAACTTATCATTTATACATGCAAATATTTATTAAAATTGTTGATTTTTTTTTTCAATTTCAATATACCTTTTAACAAATATTTAATCTTGTGTTAAAAAATCTATTTTATATTTTGAAACTTGAAAAATTAACAAATGCACATTATCCACGTATTACACTAAATGACGTGTTACTCAATTTTTACTCTTTTTGCTTAATAAACATTACAATATTAATATTATAAGAATGTATCACAAATTTATAATCAGTGACGTGTATATTAAATTAGTCTCAAAAAAAAAAGAAATTTGAACTTTTTTTTTTTTCTTATTTATATTACCGAAAAAAAAAAAATGTCGGAATTATTATTTTCAGAGATGTATTATAAAATATAATAAATAATGATATTACCGTTGTTAGTATTCTTCTAGAAATGCAAAAACTGTATGACAAGTTCAAAGATCAGGAAACTGGGAAAATTTTATAAATAAAAAGTCACATTCAATGACGTCACATACTTGAAAAGTTCCTTGAAAGAAACCGGCAATGATTCAGGGATGGGTTGTTAAAGTTGAGAAAATAGTAGGCTAATAAATTAATTATTAGAAATTATTACAATTATTACTATTATTATAATATAAATAATAATATAAAATAATAATATATAATAATAATATATATATTAATTATATATTATATATAATTAATAATTAATTTTCAATTATTATTCGAACGCATTGTAAACGTAGCTTTAGGAATGCGGAAAAAACAAAAAAAAAACCCCTCTGCAACTTACCCATCTCTGGACTTATTTGACACATGTTTAATAGTGACATGCGTGAGTTAAATTTAATCTTAATTTTTTGTTTATAAATAATTAGTTTTTAAAGTATTTCAATTTAGGTAAAGAAAGTATTATAATTTGTAATAAATTCTATATGTTAAAATAATAAGTGATGGCAGAAAAATTACGAAGATATGAGAAAATCGATTACTTGGGAGAAGGACAGGTTATATTTATAATTATACTTTATAATAATAAGTTACTTTATTATTTTACTTTATTATTAATAGTTACTTTTGCAAGTATTTTTGTTAGAAAATTTTTATTTTAGTATTACTAAAATATATTTATAGGTTAAGTATTTACATTTTGATTTAGTGTTTCATTTTTTTTTGCTAATAATAGGTTAAATAGTGACTATTTTTAATTTACGATTTTTTTGTTAATGATTATATGTTTTTCTAATATTGGGGTTTTTTTTCAGTTTGCCACTGTTTACAAGGCAAAAGACACCGAAACGAATAATATCGTTGCTGTTAAAAAGGTACTTATTAGATTTATCGAAAAATCGGAAAATAATATTTAAATATAATTTTTTTTTTCTTGTAGATTAAAGTGGGAAGTCGAGCAGAAGCCAGAGATGGCATAAATCGTACAGCGTTGAGAGAAATAAAACTTTTACAAGAATTAAAACACGATAATATTATTGGTTTATTGGGTAATTATTTTTTTTTTTTTCTCACCAATGTCTATTTTCAATTTTTATTTGATAAATATATATATTTTTTTTTTTATTTCAGATGTTTTCGGTTACAAGTCAAATGTATCGCTTGTTTTTGATTTTATGCACACTGATTTAGAAGTTATAATAAAAGACACAAATATTGTCTTAACGGCAGGAAATATTAAATCCTATATGATACAAACATTGCAAGGTCTTAATTATTTGCATTTCAATTGGATTCTTCATCGTGATTTGAAACCAAATAATCTTCTTGTTAATAATGAGGGTATTTTAAAAATTGGTGATTTTGGTTTAGCTAAATTTTTTGGCTCGCCAAATCGAATAAATACACATCAAGTTGTAACAAGATGGTATAGAGCACCGGAATTATTATTTGGTGCAAGACTTTATGGAACTGGTATTGATATGTGGGCCGTTGGTTGTATATTAGCGGAATTATTATTACGTGTACCATTTCTACCAGGAGAATCGGATTTAGATCAATTAACTAGAATATTTCAGGTAATTTTCTCAAAAAAAAGAATAATTTTATATTTATTTATTTATGGGGCATTCTATTTTAAAATTATACCCCTAGTAAACAATTGACAATATAAGTCATTTTTTAAATAATTATTTCTCCCATTTAATTAAATCAAATTACTTTTGCAATGAGTGGTTTCGAAACAGAAATTTCTAAACTTTATTATTGTAAAAAAAATTTTTTAAAAAAACGTTTAATTAGCATAAAAAATTTAGTTTGAAGGTTAAACTTGTAAATATCTCAAAACACGTTGTCTCCGATTTTGACAAAATCTGTGTCAAAAGAAAGCTTAAATATTCTATTTTTTATTTCCGTAAAGTTTATAATGGACATTTTCGAGGATTTCGAAAAATTAATTAAAATTCTCAGACGTTTCAAAGGTTAAAAAGCGTTGAAATTTGCATGAATAGAGAATCTCTGTTCAAATACAGCGGCATTTGTTTTTACGAAATTTTTAAATAAATAAATTTTAAAACTTCAATTTTAATCTTAATAATTTTTTTAAATTTGAAAAATTTTTAATTGCAAATAGCTAAAGATCAATATATTTATTGTTTACAATATTTTTTTTCTCTAATGTCAAGTGATGTAATAATGTAAGGTTAATGGAAATTAAATTTAAAAAACAAAATCCGCTCTTAAAGAAATGGTTCTCCATTCATACAAATTTCAATCCTTTTTAACCTCCGAAACGTCTGAGAATTTTAATTAATTTCTGGAAATTCTCGAAAATGTCCATTATAAACTTTACGGAAATAAAAAATAGAATATTTAAGCTTTCTTTTGACATAGATTTTGTCAAAATCGGAGACAACGTGTTTTGAGATATTTACAAGTTTAACCTTCAAACTAAATTTTTTATACTATTTAAATGTTTTTTTGAAAAAATTTTTTTACAATTGTAAAGTTTAGAAATTTCTCTTTCGAAACCACTCATTGCAAAAGTAATTTGATTTAATTAAATGGGAGAAATAATTATTTAAAAAATGTCTTATATTGTCAATTGTTTACTAGGGGTATAATTTTAAAATAGAATGCCCCTTATAATAAATTGTAATTTTTTTTTTTAGACTTTAGGAACACCAACTGAGGAAACATGGGCGGGAATGACTGAATTACCTGATTTCATTCAATTTAAACCATTTCCGGGTACGCCAATTAGACATATATTTACTGCCGCTGGTGATGATCTTTTGGATCTTTTGGCGAGTCTTTTGAATGTCAATCCAAATGAACGATGTACTTGTGATCAGGCATTGCAAATGCCTTATTTCAGTAATAAACCGGCACCAACACCTGGGGCAAAATTACCTTTACCATTGTTCATTCGTCAACAACCTGAGGAGAAGCCTAGTCTTAAAAGAAAATTATTAGAATCAATGGAAGGTGGAGCGTCATTAGCAAAAAGACTTCAATTCTAATTGTGGGAATAATTAGAATTATCTAATTTATATTATTTTGTAAATAAACTTTTATATTATTCAATTCAGTTTAGTGATTTTCATTTGGAAAAAAAAAAATTCTCTTTTTTTCTTATTATTGTACAGTTAATTAAATGAGAAATAAAATATCTTTTTAATGTAAATGAATTTTTTTTTTGACACCTTAAAGTCGATAAATGGAAAAAGGATTTAATGAATTACTCGTGTTTTTTTTTTTTATAGAAAAATACATTTCTAAAAAAAATGTGTTTATTTCATAAAAAAATAGATTGAATAATTGTCGATTAACTTGAAGAATCACTGCTATCACTGTTAATTGTTCGCTCAACTTTTTTTGTTTCCTTCTTGTTGATATACTTTACTGTTTCAAATAGATGTAACAATAAATTAGAACAATTATTTTCAAGTGATGATGAACAAATGTTTGCCGCAATCGACATATGCTTTCGAAAGACATTTAAAAAATAATCAGGTGTAGTAAAAGTGCAATTGACATTCAATTCAATTGGATCCTGAAGGCAAAATGTTGTTTCCACATTCAATGGAATTGGATTTTTTGTATTTTTCACGTACTCAACGTACCTTGAAATTAATTTTTAAAATTAGATTCAATTTTTTTTTTTTTCAAAAGGGTGATTAAAAAAAAAGAAAAGAAAAATTAATTTTCTACCTGTTCATGCTTTCGGGTAAAATATTCACATTTTTAAAAATCTCCTTTGGATGTGCATAACCATCAATTGGACAAATGACAAATTGTTCAAAATCAAAATATGCATAAAATTCAAAAAATCCACAAAGTAATTCAGGAATTGTTTTATAATTAAATGATGGATATTTAATTGTTTCATTGAAATTCACTTGCCATCCATCAATTATTTCAGGATTAATATCATTTTTTAATTTTATTACCGAAGGCACAATATTAACATTTGATTGTTGTAAATAAAATATGCATAACCATATTAATGAATAATTTGTTATTTTTGCAATTTTAAATCCACAAAGTTTTGCCCAAAATTTAACAATCATTATTAATAATTTAAGGCGTGTATCAATTGATAAATAATATTTTATCAAATGACTATTGTAAATGCATATTTGATTTTTAAATGATAATTCACAAGTGATTTTTGTCTTTTTATCGGTAAATTTAATAATTGGCATTTTTCCTTTTAAAACTGAGACAATTTTTCTATATGAATAACTACTTTCAAGTAATTGCATTAATGCAATTGATGATATTTTTCGAAATGTTAAAACACTTGGTAGTGTATTTTTTTCATTCAAACTGATTGTTTCAACTGAAATTTAAAAAAAAAAAATAATATTTAAAAAATTATTTACAATACAAAATTATAATTTATAGTTACCTATATTTAAATATACATCCAAATCAGATTTTTTAAAACATAATCCATTCATTATTGAGCCTAATTGATGTATTTTACACATTGGAAAAGACTTTTGAAACAATTGATTTAATTGCTCCAAAATAGGTTCATAGAGAGCTTCTTTTACATCATCTTTTAATGTCATTTCATTTAAAAATAATTTCAATTGATCTTCAAAATTTTCATTCTTTTGCATATTATGTTTTAATCTTTTATATTTTATTTTACGATTTTTCATTGGTTTTACATTCTTTTTTTCACTAATCAATGATGTTTTTGTCGTAACACTGAAAAAGAAAAAAATGTTCAATTACAAAAAAAAAAAATTTTCATAACAATAACTTAATTACCTTAGTAGTGTAGAATTATTTCTTTTCATTGGTTTACTATTAAATAAATTTACAAGCAAATTTGTTGAATTCTGTAAATTTTCAGCACAAATTTCCGCTGCCACTGAAACATGTTCTTGAAATGATTTAACAAATTCACTGGAAATATCATTTGTGCAATTTTTATTCAATTCAATTGGATCTTGAATGCATAATGATTTTTTAATATCAAAGAGAAGATCATCATTATCTTTAATATATTCCTTATACCTGAAAAAAAATATATATATTATTTCTCTTCTAAAAAGATTGAAAAAAAAAATAAAAATACCTTTTCATTGATTCTGGTAGATTATCAATATTTTTAAATAATTCCTTTGCATGTGCATGACCATCAATTGGACAAATGACAAATTTTTGAAAATCAAATTTAGCATAAAATTGAAAAAAGCCACAAAGCAATTCAACAATAGAACTTGTATTTTTTTCTGATGATAAATAATGAATATTTTCATTGAAATTCACTTGCCAATTGGCAATAATTTGTGAATCACAATTTTCTTGTAATTTTAATATTGAAGGCACCAAATCAACAAATGATTGTTGTAAATAAAATATTAATAATAATGACAATGCATAAGTTGTTATAAATAATCCCGATGATTTAACCATATAAATATATTCTGTTGAAAATCCACAAATTCTCGTCCAATATTTAATAATCATCATCAATGGTTTAATGCGATTATCCATTGATATATAATGTTTTATTAATTGACTATTAAAAACACTTAAACCATTGCTAAAATGTAATTCACAAGTGATTTTTGTTTCTTTATCAACAAATTTAATTTTTGGCACTTTTGAAAATAATTTAACATCGCAATATAATGGTGTGTAACGATATAAAAGACTTTTTGCCGTTGAAAAGAATTTTTTAAGTGTTAAATCAGAGGAAACATTTTCATTCAAATTAATTGTTTCACCTAAAAAATTATTATTATAAATTTTTTTTTTTATTAAACATTATATTTTGTTTTTTTAAAATTTATTTACCTATATTTATATATATTTTCAAATGATCATTTTTTAAGCACAATCCAGTTAATGTTGAACCAATTCTAAATAATTTACACATTGGAAATGATTTTCGAAATAATTTATTTAAACGTAAACAAATACGTTTATAGGAACCATTAACATCGCCATGTGGTGTAACTATTTTTAAAAATGAATTTAACTGACTCTCAAAATTTTTATTCTCCTTTAATATTGTCAGTAAATTATTAAGTTCAATATTGTCATCAATTTGTTCAGTTAACATTTTTATTACATGATTTTTTCCTGACAAATGCCCTTTAAATGCATGTTCCTTAGGGAATGAAATTTGACAAATGTCACAAACTTTTGTCATTTTTAAAAAGATTTTTACAATAAATTCCTCACAGAATTTTTCTTTTTTTATATCATTTATATGAAATAAATATTATTTTAAACAAATCGACATTCAAAAATCACAACACAAAAAAAATTGTAAATAATAGTTTCATTGTCATAAACTGTAATGTAAGATCTGAAATGTAAATTGTCAATTGTAAACCCACCTTAAGGCCTCTTTCCATAAGAAATTTTAACTTCCCACCTCTGGTCTTATCTGTCAAAAGTCACGTGACATGAAAACACTGACGAATGTCGCACACACCGGTTTGTTTTTTCCAGGAGATAAGATTATTATTTCCAAGAATTATTACTCTGAGATCATTTTCATAAAAAAATATTCCTTGTAAAGTTGATTGCATTTTAGTTATTATTGAATTTAATCCTTCTTTCACTGAAAAAGCAAAAAAAAACAAAACAATGTCAGCACATTCAAGTGACAGTGGTAATACTTCTTTGCATAATATTAGTGAAATTTTGGCAAAAAAAAAAAGGTAATGTAATATTTTTTTTTCAACATTTTTTATATACAATAAAAAGAAAAATAATTGAAATAAATTTTTTGTTTATTCAAAAAAAATTTTTTTCTTCTCTAAACTAGAGAAGAGTATTATTTTTATAAGTGCGCAATTATGGAAAGAAGTACATTTTTTTTTTAGATCTAAGGAATATTTACAAACAGCACCAACAAAAAAGTATGCAAATTATTATAATATGACACATTTAAATCGAGGGAAGGCATTAATTTTTAATCATGAATTATTTATAAATAATAAATTACCCCGACGAACAGAATCAAAAATTGATTGTGATAATTTGTCGAAAATTTTAAAGCAACTTGATTTTGATGTAAAAATCTATGATAATTTGAATTATAAGGAAATTGTGAGAACTTTAGAAAAAGGTAAAATATAATATTGCAATATTGAATTGAATTTTTTTTTTTAAGAAAAAATTTAATTTCAGTTGCCAAAGACGATCATTCCGATGAGGATTGTTTACTGATTGCAATTCTTACTTATGGAAATTGGGATTTATTACATGCACGTGATAAATATTATAAAAGTGAAATAATATGGACAAATTTTAGTGCTGATAAATGTCCCACACTCGCTGAAAAACCAAAATTAATATTTATTCAAGGCTGTCAAAATGATGAGTCTAATAAAATATTTCTTAAAGAACGAACAATAACAGACGATGGTGGCAAGGAATTTCGCATTCCAACACAAGCTGATTTTCTCATATTTTTTAGCAGCAATTCGTGTATGTAAATTATTGTTCTTTGAAATTTTATTAGATTTAATTATTGTTTTTCTTTTTCTTTTTTTTTTAGTGAACATGAAAGTAGAACAAAGAAAATGTAAAGTGGAAAAAAATTTATTGGAAAATACAAGTTGTCAAGAAATGGTAACAGACGGTAATAATTTAGCTGGTTGCTTTTGCGTTGACACTCATAGTGACGAAGAAATATTTATCGATGAAAAAAGTAAGTGCCAATTATTAAATGACAATTTATTTTTAATAAAAATAATTTCTTTTTAAAAAAAATAATTTCTTTTTAATTCTAGTTTCTTCTGAATTAGAAAAAACAAATGGCTCACTATTTATACAATCATTATGTCGACAATTACGTGAAAATGGAACTATTTACGATATACAAACAATATTGACATATACAATTCAATTAATTATATCAGAATATGAAAAGCAAAATGGAAAAGAAATTAAAGAAGAAAAATTTGAAGTTCCATATATTGTGACAATGTTAACACGATTATTACAATTTAATACAAAAATTAAGCGTTCCTTGCCAAAATGAAATAATTTTCTTTTTTTTTTTTTTTTTAGAAATTATTTCAAACACTTGTGACAACCTCATGGTATTTTTAATATATTTTAAATTTTATTAAAATTTTTTTTTACTTTATTTTTTTTATACCAATTTTAGAATTAATTTTTATTACATTCCGAAAAATGTATTTTATATGTAGTTTATTGTTATATAAAAGTATTGTAACTAATAATGTTTTACCAATATATATATTATATATATGTGTATATGTGAAATACTTTAAATTGTATAATTATAAAAAAAAAATTATATTTTATATAATTGTAATTCCAATTTTAGTAAATACACTAAAATTTCTACCTTTCATATTGATGTTAGAATATAAAAAGAAGTCAAATAGTATAGATTTAATTACCAATCATGTAATTAATTAAATTCTATTTGTAAAATACAGAAAATATATTTGAAATTTACAAAAGGTATTTCACATTTCTTATTATCCATCAACTTTTGCTTTAATTGTAACGCGATCTAAATAAAGGGACCTTAGAAGTAATAAATATAAATTTGCTTCTAAGGTCCCTTTCTTTAGATCGCGTTATATTTTTTCTTTTTCCAAAGCTATCATTTAAATGTTAAAAAATAGTAACTATTAATTAATAATGTAGTAAAGAAAATAAAGTTTTCTAAACTATTTTTTAAATATTAAAAAAAAATATTTACTATTAATTGGATTAAATAAAGGAAATCGAGGAATTTGACGAAAATGACATTTTATTCTAGTCAAGTTATAATCTTGAACATTAAGAAATATAAGGGAATGAAAATGAACTACGGATTTATATATTTCCGTATCTAAAAAAAAAAAAAGAAGTTAATTGAAAAATGAATTCATATTCACTGAAAATTCGCAAATTTTTGATATACATTAAAGTAACGAAGCGATTGTATTGAATATGTATATTGGAATAATGAATATATATGCTTAATCATCACGAGATGATCCATTTGTCACTTTGTCCTTCCTGTAAGCAGAATAAAACACAATTTCTTCAATTTTAAATTCTATTTTCCATTTTATTTTTATTTTAATTTTAAAAAAAATTGTAGAAAATTGAATTAATAATATAATTGTAAATTATTATTTATTTTAAAATAATAATTAGAAAAAAAAAAATAATTACTAATCTAGAAAACATTTACCATTTTACCTGCTGCGGGATCTTGATGCGGATCTTGATTTTGAACGACGGGGACTTCTTTCCTTTGAATCCGATCGTCCCTTGCTGCGTGATCTTTCTCTCTCGTGACGTGTCTTGCTGCGTGATCTACTTCTTGATGATGATCTTGATCTGCTGCGCTTACCCCTTGACCTTGAGCGTGATCGTGAACGCGATCGCGAGCGTGAATGAGAACGTGATCTTGATGGTGACCTATAATAATCATCGAAAGAATAAATAAAAATTGCAATTATTATTTTTTGCCTGCAAAACAATCATATTCTTTATATCAGAATAGAGAAGTACATAAAAAAAAAAATTTCTATTTACAAATTATTAAATCGATATTTTTTTTTCTCTAATTTTAAGAGAAAAATTTCTTATAGCCTGATAATAAAAAGCGGATCTTATTTTTTAAAAAAAGAAAAATTTTCTTTAATATTCAATATTTATAGATTTTTAAAAAAGGACACCTCAACCAACCTGTTGAATTTGAAATTTAATTTAGAATAAAAAAAGAAAACAAAATTTCCGAAATGTATCATTTTTTTTTCAGTATAAAAATAATACATATCGTTGAAAATATAAAAGAAATAAAATTTAATGATTAATACGATTTAATTGTTTGATCATAAAATTAGTTTTAAAAAGAGAAAAAAAAAATTAATGAAAATATAAAAAGTTTAAGACTATTGTAAATTATTGATTTTATAACGATTTTCTATACCCCCCCTAAATCTACTCTTTTCTATTTTTCAATATATGAAACATTCTTTCGGGGAAAAAAAAAAGATTCTTCCTTCTCTCGACAAAATATTCTTTTTTTTTGCAATTGAAACAATTTTTTTTTTTAAACATATTTTTAAAAATTAACTAAATATTTGAAGAAAATGATTTTTTCTAATTTTAAACAATTTCCAAATAGTACCTACAGTTGAAAAAACTACATTAAAAATAATTTAAAGAAAATTTTTTAAAAATATAATTAAAAAAAAACACAATACTTTTCATTAATTGAATATTTCAAAAAAAGTTTACGATTGTTAGAAAAAAAAATTTCTGACATTTGAATAAAAAAAAGAAAAAATTGTACTATTTGGAAACTGAAAAGAAAAATTGTCAGAGAAATAAAGAACCGTGAGGGGGTAGTGCAATATTCCATTTGTTTAAAATAAATAAATAAATAAATAGTTATGACGAAAAAATTCGTCAATGGGTCATATCGTCAGTATTCCTAAGTCGTTTCTTTTGTTTTATTATTTTTTTTTTTGTAAATTTGATAAAATTTATCTATATACCATCTGCAGTAGAGTAGACTAATGGAGACAGTGGAAGTACGCGATGATGGCAATGTCAGAAGGGGAGGACGGAGAGTAGATTTGTTTTATGCAGGTGAAATCTCGCGAGGGTTTTTTTTTTTTTTTTTTTTTTTTAAGATGGAGAGACACGAAGAGTGGCTAGACAGGACTGGCTCACGGCTTAAAATTGATATTTTACTATGTATTGTGTGTGATGTCTGCCTCTCTTTCTCTCTCTCGCTCTCTCTTTCACACACACAGTGATTCGCCTAGTGATTCTCTACGGCCAAACTATTGAGACGACACGAAGTTCACAAACAGTGAGTCGAGAAGGCCGAATCTACCAGAAGAGGAGTGCATATTTCTCAGTCAAGGGTGATTGATGTCAGGTAACGAAGATATCGAAGTGCGTAGAATATAAATGGCCACCACTTCGTCGATCGTGGACGTGTTTCGATTCTCTCTCTCTCTCTTTCTCTGGTTTCGCAGAGTGCAGAAGTAAACCCAAAGTAGGTGGGTGCTCTCTACGCTGAAACTACGCAGTGTGTGTCACAAACTCAACCCAAGGTGAATCTCGCGAGAATCTCTGATCTCTGGCTACACATTTTTCACGTGTGTGTGCGCCTGTTCAGCCGCATCTCCTATAAATAACGGGCAGCATTACATCGGCATCATCCTTCAATATGGATATCCATATAATTTTTTTTTTTTAAATCGCAATTTGTCGACTATTTCTAGAATTTATTTCACAATTTCTTACCGTTCTTTTTTTTTTTTTTTTTTATCTCTCTTACTTCACCCCTACGATTTAAGAGTTAAGTTAGTAATTTTTTTATGCAGGATTGAGATTAGACACTAGACCCACTGGCTCAAAGGATAAAGCACAGGATAAATGAAGGGAGGTTTTTTTTCAATTTTTGTTATTAGAGTTCTAAAGTCTTGATCCTATTTTTGAAAATGAAATTTATATTTTTAATATAAAACTGGATTTGAGTACCAACAAAAATTGAAAAAAATATTTTTGTATGATTTTCTGATATCAAAAATAAAATAAATTTCAAAATTTTCTATTATTTATATATTAAAAATAACTTTAGAACTCTAGTGACAATTTTCGAAATTGCCTTTCACGTGTATTTTTTTTTTCTTTCCAGAGTCCTTGAAAAATAATTAATGCAGGGGGGGAAAAAAAAAGGAAAAGAAATATAAAAAAGTGAAAATCTGAAATTGGAATTAAAAAAGAGAAAAAGGAGAAGAGAAAATTTTTAAATTACGCACCTTCGTCGACGACTTCCTCGGCCATGTCTGGGACAATCTCGTGCATAGTGACCACGTTCACCACACTCGTAACAACGATCCTGAGGATCGAAAGCTCGACCACCGCCGCCACCGCCTCCACCACCACCTCCTCCTCCACCACCACCACCGCCGCCGCCTCCACCACGTCTCGATGAACCACGATCTCTCAATCTTTTTCCATTTGATGGTTCAACGCGAGCTCGTCGTCCGCAAATTGTCCGACCGTCTAAACCTCTCACAGCATCCTCAGCATCACGCGCATCATCAAATTCAACGAATGCAAAACCTGGTGGATTTCTTGCGACCCAAACATTTCTCAATGGTCCATAATACGAAAAAGCGTCCTCAAGCTCTTGTTTCGTAGCATTACTTCCAAGATCACCCACATAGACTTTACAGTCCGAGGGGTATCTCGACATCTTAAAAATCAATTTTAATTTACAATTAAAAATAATAATTAATCAACAAAATTAATAAACTGAAAAATTATTTCATTCAAAATAATCGATTATCAAATAATTATTTACATGAACCAAATAAATTTTATTTTAATCAATAATTTCTGTATTTGAAAAAAACAACATCTCAAATACTAATTATTTGATAATAATCAAGTATTTGAATCAAAAAAAAATTTTTTTTTTCCAATGATAACAAACAGTTTCTTAGTAATCGCAAAAAAAAAATTCATTTCTCTCGAATTCTCATAAATATTAATTCGTCAAAATTAAATTCAATAATCAATTTGTTGAATTAATTAAAATTCTAGTGAAAAAAAAAAGAAACAGAAAATTTCCAAAATTTTAATCAGTTCTCGTGAAATTAACCTGTTATTAATCTCCCACTTAAAATTCATGGATAACAATTGAAAAATATAATTATGGTAAAGTATTCTTAAGAGAGAAATTGAAAGACGTAATCGATACTTTCTAAGTAATCACTGTTCAAGTCTTGATGTGCGTCAAGAGTATAATGCACGACGAATAATAATTAATCTTAATTGACGTATAAGTAATAAAAAAAACATATTTCTCTGTAACTAAGAACAATTCATTTTTAAAAATAATTCTTTTAAATATTCAAAATTTTTATTTTCCACAAATAATAATTATTTAAAAAAAAACACTTTTTAAATACCTAAAAAAAAACCAACATATTTTGTTGAAACTAAAAAAAAAATAAAATTTCAAATTTATAACGCAATTAATATTTTTTTTTTTTTAATCGATAAAATTGAGGGCAAAAATGCTATCCCACTTTTTTTTGATTATAGTGACGACGTTCAATGAACGATTAATGCTAAACAAATTTTGTTTTTTTTTCCAACTCTCATATACACAATTATGTGAGAAATAACATAGTTAAATTCAACTAACCTTATTCATGTTTGATTCGATTTGTAGCTTTCCTTGATTGTGATAATTGTCAAAAACTTATAATTATTAATAAAACGCCATTTCTTTAAAAGCTTGGACAGTTCACAATTTCCAAAGGGGGCAAGAAGAAGCGTTGAACAAAGCGATCGATTCCAATGTCAAAATGGCTTCCATTTTAGACGAATCAGAGAGCAACTTTGGACATTTTTCAGGTGCGTATAATAAGATTTTTCACAATGGTCAAAACTTGACTTTTGATTAGTGCATAACAATTTTTTTGACCAAAGGACGTTTTCTCCAAATTATGAATTCTTTATTATTTTTCTGAAAAAATTTTTACATATAATGTCTTTTAACAACATTCTTTAAATTTAATTTTTATTAAATATTAATTAATTTTTAAATTTTTCTCAATTTCCCGCGTTTTGGTAATTTATCCCGTTGTTCATTCTAACCTCAAAATTCTCCGAAATTTTCCAAGTCTTTTTAACGCAGTGTTTTGTAAACAATGAAATGGGATTTGTCACTATCTAGTGCGACGATGTCGAAAAATCACTTGGAGAAAAGTGGGGATGATTAATCGGGGCCTTCATTACGCAATTATCGGAAGCGATAAGTAAATCGTCAATTTCAATAAACAAAATATAAAACCCCTTTACAAGAAGGTCTCGTGAACGAAAAATAAAGGTTTCTTTTTTTTTTTCAATTCTGATATGGGAAATACCGGTTTTGAAAATTGCAAATCAATTGTATAACTACATAGATGAATTTATTGCATATATATTGTGTATAGTATATGATGTGTATATTCGCAGACAGCAGTTTGTCACGTTTGTTTTCTTTTCAGTAGCGCAATTGTTCCGAGAGAGGAAGTACGTATTTTTCTACGTCCTACTTTGTTTCGTGTGTTTCAACTACCAAATACACATTGGCGAGTGCAGATGATTCGGCGCGAAGCGTTTCTCGATATTTATTACGTCCCACATAATATTTATGATGTTTCGTGATTGTCTTAACTACACCGGGCAAAAAATATGAATTCCTTGCGTTTGGAGGTGAGCGATCCGGGAAGCATTTTATTGCTTCTGCAAGATCTCGCTGATCTTCCTTGCACTTTGGTGCAGCAGAAGCTGAATAAATATGTAAGTCATTCAATAATATTTTATAAATTGAATTGTTTATTATTTTCTTTTTTTTTAGAAAGGTTATATTTATTAAATTTTCACAAGATTTTTCGAAAAAAAAAAATTTTTTTTTTGACATATTTTAGGGATAAGTAAAATTGCACAATCGAGTGAGTCATTTTTCTTTTTAAAGTTTTTCCACTCTGGCTTTTGTAAGAGTAATCGTCATGGAAAAATCTTTTATTGCTTTCGAATTCCAAAGATGACAAAAGAAGTCTTGAATAAAACAGATGAATATAATTTTTGTATTCGTTACTATTTTGTTTTTGCTGGGAGGGGGGTTTTCTTTTTTCAAAAAACAAAAAAAAAAAACAAACAGTTTGTCTCAATGATATTTATATAGTCAATGTGCTTCTAGAGGTTATAAAGATATGGAAATATTTTTCATGGATTATATTGTGAGTCACTTCCTTTTTTTCTAGAAAGTATTAATTAATTAATTTATTTTTTTTTTTTAATAAAAATCAATTTTTCTTTACTTTTGTTTTGGAGAAAAATCAATTACATATATTTATTTTTTGAATGTATTTTCTTTTAAAAAAGTTTTAAGGGAAGAATAATATTTTTCCTTTTTTGTTAACTTATTTTAGATTTGAATAATTTGATTTATGAAATATTTTTTGAAAAGTTAGTACCTAATAGTGGAAAAATCGATTATGCCCTTGCTAGAGAAATTTTTACTTTATTTTTTTTCTTCTATAAATAGATTGCTGTGAGAAATATATATATGAATGAGAATATATTTTTATAACTTAGTCTTAGAATTTTAATATTTAATTTATTATTTTATTAAAGATTATTCAAAAAAATAGAAAATTAAATACTTTTTTTGTTTTTTTTTTTGTAGTTTCAAAACGTTACTGGTGCAAAAGTAGCATTTTTGGCGCCGATTTTATTTGAAACCGAAGAAATGGTCATTCACGTGGTTGGAGAAAAAATTCTGGATCGAGAATTGAGATTTCCGGTGAGCTTGCAGGTTATTTGATTTTTTTTAGAGCATAACTGACACACAATTGTTCATTAACACTATTGCTTTTACAAAAAAAAAAAAAAAAAAAAAAAATCATCCATTTTTTCTTTTTTGAAACAGAAAAAAAGATATTATCATTTTCTGCGCTTATTCTCATTATTCTTTCACACAAAGTAGATGGAATTATTCACAAGATTATTAAAAAAATCAGGACAAATGCTTCTTGAAATATTAAAGGCAAAAAAAAGTCTCGAGTAACCCAGAGATTTTATTCTTTATATTATTTTTTATAAAATTCATAATTTAGTTTTTAATTGAATTTGGATTACATTTTTTATTTTAGTCTATTTTTTCAAAATTCTTTATTATTATTTTTTGAGTTCATTTTTAATTAAATTCCATTTATTTATTCTTTACATTTTTAATTCAGGTTTTTAAAAACAGCTTTAAATTTTCTATTAACAATTAAATTTGGGAAATTTGGTTTATGTAACACACGAAAAACTAACTTTGGATATTGTTTAATTTTTTATAGTCAATATTTCCCCCCAAAAAAATGTGGATTGTGTAAAATTAAAATTTTGAATTTTTCCATTATGGATTTTTCTTTAGGAGTGTAATGTTTTTTTTTCTAAATTTTTGAATAAGGAAACTTGAAGTGGACTTGTTAAATTTTTCTTCTATTTGTCCTTTTTTATGAAAATGAGAGAAAAAAAAGAACTATTGTTTATTTTTCACAGAATTGTAAACTCCTTAGTAGAGACATATCTCCACACTTGTGCAATTGGCATTATAGAAGCCATTCAAGTCTATAGAAGTAACATCGATCCACAAGCTAAGCCTGTATTATAAACACACTCGAAGCACATTCACTTCAGCAAATACTATCTTACGATATCAAATCTCATTTTTTATTTCAGTATCACTTTTTTCGTAAGTATTATGCATTTGTTAAAAATGATAACATCATTCACGTTATATTCACGCGTTCATCGTAACACTTTTCTTTTTCTTCTCTTTATTATAAATATATACTTTCTTTCTGTTTCTAAATCTTAAGGTTCGTCAAATTATTGTTTAATTCAACAGTTAATGAGATTGAGGATAAAATAAAAAAAAAAAATATTAAATCAGTAAAAAAAAACTGGAATTTTATAATATTGTCGAATTTTATGATCTATTTTGATTTTTTTTTTTTTTTTTTTTTTTAAATGAAAAACGGCAAAATTAATTTACTTAGTTAAAAATATTGCAACTATTTTAGGTGATAAATCATGCATTGCACAGAGCCGTGAAACAACGAAAATCCATGGCACAAAATATCACAGAACTTGACCAAGAATTATTACAACATCTTCGTTCGGTTGTAGATGTAGCGCCTAATTTATTTCTTAGCATTCCGATTCAACATCCCATCAAAGATCACATTGCATTAGTCGTATGTCTTGTCGACTATGATAATAAAGAAGATGCCGAGCACAATTGCACAAAAATGGTGCAAGAGTGTTTCAGGTGAGAAAAATTAAAATCCAATTTTTTTTTTTTTTTTTTTTTACTCATGACTTTATTAATTGCAAAATTATTTTATTTTTAAAACAGAAATTTCATTTATAATTTTACTATGAACAGAGAAATTAAATGATAAATTAATTTTATATTTGGAATTTATTGTAAGTTGAGATTACTTTTATTAAAAAAAAAATTAATGAACGAAAAAAAGATTTTTCTAATTGGATTTTATTGATATATTCTCTGATTTTATTATTTTTAATTGTTTTTTTCTTTTCAATAATTGTTATCATTCTTGGTTTTTCCAGTATAATAATTATCTCTAATTTTTTAATTTTATGATAAAACGAATTTTGTAAAATTTTCTTTTAGATAAATTTATTCATATATTTTGTTTTAAATCTTAAATTGGAATTTTTTAAAAAAAATTTTTTTTATAGATACTGCCTCGGATTACTTTTAAGTACATTGCGTTGTCAGGAAGAAGCGCGATTGAAGATTCAGTGTCAAAATTTATTGGCAGTTTCTCGAAAGCTTTTCATGCGATTAGGTATAAATGTTCTTCTCAATTGTTTATATAACCGCTTACGTATTTGATTCTCGATTAATCTGTAATAATTGTGTTGTCGATGAATAGGAGATTTATCAGACCTATTACGAGAAATAATGGCCGAGGCTAGAAAGTTAACGAATGCCGAACGTTGTTCTTTGTTTCTCTTGGATACTGAACAACAAGACTTAGTGGCTAAAGTATTCGATGGAGTTGTCACTGGTGAAGTACGTTTATTTCGCAATTTTCATTATTAAAAAAAAAAGGTTTTTTTTTTATAATTTTATTATAATTATTTTACGCTTTTTTTCCATTAAAAAAACATTGAAATACAATTTTTTTTTTTTTTACTAAAATGATCTTTATTGAAATAAGTAGAAAAACGTGAAAGAAATTAATTTTAAAATAAAATTTATAACTAGTAAAAATTGACGTTAGAATTGTTTTCTTTTTAGACAGTGAAGGAAATGCGAATTTCCCTGAATCAGGGAATTGCCGGTCATGTCGCGACGTCAGGGAAATTACTCAATATCCGAAACGCATATAGTCACCCTCTATTTTATCGAGGAATTGACGATGTAACTGGTTTTAAGACGAGAAATATTCTCTGTTTCCCTATTCGAGATGAGGAAAGAATAATAGGTAGGTTCATTTATAGAAGGAAGAAAAGAAAATAGATCCTCTATTATTTTTTTTTTCGCGTTTCTTTTCACGCTTGAATAAATAACAATAATAATGGAGAAAAAAAAAAAATAATATTTTAGGAGTAGCTCAACTGTGCAATAAAATGGATGGTTTATATTTTGATGTATTTGACGAAGAGGTTGCGACAGCTTTTAGCATTTACTGTGGCATTTCAATAATGCACAGCATCGTTTATAAAAAAATTCAAGACGCTCAAGCTAGGAATAAGCTCAGCAATGAACTTATGATGTATCACATGCAGGTAATTAACACAAATGCATTTTTGCAATTGGTATACTGGGTTCATTAAACAGATTAATAACACTTTTGTTTCTGCACTTTAAACTAACAACTTTGGTGAGAGCAGCAGGTAATTTTTCAAATATTTCAATTTTTTTTTTTCATTAATTTATTAAAATTTTCTATTATTATTTCAATTTTTTTTTATTGATTTTTTTTTTTTTTAAAATTTAAATATAAAGAATTTTTTTTAATTTAAACGATTTGATTTAATTTCTATATTTTGATAATGTTAATAATTTCAGACCTCGGAATGTTTTCTGACTTTTTTCGACTTATTTTAATGAGATGCAACTTTTTTTTGCGCTTTAAACTTGATCCGAGGTCTGTAATTTTTACGGTAAAAATGAAAAAACAATTTTTATTGAAAACTTTTGTTTTTGTATTAAAGAATTTTTTTTTTTTTTTTTTTTTAATTGAAAAAAATGTTAATTATGTAAAATAAAAAAAAAATTCTCTTTATAGGTAGAAGACGAAGCGGTTCAAGCGCTGCTAAATTGTAGGGACGATCATAATATCAAGGACTTTGACCAATTTCATTTTAGTCCTCGAAATATACCATATCGACACATGCCGTGTTACGTGCTCAAAATGTTCAGGGACCTAGGTTTTATTGACCATTGGAAAATTAAGAGAACTACCCTCGCAAGGTTAATTTCTAATTTTCATTTAATTTCTTTCAAAATAGACGATAAAATAATAAGTATTTTTGTTTTTGTTTTTTTAAAAATATTTTTAACAATTTTAATAAAATTTGTCTTTTTGGTAAAATTTTATTGTTTTTTAGGTTTATTCTTTATGTGAAGAAAGGATATAGAGACGCTCCATATCATAATTGGGTGCACGCATTTTCCGTCGCTCATTTTGCATATTTAATGATAAAAAATCTCGAATTAATTGGCGATCTTTATATGTCGCATTTACAGGCACTTGTTTTTCTTGTCTCTTGTTTGTGTCACGACATTGATCACAGAGGGACAAATAATTCATTCCAAACAAAATGTGGAACAGTTCTTGCTAGTCTTTATAGTTCCGAGGGATCAGTAATGGAGGTTCGTTTTTATTTCGAAAATTTATTTTTTTCGTTAATAAATTTCTAAGTTTTCAAAAAAAGGTGGTTAATGTTAAAAAGGAAAAATTTAATTTCAGAGGCATCATTTAGCTCAATCGATGTGTATTTTAAATACCGAGGGATGCAATATATTTGAGAGTCTCACGAGTGAGGAATATAGTGAAGCTTTAGATTTATTGAGAAATAATATTCTTGCTACTGATTTGGCTTCTCATTTTCGAAATGTTGATAAGCAACAAATTATTATCAGTAAAGGATATGAGAAGAACAATTTGGATCATCGAAAACAACTTCATGCAATGTTCATGACATGTTGTGATCTTAGTGATCAAACGAAAACATGGAAAGTCTCCAAAAAAACGGCTGTAAGTTGATAAAAAAAAAAAATTTAATTTTCATTCATTTTTTTATTTTTAAATAAAAATAGATTTCTTTTTTTTTTTATTGAAATAGAATTGTACAAGAGAATTAAAATTGAAATCACGAAGGAAATAATATTAAATTGATTTTTCAGGAGCAAATATACGACGAGTTCTTTTCTCAAGGAGATTTGGAGAAAAGCATGGGAACAGCACCTATTGAAATGATGGACAGAGAACGTGCCTCGATTCCAGACCTTCAAGTGCAATTTATCACGAATCTCGTCCTTCCCTTATTTACGTAAGTAAATTTTTTTTTTTTAGAATAGAGTTTTTTCTTTTTTATATTAAAAAAAAATTTTTTGCAGAAATTTGGCAACACTATTTCCATTGACACAACAACTTGTTAATGTAATAAAAGATAATCGTGAGGTGTGGAAATTAGTGAAATCCCTTTTTCAAAAATACAGCCAAAAGGGAACGACGGGTATGGATATTTTACTCGATCCTCGATTGGATGAGGAAATTGATAAGACATTTAATTCCCTCGTTGATAATTCCGAGGAAAATTCATCACAGGAAACATCAGATAATATTGAAACAACGCCCAAATCAAATGAATAGGCTAAACTTTTTTTTTTTGTTAGACAACAAAGCGACTCAAGGCTTCGTACTTAAGACGATTTTGTGCTTTTAGTGTTCATTGGAAAAATGAAAAAAAAAAGAAAGACTGCAGTAGCCGATGAGAGCATTCTATTTAAAAAAAAAAAAAAATGCTCGATTGGTGAATTCTCTAGTTTTCTACATTGTAAGCGCGTACCAATTTTTCAAATCATTAGCAAACAAAATGTGTGATTGAGTATTGTTCGATACAAGATTTTTAATTTACCCAAAAAAAAAAAAAAAGTGGGGCGCGCTTTTTTTTAGAACGCGGGCGTTCTTTAACTTTGATGGGAAAAAAAAAGTTCTCTCGACTTAAAAATTTCTATCAATTGTACCAATTTTCTATAAAATTGAGAGGCTTCACAAAAAAGGGAAGAAGAGAAAAAAATATCATTTTAGAGAGACGAAAAACAGTATTAACTCCTGATATTAGATCAGGAAATATCTTGCAATATATTTATATTTGAAACAAAAAAAAAAAAAATTTATAATTAGACAATAACGTAATTGAGCCAGACAATAGAATTTGTAAACTAGCTCAATAGTGTTTTAGAAAGTCAATCGAGTCAGCGGCGAAACTGCTTGTTGAAGAATTTAATTCCCTATTTAAAAAAAAAAATCCACTGCTATATTAAGTGAATGTTATTTTTAAAATTCTTAGTTTTGAAAAAACTAGGAAACATGCATTTTTTTATATTTGAAAACAAAAAAATGATTAAACAATTCCAATGAATTATCTATATATATATATATACAATTATTCATTGTGAATAAATCTTCAGTGAATTTATCAATAATGTATTTAAAAATACATATTTTAGAATTCTGTTTTTAAATTTTTAATTTAAAAAATTAAAAATCTTAATTTATTTTGCTAGATTAGTAAAGATTTTTTTTCTTTTCTTTATTTGAAAATTGTTTAATTGTGTTATATATGTTGTTTAAAAGGACGAAAGTCTGTTTTTAAATGTGAGTGTATATTTTTATAATAAGGAAAAAAAAATAATTAATGGCCATTATGGTAGACCATTGTAATTGTTATTGTTATAAAGCAGTTTATTTACCACGGTCTTCTTTAATAGTTTATTGTTACTCTGTATTTATTTCTATTGTTACAGTTCTTCCATTTATTACTATATTATCCCAAAATAGTGATAATTGGCATAAAAAAAAAAAAAAGAAAAAAAAGAAGAAAAAAGGAAAATAAATATTGGCTTTGTACCGCTTTCACTGAATTTTTCTCTTATTTATTATAGAAAAACAATTAATTTTTTAAAATCTAAAAACTATTCAAATTTTTAATCAACGCCGTCAAATCCAGCACAATTTTCAATGGCGAATATTAATTTATCCTTTAATGTTTCATAGCATTCATAAGGCGGCAATTCCAAACGATTGAAACTAAAATAAAGAAAAAAAGGAGTTATCTTTTAAATTTTAAAACAATAATAAATTAATGAATCTTCATTACCATGTATGAGATCTTGGTAGTGAATCAATTGTTCCGAATTTTTGTATAGAAAATAATAATGGACCATTGGTTCCATATAAATTTTTAAAACCATTCATTGGCACTTTTGATGATCCTGTGACAAATTGCAATAATTTTGCCCTCATATTATTATCAAAATTTTCCACAAGATTCCAAAAGAATTTGATTGTTTTATATTTTAATGAATATCCTTTTAAATAATTTGTATTTTTCTTCCAATCATTAACATCAATTTCCCTCGTTCCACAAATAAGTTTTTCTAATTCATTTTCAGTGAAAATTGCTATCGCATCTTTTGATATTAAATCATGAAAACCCTTTTGAAATGCTTCCAATTGGCCTTTCACACGACGAATAAATTTCCAATTTATAATATGTTCAATGTAAAAATCTTTATTTTCATTTGTCAATGACACATTTTTACCATTTGGTATTAATTCGACATTTACAATTTCACCTAAAATTTTTTCAGTCACAGTAAAATCTAATTCCAATTCAGCTGGATCATTTTGACAAATCCATTCGAGATTTTTATAATATTCTAAATCAACTTTTTCAATGTCCTCCAATGATATTTTTTTATTCAACAATGTTGTGTAAAATAAAGGAGAAAATGAAGCTGAATATGAAAAAAAATAATACAAATTAAATAATTTTTCCTAATTGAAAAAAAACTAGATAATAAAAAGAACATTGTTACTTACCATCAATAAGACTACCATGATAAAGTGACATTCCAACTATTCGTCCAATAAATCGAAAATATTCCAAATGATTATTTTGATATGATATAGAGTCAGGATTTATTTCTAAATAATTATTTTCTCTGAACAAAAAAAAATTCAACCATTGTAAAATTAATTTAATACATTAAAATTTTGGTAAAAACAATTTTTTTTTTATAAATAGAAAAACTTACTTTGAATTACATATAAAAAATCCATACTCAGGATTGAAAATCTCTCTTGATAAAAGACAAAACCATTCTCGTTTAACACCACCATAATCTAATCCAGGTTCTTCTTCGAAAGAAATCCACAATTTGGACTTTAATTTTTCCACCTGATCAATTGTGCTAATATAATGAAATGAATCTTCAAAAATGAAATTACGTCTTATTCGAATTTCAATATTTTCCGTAGCTACACTCTGCAAAAAAAAAAAAATGGCAATAATTTAATTATAATAAAATCTCTAATTATATTTCACTTCATTATTTTTTTTCAATTAATTAATTATTAAAACTTACTGATGGTTTTACTTGAGATCTGAAGATTTTTAATTTTCCATCATAACCCTTGAAAAAAAACCAATTATTATTTTAACAATGTAAAAAAAAATAGTAAAATAAAAATACTCACATTTGATTCCGTATCATTCTCCGGTTCTGAAAAAAAATTCTATTTACTTTTTTTTAGATTCTTTAAAGAATATAGAAAATTAAAAAGAAAAAATGTTTGAGAAATTTAATAATAGAAAAGTTATTTATAAAAAAAAAAAAAATAAACCTCCAGAAAGGATTCTTGGTCTCTCCATTCTTTGTCGTGTCTGAGATCTTCCTCCATGATTCAATAACTTGAAATTAAAAAAAAATAAGTTTCATAAAAACACAATTTTGTTAATTAATATTTAAAAAAATAATTTTAATTATTTACCTGTTCAGGATTATTGTATGGATGCAAAAAAAAATGATATTCTAAATAAAATAAAAAAGAAAATTATTTTGATTAGAAAAAAAGTTATCGAATTAAAAAATGTGACTAACCAATTAGCATAAGATAATCGTGTTGCTCAGAAGCAATTGTTCTTAATTGATTATTCGATGTTTTTCCAGTCAATAGAAAACGTAAAATTTTTAGTGTCTCCTGATAACTAATTGAAGGATTCAAATCATAGATCTATATTGAAAAAAAAAATCGGATAAATAAAAATAACTATTGTTTTATTTTTAATTGTTATTAAATTTTTTTTCAACTTAATTTAAATTTAGAAAACAACTTACATCCACTGGATTTTCATTTTCAATAAATTCTTGCCTTGCAGCTGAAAAAGAAAACAAAATATTAAAATAGAAAATTGTATTAAATTAAAAAAAATGAAAAATTACCTCTTCTTCTTCTTTTTGATTTTTTACAATAAGATACTTCATTGCCTTCTTCGTTTGAAGAATTTTCTTGTCTTGAATTTTCTGATCTAGATCTACATTTCTAAATAAAAATTTATTAATATAAATATTTTTTTTTTTAAATTATATATTTTTACATTGAAATGTAAAATTAAAAAATTAAAATTTTTACCTGATTTTCTGATTGTTCATTTATATTTGATGTAGAATACGATTTTTGACAATTAGAATTATTTCTTTTATTACAAGATCTTTTTTCAGTTAAGTCATTTTTAATTTCACTTTCATCCTCAACTAAAAAACTGTTTATTATATTTAACTGAAAAATTACAATAAATTTTATATATATATATCAATATATTAATTCAATGTGTTAGAAAAATTACAAAAATTCTTAAAAACTACTTACTGATTCTGCATCATGAGAATTTGAACTATTTCCCATTTCTACTCTTTCCTCTGTAATTTATCAAAAAGAAAAAAAAAAATAAATAATTTCAATAAAAGTAAAAAAAAAACGAAAAAATTAATTTAAAATTTGTTTTCCCGGACCTAATAAAACAAATAATTATTTTATCTGTACTTACTTTATAAACACTATATACACTGGTCAAGTTTTTCAAATATACAAAATACAAATACAAAATTTACATAAAAATGGATTTATTTTTTTTATACTATCAAAGTATAAATATTAGAATAGTTAAAAAATTACATAATGCATAAATAAGTTAAAATTACAATCTAATTATAAATTTAACAATAATAATAATAATAATAATATAATAATAATAATATTAAAAAAGTAAAAAAAAAAATAAATTAAAAATTCGTACCATGACTGTATTTCATTTTTTTTCTTGATATATTCAGCTCATTTTGATTGCTTGGCACTTGAATTCTTATTGTTAATGGTGATTGTAATTCTGGTTGTTCTCTGGTTGCTGTTAAAAGTGAATATAATGGTTGTGATGAGCTGGCATCCTGTAAAAATTGACAATTTTAACGCAAGAATTACTCAGCAAAAAAATTGTCAACTTTTACAGTTATAAAATTAAAAAAAAAAATGAACAAGAAACATTTTAAAAAAAAATAATATATACCTGTACAAAAAAAATTCCCAAATTAGGATTTAAATGTCGTAATGTGCAATATCCACCGCATTGAAATTTTCCCGCATCAATACGAAATTGAGCAATATTTATCCAGGGATTTATTCTAGTTGAATTTTCATGATTCAAATTCTGTAATTTTAATTTATATATATATTAAAATTAAATTAGAATACCTAATTAAAATAAACTTTAATATTGAAATAAAGTAATTAAAAATTTAAATATTTTTAAATTAAATTTTAAACATATTTTTTAGTTAATTAATGATAATTTCTAAAAATGATTAATTTAATTTTTCTACTCACGCATCGATGATTATTCGACGAAGGCACTCTACTTCTAGTAATATTTGAATCTAAAAAGAAAAAAATATTAAATTTAAAATAAATAATTTAGAAAAAAAAGAATAATTCATAACTTTGACAAAAATAAATTTTGTAATTAATTTGAAAGAGGAAATATTTGTAATTTAAAATAAAACTTACTTTGTGCATTGGGTTGATTATTATTTAAATTATGTGATGTTAAACTATGATCAGCTACTTGAGCATGAGATGACAATGATCCATCCTAAAATTATAATAAAAATAAATATTACTTTTAATTGTATTAAACGTTAATTATAAGCAAAAAAAAATATTAATTTACTTCAAAAACAAAATTGTTTTAAGAAATTTTCAATATTGAATAATACAAAATTATTTTTCTACATTATTTTAAATACTATAATATGTAAACACAATTTTTAATTACACTATCATTAAGACATGACCTGAAAATATTTGTCATTGTTTATTTTATAAAAGTAACAACAAACTTGTAATTAATATGAAACAACTATTATAACTCTAATTTTTAGTTCAACTTTAAAAATCAAAAATAGAAAAATTTTCATATAAAATATAATCTTTTTTTTCTATTAATTTTGTTTCGTTTCCATAATACATCATTAGAAACAAATTTAAATTTGAAATATCCAAATAGAAATGGGGAAATTCCGTTAATTAGTTCGTTTGAATTTTCATAATTTGAAAAAGTTAAAAATATAAAATAAAATTAAAAAAACAAAAATACATTACCTGTTGAATTTTTAATTCAGAATTTTCTGATTTCTTCGTTGATGAAAAATTATTTTCCTTTAATTTATTATCATTTGGAATTAAATTTTCATCTGGTATATTCTGAAATATTGTCAAATTATAATTATTATTTACTCAGATCACAATATTAATAGTAATATGAGAAAATTATGAAATTAATTAAATTTCCATAAAGTTCTATAATTTAATTAAAAAAAAAAAAATTTTTTATATCCTCACAGTATTCATTTTTCACACACAAATTATAAAATTAAAATTTTTCACAACAAAAAAATAAATGGTTTCTTTAATATTAAAAAAACATGATAAGTTTAAAAGTGTCAATATTAAGAGAATGTTTAACACAACATTCTAGAGGTGCCAAACGAAGTGTCTTTCGTTAAAGTCTTTTCAAAACTGAAAGAATTCTTATCTTTTCTGAACCATATTCTAGGATCATTACCAAGAAAATAAAATTCAACCCCCCTCTAAAATTTAATATATATACCTACAACTACACTAAAGAATAGTTTGTTTCAAATACGTATTATTATTATTATAGTAATTATTTCTCAAAATAATGTCAATAATTATAATTACAAATTTAATTATAATTGTATTTCATATAATTAATAAACAATTATTTTATTAAGTTTAGTTTTAAATATTATTTAAATTTAGAAAAAAGTTTATTTCGAAATTTAATTTAATATTAATTAATAATTAATAATTAATAAGTATTTTAAATATTTATTAAACAAAATTTTAAATAAATTAAAATAAAAATTTCTTTTTAAATAATATATTAAAAATTTTCTAACGATTCGTTTAATAATTCTTAAAATTATCTTAACGAAATATCTAAGTTTTGTTAAAGATAAGAATAAAGATAAAATAATAGAGAACCCTTGAACAATTTAATATAATATTATATTTGAAAAAAGGGACATTTGAATAATTTTTTTTTTTATTTCAAATAAATAATTATTTTTTAATTTTTAATTAATTTATAACCCTTTTCAAAAGATTTTATAGTCTTAAAAAAATTTTCCAATATTGTTTCAAATATTCTAAATTCTAATTTTCCTTGATTATATAGAATTTTGAAAAAAAAAAAATTATTTGTATTTTACTTTACCAGCGTTAATTGTTGTTGTTTCCTGGAATTTTCATGAGATTCAAATTTTCTTAAGAGTTATACATGTCTTAAAATTTTTAATCTTTAAATCGAAAAGGAAGAAAAATTATCTTCAAACTATATCTCTGCAAAAATATATACCTACGGTCAAAAGGCAAAAGGAAAATATGCTTTTCCTCCTTCCACGAAATGGTACATCATTAAGGATTTATAAGGCATTGGTTTATGGCTGATAATTTTTGGCACAAAATTATTCCTCGAAAAACCTATTCACAAGAAGAAGAAGAAGAAGGAAAAACGCATTAGAAGATGCAAATTAGACTATGTATAATTGCTTTCAAAAGAAAAAAAGGCTTAACTCATCTGACTTTTCAAACTTATATATTACGCTATAATTATGTCCATTATATGTGACCCGAAAACTTATAAAATTATAGAATATTTTAATATTTTACTAAAAATATTTAATTTTGACTAAAAAGATAAAAAAAAAATTAAAAAGATTTATTTTGAAAAAAAATTAAAAAGTGAATGAAATGACTGAAAACAAGTAGAAATCGTAGAAATTAATACCTGAAATTGGAGATCTTATCTCTTTTTGAACAATTAAAACAATTTTTTTTTTTTTGGGTTTTTCCTGCACTTGATAATCTCTTTTATAGAACTTAATCATAATTAATCTAAATCATCAAATTTATATATAAAAAAAAACAAATATATTTATTTGTCATATAAAATATTGTTGACTTTTTTTTTGAGGTTATATATTTATTTATTTTTTAAATTTAATTTTTGACATTTAAAATTAAAACCTAATTTACCGACATTTGATAAGCTTATCGACTAACGGTTATTTTTTTTCAAATAGTTCAATATATGCCCGCTATATTAGCGCTACGATAGACACAAACACATATATGACGTAGATGTCGCCAGAATTGGCTTTTTGAATGAAAAAGACGTTAATTCACGGCGAGTACACCGAAAAAGAAAGAGCGTGTTGGTACTTAGATAATTTGATTTTAATTAATTTAATTTTGTTTAATTTTTGTGCAATAATGTAATTATTAAAGTGTTTGTGTTTGAATCTCAAGGAAAAAACTATATAACATTTGTTTATTTAAAAATATATTACTTTTGCCCTTGTCGTTGTTTGTGGTGCGTGCTTGTACATTTCTGTTTCTAAAGTTTCTGCATTTATTTCATCTTAATTTTTTCCTTATCGCAGTGAGTAAATCATTCTTCAAAGGTAAATAATTTTTTTTTTATGTTTTCAAACCTTTAAATTGTGTGAAATAAAGTTATGTTGCTAACTGACAACACAACCTACATTATTATAATATACGAGTTGTGACAGGCTTTCAGTTATAAATGGCCGTTGCATCCAGGCAAGCCTTCAAAATCCCGCTTAAAAAATTTACTAGTCTTTTTTTAATTTTTAAGCTCGACGCAACGATTTTTAGTATGTTTTTATGAAAATTAAAAAAAAACAAATAAATAATAATGGAAAAAGGTTATATTTAACATTTTTAAAAAATGTTTCGGGGAAAAAAAAATTTTTTAATGAAAATCTCCCGTGGAATGCTCCATTATATAAAATGTATATAAAATTTAATTTAAAATAAGACAATTGTTTATTTAAATATATAAATGTGATTTAATACAAAGTTTATTAGCTCCAAAATGAAGTGTTTTTTTGTAGGGTTGTTTATTTTAGACTAACACATAGAAATTATAAACAGGAGCTGGAAACAAAATAAATTTACTGTTTCAGAAATTAAATTTATTTTGTTTCCAGCTCCTGTTTATAATTTCTATGTGTTAGTCTAAAATAAACAACCCTACAAAAAAACACTTCATTTTGGAGTTAATAAACTTTGTATTAAATCACATTTATATATTTAAATAAACAATTGCCTTATTTTAAATTGAATTTTATATACATTTTATATTTTAAAATATATTTTATTATTCTAGAATAAAGAAGTAAAATACAAAAATTTATGTTAAATACATACTGCAAAGTGAATAGTTTTCATTTTGTTGATTTTTTAAAATAAGCGGGCTAAATAGCCAAAATCCCGTATTTCTCCCGCTAAAGGGCTAAATTCTTTTAATATTAAAAAACGAGTGTTAAATTATTCTTTTTGAAAATTGCTTTGCTTATGATTTTTTTTTTTTGAAATTTTATTGCATTTACAAAAAAATAAGGTGTTTTGTTTTATTTTTGGTATTGTATGTTTCCTGGTTTTATTTCCTATTATATATATTTTTTGATCACTTTCTCATAAGTTCTTTTGGGAATGTAATAATTGATAAATGTGTTGCTTTTTGAAAATAAAATTTTTTGTTTAAAATTAAAAAAAAAAAAAAAAAAAGTCGAATTATATTTTAATATAAATAATAATTTCTGATTTTCTTTTGGAAATCAAAAAGATTTCCACAATGGCAGGAGGATGGACGAGGGGCAAAATCTTGGAAAATGTATTATCGGATGTGCAACATATAATTAAAAAAAAAGAAGAGATATCATTATCTATCAAGGATTCTTTAAGTGAAAGTTTAGATAAAATAAATGCCTTATTTGCTGAAATAAAAGAATCGTCATCTAAACCACTTCTTCCAAAGACACCAAAGGCAGTGAAGAAAAAAAATCTTAAACGTATTGAAACAATACCAGAAGATGATTTAGTGGAAATTGATAATTATACAGTGAAAAAATTAGTTGAAAAACAATCAGAAATTCTTGATGATGCACCTTCTGGAATAAGACGAAAATCAAAAAGAGAAGCCTCAAAAAAAGCAGTCGATGTTATTAAACAACAACAATCAACAACATTGAATAGTAAAATGCGAAGACCCAGTGAAAATAATGATAGTACACGATATAGCAAGGTAATTATTAAAAATTTTTCCAAAAAAAAAACGTTTTATTTATATATGTTTTATGCAGAAAAAAATTTGTTTTTTTTCCCCCAGGCTTCTTCACGTGACAGTCAAGCAAAACGAACTCGTTCATTGAGCAGCTCAGATGAAGAAATTTCAATTCAACCGAAGAAACAAATGAGAAATGAACCTCGACCTAGTACAATATTGACAAGAAACAAAATTGATGAATTAATATCCAGTTCGAATGAAGAAGAAATAATTCAAGTTCCACAAAAGAAATTATCAACAATTAAAAGAAAAATCAATAGCACAAATTCACGTGCGTCAAAGAAAAAACGTTCAACATTAAGTGATGAACCTGAATTAAAAAAAGCAAACATTATTGATGAAACAATTGATGGCTCATGTCCCGATGATACAATTGAAGCTTCAATGTATGAAGATGCAATTGCCAAAGCTGTTCCAATAATGAATTCAACAATGAGAAAATCATTAATTGTAAATCAAACTCATATTATTTCAAAAAAATCATCTCTCAATTCTCATACACCGACAACATTACAAATTGGAAATGAAACACAAACATTTAATAATACTTTAAAACATCCAACAATGAATTTAACCGTTGTACTTGATAATTTCAAAAAAGTTGTCAATGATACAATGACAATAACAGAAAATAGAACATCAAATGGATCATTGCAGGAGGAAACAATTGTTCTTACAATGAAGAATAAAAAAAATTCATCTCCATTTACTATTCCTACATCAATTCCTCGTGTTGCATTAACAAAAATGAAATCAATAAATGAACAAAATTCATTGATAACTGACGATGAATCATCGCCAGAAAGAAAATTGCCAAAAGAGAAAAAAATTAAAAAAAATAATATTGAAGATAAACCAAAACGAATAACAAGATCAAGTTTAATGAGTGATGATGAAGTTGATTTAACACCGGGAAGAAAAATTCTTGGCGAAATTAATAGTGAAAAAAATCAAGAATCAAAGAAAAATAAATTAACAAAAAATACATTATTCAGTCCATATGCTAAGGAATCGGTTAAAAAGAAAATTGAAGCATTTGAACAAGCTGGACTATTGAATCCAACTGTTGAAATTGAATCGGGAATGCGGCTAACAAGAACAAAAACACGTGCTCTTGCCGCTGCTAATGATAACGATCAAAGTACATCAACAACTTCGATAACACAAAAATTGGCACGTAAATCACTTGCCAAGGCAAAACAAATTTCACGCGCAAAGGACGCAAAGGAATTTGAAGACAACACTAAAGAGGTAAGAAGTTTTTTTTAATCTTTTTTTTTTACTATTTAAGTAATTTTTATAAAAAAAAAAAAAAAATTTCTTTTAGAATCCTAACAATTCGAAACTTCCCACAAATGATAAATTAGTGCAAAAACAACAGCAGAGAACAACTCCAAATTCAAAGAGTCGTCTTCAAATGCCGTCTTCTATTACTCGAGGAGGATTCACAACACCATCTAATACACAATCTCTTTCTAGTGTATGTTTTAAATTTCATAATTATTATTTTAATAAAATAATCCTTTTCTCTACTAGATAAAAAAAAACATTAACAAACAATCAATTGAATTTATTTATAAAGAAACAATTTTTAAATAAATATTTTGTTTTTCTTTAAAGAAATGAAGTTGAAATTTTTTTTTTCTTTTTTAGTATTCCAAGCCAATGACTGGATCGCGCACAAATATTGTGACAAATGTGGACAGTTTTATTCAAGTTAAAAGTTCCGCTCAGAAGCCAAGTTCAAATGATAAATTAATGGAAGAGAGAAAGAGAAGACAACAGGAGGAAGATGCAAGGAAAAAACGTGAAGAGATATTAAAAGCTCAAATGGAAGAAAAGAAGAGGTTTTTATTAAATTTTATTTCTCGAAACAAGATAGGGTCAGCCGGGGTAAATCCGAACGCTAATTATTTCAGCTTATTTAAAATTTTTAAAAATAAGTTCGATATGAGAATTTTTACCTCAGATCCTCTTCAAGAGATTCTAAGTATTATCCCATTTTTCGTTTGTTAATTAGCAACAGCATAAACAAAGATAACGAGTATTGCAAAAAAGATTGAAAATCAAAGATGACACTCTTTCAGTATTTTGTCTCGTATATGAAGAAAAAGAAGCTAAAAATTTATTTTATTATTTATAATTGTTTGTTATGAATACTAGAACAGAAACTATTTTTCATTTTTGCCTTCTGTAAAATGTTATTAATAATATCTGACCGTTCGTATTTACCCAGGAAAATTGGAAAACCGGGGTAAATCCGAACGGTATTTTCAATAATTTTTTTTTACATCAGAGCCACACAAAATTGTTTTTATTTCATTACACTATTATTTTAACATTATAAAAGTACATAGAAAAAAGTTTTTCTTTCTATACGTATCCTCGTTAGTAATTAATAAGCAGAAACTTAATCTCTGTTCTCTCGAAGGAGTGTTTCAATTTTTTTGCCAAATGGTTTGTTGAAAAAAGTTTTTCAGGATCTTAATAAAATTTGGTATTCTACGGTTTTTGGGGTCGCTAATTACCAATTTGAAGTCAGTTTTTCAAAATTCAAAATGGCGGACGAGAATTAAAAAGTTCATTGGATTCGCTCGAAAATTGTTACTCGGGGGGTTTCAGGGTTAGCAAATTTGATCATTTTTAAAAATAAGTTTTAGGAAAGTACGCCATTTTGAATTTAAAAAATTTGACTTTTATTTTTGTATTTACATTCAATCACTCCAAAATACTTTCTGTACCAAGTTTTGCAAAAATCCGTTATGATTTGATAAAGTTATTGAAGGTTTTAATTGTGTAATGCATTTTAATTTTTAACCTGTTTGATTTTTGTATTTATATATGATGCATTATTACATAATAGGTTTATTATCGTATTTTTTTTGAGTTTTTATATAAGTTTAACAATTGCAATACTTTAAATTTATTTTCTCTAAGATTTTTCTGAAATACAGTGGCGTTCGTATTTACCCCGGTATTTTAGGAAAGTTGCAAAGTATCGAGGTAAATACGAACGCTAAGTTTCCTGCGATTGTAATTTATCAAAAATTTTTGCTACCCCATAAAATTGTTCTATGGAAGTAAAGTAACAACTTCATGCACCAGAATACCGGAAGTATTTTTTTTTTTAAAGGAAAAACTTATGTTATTGTTGAAACTTACTAAAAGCGTTCGGATTTACCCCGGTTGACCCTATAATTTTTTTTTTTATTAATATAATTTTACTTTCGATTTTTTCTTTTATTTTTTATTTAATATAATTTGCATTGTTTTTTCATTACTCTCACAGAAAACGTGAAGAGAGAGAACATAAGAATCGTCTTGCAAGGGAGGCCAAAGAAAAACAGGAAGCAGAAAGAAGATTACAATTGGAAGAAGAGAAAGCTGATAAAGAGAAGAAATTGTTACAATTACAAGAGATGCAAAGAATTGAAAATGAGAAGAAAAAATTGGCTTATCAAAAACGTGTTTTGGTATGGAAATTTTGTTTTTAAAAACTATTTTCTTTATTGAAATTGTTTTATTTATTACTTATTTAATAATTTACCAAAAAAAAACAATTTAATTTCTATTTTTTTTTAGGAAAAGGAAGAAAAGCGTAAACAAGAAGGAGAAATGCGTTTACAACGTTTACGGGAACAAGAAGAAACTGAGAAATTGTTGGCTGAGCAAAAACGTCGGGAACAAGAAATCGAGAAACGAAGACTTGCTGAATTAAAAGCCCAACAAGCTGAAACAGCAAAAATGAGAGCTCATTTGGCAGCAGCTCAAGCTAAAGTATTAAATTTAGTTTAATAACTCTTTTTTTTTCATTTCTCACTCAATTTTTCACTTAATTGATTTAATTATTTTAATGTTACAGAAACAAGCGGTACAGAATAAATTAATAAGCAGTTACAAAATTGATAGTGAGCCGGATAGTGATTCTGATGATGAGCAAAGGCCAAAACATGAAATTCCTACATGGGCTAAAAGTATAAAAATAAAACTATTACTTTTAAAAAGTTTTCAAATTTATTATTTAGAACTTTTATTAATTTTCTTTTAAATAATTAGTACTAATAAAAAAAAAAATAATTGATTTTTCTTTTTTTTTTGTAGCTTCTAATCGAAACAAACACTTGGAGATGCAACAATATATTCCAATGGAAGCGATTAAACAATTTTTCGATGTTAAAAAATGTACACCTGATTTATCCGAATTATTCCAGGGAATTGATAAAAGTCGATTGAAACGTACTTCGAGTGCAATTTGGAAGACACCACCTCGATTCTCAATGATGGCTTCAACCGATTGAATGGCTTATAAAATTTTCGTTGAAAAAAAAAGAAAAGAAAGAAAAGGACTTAAATATCCTTTTGTTAAAAACGCGAAACTTTTTTATTGTTTCGCAATTGATTTTTCTTGTTTACAGTATATTATTTTTATTTTACGTTGAGAAATGTCAAGATTTCTTTTTTTTTTATATATATAGCATCGTGTAATCAAAGTTGCTTGAAAAATTGCTAAACTTTTTTTTTTACTTAAGGTTACTTTTTAAAAAATTGTTTTTTTTTTCTTTTAAAAATATAATTGCATGCTTTCACTTATTTTTTTTTTTTTTTATCAATTTGATATTCTCATTAAAATTTAATATATTAAAAAAAGACATTTTTTTAAAAATTAAATTGTGTAAAATGAAAATTTGAAGGTAGCAAAATGTAATTTTATATATTTTTACAATTGAAACAATGTATCTAGAATTAATTTGTTTCTCAATATACAATTATTTTTGTTATTAAAATTTAGTAAGCGATTTAGCGATTCACATTTTTTCAGAAGTTGGAGATTTTTAATTTGGGGGGGGGATGTTTCTTATTTATTGAATGTGATCGATGAAAATGCATTTTAAAATTTCGATTTAAAAACTTATATTTCACTTCTGAAAACAATTTCATATTTATATCTTATTTTTAACGCTTCTTATAAATTAATTTAAAAAAAAAAAAAAAAAAATTATTTACAAAGAATAGAAAAAAAGCTACTCACGTGCTTTCTAGAATTGAGAAAATTTCTGGGATTTCAACGCATTTAAGTTCATCTATCTTTAAATAATTGTACACTGAAATCTTAATATTTAGATATAAAAATCAAATATTTAAGAACGTCTAATTTTTTTTTTCTAATTAATTTTATTTCATTAAGAGTTCAATAAAAAAAAAAATTAACCAAATTTTTGCTTTCTTTTTAATCTTGAATTTAAAAAAAAAAAAAAAGTTTTTTTTTAAAGAAAAACAAATTTGTTCTGTCATTTAAAGTTCATTTGAAACTAAAGGAAAGATTTAGATAAATAGAAACTTGGTCTACAAAAAAGTAAGTAGAAAAATCTAATAAACTTTTAAATGAAAGAAAATAAAAATTGGACTAATTTTATTTTTTTTCCCCTTTTGTTTCAGAAAAAGAAATAATTCTAAACTTACATATCCTGTTGAATTATCTAAAATGTTCTCATTTATGTTAATGGATTGATTTGATTTATCATCTGTCTCAAAAGACAAGGATTGTAACTGACGGTCCAAAAACATGTTCTTTTCATCTGTAAGTTTTTTCATTAATTCAACTTTTTCCCATTTTTCTTTCTCTAATTTCACACCACCTTGAAGAACCTTTAATATTTTTACCAGAGAGTTTATAATTTTTATAAATAAAAAAAAACAACAATATTCTTTAAAATTCGAATTTTTAAAAAAATAATTAAAATTTTTTTTCGCTACCTTCACGGTGGTAAAACTTGCCGATTTTTTCACTTCCGGTGGTAATTGATAATTAGTAAAATAATTTTGAACAGGAATATTCGGTAAAATTGGTGTCCAAGGTTTAAAAGTTCCCAATGTTGAAATATATCGACCACTCAATGTCCAAAGTTTAATTGTTTGATCAGAGCATCCACTGAAAAAAAAAATACCTCAATTATTGTGTAAAATTAAAACTTTTTTGTACACAAAATTGTGATTTTAATAATAACCTTATAATTATTCGAGCTTCTGGTATTAATTGAATAGAATTAATCGATTGTTTGTGTCCTCCAACTGATGTCAATAAAATAGGAAGTGGTTGATTTTTAACAGCTCTTTTTGCCCTTCCATTAATTCTATCCTTCCAAAGAAATGGAAATTCAAGTCTTAATTCACACATATTAATTTTCGGTGGATTTGGTAGCATGTAATTTTTTATTAACCAAATTTTTATATATCCTTGCTTATGTCCTGTAAATTAGATTTTTTTTTTTTTTTTTTTTATCGAAAAAAAGGAAAAACTAGCAAATTTTTCAAAAACCTGTTATAAGAAATTCATTTTTTGGATCAGTTGCCATTGATGTGACAAAATCTCCATATTTATGAATTGCTGAAAATGCTTCCAAAAAACCAGCACCAGGATGATGGGTCCAAATTTGTATCAAACCAGATTCAAGGGCAACCATTAAACTTCCAATATTTGTTGCCATTGTTCTTGAATTTAAAAATAAAACACCAGTAACTCCAACTGGTCTCATTGTAATTTCTTCAATGGATTTTTGATATTTTTTTTTGACAATTTTTGATTTACTAAAGGAAAAAATTTTTTTTTTTTATTAAATACAAGAAATTAAAAAAAAAATAATGAAAGACGTACTTTTTTGTAAAATATGAATCTAATTTAACTGTCGCATTTTTTCGAAAATCGATAACATTCCTGAAAGTAAAATTAAAATTAAAAATAAATATTTTTATTAATATTAAAACAGGTATTATTTTTTTTGCCTTCCAGTTGGATTATTAGCGAGATAAATTCTGTACGGCTGGCCAGTTTCTAATCGCCAAAGAATTATTTCTCCATTATAAGATGCAGTCACCAATGCTTGAGAATTTCGTATTGAAAGACAAGTAATATCCTCAGTGTGTCTAATTTCCCAGGATTTTTTAAAAATTCCAAGTTCAGTTTCTGTAAATTCAGTGATTACACGATTCCAACCGACGCTGAAAATTTTCTTCTCATACCACGCGAGTCCAGTTATTTCACTGTTTATTTTATTTTTCATTAAAAAATAAGTTTCAAAAAATTTTTTTTTTTTTTAATTTTTATACCTATTTGCTTCGGACATCATTTCTCGAATACAATTTCCGGTATTAAATTGCCACAGTTTTATTGATCCATCTCTTGCTCCGGTCACTAATAATTGTTCTGTATCATCAAAACAAGCAGCTGTAATTTCAACATTTATATTTTCTCCATTTTTCAATTTTCCATGCGCTTTTGATATAAAAGACACTCTTTTTCCAAGCCATGGATTCCAAACTGTTATACAAGAATCTAAATCTGTTGATACAATCTACAAAAATAAATATAAAACTCAAAATTAATTTAAATTAATTTAAAAAAAAAAAAAAAAAAGTACCACTTGAAATAAATTATTATACAGCACACAGGAAATTGATTTCGTGTGAGAATAACCGTCAGAAATATTTTTATCTATTATTTTTCCACAGGAAAGAATTACTATCATTTGATTGGCAATAATCATTTTTTTTGTCATATGATTAAATATTGCTGTAATTGAAGAATTATTTCCCAATTCTCTCGGCAAATTGTTGTAAGTCTAAAGAATAATTTTCTTTTTAATAGTATAATTTTCTCAAAAAAAAAAGGGAAATTAAATTTATTATTCGTAAAGCAAAATGGTGACCTGCATGCAAGATTGAGAAAAAACATTAAAAACTTTAATACATCTATCCTGTGATAGTGAAAAAATACAATTGCCGTGATTTTGAATAAAAATAGCCGAAATTGGAGCTTGATGACCGTAAAAAATAATTTTTTCCTTCTTTGGAATAAATGGATTCCAAACTCGAATTACAAAATCAACACCACCTGTCACTAAAATCTGACTTTCTTTAAAGAAAAAAAAAAAAAAAATTTTATTTAGAATATGAAAAAAAAAGATTAATTTTTAATTTCTCTACCTTCGCAAAAACAGAAACAATTTATTCCTTTTGGTACATTGAATTTATAATTTGAATTGACACTATTTGGATTTAAAACTATCAATGAGTTCTCCGAACATTTACTACAGGAAATAAATGACTTGAGACTTTCATAATAAGCGACTTGAGACACCCAATTGCCGTGAATATTATTGAATTCTCTAATTTTTAAATTATCTACTTCTCCCTTTCCAAAAAAATAAAAATAAAAAACAAAATTAAAAAACTTACCAAAAATGTTAATATTAAAAAATACAAAAAAAACGAATTTTACCGCAACAATCGCATTGTATTGAACTTGAAGAACATCTTGTTTAGTAAAATGTTTAAAAGGTCCTTTATCTATTGAAGAAAAAGAAAATATTTTTACTCCTCCATTCATGTCGCCCAAAATAATAATTGATTCCTCTTGTAAATTTTTACTAAAATAATAATTCATCCTCACTATTGCTGAATCAAAATGAGTTATCTGTATAAAAAAAAAATAAAAAATTTTTAATTAAATTTTTTTTCTAATTTAATAATTAAATTTCCTACCATTACACGAAGATCAAATCGATTTCCAACTGTATCGTAAAATCTCAAATCTCTTTCAACTGAACTTGTGCAAACAATTCCAATATCCGGCATTACAATCATGTCAGTTATCATTGTCGTTTGAAATTTCATAAGAGCTGAAAAATAAATCCCCATTTTTCAAAAAAAAAAAATAAATAAATACAAAAAAAAATCAATTTTTTAAATAATTTGACTAACGATTTGAAGATTTTACACTTCGTTGATATTTTAAATCAATAGACCAATAATTTATGTTTCCATCTTTGCTTACGGTTAAATAACATCCACGTAAAAAATTCCAATTTCTATTCTATAAATTCGATTATTTTTTAATTGTTCAATAAAAAATATTTAAATAATTAATTATTTAATTTTTAATTACAGAAAGAATTTCGGGACAAAAAATTATTTTACTAATTGGATTTCGATGATGACTTTTTTTTATTATTGGATTATCAGTTATTGGCGGATCCATTGATTGCCAATAACGTGCAACATCTTTGCATTTCATTTCCAAAAGTAAATAAGAAATAAATTCATCCCATGTTACTAATTCGTCATTTTTTGCATTTATCTAGAGAAAAAAAAAGCAATTGATTAATTTTTTTCTTTTATGAGTAATTTTTTTTTAAAATATTATTCTCAACCTTTTTAAAAATAATGTCAAATTCCTCATCGTTCAAAAAAATATCAAGTATATTTTCAAAGGCATTTTTTAATTGAATTTTGTCCATTATTTTCATTTCCGAATCCTATGGATATTTCAAGTTTTTTTTTTTATTTACAAAAAGAATAGTTTAACACTATAATAATAATTACCATGAACGCTTTTTTTAATACAGTTAACGATTCTTCGGTACATTGTTCTTCAATATTCTTTTTATTAAAAAATTGTAAAAATTTTTCTTGAATACTAAAATTTAATTTCGAAATTAAATTTTAAATTAAAAAGCAAGTTTTTTTTTAATGACATAATAATTTTTCGTCAACTAACCTTGAATCATATGAAGAAATTTGATAATTCATTTTGATTTACGCTTATAAAATTTCTCGAATTTAAATTTCTTTTTGCTCAATTCTAATTATTCAATATAGTAAAAAAAAAGTAACACAATAGAATAATAAAAATTTAATTTAATCAAAATTTTTACCCTTTTTGAAATAAAATATTTTTAAAATAAATGACTAAATAGAAAAATGAGACATCTTGAAAAAATTCGATCAAAAATTGGAAAAATTAACATTCTTGAATTTGGATAATTGAATAAGTTATTTAATTTAATAAAAATTAAGTAAAATAATTTTTTTTTTTTATTTTTTTACATCGATCTGACATTATTAATTTCTCAGTGACGAAAATAATCAATAAAATTGTCCACCACGTAAGCGAACCATAACAGGTGTATTAGTAGGTTCTCGTCCACCTGTCCTTTGTATATGTAACAGTAGAATAGTTTTTTTTTTTTGATTCGTAACTGCAGGAAGCAAAACATAAAAAAAAATGTCAAGAAAATTTATGGAAGCACTTTTTCTATTTAGAAATAGAAGATATGAAGAAAGTATTGTATTATGTACGGAAATTTTAAAAGAAACACCTCTCGATAAGGTAAGATTATTATTAATTTATTTTTAAAAAAATTTACAAAAAAATACAAATTAATTTTTATATTTATTTTTTAAATAAATATTTTTTTTTAGGCAACTTGGGTTTTAAAAATGCGAGCTTTAACATTATTAGTTTATGTGGACGATATTGAAGCTGAGGAAGAAGGAATTGCGGATTCTGTTTTAGATAATCCTGCAGTTGCCACAGCTCCTAGGCCAGGAACTTCTTTGAGAAATCCAGGAACTGCAATTCCCGGTCAAGCATTTCGGCCAAGAACTACAACTGGTTTGCATTATAATTTATTATTTTTTTTATTCGTAAAATATTTGAAATTCATTCAAAGTGGATTATCGAAAAACTTTTTTTTTTTTTTTTCTTTAAATTTGAGTTTATTATTTATTATTCAATAAACCGGAAGTGTCCCTTCGATTTAACAGATATATTTTTTTTTCTAATAAAATTTTATTAATAAATAAAAATAAATTATTATTTATTAAATTACAATTTTGATTTTTAAAATTCATCATTTTTGTTAAACAAAAAAAAACATTTTTATAATAAAAATTTTCCGATTTTTTATACGAATTAATTATCTTTTTTTTATGTTAAAAAAAAAATGAAAATATGTAAATGAATGTTTTTAAGGAAGACCTCTTACTGGAGTAATTCGTCCCGGAACTCAATCGGGATCGGCACAAAATCTCGAACAGGCTTTACAAACACCTAGAACTTCAATGTCAGCAAAACCAATTACTGCCAGTTCGGGGCTTAATATCAGGTGAAAAAAAAAAGAAAAAAATTATTCAAATATTAAAATTTCTTATCGAAATGTATATAATGAAAAAAAAAAATTAATTTAGACTTGGAACTGCCTCAATGTTAAGTGAACCTGGCGGTCCATTTATTCAATTATCTCGGCTTAATATACCAAAACATGCCAAAGATATAACAGTTGCTAAACCTTTATTTGAATATATTTACTATCACGAGCGTGAGCCAACAATTGTAAGTTTTTTGTCTATTCTATATTATTTCAATAAAAAAAAAACCAAAAATTATTTTTTTATTTATAAAAAAAAAATGCACAATTTACTTTGTTTTATTGTAATTAAATTTTGAAAAAAAAAATCACAGGCTCTTGATTTGGCGGTGAATGCAAATAATTTCAAAGAATCAAAAGACTGGTATTGGAAAGTGGCAATGGGAAAATGTTATTATATTCTTGGCTTGACGAGAGATGCCGAACAACAATTTCGTTCAGCATTAAAAGATTATAAACACATTGAGACACTTCTTCGATTAATAAGAATTTATATAAGACTCGATCAACCATTGGCTGCATTGGATACATGCAAAGCGGGATTGGAATATTTTCCAAAAGATGTAAATTAATTAATAATTAATAAACTATTAATATTAATACAAAAAAAAAAAATTGAATATAAAAATTTCTTTTTTTTCCCAAAGGTTTCAATATTAACAGAAATGGCTCGTCTTTATGAAGGCTTAAATAATTCATCATTGTCAATAAAATATTATAAAACAATAATTCAAGAAGACGCTTCTGATCCAGAGGCTATTGCAAGTATTGGAATGCATTATTTTTACAATGATCAACCGGAAGTAGCACTTCGATTTTACAGGTATATATTTTTTTTCTAATAAAATTTATTAATAAATAAAAATATAAATAAAAAAAAAATGTATTAATAAATTTATTATTTAAGGAGGCTTCTTCAAATTGGTGTCTATAATACCGAGCTTTTTAATAATTTGGGTCTTTGTTGTTTTTATTCACAACAATTTGATCATACAATTTCCTGTTTCGAGAGAGCTATTAATCTTGCAACTGAAGAAACAATAGCCGATGTTTGGTACAACATTTCTCACGTTGCAATAGTAATAATAATAAATAATTTTTTCATTCAAATTTCTCTTGAGTATAAAATTAATTGGGGGTTTTTTTTTTTAACAGTCAATTGGAGATTTAGAAATGGCTGACGAAAGTTTGAGATTGGCAATAAATGCCGACAATAGACATGCATTGGCCTTTAACAATCTTGGGGTTTTGGAAATTAAAAAAGGACATTTAACTGCCGCTGGAACATATTTTCACGCGGCTGCAAATATTGGTACATTTTCATATGAACCAAATTTCAATTCAGCGTATCTCGCCTTCGAAGTGAGTAAATTGTATTTTTAATTTAAAATTGAATTTAAAAAATAACTAATTAAATAACTAATTTTTAAAATTTGTTTTTTTTTTGTTTTAGACAGGAGATCTTCAAACGAGTTTTAATTATGTGAAAAAATCGTTGAAAGCCTATCCAGATCATCGTGACAGTCAGGAACTTCTTAAAAAATTAAAGAGATATTTTGCATACATTTAAAAAAAAAAAAATTTTTGTTTACTGAAAATAATTTTTTTTTTTTTATGGTAATACTTTATTTGACATTCAATTCGATTTTATACACACAATATGTACAATATAAAATAATGGTAAAAATTTGGAATTGCTTTTTGAGAGAAAGAGAGAGAGACCTTCCACGAATTTTATGATTATGGACCGTATTTTCACAGCCATTTTTGTTAAATGGAAAACAAGACAACAAAATTTCATCAGTTTGTACTGTAATTTTTTTTTTTTTATATAAATATGTAAATATATATATATTATATAAAATAAACAAAAATCTTGCTTAGAAAATGGACTCATTGACAATATATAAAAATGGAGAAATTCGTAATAAAAATTACAGTATCAAATTCTAAGCTAAATTGAGAGTAAATTAAAGAAAAAATGTTTTTGAATACTTTTAAATAGAAAGAAATATCTGAAATATTCTACAAATTAGTATCGTTAATTACGATCAATATTTACTATATATATATATTGACAAATGACATATACTTAACGTGATTTTCGCGGAGCTAGAATCTTTCCGAAAATTTATTTTTTCAAAATTCCTTTTTGAAAATAATAATTTTATGTCGTGTGTGAAATTACAAGCCACGAGATTACAAAATAAAAGAGAAAAATTGGATAAACTGCCAATGCTTTTCTTCCATCAGGTTGACTATCACCGAGAAATGCCGTTGATGCTAAAATAATTTATATTTACACTTTTAATATTAATTTAAAAAAAAATTTTGTTTTATTTTCCAAAGAATAAAAAGAAAATTACCATATGTCGCCCATCCAAAACCAGTCATTGAAATAATGAATCTGATGACAAATCTATAGGGATTGTGATCAAACAAAAGAATAATTCTGCATAGTATCAATGCTATTGCTATTGGCAATAGACAATATCCTAAAACGCACACACTCTGAAATAATGATCTGTAAATAAACAATTTTTTTTTTTTATGAAATTTTCTCAATATATTTATGATTTCTAAATACATTTATAATATTAATTAAGTATTTGGGGCATTCTATTTTAAAATTATACCCCTAGTAAACAATTGACAATATAAGACATTTTTTAAATAATTATTTCTCCCATTTAATTAAATCAAATTACTTTTGCAATGAGTGTTTTCGAAAGTGAAATTTCTAAATTTTACAATTGTAAAAAAATTTTTTCAAAAAAACATTTAAATAGTATAAAAAATTTAGTTTGAAGGTTAAACTTGTAAATATCTCAAAACACGTTGTCTCCGATTTTGACAAAATCTGTGTCAAAAGAAAGCTTAAATATTCTATTTTTTATTTCCGTAAAGTTTATAATGGACATTTTCGAGGATTTCGAGAAATTAATTAAAATTCTCAGACGTTTCAAAGGTTAAAAAGGGTTGAAATTTGCATGAATAGAGAACCTCTGTTCAAATACAGCGGCATTTGTTTTTACGAAATTTTTTAAATAAATAAATTTTAAAACTTCAATTTTAATCTTAATAATTTTTTTAAATTTGAAAAATTTTTAATTGCAAATAGCTAAAGATCAATATATTTATTGTTTACAATATTTTTTTTCTCTAATGTCAAGTGATGTAATAATGTAAGGTTAATGGAAATTAAATTTAAAAAACAAAATCCGCTCTTAAAGAAATGGTTCTCCATTCATACAAATTTCAATCCTTTTTAACCTTTGAAACGTCTGAGAATTTTAATTAATTTCTGGAAATTCTCGAAAATGTCCATTATAAACTTTACGGAAATAAAAAATAGAATATTTAAGCTTTCTTTTGACACAGATTTTGTCAAAATCGGAGACAACGTGTTTTGAGATATTTACAAGTTTAACCTTCAAACTAAATTTTTTATACTATTTAAATGTTTTTTTGAAAAAAATTTTTTTTACAATTATAAAGTTTAGAAATTTCTCTTTCGAAACCACTCATTGCAAAAGTAATTTGATTTAATTAAATGGGAGAAATAATTATTTAAAAAATGTCTTATATTGTCAATTGTTTAATAGGGGTATAATTTTAAAATAGAATGCCCCATTTATTAAAAAGGAAAATATTTAGAAAAAAAAAACTCACATGTTGCTGCCTAATAATTTACTATTTAAAGTGACTACCATGGATCCAATCCACACTATGACAAAAACCTCGGCAAATTCAGGACCTCCATCTCTCGAATTTGCATTTTCTGGAGAACCTTGTAAAATCCTTGCAAAGAAAAAAAACATATATTTTTATTATTCAAAAACAATTTTTCCTTAAAATATTATTTATAATTTTCACACTTACATTGCCATGAATGTACATAAAACTAATGGTCCCCAAAGATCCCCTAAAAATTAATTAAATTTAAAAAACAAATAATTTTAATTGATAATTTACAAAATACTCACATTCTTTGAGCAAACTTTTCTTTTCTTTGGGATATAGCACTAAGAAGAATTTCGTTCCAACTGCTCTGACATCTCTAAGCTGTAATAAAAAAAAAATTTTAACAAAATTAACTTAAAAAGTATTCAAAAGATTTTTAACTTTTTTTTTACATATTATTATTTAAAATAGATTTCAATGCCTACAATTGTATCCTTAATTGGTTCATCTAATGTATTAAATTCCGGACCTTCAATATTTGTATTTTGCCTCATTGGTCCAGTTGTTATTTCTCCTTCGACATTTTGTTGATCTAACGAATACGATCCGTCATCATACATCTGTAAAAAAAAGAAAAATGATAAAAATCAGATAATTAAAAAATTACTCTCCTTTATAACAAACTAAAAAAGATAGCATTAAAAAATTTCTTTTCCTAAAAAATTATTCAAAAACTTACGTCAAGTCTCGCCTCATTCATTGTCGCCATATTTTTCGTCACCTTTATTTTTTTTTTTTCAAATTTTTAATCTATTATTATTTTCCTCTAATCCAACTTTAGATGAAATCCTTTTTTTTAAATTCACACTTCAATTTTAACATCCACATTGAAATCCATTTAAAATTGAGAATTTTCAAAAACAAAAGGGTTAAGTAGTATTACACGTGAACACCTTTTTCGTTTTTCTTCAAAAATTTTATCGTAAAGAGAATATAAAAAAAAAATGTTTAATTAAAGTTAATTACAAGAATAATTTCTTCAACTTAATATATATTTTTATTAATCGTCACTATTGGAAGATTTTTCTTTTTAGAAATATTCGATTTTTTATGGAATGACATTTGACAAGTGTCAACACACGGGTGACATTAAATGTCAGTTTACAATACCGCATTTTTTATTTGCAAAAAATTCCGCTAGGTGGCGTAATTTTCAAAATGGCAGTTTTAAAAATGCACGCATACACGTAGGCACATTGTTGTTACGTGTAAATAATCCAAAATACAATAGAAGTAGACATTGTTTGTGATAATAATTATTTCTTAATGTTTGAAATTTTGAAATATAATTTAGAATTGTGTTATCTATTAAAAAGAAAAAAAATGAAAAGATTCGGCATTTTGATATTGTTGTCAATAATGTTGTGTTCACATGCGCAACAGCCGGATAATGAACCAATAAACAGTGAGAATCTTTCGAAGCGGGAAATATTTGAACAACAAGAAGTTGAATTATGTATGTATTTAAAAACTTTTTATTTTAATTTTTTTACTTTTTAATAATTTTGACAATAATAAAATATAATAATTTTTTCTTGATAAATAGTTAAGAAACTATTTGTAAGACGACGAAATGAACATAATGAGGCTGTTAAAAGGATAATGAGAATTGAAAGTTACGAGAAACGATATAAAATGTTATCAGTATTGATTGAAAAAGTATACAATGTAATAGATACAAAACGACAAATTTTAGAAAAAGCCAAATTTGTACCTAATGTTTTGTTTAAAGAAACTCCAGAAGTGAAAGATGGTAAAATTCTTTTTTTTAAATTTAATTAATTAATATGAATTTAAATTAATATTGTCTATTTTTTTTTAATTAACAGCACTTTCTGGAATTCTTGAGAATACAGCACTTTTTGGTGATGTGGTTTTACATTTTCCTGATATAATGCAAAGAATATTGAAACATCAACCAATGTGGCATTCATTAATGAAATGGTCATTTAGTTTTGTCAGTCAAATGAGACATCTTTTGGATAAATCAACATTTACGAGACTTCATTTAGCTGAACAGGAACTTCATTTTATTCCAAGGAATTCTGATTACATTAATCCTTATTGGACAAGTCCTGCTGAAGAGGCAAATAATAAAAAAGCAGCGTCAAAAAAAGAAAAACGAAAAAAAGAACCGAGAATCACAAGAATTGAATTGTAAATATTCAAAATTGACTTTTAAGAAAAAATTAATTATTTTTTAATTTTTTTATTTTAATTAAATTGAATTTTTTGTAATTTTACATTAAAAGCTAAACCAAAAAATGAATTTAAAAAAAAAAAAATAATTTATAGATCGACTTTTAACTTTTTTAAATTTATTTTATTGTAAATTTTGTTGTAATAATTTTAAATATTAATGAAATAGTTAATAAATTTTTGAAGACTGAATAAAAAATATAAATCTGTGAATTTTTTTTCATATATAATCATCATGTGATTAAAAATTTTTAAAACTGAATATTACATAATTCGTCAAATTTTGTCATGAAAAAAGAAAATCTTCTCTATTTAGAAAATAATTTGACTCTTTTAGACAAATTAATGGAAAAAAAAACGTGTCATTTTTTTTGTAATTAGAATTTATAATTTAATATTGTTGATGGAGAGTTCATAAATGCTACTAACGAGGGATCCTGGAACGATTGGTTGCGGCAGTCAATTTACAGCTATTTATTTTGTAGCCGACTAAAAGCTACTTTTCTCAAGCGTCTCGACAGTGGTAGAAAGTGGTCAGCCAATGAGCTGAATAGTCAGAAGCCTGTTTTAAGTAACTCTGCTGGAAGAGGGCTTTGGTCTCTTGTAGTCTCTTTCATCAAGAAAGAATCGCAAGGTGTATAAGTGTCGCGAGAGAGCTGTTGCTCCCAAAAAAAAAAAAAAAAAAGAAAAAAAAATATATCCTCTCATTTAGCCAATGATACATGTTAATCAACGAGTTACAAAAATTATCGAAAATTTGTGTCAGTTTAACGTGTAAAAGAAAAAAAAAATCCGAAGGAAATCATCAGTAAATTTTGGTGAACGACCGTGAGCGCATTTTTTTTTCGCCACGGAACAAATCATGAAGTTTCATAAAACATTTTATCTTTGCTTATTATTCTTTATTTTAGCCTCTGGTGAGTCTTTTTTTTCATATTTTTGCAAATAATCATTAAAATACTTTCCTCTATTTGTAAAAAAAAGCCTTAAAAAAAATTTAAATTTTTAAAAACTCAAAATATTTTTTTATTTACATTTTTTTTGTCTAAGAAATAAAGAATAAAAATGATTCTTAAAATCGTTGTTTGCAAAATTAATATTATTTATACCACAAATTAATTTGAATTTTGGAAATTTTTTAAAGTTTAACGAACTGCCTTGAACTTTTAATTTATCGTCCACAGTGAAAAGGACCAAATTTTATACTTTCTTTTCACTTTCTCCATTATTTATACAATTCACTTTGTGATATTTTAATTAATAACAAAATTATTCTCCGAGAGTCAATTAAATTTTTACAAATAGAAAACTGTAAAATAAATTCAAAAAAAATTATTTTATTTAATAATTAAATTCCATTATTTTTTCAATTTTGCATCCATTTTAAATATGTATAATTAAAAAAAAAAAATTATTTTAACTAAAAATATGAAAAAAAAAATATATATAGTAAAATTAATTTGTTTATATTAATAAATTTTTAAAGAGAGAATAAAATATTATAGAGATTAAATGAAAGAAATCGATTAATGATGATTTAAAAAAAAATCATTTCAATTAAAAAAAAAAAAAATGGGCTTCTCTCAAGTTTCTCTACCGTTTACATAAGATTCGTGCATATATCCAACACACGTATATTTATATGTATATATAGAAACATTTTATCGTCGTATGTGCTTCAAGACTTTTATTCTCATGGTGCACAACGTCATTGCCACATGCTGCACCTTCACTTTCCACTGTACACTGTCAATGTACCGTTTTTCTTACACTTCATTATTGAAATTTCCCACTGAAAACTAATTAATTTTTCTTTCTCTTCAAAAAAAAAAGAAAGAAAAAAAAATAAGTTCGAAAAGAAAGCTTTGTTTCACTGAAATTCGATTTCAAATAATTTATTTAAAAATTATATTATAAATTATCAATTATAAATTAATTAATATTTTTTTGTTTTATTTATAATATAAAATTCCTTTTTTTATTTTCTCAATTAATTATTCTGAGAAATTAACAATTAATTAGCAAAATTCTGCCATTCATCTCAAAAAAAGAAAAACAAATTTGTCTTGAAAAAAAAAATCATTTTTTGAGTTATTTTCACGTATTTAATTCGTGACAATGATTAAATTGTTAATAAATGAAAAAAAAAATTGTCATTCATTATACGTGAATCGAGGGACAATCATTTTATTTTTGACCTTCATTTAAAATAAGAAAGTAATTTAATAAAACATCTCAGTTGTTATCAGTCATTCATGGTCATATATTTGAATTCCAAATATGTCCCATAATTTTTCAATGTTTTTTTTTTATTTTTTCTTTTTTCCTCGAGAACATAAAATTATAAAAACAATCTCTTAAAAATAAACATAAAACTAAAGTTCCAAAAATAAATTTAATAGAAAATTAATTTGTCTTAGACTTTTATCAAAAACTGGTTTTGGTGTTTCAAAAAAGTAAAAAAAAAAAAAAAAATGGAAATTATATTTGGGCCGAATGTGTCATTGATATATTGGAATGTCCGCAACAAAGTTTCTCGCTTTCTCAAACCTCTCTTTTTTCTGGGTCCCATCGGAATTTCTCTCGCCCATTTTCTAATCACATTATTACCAGTTTTCTTTAAAAATTTATTTCAATTCGTCAATTTTAAAAGGTGATTCACCTCAAAACACAAAGCCTCAGAATAAAAAAGGAAAATGTTGAAAAATTGTTAAAAAATTTTCATATTCAAAAAAATATTGCTTTATTAAATAAATAAATTATTAATAATATTTTTTTAACTATAAAATAATATTAATAAATTAATATTTTATAAACTATAAAATAAATTATAATTAATTATTAAGAATTGATTTTATATATGTGAAAAAATAAATAAAAAAACGTGGGTGTAAAGAACTAAATTGTATCAAATGAATTGGTAAAGAAATAAAAATTGTGAATGCAAATAAAGAAAATGACCTAGTAATGATACCATCCGCTGTAATTTGCATAAAAAAAAACTACAGCAATGGGTGTGATTAACTCTGTTACACTTCTGAAGTTACGAGATTTAAGCCTCTGAAATTGCACAAGATTTATTAAAATGATGTAATTTGTTAATGAACTGAAAATTCTAAGAATAATTGCCAACACAATTTTACTTTAACATTAAAAAAAAATTTGCAATTTTCATTTTTTTAAATAAATTAAATTTTTCATTTATTTTTCTTAAGTAGCTAAAAAAAAAAAAATTCCAATTTAATTTTCCATTATTATCTTGATTAATATAATGTTATATTTTATGATAATGACTTTACAGTGTTGGGCAAAATGTTAATTTGTAAGCTTGACCAATGATAAATTTTTTAATCTTTCCGTTTTGCATTTTAATGTATAAAAAATAATTGAAAGGTAAATAGCAAAAGTAGAACAAACAAGAAGGTTGATCGATAAAATAAAAATGTAATTTATAAAAAAAAAAAAAAAAAAAATTTCTAATTTCAGTTAATGGTCAAAAAGCAAAAAAAGAAGAAGAGAAAAAAGACGAGGAATTCAAATGTCCAGAGGGTCAAGGAAATGGAAATTTCGCAGATCCACAAACTTGTAGAAGATTTTATCAGGTAAAATTATTGAATAAAAAATTTTCTTCTCCATAATATCGACAATAAATATATATATTAAAACCGGAAATAATTTCATAACTACAAAAATTCTTTAATAAAACGAAAATAATTATTAATATTATTTACTATTGTGATATGACAAAGTATGTCAATATCGTTACAAAAGATTTTACGAGTGTAATAATTTCTAAGAAAAAGAAAAAAAATTTCACTTTATCCTGACAATCATTGAAGCGTTTTATCTTCTTTTTGCACAATTTTTTTTTAGTTTAAAATTATTTTTTTTTCTTTCAGTGCGTTGATGGATATCCATATTTGAATAGATGTCCATCAGGTCTTCATTTTGATGACATCAGCAAATTTTGTACATTTAAAAACGAAGCCCGATGTGGTCCAATAGCAACAAGTAATTTTTTTTTCTTTTTTTAAAATAATTTCAAAAATTATAAATGATTTAATAAAAAAAAAAAATTTTTAGCCCCAGCTCCTGCAACTGAACCACCCACCGATTTAGCAGAACGATGTGATACTTCAAAGTGCATTCTTCCCTATTGTTTTTGCTCTAGAGATGGAACAATTATTCCCGGTGGTTTTCAACCAAAAGAGGTTTTTCAATTAAAATTATAAATTAAAAAAAATATTAATAATTACAATTTAATAAATAATATTAAATATTAATTTCAACAAGAAAATTTAAATTAAAAAAAAATATATTTTCCATTTTAGACACCACAAATGATAATAATGACATTTGATGGAGCGATAAATCATAATAATTTTGATCATTATCAAAAAATATTTTCCCAAGATCGTTTAAATCCAAATAATTGTCCATTAAAGGGGACATTTTTTATTTCACATGAATATTGTAATTATAATATGGTTCAAAGTCTCGCTCACGATGGACATGAAATTGCAACCGAGACAATATCGTAAGATTAATAATTTTATTATATTTTGAAAAAAATTAAAATTAATGAAACAATAAAATTTTTAGACTTCAAAAAGGTTTAGAAGACAAAGGCTATGAGGAATGGGTTGGCGAAATGATTGGAATGAGAGAAATTCTCAAACATTTTAGTAATATTTCAAGTTCCGAAATTGCTGGAATGAGAGCACCTTATTTAAAACCAGGACGTAATACACAATACAGTGTTATTGAAGATTTTGGTTATATTTACGATAGTAGCATTGGAATTTCACCACTCAAAGTTCCTATTTGGCCTTATACACTCGATTATAAAATACCACATGAATGTAAATCAGGAACATGTCCCACAAGATCATTTCCGGGTAATTTAAAAAGTAAAATTAAAAAAAAAAGAAGAAGAAGAAGAATTTAGAAAATTATTTTTTCAGGAATTTGGGAACTACCTTTGAATGCGCATTACGTTGAGACCTATGAAGGTGGTCATTGTCCATATCTCGATCAATGTGTACTTCACAATCACGATCCACAGGAAGTTTTTGAATGGCTTCAAGAAGATTTCAATCGATATTATGAACAAAATCGAGCGCCTTATATGATGACCTTTCACACAAATTGGTTTCAAATTAAAGAACTCGAACGAGGACTTCATAAATTTTTAGACTGGGCAGTTGAACAGTAAGTTTTTTTTTTTTTTTTTGGAAAAATTATTTTGAAATATTTTAATTAAATAATTTATATTATTAATTGCAGACCCGATGTTTATTTTGTAACTGCAACGCAAGCATTAAATTGGATAACAGATCCAAGACCACTCAAGGAATTAGATTATTTTTCAGGATGGTCCTGTACAAAAAAAGAAAATATTCCCGGACCACCTTGCAATAATCCCAATAAATGTGCATTGGACTTTAAACCACCAGAGTCTAATTTTACTTCAACCAGGTAAGAATTTAAAAAAAAAAAAATATCAAAATACACCAATAATAGAAAAATAATTTTAAAAAAATTTCTTTTTAGATATTTGGAAGCATGTAGAGAATGTCCAAATAAATATCCCTGGGTGGGAGATGCAAAAGGCACAGGATATTCAAATGACATTTACAATCCTGAGAAAATAAAATAAAATTTTTTTTTTTTAGACTTCGCGCCTTTGTACAAAGTAACGCCGTTTCCATTCAAGAAACCCCTCCCCCCCCGTAAGTGATGAGGATTAAAAATCGACAACGAGACAATTTTATATTATCGAAGAAAAGCGTAAAAATTTTTTCACAAATTTTTCGCAAATTTAGTGTCGATTGAATCTTTAAATATTTTTTTTCGAATCCATTGTCGAGGATTCATTTTGTTAGACTGTTTTTTTTTTCTTTCTTTTTTTTTTTACCTGGTGCATGAGAGTGTGTGTTAAATGCAATATTGTAATAAATAAAAATCTGTTGCTCAAATTCAGTTTATAGAAAAAAAAAAAAATAACATCAAAGTCACAAAAAATGAAAATAAATTTTTTTTTTTGAAAAAAAGGAAATATTTTCTAGACTTCTTTTTTCTTCATCATCTACAATTAATATTGATAATTTAATTTATTTATTCAATTACAAGATGTTTTACTTATTTTTTTTTTGCATCTATTGCAAAAAATTAGATAATAAAGCTATTTAATTAATTTTACCTCATTTATCGTATTGGTATCCAAGTATCGAATATTTCTCCATATTTTTTACGTTCTGAAAAATATTTAAAAAATGTGTAATTTGTTTTAATTTATTTTTTTTTTTTTTTACTAACGAACATTACCTGGCGGAGGAAAATCTTCCGGATGGCGAATTATATAATCACGTAAAAATGCATCTCTTCTAGCATCTTGGTTTTTAATAGTAGTGTCTATTAAATGTGATCCAAGAAGTAATCCGGCAGTAAATGCGACATGCAAATAAGGTCCTAAAAAAATTTATTTCATTTAAAAAAAAAAAACAAAAGAAAAAAATAACAAACAAAAATCATCAAGAAACAAAATTTGGTAACAATGTCTACATTTGAAATTAAGAAATTTTAAAATGAATTTATTAATTAAAATAATAACTTACGTGCATAAAGTTTTAATCCTCGGGTGTAATTTATGTAACTTGCTATCGCAGGACCAGAAAATACAGACGGTATTTGCAACCAATATTTTGCTACAAAGTGTGGTTCATATAAAGGATCATATGTAAGTAAATCTAGTGCCCATTTAATATTTGGATTATCACTTTCCATATTTTTATTTATAATATTAAACAATAACAAACTTTTTAAACATTAATTTGGTAATTCAAAAAAAAAACAACAATTTTTTAGACCACCAGCTGATTGTCTTTTCTAACCTAAAAAATGTCATGAGAAAATAAAAATAAAAGAAAGGATTATGATGACTTTGATTTTCAAACCAATACTGTTTTTCAAAATAGCCACAAATTAGGGGCGCTGTGATCATTTGTCTAGTTTTGACATTAGGGTACCTTCACAACCTCTCATTTTTTTTCTCATATACAATCCCAGCCCTGAAGCTGACGTAACTTCTTTTATGTAAACGTCATCTGTTTATAATTTTAGCACGTTGTACAAGTTTTTTTAATTAAAAAAATAAAATATGACAACTGATAATGAAGATATAAAACTCTTCCAAACAATTGGATTGAGTGAACAAAAAGCTAAAGAGACGCTAAAAAATGCTCAAGTCACCAAACATCTAAAATCTGCAATTAGTGAGGTTAGTTAATAATTATTGTAATTTTGAAAATTAGTTTTAGACTTCATATAGAATTTTTAAATATTTTTATAAATTACTGCATGTATAAATAATGTATATCTTTATATTTTAATTCATTTTTAAAAATAATTTCTAACTCCTAACATATTTTTCGTATAAATTTAGAATTTATATTTAAATAAATTTTTTATTATTAAAAAAAAATATCAGGCATCTAAGCACGGTGTTCTTAACAATGAAAATGGAATACTATTGTATCATTTGGCGTCAAAAGTTAAAGTTCAAATTGCCGATAAATTGCCATTTATGTCTGAATCAATAGTTAAGAAAAAATTGGATACAATTCAAAGGGTCGATGCTGCTTTAAATTATTTTCTCAGCAATATTAAAGAATCAATTGACATTAAAGCATTTGAAGATGCTTGTGGTGTTGGTATTGAAATTACACAAGAACAAATCAAAAATGCCGTTAATGTAATAATTGAAAAAAATAAAAACGAAATCATTGAAAAGAGATATCGTTTTAATGCCGGTCCACTAATGCAAAAAATTCGTAACGATTTAAAATGGGCCGATGGAAAATTATTGAAAATTGAATTTGATTCACAATTATTTGAATTATTGGGTGAAAAAACAGAAGCTGATTTGATGCCAATTGTTAAAGATGGAAAAAATAAACAAAAATCACAGGAAAAAGAGAAGAAAAAATCTGATAAAGAAAAAAATGAGATTGTAAAGGATAAAATTGATGCACAAACAATTAGTGAATTAATGAAAACAAAAGTAAATTTTCACAAACCTGGTGAAAATTATAAAACAGAAGGTTACGTTGTTACTGAAAATACTCATAAATTATTGAAGGAACATCTTCTTATTACTGGCGGTAAAGTGAGAACAAGATTTCCACCTGAACCAAATGGAATTTTACATATTGGACACGCTAAAGCAATTAACATCAATTTTGGGTATTAAAAAAAATTTCATTGTTTTATTTTTTTTATATTATAATAATTATTATTAAAAAAATAGTTGGAAATTCTTTTTTAAAAAAATATTCAATTATTTTAAAATCTGCAATCAAAATTTTCAATTATTTTACATCCCTTGTAATTAAATATCTTGAAAAATTATTCAAAATTGTAATTTTAGAATTATAGTATTTATAAACCTTTTTAACTAAAACTGTTTAAAAATTTTAATGAATTTGATATATTTACTGATTTTAAGGGACGCATGATTATGTTCTAAAAATCATTAGTCATAATTTACATTTTATCGAATTTTATTTGTCCTAATTAGTTTTGACCCGAATTTTAATTTGTTCGAAATAGCATTTGGCATAATTTTCATCAATCCGATTTTCTATATGATAGAATTTTTATATAACGGAAAATTTAACTCACAGAATTTTTATTTCTTCGAATTTTTATTTGTCAGAATTTTTATTTGCTCGAATTTTCATTTAACATAATCGGCATTTTAAAGAATTTTTATTGGGTAGAATTTCATTGAATAGAATTTTCATTTAGATGAATTTTCATTTAGATGAATTTTCATTTGTTCGAATTATTATTTGATATAATTTCCATATAATCGATTTTTCATACTACAGAATTTTTACTTAACCGACAAATCATTTAATAGAATTTCTAATTGATAGAATTTTCATTTGTCCGAATTTTCAAATGGCCGAACAAACAATCGACAGAAAGACTTCAGCGCGATTTTTAAAATCAACCAATCACAATTTTATGAATAATTTTTGATTGGTTGATTTTAAAAATCGCGCCGAAATCTTTCTGTCTATTGTTTGTTCGGCCATTTGAAAATTCGGACAAATGAAAATTCTATCAATTAGAAATTCTATTAAATGATTTGTCGGTTAAGTAAAAATTCTGTAGTATGAAAAATCGATTATATGGAAATTATATCAAATAATAATTCGAACAAATGAAAATTCATCTAAATGAAAAACTAATTAGGACAAATAAAATTCGATAAAATGTAAAGTATGACTAATGATTTTTAGAACATAATCATGCGTCCCGATTTTAACAATTGATATATTAAAAAATGTTTTTAAATCATTAAATTTTAATTCCTAGAGAATTTATATTTATTTTTTTAAAAAAAGTTGTATTATACATTTTTTTAAAATTAATTGATATTAAAAATGTTTAATTCCATCTTTTCGAAATATCAAATTATTTTTAAAAATTAAATTTCAATTTTATTAAGTTTTGTATAAAATTTTTCATGAAAAAAAAAAAATTATTTAGTTATGCAGCTGCTTATGGTGGTACATGTAATTTACGTTATGATGATACAAATCCAGAAAAGGAGGAAGAAAAATTTTTCATTGGAATTCGTGAAATGGTAGAATGGTTGGGTTATAAGCCAAATGAAATAACATATTCGTCGGATAATTTTCAACAACTTTATAATTGGGCTGTGAAACTTATTGAAAAGGGTATGGCATACGTTTGTCATCAAACTAGCGATCAAATGAAAGGTTTCAATCCACCACCGAGTCCATGGCGTGAGAGGCCAATTGAAGAAAGTCTTCAACTATTTCAGGTAGGCTTATATTATTTTTTTTTTTTTGTAAACTAATTTTATTTTAATTAATTTTTTTTTGTAATTAATTTCTTTTTTAGGATATGAAAGACGGATTAATGGAAGAAGGTGAAGCGACACTTCGAATGAAAGTAACACTTGAGGAAGGAAAACAAGATCCAGTTGCTTATAGAATAAAATATGTTCCACATCACAGAACCGGCGATCAATGGTGCATTTATCCGACTTATGATTTTACACATTGTTTATGCGATAGCATTGAACACATTACACATTCATTATGTACAAAAGAATTTCAATCGAGAAGATCATCTTACTATTGGCTATGCAATGCTGTTGATATTTATTGTCCCGTTCAGTGGGAATATGGAAGACTCAATGTTAGTTACACCGTTGTGTCAAAGAGAAAAATTGCTAAATTAATTGACGAAGGAATTGTTTCCAATTGGGATGATCCTAGGTAAATTAATAATAAATAATTTGATTCAATAATTAAAAATTTTACAAAGAAGAGAAATAAAAATTAGTTAATTTTTAGACTCTTTACATTGACTGCATTGAGAAGACGTGGATTTCCCGCGGAGGCAATTAATAATTTTTGCGCACAAATGGGAGTGACTGGCGCTCAAGCGACAGTTGATCCTGAAGCGTTGGAAGCATCAGTTCGAGATGTTTTAAATATCACTGCACCGCGTCATATGGTTGTTTTAGATCCATTGAAAATTACCATTTCCAATTTTCACGGTGATTCAATTTCAATTTCTGTTCCTAATTTTCCCAATGAGCCAGAAAAGGGACAACATACTATTACTTTCAACGATGTTGTTTATATTGAAGCCACTGATTTTAAGGAGGTTTGTTTTTAAAAATAATTAAAAAATTATTAATTTTAATTAATAATTTTTATTTTCCTTATTTTTAGAATGAAGAAAAAGGATTTCGAAGATTGACACCAAAACAATCAGTTGGTTTAAAACATACAGGTGTTGTTATTACTTTTCAATCGGTGGAAAAAGATTCAAATGGTAGAATTACGAATATTATTGCTAAACAAGAGCCAGTTTCTGATAAAAATAAACCTAAGGCATTTATTCATTGGGTTTCAAATCCATCTACAGCTTCAGTTCGTCTTTATGATCGATTGTAACTATTTTTATTATTTATTTAAAATTTATATTTAAAAGAAAAAAAAATGAAACCTATTTTCTTTCTAGATTTAAACATAGAAATCCAGAAGACAGTAATGAAGTTCCAAATGGATTTCTCAGTGATATAAATCGTGACAGTAAAAAAGAGATTGTCGCTTATATCGATTCATCATTGGAAAAAGTTTCAAAGCCTTTGGAGAAAATGCAGTTCGAAAGAATTGGATTCTTTTGCGTCGATTTTGATACAAAACCCAACAAGGTAAGATGACATTAATTCAAAAGAAAAAAAGAATAATAATAATTTTTTTTCACATTCTATTGTTATAATATTGCCATTATATTGTTCCAGGTTGTTTTTAATAGAACTGTCACATTGAAAGAGGACTCAGGAAAAATTTAAACTCGAATTGAAATTCAAAATATTTTGCCATCACTTTTTCTACAGTGAAAAAAAATAAATATATTTATAATGTATAAACAATTTATTAAAATTTATTAAGAAAAAATTTACCTTTTTTTTTTTTGAAAATTTTGAATTTTATGTCAACTTTTTTCTGTTCTTTTAATTCATAACGCATGATTCATAAGTTGGGACCATATATTTGATATTTATGAATGCATCTTCACCGCCGTATCTTTCGAGAATTTCCAATGTTTCTTGAATTAAATCCGATGGATTTTCACCACGTTGCTGAGAATAATCGATTCCTTCTCCAAGATTTACTGTCAAAAAGTTTATATTAAATTAAAATTTCATTTTTTTTCTACTGATAATTTTTTTTTGTGAAAATTTACCATTTTTATCTTTGAGCAAATTAGGAATGGGAAGAATTTGTCGAAAATAAGGTACCAATGATTCTCCAATACAATCGCCTGAACGTACAAGACGCTGAATTGCTCTCATTGTCATGCATATTATTTCGGGAATTTTTGTATTCAATGCCTCTAAAAATTGATAATTTTTTTTTTTTTTTTTTTTATTAGTATATTTAATTTAGAAAATTTTTTAATTAATACACTTAATTTAATTTTAATTACGATTAAAAAGAAAAACTCATTTACTTTTAATTGGAATAATAAGTTGTGGTACAACTGGAAGAATTTTTGTCCCTCCATGTTCGAGCATTTCGGTAATTCCTTGTTCAACGAGAAATTTATATGGCGCTTCAATTTCTGTTAAACCATCGAAGAACATTGGTAGATAATAATGAAAATCTAAATCTTCTATTCGAACTTTCCAACTGATTCTCTGTCCATTGCCATCATCTTCAAGTGAAATTGGAAATGCCCCTCTCTCGTAATATTTTCGAAATGTTGATGGTTTTGGTGGTTTTGGATCGTAAACACCAATTTTCGGCGGTTTCGCTACAACAGTATTTTCCTAAAAATAAATTAATAATTAATCAATTAAATGAGAATAGTATTTTATAAATTCGTAAAAATTGAGTTTCTTTTTAAAAAAAAATTTTACCTGCATTGCTTGAATTGTAAAAGCAGGAACAACTCTTGGCTTTTTCTTTTTATATTTTGGTAAATTTTTTCGAATTTCTGACCAAAATTCACGTTCATTCACCATTATTCAAGAATATAATTTACAAGATTAAAAAAAAATAGTTTACATTTTTTATTTTCGTTGTTTTTCTACAAATTTTTATTTTACATTTCATTGGTTAAAATCAAGTAAAATCGTTCCTAAGCAACGAAGCTTGATCAATAAACAATGAAACGCTAAACTAAAATTGTTTTTTTAATTTTCAAAAAATCGAAATTTCTAAAAAATATTATAATTTTAAATTTCATATATATTTATTTTCTAATTTATACAAAATTTTATTTACCTATCTTAAAAATTTCTAAATTAAAATCAAATTTTGTACAGTACACATTTTTTTAAATTAAAAATTTAAAAAAATATTCAATTTAACATTTTCTATCGTGAAATTGAGGATCATCGAAAATTAAACTTCGTTTCTGTGGTTCGTCCTTGTTAGCTGTATTTTTCTATTAAGGAAAAAAAATAAATTCAAAAAGAATTGTATTAAATTAAATATATTAAATAGTTAGAAAAGGATATTTGTGAAGAAGTTTAAAAATTCCAGTTCCAACCGGAACTTGAATTCCCATGATAATTGATTCTGAAACACCGCAAATTGTATCTTTCTGTCCATAATAAGCTGCGTCAAATAAATGATCAGCTGTTTTTTCAAACTAAAAACAGAAAATTTTATAAATTTAATAGAAATTTAATTGCTAATAATTAAATTAAAATAGTTAAATATTTTTTTTCAGTTTTATTTTTATTAAAAAGTAAAATAAAAAAAAAATTTGAAATTTATTAATTACCGAAGCCAAATTTAAAACTGATTCCTTCATTTTTGCTAAACCTTGTCTTGTTATTCCAAGAACTTCACCTCGGCTTGTCATTAAATCGGCAACTAACATAGGATGACGTCTATCAATACTCATACCATGATTTTCCATCACTAATTTAATTTCATTCATAATTGTCGCTCTCGCAGCTTCAATTCCCAATGTTCGAAAAACCTGAAAAAAGAATTTTTTTGATTTAAATAACAAAAAAACATAATTAGGTATTTAAAATTCTCTTTTCAAACTAACTTCAATGGTATTATTTGAAGTTGTTTTTTTCCCAAGAACACCGGGCGTTGCCATTACTTCTCGCATGTTATCGCCTTCAACAAATAATTTATATTTTGTCTGTCCACTCGAATCATCATTGTGAATTACAGCTCTATTCACCGATGCAAGTCCCTATAAAACAAAAATTAAAATTAAATTTATAAAATTAGAGAAAAAAAGAAAATTACCTTTATAACAACGTTGCCTAATTGTTCTTTAAGATTCGTTAGAGCAACACTAAGACTTTGTTTTTGTTTTGTTGGATTCACTGTAATTATCGAATCTCCCTGAACATTAACTAATTTAGGATTGATTTTCAATTTCGAGGTGCAAATCCTGAAAAAGAATTATTAATTAACAATATTACAAAAAAAAAAAAAAAAACAAAAATTAAACTTACGAATATCGAATTGATTCAGCGTCCACTTCAAGTTTTAATAAATTAATTCTATCCGTATCGAGTTTTATTAAAAGAAAACAATCATCCGGAAGATAGACTTCTTCAATATATTCACAAACTTCTCCCAATGTTGTTTTCTCGATTCTTCCCTTTACTCTTCTTGCAAATTCCGGATCCGTGTCAATTTCCTACAAAAAAAAAGAGAAAATAAAATAAAATTAAAAACAAAAAATACAAGATATTTAAAAATTGCCATTACCAAAGCTACAGTAATAATAGGTGTACTGATTTTTGGATTAGCATTTATAATTTCCTTTATTCGCGGTACACCCTGTGTAATATTCATTGAAGCAACGCCAGCAAAATGAAAAGTTTTTAACGTCATTTGCGTTCCTGGTTCACCAATACTTTGCGCCGCTAATGCTCCAACAGCCGTTCCTGGTTCAACTGTTGCTCGCATATATTTTTCCTTACACGTATGAATAAATTCAACTAATTGCGATAGTGTCAAACGTTCAAGTTCCAATTTCACTGGTATTTTCGTTGTCATATTCGTTCGTATTTTACCAACTTTCTTTGCCACTGAGGTCATGAAATCCCTATCCACCAAAAAAAAAAAAATTATATTAATAAAAATAAAACTTAGTTTTAAATAAAGGACAAAAATTATCAATCACTTCATTATTAATCAATTAAGTAACTCGGATTAATAATTTTCATTCTTTTATAAATTTTTTTGACAATAAAATTTATTTTACTTCAACTCTTCTTTAAATTCATCACTAAGACATAAATATTCCTCCGTCTTGAGCAATTCCTCAGCTGCTTTTTTAATTTTCATTGGTTCAAGCGGTGTTTCATCTCTATAGGATGACATTGCTCTCACATGATCAAGAACACGTTTATAATCAACCGGACAATCTTTACCTGTAACAATTATTTTTTTTTTTTTAAATTACAAATTCCTTGGATCAACTAAGACGCGAAAAAATTCGCATCTTATTTAAATAATTCGAAAAAAACTTACCTTCCATGTAAGTAGGATCGAGACCATCGGCACCGTATTTAAATTGAACAATATCGCCAACGGAATTTCTCACAGTTAAATCATATTGTAAACATAAGTCCTCTAAACTTTTCACCAATCTTCTTTGCATGTAACCAGTTTCAGCAGTTTTCACCGCTGTATCAACAAGACCTTCTCTACCGCCCATTGTATGAAAGAAAAATTCCGGCGGTGTTAATCCTGAATAAAAGGAATTTTGCACAAATCCTTTTGCTGCTGGTATTTTAGAAAATTTCTCAAAATGAGGCAATGCACGATCTTCAAATCCATCGGGTACACGTTTACCACTAATAGCCTGTTGTCCCACACATGCTAAAAATTCAATTTTTTTTTTTAAATAGCAACAAAAATCAATATAAATAAATAATAAAATTACCTATCATTTGTGATATATTGATAAAACTTCCTTTTGAGCCAGACAATGCCATAATAAGTGGACTATTACTGGGATGAAGTTCTTTTAAACACGCTTTACCGGCATGATCACGAATAACTGAAAGTTCCTTCAATATCATTGCCTCGAGTGTTTCCTCTTCGGAACAACCTGGTTGACACGATAAACGTCCTTCATCCATTTGATGAATATATTCCGTACATTTCGAATAACTATGAGAAAAAAGGGGAAAAAATAAATAAATTATTGTCTAAACTTTTTTTTTTCAAAAAATTTGTCGTTAGTAAAAATTTTTAATGGAACAATTAATTATTGGGGGAAAAAAAATTTAATTTTCTCATACCCAGCTTGTAGAAGTTCATGTTTTGCCTTCAATAAACCCTGACCAGGTGTAACGTCACCGATTCCAATTGAAAAACCTCTATTCATTAAATAAAGACTCGTCATTCTTGATAAACGCCACATTGCAATTGTCGCAGCATCTTCACCCCAATCGCGTAACAAAACATAAAAAATATTTTGCTTCGATCCAGAACCCATTGTTGTTTTATCCATTGATCCAGCAATAAGTTCTGAGTTACGAATTATAACGTCTGCAAAAAAAAAAAGATAAAATTAAAATAAAATATTATTTAAAAAAAAAAACATATTTCATTACCAATAAAAAAATTTAATTTCTCAAGATTAAAAACAAAAATTTATTTGAATAAAAAAAACAAAAATTCTTACACGAATCATTGATGCATAATTCTTCATTGCAAGTGTATGCCTTTCCTTTTGCCTTAAGATTCGCTTTAATCGTAGTAGCGCGATTTGGTTTTAAAATTAAACTGAAAATTTGTTTTCCCGTCCACATTTCATAAGGTTTAATAATTGCCGGTCGTGGTAAATCAATTTCTAAATTTGAATCAACACCCGACACTAAAGAACCAGCCAATTGAAATGCTTGTGTTTTAGTTAAGAATGTATCCTTTTGCGTTAACAAATAACCACCAGTTATAAAATCCTGTGTCGCTGCAATTATTAATTCTCCATTTCGTGGTGTCACCAAATTTGATTTATTCTGCAAAACCAAAAAAAAAAAAATGTATATATAAATCAGTAATTAAAAATAAAATTAGAGAAATAATTTACCCCCATTAAAACTAAAGCTTCGGCTCTTGCTTCTTCAGTTTGTGGCAAATGTAAATTCATTTCATCGCCATCAAAATCAGCATTATAGGGCGTACAAACACATTCATTGAATCTAAATGTACGATGTTCCATTACTTTTGCTTTGTGGGCCATTATTGAAAGTTTATGTAAAGACGGTTGACGATTAAATAGAACAACATCATCGTCACATAAATGTCTTTCAATTATATCACCGTACTAGAAAAAAATGAATATCATTATTTTCAATTTCATACTAATTTTATAAGTATAACAAAAAAATAATTTACCTGTAAATCTTGTGCAACTTTTTGTTTATTAACAAATTTTAAATATCGTTTTTGCTTTGATTTTGTATTTTGAATAAAATTCGCACCAGGATGAATATCGGGACCATTTTGAATTAATTTTCGCATTAATTCAATGTTCGCTTTATTTACTCTTACCGGATATGTAAGAATTTTTGCCACATGTACCGGAACTCCAACCTTAATAATATTTTAATTTTACTTTTTCTTTTTTTTTGTATTCCAATTAAAATAATAATTATAATAATAATAATAATTACTTGATCAATTCGAAGATTTGGATCCGGTGAAATGACAGTTCTACTTGAAAAATCAACTCTTTTACCCGACAAATTACCACGAAAACGTCCCTGTTTACCCTTTAAACGTTGAACAAGACCTCTTCCTGATTTTTTCGGCTGTAAACAATGTTTTAAGTATTTTTTTTTTTTATTCTATTCATTTAAAATATTAGAAAATAATTTCATTTACTTACTTGCATATTAAGAGGTATTCCCGAGACTTCACTATTAATATAAAGTGCACAATGTAATTGTAAAAATTCCCATGCCTCATTGTACATTTGTACTCTCGATCCACTTACACGATGTTTTTGTATAATATCATTAATAAAAACAATTTCACTTAATTTCATTGTTAAATTATCTTCATTTGTTCCTGCTTTTAAATCAGATTCAACGCCAGGTCGAATGCAAATCGGTGGTACTGGAATTCGCGTTAATATCAAATCTTTTGGATGTGCACAATTTGAATTCATTAACAAAAGTGGTACATCATTCTCTGGAATGCGTTCAAATAAATTTTGTACCTATAATAAAAATTAATTATTATTTAATTTTTTTTTTTTATTTTTTTAATTTCTTTTTCATTTTTACCTCCAACGGATTTAAAACATTGACGAGTCCACTTTGTAAAATACTTTCCAATTCTTTATTATCTTCCACGGCATTTCGATATTCGGCCAATTTCTCCTGTAAAACTAAATCAGTACTTTTTTTGCCCTTAAATTTTTCATGAACAATTTTTAATAAACCTGCTTTCTTCACAGTTCCATTTTGTTCGCCACATGATGGACAAACGCTTGTTTTTTTTGCCTTCTCAAGAATTTGTTTTCTTAATGCTTTACGACTTAAATAATCTAAATTTGGATTTAGTACACGATTTAAATAATTCTTTTTAATATCCTTGATTAACATTACGGAAGAACATTTCTGTAAAAAAAATAAATAAATAAAGTTTTACCAAAAAAAAAAAAAAAAATAGTTGAGGGTCAATCCATTATATTTCGACTGAAGTCGTCGTGACTAATTTTTAAAAATTATAATACTTTGCAGGAATGATTTTGAAGTTATCAAGATCACGAAATGAAAAGAATTTTATTAAAATTTTAATTATTTATTGCAAAATATGAATTTAAAGTTTATGAGGTGCTGAAAACTGTCAATTTTTTAGCCATTAGAAAATATGCAAAAAAAAAAACAGAATTTACCATAAAAATAAAAAAAATTGTTGTAATTTACTAAGAATGAATAAATTTATCATTATCAATTGATGTAATTATTTAAATATGTGAAATAATATATAAAATATGATTTTCAAGTTCGCCTGTCAAATAACCTAAATTTGCAAATTTCATCTATTAAATGTGAGAAAGAGAAGTCATTAAATTGAAAAAAACCTTACCAAATATAAAGTACCTGTGACTAACTTTTAGTTTTTCTTAGCACTTTTTTCCTTTTTTCTTCATAAATGTGAAATAAAAAGCAATAAAAATTGGCACTTTGCTTATTTTCACTATTTTCAAATGTAAATAACTTTCTTGGAGAAAACTGAAAAATTACAAAACTTGGGCAATATCTAATTGATCACTAAATACACACACTGGAAAAAAAATTCGCTTTGGTCCCGAAGATACTTTTTGAGATAATTATGTTTAAATTTTTCACAATTTTTATCAGGTTAATGCATGTGATTTTTATAAAATTGAAGTTAGTTCAAAATGTTTAACCAATAAAACCTAACTTCGTCCTTAAAAAACTACATGTATTAACCTGATAAAAATTGTGAAAAGTTTAAACTTAATTATCTCAAAAAGTATCTTCGGGACCAAAGCGAATTTTTTTTCCAGTGTGTGTATTTAGTGATAAATTAGATATTGCCCAAGTTTTGTAATTTTTCAGTTTTCTCCAAGAAAGTTATTTACATTTGAAAATAGTGAAAATAAGCAAAGTGCCAATTTTTATTGCTTTTTATTTCACATTTATGAAGAAAAAAGGAAAAAAGTGCTAAGAAAAACTAAAAGTTAGTCACAGGTACTTTATATTTGGTAAGGTTTTTTTCAATTTAATGACTTCTCTTTCTCACATTTTATAGATGAAATGTGCAAATTTAGGTTATTTGACAGGCGAACTTGAAAATCATATTTTATCTATTATTTCACATATTTAAATAATTATATCAATTGATAATGATAAATTTATTCATTCTTAGTAAATTACAACAATTTTTTTTTATTTTTATGGTAAATTCTGTTTTTTTTTTGCATATTTTCTAATGGCTAAAAAATTGACAGTTTTCAGCACCTCATAAACTTTAAATTCATATTTTGCAATAAATAATTAAAATTTTAATAAAATTCTTTTCATTTCGTGATCTTGATAACTTCAAAATCATTCCTGCAAAGTATTATAATTTTTAAAAATTAGTCAGCGACGACTTCAGTCGAAATATAATGGATTGACCCTTGAGTAAAAAATAAATAAAAGAAACATACTTTACAAATTGACTGCAAGATTCCAATAATTGATCGAAAATAACCGATATGAAATACTGGTAATTCAAGATCAATGTATCCAAAATGACCAATACATTCATTCAACGTTTTACCACAAGTTGTACAATTTGTTGAATTTGACGAAGTTCCCTTGAATAATTAATTTTTTTTTTTCAAAATTATAAACAAAAATTGTAAAATAAAATTAATTTTAAATACTTACCATTCTTTTATCCAAAACACCATAAGTAACAGGGGTTCGATTACCATCTTGACAATATAAATTCTTGGCGACGACGTGAAGATGAGCTTGTTTTCCCATATTATGTCGACTGTCGACACCGAAAGATACCTCCGATCTAAATGACAATAAAAAAAAATATATAACTTTAGAATTTGAAATGTAAAACATAAAATTAAAAAAAAAGTACATAATAAAAATCATTAATTTTTTTTTTTTTTTGTAATTAAAAGAAAATTCATACATCTTTCGGGCAACGTCTGTTTCTCGATATACTTCCTTCACCATTTTTTTAAGGTTAACTTTTATTTCAATAATGTTATTCTTTATTAAATCAAGAAAATTTGAGTAAATTAATCAAATTTCTTTTTCCCGTTATTAAATGTTAATTTATCTTAAAAATGAAGTCATTTTCACGTTTTTTTTTTGGTCAAAAGAAACACGTTTTTTTCTTAAAATTCAATGTTGAATTCCATGTGTTGTTTATACGATTCGTAACTGTAGGTAACATGGGTAGTTGAAGTTGTCTTTACTTCGTAATGGGCAGTGATGCCAACTGTATAAAAATTAATGTGCGAAATTCAAAAAGTTTTTATTTTCTACAGTGTCAAAAGAGTTAGAATAATTGCCAAAACTTAAAAGTGTCAAAAATTGGAATTGTCAAAAGAATATAAAATCTACATTACCGGCTATAATCAAAGATGGATAAATATAACAAACGAAAATCATGATCTTAATTTAAAAATTCGAACTTTTTACAATTCTATCTTTTAAAAATATATATATATATTAAAATATATTATTAAAAACATCTAAATTGATAATTAGACATCTTTTTTTTAAATAATAAAGTAAAAGGATTTCAAATTTCGATATTTCAATATTAAATGAAAATGTCATAAAACGAACCAATCAGAAATAAGATTTGTTTTACTTTATTGGTAACAATTGTCTATGAAGTTCTTTCAATTTTTATTGCGCTTCGGTTTTCATTGTATACAGTTATAAGAATGTGTAACAAATAAAATCAAGCAACCTAATTTTGTTTATTGTTAATATTTGAATTCTGTAAGTTATGTATATAGTTTTGTGAAATATTGCATTATTCTTTTTAAATATATAGACATTTTATGGATAATATATTTTACAAATATATTCGCAAATTAGAATTTTAGGTTAGAAAATGGATGACTCTTCGTCTTCTTTGGCCTATTCGGCAACGCAACTTTTGGAAAGAACTGATGAAATGTCAGAAAGTCAAACATCAGAGACTGTCAAAAGAAAGCAGGTAAGAAATATGGATAATTTACATGTTTTATATTTAATAAGTTTTATTAATACTAGTACCAGTAAATATTGAAAGTTGTCTTTTTATATTGTGTCACTAATTTTTTTTTTTTAATTTTTTTTTTATTACATGCTAATGCTATAATTTTTTATTAGTTGTTTTAAATAAATAAAAATTATAGATTGTCTTATCGGCAGAAATATTTCTTCTTCTTTTATTTATTTTTTTTAATTTAAATGATTTTAGAAATAAAATAAAAGCCGGTTTGAGCCGGTTATATTTTAATCAAAAATAAATATTAAAAAACTGGTTTTTTTGTAAAATTTGATTCTATTATAGGTTGGAGTTTTGATAATAAAAGATAAAGAGCATCCAATTTATACAGGAGTAAATACTATTGGCAGACATATTTCAAATCAGATTGTAGTCAAAGATGCGGTAATATAGTATTTTTATTAATTTAATATTCTTTTATATTACAATATAATGTACCTAAATATATTTTTATTAAGTAAAAATTATTTTATTTTAACGATTTTAACTATTTAAATCCCTTTTTTTAATTGTCACAGTCGGTATCAAAGCATCATGCCGAAATCGAAGGTAGAAAACAATTATGTTTCCTTACAGATTTAAAATCCTTAAACGGAAGTTTTGATCGATTTAAGGTAAGTTTATAATTCATATATATATATATATTGCAAAAAAAAAGAGTCAACGAATAAAAATATATTTTTCTAATTTTAGGGAAAATTTTTACCTAACAGAGGTTATGAGCTAATAAATGGAAGTACGATAAAATTTGGACAAATTGAAGCTACATTAAAACATTTTTTCACTGACGGAAATTTAATGAGAACACCGATAAATATGAGGATAAATAAAATAATTGCCAGTACACCGGAATCAGTTTTGGTAAATTTGAAATTTCCTTTTTTGTTTTTGTATTTACATCTTAAATTCTATGCATTTTCTTAATTTATTCCTGTAAAGTAAATTAATGATAAAATTCTCTTTCTTCGTATTTTTAAATTATTCCAATACTATTCTAACAAACAAAATTTACTTTATCGTGTTCCCTATATAATTGACACTAAACCCTAAAATGATTCTTTAAGATACTCAAAAATTATTGAATTCTGAATCCATTTGTACAGAACAACACCCATGATGAATCTTCTGTAGTTTATGGAACACAAGCTGCTGAAAATCAAGCTCCAGAAGAAATGGAATTATATTCTCATCTTCCGTGCAATGAAAGTTCAACATCATTTAATAAAATTGGAGAAGAATCAACAAATTCAAAGAAAAGTCCAAGATTTTCTGATAATTCAAATATTATACCTGATTCCGATTCAGATGAAGAAGGAATTTTCGAAAAACAAACACAAAAAATAATTGATAAAAAACAAATTCCAATTGTTAATAAAACAAAAAATATTGTCGAAAATTCATCAAATATTCATCAAGAAAAAAATGAAGTTGCAACAATTTATTCAAAAGTCGAAGATTCTGATAAAGAAGTTTTTAAGGAACCAATTAAAAAAATTCCCGATAAAAATGATAGTATACATGAATATGAAACTCAAGTATTTACAAAAAATGATATTCATGAAATGAAGACTCAAACATTTTTAAGTCCATCCACAAGAATATCATTAAAATCAAAAAATAATTCAAAAATCGAAGATTCAGATACAGATGAAGAGGGAATTTTTGAAAAAGCAACGCAACAAATTTCTAAAAATTTATACAAAATTCACGAAGAAAATACAAAACAAAAATCAAAAGATGAAGATTCCGAAACAGATGAAGAGGGAATATTTAATGAACCAACGCAACAAATTTCAATAAAATTAAATAAAATTCATGAAAAAGAAATTGAAAACAATTCAATTCATGAAAATTCAAAAAATAATTCAGATACAGATGGAATATTCATGGAACCAACACAAAAATTTACAACATCATCACCAAAAAGAAAAAGTAAAATTTCCGAGAATCCAAATATTGTACCTGATTCAGAGAGCGATGAAGATGATATTAATATCGCTAAATCAAATGATAATATTCATGATAATGAAACACAAGTATTTTCAAAATCAGATAATATCCATGAAGATAAAACACAAACATTTTTGAATTCATCGACAAAAGTAAATGAAGATCCAAAAGAATATTCAAATAATTTAGAAACTGAAATTAATTTTGAGGGACCAACTCAAAAAATCATTGATAATGTCCATGAAATTGAGACTCAAGTATTCACAACAAAATCAGATAAAACTCAACCATTTTCAAGTCCAACAGGAACTTTAAAAACATATTCACGAAAATCACTGAAAAATTATTCAAAAAGCTTTCAAGATAATAATGAAGATGAAACTGTATTTGATAATATTCACGAAGAAAAAACCCAAATGCTTTTGAGTCCATCGTTAAAGTTGAAAAAATCTGCAAAATTTGCGGAAAATTTTGAATCAGATGAAATTGATTTTGATGGACCAACGCAAAAAGTTCCGAATATTATTCACGAAGACGAAAATAAATCAGATAATATTCATGAAGATAAAACTCAAACCTTTTTGAGTACCAGTGCCAATTTATCGAAAAAATCTGTAAAATTTTCGGAAAATTTAGAATCAGATGAAATTGATTTCGATGGACCAACGCAAAAAGTTACGGATATTATTCATGAAGACGAAACAGAATTATCTTCAAAATCAGATAATATCCATGAAGATAAAACTCAAGCCTTTTTGAGTCCCAGTGCAAGTTCATCGAAAAAATCTGCAAAATTTTCGGAAAATTTAGAATCAGATGAAATTGATTTCGATGGACCAACGCAAAAAATTACCGATAATATTCAAGAAGATGAAACAGAATTATCTTCAAAATCAGATAATATCCACGAAGATAAAACTCAAGTCTTTTTGAGTCCAAGTGCAAATTCATCGTTGAAATTGAAAAAATCTTCAAAATTTTTGGAAAATTTAGAATCAGATGAAATTGATTTCGATGGACCAACGCAAAAAATTACCGATAATATTCAAGAAGATGAAACAGAATTATCTTCAAAATCAGATAATATCCATGAAGATAAAACTCAAGTCTTTTTGAGCCCAAGTGCAAATTCATCGAAAAAATCTGCAAAATTTTCGGAAAATTTAGAATCAGATGAAATTGATTTCGAAGGACCAACGCAAAAAGTTTCCGACAATATTCAAGAAGATGAAACAGAATTATCTTCAAAATCAGAATCGTTGAATTTGGAAATATCTCCAAAAGAATCAGCGGAAATTGATATTGATGGACGGACGCAAAAAATTTCCCCAAACGATGAAAATAAAATTCATCAAGATGAAACACAATTATTTTCAAAATTTTCAGTGAAATCGAAAGAAGTTGAAAAAGAAAATTCAAAAATCTTCGAAACAGATGAAATTGATTTTGATGGACTCACGCAAAAATTACCAATAAAATCCATTGATTTTCAAGAAACAATTGATGATAAAAATCAAAATAAATCAGATAATGAAGATTCTGACACTGATGAGGAAGGTGTTTTTGAAGAAACGAATAAAATTCCTATAAAATTAGATAAAATTCAAATGGCAAAGAATCAATCAGAAAAAGAAGAATCCGATACTGATGAAGAAGGAATTTTCGAAGGTTCAACACACGAAACTTCAACTAATTTGGATAAAATTCAAGAATCTGAAATTTTAGAAAATAATCCAGAAATTGAAGAATCCAATACTGAAAATTCCAAAACACCATTAGCGGGAAGTTCAAAAACACCGGAAATAGATTTCGCTATAGAAAAAAAAGAAAAAGTTTTAGATCCCGAAACAAATGATATTTCCACATCAGTACTAGATTCTTCTCCATCCAAACAAAACAGTAAAAAAATTACTGATTTCACTGGATTTAGTCCAAGACGTTCAAAAAGATCAACAATTATTCACGAAAAAGTTGAAAATATTTTTAAAAAATGTAAAACAAATTCAAAAACTACAAAAAAATCAATTCAAAATTCAAAATCAATATCTGAAAATAATTCAAAAAAAATCAAATCATCATCAACAAATGTAGATGTAACAAATGTAAATGAAAATTCAGACGCCGAAGTTGAATCAATATTTAAAAATAAAAATTCCAAAATAGAAGATAAAATAAATTCAAATAATGAAAAAGTTCAACCATCAACGAGTAGACAATTATTTTCAGAAAAAGAAGATTTGAAAAAAAATTTGAAACGAAAATCATCGCAGACAATTTCATCAAATTCACGAAAATCTCCAAGAATATCTAAAGTTGAAACTAATCAACAAATTTCAACTCCTAAAAAACAAATTCCCAAATCTCCAATAAAAAAAAAAGAAAATTCTTCTTCGTCAGCAAATTATGAAATGAAATCGCGATTGGCTAGTGTTGAAAATTTAGAATATGAAACAGCGGCAACACAACCAATAGACGATATTGAAAAAAACGAAACAATTCAAGTGAAAAAAACTTTAAAAAGTCCAAAGAAAGAAAAATCAACGCCCACTAGAAGATCAATAAGACTGAATGACACCATTGAAGAGAATTTAAATGAAATGTTCGAGGGTACATCTGAGGAGATTGTGGAACCTCATCAGATGTTAACTCAACAAGTGAAGAATATTTTAGAAGCAAGTCAATTGTGTGACGAAGCATCAACATCAAATGTCACTTCTAAAATCAACGAATCAACAGGAGGATCACACAAATCGCCTCAGGTTGGTAAATTTAATTTTAAATCTTTTCTTTCAAATGAAATAAATTATTTATCAAATGACGATAGCGACGATGAATTTGTTTCGTTTATGCCAAAAAAAGATGATTTAAATTCATTAACAACATCAAATTTCAAGGGTCTTTCACATTTAGCAAAAACATTACTTTCCAAATGTAATGATGATGATTTTAATCAATCGCCTTCTACTTCCTCAAATATGTCATTCAGTCCATATAATTTAAAATCAAAATCATTTCAAACACATGATATTAAATGTAAACAATTATTGTTGAATTCAATTAAAAATTTCAACATCAACGAGGAAGTAGAAATGCAAAATAACAATGACAATGATGATTCAGATGATTCTGATTTTGAGGATCTTCAACGAATGGCAAATAGGGTTTTGGATGTTAAAAGTGTCTATAATAGTGTTAATAATAGGAGCGCGATAGAGTCAAAAAAGACATTAAAAATATGTCTTGAAAGAATAAATATTGAAAAAGCCTCTGATTTTCAGGTAAACATTGGATCGCCAAGGATGTCGATGTTGAATATTCAAGTTGAAAAACCATTGAAAAAACGCGCATTAAGAACAAGTGAAAATAAAGAGGAAATGGGAAAAAATAAACGTGCCAAAAAAGATGAGAATTTTGATGATGATTCTTTAAAATCAAAAGGAAGACCTAAAAAAAATACAAACAGTGATAATTCATCAAATTCTGTAATTAATGATTCAGAAGAAATTTCAAATGAGGTGAAAAAAAGTTTCAAAATTACGATAAAACCAAAGAGAACAAGAAATAAAAAAACAAAAGAGCCTACAATTGATGTTCTTAATTCCTCCAGTTCAATTATGGATGATTCAGAAGAGAATTTAAATTCAATTCAAGTGAAAGGAGAAAATTCAAAAAGAACAAGAACTAAAAGAACGATAAAAGATGCTACAATTGATATTCCAAATTCTTCCAATTCAATGGCAGATGACTCAGAAATTACAAATTCAAATCCAATTAAAACGAAAATTCCAATTAATTCCAAAATTAAAAAAACTAGAACTCTAAAAGAGGCTGCTATTGATGTTCCAAATTCTTCCAATTCAATGGCAGATGATTCAGAAATTACAAATTCAAATCCAATTAAAACGAAAATTCCAATTAATTCCAAAATTAAAAAAACTAGAACTCTAAAAGAGGCTGCTATTGATGTTCCCAATTCTTCCAATTCAATGGCAGATGATTTAGAAGAGATTTCAAATTCAAATCCAATTCCCGTAAATTCTAAAATTAAAAAAACTAGAACTCCAAAAGAGGCTGCAATTAATCTTCCAAATTCCTCCAATTCAACGGCTGATGATTTAGAAGAGCTTCCAAATTCAAATTCAATTAAGACGAAAATTCCCCAAAATTCCAAAATTACAAGAACCAGAAAACAAAAATCAACTGTAAATTCATCAAATTCCATAGTTGAAGATTCGGAAGATTCGGAAGAAATTCCAAATTCAAATCAAATTAAGGCAAATATTCCAATAAATCAAAAAAGAACAAGAACAAAAAAAACAAATGACATTTCTAATTCCTTGAGTTCAACAAATGAAGAATCGAAAGAAATTTTAAAATTACCGACAAAAAGAAGAACACGAAAAAATACAAATGATATTTCTATTAATTCATCAAGTTCAATGAATGAAAATGTTGCCGATGTTTCAAATTTAAATCAAACGAAAGAAATATCAAAATTGCCGATAATTAACAAAAAACCAAGAATTACAAAAAAAGGAAAAATTGACACAATTTCCAATAATACATCATCAAATTCCTTAGTTGATAATACATTAAGTGAATCGTCATTATCTGAAAAAATAATTGAACCAAAGAAAACTCGTGGGAGAAAACCAAAAAATCAAGGAGAAAATTCAAAATTAGAAAATTTATCAACAAATTCTTCAATATTATCATTGGCCGATAGTGATTTAAATTCATCAACTGCTTCAACTTCATCAAGAGCAAAGAGAAGCAGATTTAGTTCTCCTTCTAAACATAAAGTTCTATTCACTGGAATTGCTGTTAAAGACTATCAAAAACATTTGACAAAATTGGGTAAGTTGACTTCTAATTTTTTTAAAACATTTTTTTATTATTATTTATTTTTATAGTTATTTAATTATAAATTTGAATGATAATTGAAATTATCTTTTTTTGCAGGACTACAAGAAACGGAAGATATTAATAAATGTACAATTCTAGTAACTGACAAAGTAAGAAGAACTTTCAAATTTCTTTGCGCCTTATCACGTGGTATACCAATTCTATCCGTGAAATGGATAATGGATAGTGCAAAAAAATCGAAAATTCAAGTACTTGATGATTATATTATAAATGATTCAATTGCTGAAAATAAATTTCAATTTAATTTAAAGGAAAGTCTCCAAAAGGCTAAAGATAAAAAAATGTTAGATGGCTGGACAATTGTGCTTACACCAAATATTACTGCTCCACCAGTAGATGAATTGAAAGGTAACTTTTTTTTTTTTTTTTTTTAAATTCAATTTCTAATTTAATTTTAATTTTCTAAAATCAATTTATCCCTTTGAAATTTTTTTTTTATAGAAATGGTCATTGCCTGCGGTGGAAAAGCATTATTACGATCACCAACAAAATGGACAAACGATATGATAATAATTTCACATGAACAAGATTATGAAAATGCTAAAAAATTCATGACAAAAGCTCCAAAAACTGTACAACTGCATTCAACAGAATTTTTGTTAACTGGAATATTGAAGCAGGAAATTAATTTGAAAAATTATTTATTAAAAATTACGTGAGGCTAAAAAATGAAAAAAAAAACTGTACAGTTTAAATAATTATTTTACAAATATCACATATTTAGTTTTATATTTTTATGTATTTGAAACATTAAAAATGTATCTTTAATTTTTGTATTAAATAAATGTGCGTTAACATTAAATTGGAATTTTTTTTTTTTGAAATAATTGAAACAAAACAAAAAAAAAATTTTTATATTTTAAATATTTAAAAAATTAATGTCATATTTCGGAGATTCCCGCAATATTTTGTGGTGTGAAGTGACCTTTAAAGGTGCACTTATTGTAAAAGCGCCTTAAGAATCTAGCAGACTTCAAATTCAATTTGACAGTTACTACACGATTTGTAAGTATATTTAAATTATTAAATAAAATTTCGATTAATAAAGAAAATTTCCTTTAAAGGAAATTAAACTTATTAATTAGTTATGTTCCCTATTTTTTAATAGGTGGAAATATAAAAAGAAATTAAAAGCGACATTTTTCAATTATGTCTTCGCCAATCTCGTCAAGTAAAATCAATTCTTATATTTATATTAAACCAAATAATATTGCGTCACAAGAAGAATCAAATAGCGAAGAAGATGATTTTGTTTCATTTTTACCTAAAAAAGAGAAAATAAAATCAACAGTTAATTTAACATCACAAGAAAATGATGATGATGATGATGATGAGAAATTAGAACTCGCTTCAATTTCATCAATAAATGAAAATAATTCCGAAATTAATGTTAATAATTCAACAATGAAAGTGGAGAAATTTGAAAACAATGACGATGAATCTTCTGATTCTGATTTTGAAAAACTTGTTCGAATTGCTAATCGTTTTTATGACGTTAATAATGAAAATAAACCATCGGCGGCAGCATTAAAATTAAAAATACAAATGGAAAAATCAAACAATTCTATTAATAATAATAATACTAATGAGCTAGAATCAAAAGAAATTTCTAATTCATCAATTTCGACAGATATTTCAAATTCAAATAAAGAAACATTAAAACTACCGACAAAAAGAACAAGAAACAGTAAAATTACAAATTATTTTTCTCCTAATTCCTCAAGTGCCAAAGATATTTTAAATTTAAATCAAACGAAAGAAATTTCAAAAGTGACGATAAATATAAAAGAACCAAGAATTACAAGAAAAAGAAAAATTGACACAATTTCCAATAATACATCATCAAGTTCCATAGTTGAAAATACATTAAATAAATCGTCATTATCTAAAAAAACAATCGAACCAAAGAAAACACGTGGAAGAAAACCAAAAATTCAGGGAGAAAATTCAAAACTGAAAAATTTATCCACAAATTCTTCAATTGCTTCAAAAGCAAAGAAAAGCAAAGAACAAAAAATTTTAATTCAAGATTATACAAAATTTGAACCACCAAATACCAGAGGAAATGCCAAAAAACAACTTTTAGAAAATTCAAATCAAACGAAGAAATTTTAAACTCCGTTTAAAATTAATAAAAAAAAGCGTGAATATAATTGAATTTCTAATACTATCGAAACAAAAAAAGTTTTATTTTCAAAAAAATAATAATAATAATTTAATTACTTTGTTACTCCTATAAATATTTATTGAAAAAATAAAATAATTTCTTTAAAAAAAATGCTTCTTAATAATTATTAAGAATTATTTCTATATTTTTTAAAAATTTTATATTATTTATTTATCAATATTTCAAATAGTTTATTTAATATTTAAAAAAAAAGAAAATAATATATATATATATAAAATAAGAAAACATATGCGTCACGTTTGGTACGAGATGCGCCACAAGTAGTGGAGATGAAAGAAAAGCATCTGGAATTTTTGTATCAACGAATCTTTCCCTCCACTCTTTACAAGTTTAGTGAGAAGCAAATTTATCGTCGAGAACTGACCGCATAGCGCAGACTTTATTTCATCTAAAAACAGGAAGTTCATCCGGACTAGTTATACTATATCAAATATTATATTTTAAGAGGAAAAAAAAAAAATTTTCACATTTATATATCCAAAAAGAATTAAAAGTGACGAAAAAAAAAATCAAATTACAAAAAAATTTAACGGTAAGAAAAACATTTTAAATGTTTAAAATTAAAAATTTAATTCTTATCTTCTTCATATATCTTTCTTTTTAAATAAAAATTATTATTTTTTCAGAAATGGGATTAAATCCAATGAAATGGAAAACAAAAACATTGGCTTACACTTTTTTCACTATTTTAATTGTTTATGGATTATTTTTTTACAAGAGAAAGCACACAGTGTCATTTGAAATTATAATTAAAAATTCAACACCCGAAATTGTTTGGGAATTTGTTGCAGATTTTAGTAACATGAAGCAATTAAATCCAACAATGTAATATAAAAATTCATTTTTTTTCTATTTAAGAAACAAATTTCAATTTTTTTTTTTATTGAACAATTTGCATTTTTTGTATTTTACAGTGAGGATTTTAATATTATTGCCGAAAGTGGAAATTACGATCATTGGAAATATTCAGTGAAATATTCCGAACATTTGAGTCACATTCCAATTATCAAAAATACAGCTCACGGTCATTTTGCAGTGAAACCTGAGGAATTAGGTTTTTCCATTAATTCCGAGCATCGAACATGTTTTCTCACCAATTTTGATTGTGGTAAATTTTTCTTTTTCTTTTTCTATATATATATATTTAAAATTTCAAATTCAAATTTATTTTTGTTTTCTACTTTCAGTGAATTCGATATCAGAATTTAAATTCCAAGGAATTGGTAATGACACAAAATGTCTGGAAATTGTTGAATACGAATGTCCAATACTATTTTCATCACTTTGCTATAAAGAAGTCATGTATCAACGACAAGAAATAATGAAAAATTTGCAATTACATTTTGATAAAATAAATGTAAAAAAATAGTTTTAAGTTAAATAAAAAAAAAAAAGTTTTCCTATACTAGTACAATTTTTATTACATTACAAGCGTAAAAAGCTTTTATAAGCAATTTTAACATTTCATACATATATATTATAAATCAAAAATATTTTTTCAAAGCCAAACATTAATAATAGGAATCATTCTCTCTTATTTACATCCGTGCTTTTTTTTTAAATTCGCAATTTCATTCATATATGTATATATATATACATTTACAAAATACTTTCTTTTTAATTGATAAATTTGCTCTAAATTGGCAGAAGGGCGGAATTGAAATTTCAGTATTTGAGAGAATATAGAAATGTTTTTTTAAAAAAATATACAAATATTTTTTTTTTTTTCTATCTAATTATAGTTCTCTAAAATATAAGCTTTTAGAATCTATCAGCTAGTTACTGTCCAATCGCCAGTTTCACGAAGTGTCTTATCCGTTAATCTTTCAATTTCAGTGATAAGACGTTCGGTTTCCAAATCTAGACAAACTACATTTGCTTCTACAGGATCCCATTCTAAACTATCAGCACTTGATACACGTGACCAAGGTGAGGCAGTCAAACTAGAAGGATGTGAATTATCGGCAGTTTTAATTGAGGAATTACATGATTTTTCTTTTTGGTTTAATCCTAAAGCGTAGAGGGGAATACCTAAAAAAAAAGAAAAGAAAACCAATTTTTCCTATTTAATAAATAATAAGAAATCTATAAAGGAAAATTTTTTTTTTAAATTTATTCCTCTACCTTCGTTTTCCCATTCGAGATCCAATGAAGAGACAGGAGTCGATAAAACTCCACCTTGTTCTCTAATTATTTTCTGTGGTTCTGTACTTTGCAAGGATGTATCAGAATCGTAGCTAAAAAAAAAAAAAAAGTAAAATTGTACTAAATAAGAAAAAAATAGAAATAAAATTTTATTTAATAATTACCTAGTTGAAGCATTATTTTTCGAATGTAACAGAATATATTTATTGCAATTTCTTGGCCAGTCATCATCATTAATTAATTGTAAAGTCGATCCTTGGTTCCTTTTCTACAATAAATATTTATAAATACCAAAAAAATGAAATTAAAAATATAATCTAATTTACAAAACACAATACCTTAAAGCGTTTCATAATAAGAAATGACAGTAGTCTATCCGGAAAGCGTAAACGTAAATAAAATTTTTATATATAAAAAAAAATAGATTTATTAATAAATATTTTACTCACCTTTTTGAATTCAATTGTTTTCTCTGGCCTAAATCAAAATCCGTGTCAAACTGAAATATTTTTAATTTTTATTTATTCAACTATTATTTAACAGTGAATAAATAAAAATAATTTTTACCTCAACTTGTTCGTCCTCTTCGGAAGACATCCTTGTATGGCTGCGAGAAAATCTATAAATATTTTCAATAAAATCTAAATTTGGAAAATAGAACAACTAATTTTTCTACAAATTACATTTAGAAAATTAAATTACCTAAATCAAAAAAAAAAAAAATATTATTTAATTTTCTAACCTGTTTGATATGGAGTCCAAAATTTTGGAAATGCAAAGGCCTAAACAGGCCCCCATTAATTGCAAAATTGCGGCTACTGGCCGTCATCTAAATATTTTTACAAACTGCTTTAAAATTGCACTTTTATTAAAACTTGTCAAAAAAAAAAAGAGGAAAGTTTAAATTATTCGTTGTACATACATTTTGCACTTTTTAAATTATTACAAATTGAATAAAAACCACACCCTGAAACGTCATATATGTGAATAAATTTTTACTAAATAGTATAATATAAACATTTATTTGTTTTAATAAAAAAAATTATTGAGCTTTGACATTTTATTTAAATCAATGAATGTCAAATTAATTATTATAAAGACTTTATTTTTTTTTAAGGCGAACCGGTCACCACACAGCTGTTGATCAAATGGCGTTTATAATGCAAAAAATCACTACTTGCAATATTACCCTCATTTTTATACGCAGAAAGAATTATAAGAATAATATACAAAAAATTCCTCTATTTTTCCCCCTCTATTAATGAAAAAGTGCTTATATTAAAAGTGAATATTTTATTACTAATTAATTTTCATAATTAAATTGCCTATCATTATTTTATACGATTATAAAAAAAATAGATTTGCAAAATTTTTAATTTTTCATATTACCCGCCAAGGAAGCAATAGTGTCCGATTTGTCCATGTCAACCAATAAAATTTGAGACAAAATATCCTACCCCACCTTGCTTGCATTGTAAAAAGCACCTTTATATCAAGGCCACGTCAAAAAAAAAAATTCTGTTTTGTCATTTTAACCTAAAAAAAACAAAAATGAAATTATTTTTGTTATTATCAAAATTACCAGTTTTATATATTGTTTTAAATTTATTTACAATTCTACATGCAGAAAATACAAATGAACCGATTAAAAAAACATGGAAAGATAAAGATATAAGAGATATGTCGGACGCCGATTTAGAACATATACTTGATCAATGGGAAGAAAATGAAGAACCATTGGAGCCAGATGAACTTCCTGAACATTTACGACCACCTGCAAAAATAGATATTAGTAAATTGGATATGTCTAATCCAGATAATGTTTTGCGTGCAACAAAAAAGGGCAAAGGTGTTATGATGTTTGTTGATGTTAGACCCGATATTTCAATTGACAATGCTAAAACAATAATGCAAATTTGGCAAACTAGTTTACAAAATAATCATATTATTGTTGAAAGATATCCAATTGAAGATAGAAGATCAATTTTTATGTTTCGCGAAGGATCACAAGCGGTTGAGGCAAAAAATTATTTAATTGCTCAAAAGGAATTGCAACTTGTCACACTTGAGGGACAAACATATACAGGACAGTATTCATTAAATACTAAAAAAAAGACTGAACTTTGATATTTTTCTTTTTTTCTGTAAAAAAAAAAATATTACATTTTCTTTTGTATCATAAATAATAAATTGTATAATTTTGAAGAAATTTTGAGTATTTATTTCAATATTCATTCTTTGAAAAAAAATATTTATTTTATTTTTTAAAAATTAAATTTAAAAAAAAGAAAAACTAAGAATGGTATATTTTTATGTTCAAGAATAAGAAAAATTTTTATCTAAAAATGTATATTTTTTTTTATGTACACTTTATAATCATTATACATATGTTTCTAATTCGACAAGTTTTATAATGACCATCAGAACGTTTTAACGACTTAAACTTTTTTTTTAATTTTCTTTTTTTTACAATAAACATTTTTTTTTTTTGAGTGTTTATCATTTTTTTTTAAAGCAAAGAACAATTTTTTTTAATAGTAATCAGCAATAAAAGGACTGCGTTTTTTAATTTGATATTCTATCTTCAATTATCATTTTTCAATACGTTCGTTAACCACTTATGCATATACAATCATTAAATTAAATATTTTTTCATTTCAAATTTTTTTTTGACAAATTCGATGATTTTTGTTTCTTCATGCATTTAATTTAATTATTATTTATGCTTCCAGGCGCCAAATCGTTTTTTTTTTTTTTTTTTTTTTTTTGACGAATGTCGTCACAACTTTGAGTATCTTATTTACGTAGTTTGATTGTTTATTATTGTTACTAATAATATAATTGTAAATATTAATTGTAGTTGATTAAAATTTTTTCAATTGCTCACTCACAGGATTCACAATTACTAAGTTTTTTTTTTTTTTTTTTTTTTTTTTTTGAAATTCCCTTATTTAAATAAAAGAAAATAAATAATTAGTTCTACATTTTTTACAACATAAAAATTAAATCGTTTATTTTTTTTCTATGTCAATTAGTCAAATATTTACAAAAACTTTTTCTTATAAACTAAAATAAATAAGCTTTTATTTTTTTAAAAAAGAAAAATAAAATCAATATAAAATCTATTGATTTAGAATAAGTTGTCAATTTTTCAGATAAAATTCAGGTTGATTATTTTTTATTATTTTGAGAATGAAGCGCAAACTGGCAGTCCTGTTCTAGCTAGCTTATTAAAAAATTTTCAATATACAATTAAACTACAAGAAATTAGAAAAAAAATGTATGTACAGAAAGTTTACAATTTATTAGCTCTAAAGAGATCTGTAAAATCATCTTTTAAAATCACATTTTTTTTTTTTTTTTTTGTTCAACAAAGTTTTGTAACAGTTTACTTAAATTTAAATACTTATTTATAAATATATTTATAAAATATTCCAAACGTTATCAAGCTTTCTTTAATTATTTTTAAAATTCTTATAGAATTATATTTTCAGATAAAATTTAATTTTCTTAAATTGGAACAAAAAGATGTTGTAAAATGTTTAAAAACAAAAATTTTATTTCAATTTTTAACCACGAAAAAAACTACACACCATGTAATTTTTCTTCATTAAAAATGACTTTTTACTCATAGCAATTAGTCAAAATAATTTATTTAAATAATAAATTATAAAAAAAAAAAAATAACGATTCTAATAAAACTTGTTCATGCATCAGTGGAAAATATATCTTAATAAATTTCGAGACTCTATAAAAAAAAAAAAAATAAATAAATAACTAAAGAGAAAATTAAATATAACATAAATTAATAATTTTCTAATATAAACCTTTTTCTCGGACTTTTTTTTGCACTCTAAAAAAATTATCACTGGCAAAATTTAGTAACTACACCTAAAAAAAAAATTGTACACACCCGAGATAATACTGTTTTTTTAATATATGACTTTTAATTTAATTTTTCTTCATTAAAAATTCTTTTTCTGAAATGATCCACAAATGTGTCACACTAGATAATTAAATATTTTTCGAGCAAACAACAAGATAGAACAAATTTTATATTATTTTACCTTTGAATTTTTTTTTTTTTTTTTTTTTCTTTTAACAACAATGCTTAGCATTTTTTTTCGACTTGCAATCATTTTTCAACAATTCGTTAAGTCTGCTGATAATTCCGTTTGGAATTAAAAAAAAAAAAAATAAATAAAATTAATATAAAAAGGCAAAATTAAAAAAAAAGGTAAAAAAAAATAAAATAAAAGAATAAAAATGTATTCTACAACGCTGATCGGGTCTCTATACACATCAACGCACAGCCAAAATATTTGAAACTGAGACTCTTTAAAAAAAAAAAAAAAAAAAAAAAAAAAAGAAAATCACCTTCTGCCCTCCAAAAGCAATTCTGAAATATTTTCATTATTGTTTGAATATTCGCAGACATCGTCATGATGCGCTTTTACTCTCTTTACAGCCAGATTAATATTTCGTTTCGATTTTTTGTTTCTTCATTGGAACTAATTTTCTCTTTTATATGTTACACGGCTTCAAATTGGTCCCCAGCTGCCGATTATAAAACAAGATGTAAGCATTACTAAAATCTTCATCGTGAGGTTTTTTCTTGCTTGTCTCTTCGTCATTATAGTAATGCCATACATCTGTACGAGGATTTCTTGAATATGCCGTATAGTGACCGGCCGATACTCCTGGAGAATTTTCAAAATAAATAATAAAAATTCCAATAAAATCAATAATGTTCAATTATTGAAAAGAATTTGAGTTATTTTGAACTGTTTTCAAACACAAAAATATCTTCCATCAAATAATTTATCAATTAATTGTCTTTTTAACTAGAATTTTTGATGATATTTAAACTTAGTTGAAAATAAATTTAAAATTATAACAAACCTCCAAAATGACAAACACAGGCATATAGATCATAAAGATGTTTTCCTACACTAAGTCCAACAAGAGGGAACGTCACCTTGTCGTCTAATTTCATACTAATACATTCGTGAAATACGAATCTGCAAAAAAAAAAATAGAAAAATATATGTTTTTCTTCAAATAAAAAGAAATATTTTTTTTTTTTATCTAAAATTAAAACAAAAATTTTTTACCTTTTTAAATATACAATAAGAAACTTAGGATAACGATGGACGGTGAGAGTTTTTGTAGCACACTGATTGACTTCACATTTTGGACAAAACCATGGATTATGTTCGTCCAAAGTTTCACTAAACAAACAAATTTTAATTTAAACAAAATTTAAACTATCGAGATTCTGAAATTAACATAATAATAATAATAATTATTATTATTATAATATAATTTTAAGAAATTATTGAAAATAAAAATTTACCTTTGGCTAAATGCTTGCAAACAATCATAAAGAGAAAGAGGATGAGGAGGTCGTTGTTTTGTGACACTGATATGATCGATCGGCGATGCGAATTTTGGAATGTTTTCTGTATATCTTACTGCTAATGTGTCGCCATTTTGTAAACTAACTGTACTCGATTCAGGTACTCCGCAACCAGTGCAATGTTTTGTATAAATACACCTTGAGCAATGATGACCCTTTAACAAAATAATTTTTTTAAAGCATTCTTTTAAAGTACACACGGTACCCTGCAACCAATCTCAACCCTCAACATTCTCCCTTTCAAAAATTCCTTTTGCAACTTGTTCGGGGTACCTCACTGAATATTTTCAAACAAAAAAAATCAAAATCCGTCGGGCGCTTTTTTTTAATTTCAATTTTTGTAATTTTTGCGCCAAATTAAAAAAAACTGGTTTTTATAATTATTTAAAGTAAAATTCAACTTCGCATGGTCAAATTTTGTTCAAGAAATTATACAAAATCATAATCCCGGTAAAAAAATTTGTGTAGAATCGAAATCTGACATTGGCTTTCGAATTTAAAGCAGAGGAATACCAAAAAACCGGAGAACTGTAAATATTCTAAAAACAATCTCACCGTAGCGTCGTTTTTTCCAAATTGTCTGTCAAATTTTATAAAAATAAGAGCAATTTCAAAATTTATCGAAATTTCCCAATAAGTAACAGTTTTTTTTTCAAATTTACAAAACAAAATATTATAGAATGAACATTTTTTTTCAGTGATTAAAATTTTGAATTTAAAAGTTAACAAAATCTAGGGTATGTGTTTAATACAGAAAAAAAATTTCGACACAGAAAACTTGAAAAAAACGACAGTGAGATTGTTTTTAGAATATTTACAGTTTTCCGGTTTTTGGGATTCCTCTGCTTTAAATTCGAAAGCCAATGTCAGATTTCGATTCTACAGAAATTTTTTTACCGGAATTATGATTTTGTATAATTTCTTGAACAAAATTTGACCATGTGAAGTTGAATTTTACTTTAAATAATTATAAAAACCAATTTTTTTTAATTTAGCGCTAAAATCACAAAAATTGAAATTAAAAAAACGCGCCCGATGGATTTTGATTTTTCTTGTTGAAAAATATTCAGTGAGGTACCCCGAACAAGTTGCAAAAGGAATTTTTGAAAGGGAGAATGTTGAGGGTTGAGATTGGTTCCAGGGTACCGTGTACACTTTTAAAATTAAATCAATTTTTTTCTAAATAAATTCCTACGAAAAAAAAAATGTAAATTAAATTATAAAATTTTGTCAATTACCTGTCCATCTACAAAATGTACAGTGTATTTTCCTTCTTGCGGTACAACTCGTCTGACAACCTCATATAAATCGGCAGCATTTACTCTTGATGGTAGTCGAATTAAATGTGGATAACTAAAAAGCTTCATATCCCTTCGATTGTTGGTTGCTTCATTTGTATCGTATCGCAATACAAGTGGAACGTTTAATATTCGAATTGCAGGCCTTGGTCTACCGGTCTGATCGATTTTTGTAAATGATGCGGCCGTTACACTCGTTGAACAAACTGGACAATTGTTCGTTGCTTGACTCTTGAAGTAGTTCTATTGGAAATAAATTTACTCAATTTTTTTTTTCCCCCTTCTAACTTATTTCACAATTATATCTAATTGTTGATTTATTGCCAAAAATTCAGAATGAATTATTCAAAAAAAATAAATAGTGAAATATTTAATTCATATCTTTTTTTTTACACTAAACCCTCAGCATCAGGGCAGTGTCATATTAGTCTGAATTGAGTTCTTAACTTTTTGTTTTTTAAAAAAAAAGTTAAGCTTGCAGATTGAACTAAAAGAGCGGGTCACACGAGTTTCCATCTTAACAATTTAGTCACCTCCGTTTATCATTTGACAAACATCCACGGCAAATGGACCAAAGTCAAGCTATTTCTGGTTCTCGTGCACACTTTTAAAGTGTCGTCCTGCTAGAACGTTCGAGGACCTCATCTCAGACCTTCCCGAGGTGGTTACATGACAAATGTCTAGTAAACAAAAACACCCCTTCTGCTAGATTGACACTGCCACATTTCATCATCGGGTAACATTTTTTTTTTTAACAAATATATTTTTTTATTATTAACATTTACTTTTTTAACAGCCTATTTTTTTTAATAGTAATTTCTAATAATTATTTATTATTTTGATAATAAATTTTACTTAATCTCTGAAAAATGAAATTTACTAATTTATAATTAAAATTAACTTGTCTATTATAAAATTATTTTGTGATGAAATTTTTTTTTTCAATAGTAAATAAAATTATGATATTGAGAAAATATTCGTAATTCTAGTGGTAGAAAAAGAAGTATTTTATTTTTGTTTATATAAATATTTTGCAAATACTATTTACCTCAACGCAGGGATCGCACATGATGAAATTACAATTATTTTCACTGTGTTTTTTTAATTCTCCATCGCATTCTTCGAGGCATATTAAACACGTTCCAATTTCATCGCTACTTGTTGTGCCATTTTGCAAGGATTCAGAATCAACAATTCTATCACCACCTCCATCAGGAACTGTTGTTGTTGAAGTTGAATGTCCATCTGGTGGATCAGTCAACTCAAAAGCGTATATTGATCGATTCATAGCGTTCACGTATTTCAGCATTGTATTGTCTTCCTTAAATTTAAAAAAAAAAAAACTTTTTGTAGATAAGTATTTTTTTGTAGATTAAAAATTAAAATTGCTTTTATGAATTAGTTTTTAAAAATCAATTGTTAAAAACTATTTTTAATAGTTTAAATTTCGAAATTCGAAAGGAAATAAACATTCCAAATTGATGACTTAAAAAGGAATGTATGGAAAAATTTTAAAATAACCTATAATCACTTATAGAATTTAGCAATAAAATAAAATTTAAATGTACAGTGAAATGTAGCTTCGTAATAAATCTTTAAATTACGAAAATGTTCTTTCGCTCTATAATTTATTCTTGGAGAACAGTATCGACGACAGTTTATTCTGAAAAAAAGTCGCCTTCTTCATTCTCCCAATGAAAAAAAATTTTTTTTTTTAATAAAAATTCCCTGTAAATATTTTTTAAAAATATTTAAATAAATTAATTAATAAGTTTCAACCCATTAACATAACTTTAAACAAAAAAGTAGTTTTTAAAACAACTAATTTTAAAATTAATTTCATCCAAATTGTACAATTTTCAAAAAAAAACTTATTTTAAATTAAAATTTATTGTTATGTAAATAATAATTAATATCTATTTTGTATTTTTTCTTAAAAAAGTTAGTGAACAATTCTAATTTTTATCAACAATGGCTCATTTTTTGAAAGATTCTCTACAATTCTGTTTTTTTTTTGTTAAATAATAATTTGTTTAAAAATTATAAACAAAAATAATAATGAAATTTGATGAATATACTAACCAATATCCTGGCAATATGATTTTCAAGAACTTCAGCGAGTGCAATATTAGACATCGACACATGTTCCTTGCCAAGAAGTTTAAGTAATTCTTCCTTTAATTTACCTATTCTTGATTGTTTATTTAAAGAAACAACACATCGAACAGGAGCTTCATTATTTGCAGGAACATAAGTAACACTTAATTGTCTTTCCATAGCGTGAGGTAATGGCACCGACAAATACATAAAGGGCTCATACGTCACTGACACATGTTTACAAACTGCGCAAACAACCTATAATTTATTTTTTTAATTAGAAAAAATTTATTTGATTATAGATATCAATTTTTTTAAAAATATTATTATTAAGAAAAAAAATTGTTGCTACAGACTGAGCCTTGTAATTCGAAAAAAAACAAGAAGGAATTTCCGTTGCTTATTAATATTGGAGATTATTTACGGTATTTTACTTAAAGATTACAGCAATACCCCAACGTTAATCTCCGAGAAAGAATTATTCCAAAAAAAAAAAAATAATAATACTCACAGTACTTTTAAATTGTCCTTGAAATGTGTCGACAATAATACTTCTATTTGTCTTTAAATGTTTCGCCCAATGTTTATCAGCTTCAATTTCATCTTGCGATGCAACGGCACCATTTTCATAATATTGTAAATTTTTCGATGATTGCATTCCACTAGGCCCTAATCCATCGTGACGATGATTTTTCTCCTGATCCTCAAGTCTCATTCTTTTTACATTACATTTTTCCAATCCACTATCACATTCTGTTTCTGATCCACTTGATATACCCATACATTCAATACTGTTACAATTTTTTTTTTGCACATTCATTTCATTTATTCGTTTAACACTAACGCTTTTATTATCAAAATCATGATTTTCAGTTAAATTTGAATTGTCCAATGTTGTTCTTCTTATATTTTCTTTTGGAAATTTTTGTGAATCATAATGAATTTCATTATTGCATTCGTGTTGTGTTACAAGAAAATTAGCATTACTTGTTTTTGCTTCTTTTAAAATATCACAAAGACCAGGATAATTATTCATTCCATGTAAATCATTTAATTTATCTAATTTTGAATAATGTGAATTAAAATTAATCAATACTAATTCATTATCATCAGTTTGTGTTTTATTGTGAATGAAACTTGGTTTTGTGTCTGTCAATTCAGAAAGAAGTTCTAATTCATCTTCATTTAAAGGTGAACCATGTGGTGTATTTGCCGTACTGTCTAAATCAATTACAGGTGAGCTTAAATCTAAAATAAAAAAAAAAATAAAATGCAACAACTAGAAAAAAAAATTTTTTTGAAAAATTTTAATTTTCTACCTCTTGGAGATCCAGCCATTGTGACATTTGGACTATTTGGACATTCTGGAGATGGTGAATTATCATAACAGTCCATAAATTCTTCATCAGAATTATTAGTGGCAGTAAAACGAGAATCTTTTTTACCATTTTGTGTAGTAGTAATAATTGAATTGGCAGTATTAATTGTCATTGATGATTGACAATTTTTGGCAGGTTTTGCAACATTCATTTGCTCGTGTAATGAATCCAAGAGCAATGCAAGAAATTCTTGACAATCATGCTTGAAAAAAAAAAATTAATTTTTTAATTTATAATCTCTTTTTCAATAGGGTTAGTCCACTAACTTTCGTCTAATAGTGGTTGCGACCAAATTTTAAAAAAATCTAGTTTTAATATATGTTTTTCAATTTTTTTAAAAACGCTATTATTAAAAAACTATTAAAAATTAGATGTTGGAACTCACCAAATTATTATTATTGCAAAAATTTATTATTTTTGGATGATATACGATTTTAAAAAAAATTTTATTTAAATATTCACAAGATTTTTATTTGCTTAAAACTTTTTTGTCGGTGCTCCGAAAAAATTGAGGTTTTGCACAAAGATTTTTTATAATATTCTTTACCTTCTATTAAAATCTTACGAAGGTGTTTTGCTTCGTTTTGGAGATATTAATTTTCAAAATTTTTTATTTAAAAAGGTTAATTAAAAAACTTGAAGTTAACTAACCAATTTCAAATCGCTACATTTTAATATATTTTTATAAAAAATGGAGCAGTTTGAATTTGGTTAGTTAACTTCAAGTTTTTTAATTAACCTTTTTAAATAAAAAATTTTGAAAATTAATATCTCTAAAACGAAGCAAAACACCTTCGTAAGATTTTAATAGAAGGTAAAGAATATTATAAAAAATCTTTGTGCAAAACCTCAATTTTTTCGGAGCACCGACAAAAAAGTTTTAAGCAAATAAAAATCTTGAGAATATATAAATAACATTTTTTTTAAAATCGTAGGGTAAATGCACTAATTGCGGCGAGATTCGAGTCAAAACACCTTTGAAATAGAAAATTCGTCATTTCTATTGTATAAACTCAATTTAAGACTTATTAAACTTAAAGCTTATGTTATTAAGATATTAAAAAAAAATTTTAACTCTATAAAAATCGATTATTTAAACAAATATGAGAAATTAAAACTAATACCGTAATTTTCTATTGCGGCGAGTTTGTATCAGTTTCGGTGTATCAATTTCGGTGACCAAAATTACGTGTATTTTGAAGATACTTTGCCCGCCGAAATTGAAGCCAATGGAAATCTTAAAAATGTTTCAATTGCGGCGCGGAAAAAAATTTGATCTCAAATAATTAAATTAATAATTGTTTAAATGTGCATCTTTATAAGTATTTGTATCAAAAAAAGATTGAAATAATTTTTTTTAATCATTTGGCAACAGTTATATTAAATATAATAGTAATAATAGTTATTTTTTATGAACGCGCCGTAATTGGTGCACTCGCCGTAATTAGTACACTTACCCTATATCATCCAAAAATAATAAATTTTTGCAATAATTCTTTCGTTCCTCTGTGCAGAATAAAGTGATTTATGTTTTTGGTGAGTTCCAACATCTAATTTTTAATAGTTTTTTAATAATAGCGTTTTTAAAAAAATTGAAAAATTTAAGGTTACAAAATCACATTGTGAACCTTCTACTTTTGATATTTAATATTTTTAAAGGGAATAAAATTTTTACCATAATATTATGGTTAATGAACTCAGGGAATCATCGAGTTTCACTTATATTAAAACTAGATTTTTTTTTAAAATTTGGTCGCAACCACTATTAGACGAAAGTCAGTGGACTGACCCAATAATGAAAAACACCTACTTGTCTATAGTCCTTGAATTGTGAATGATAAGCGCCTAGGGATTGTTTAAATTCCGTAGGTCTTATGACACTATGTCTACCGGACCACATTTGACTAAGAAGAGAACTAAAATGCGCCATTAAAGAACCAGATGGTGGTAGTTTTTCCCCTTGCTGTTGTAAATCTATAAAATGTCGTAACACAGGTGGTGTGGCAGTGAGACATTGCAAACCAGCGGCCATAAAGCAAGTGTTACCAAGATTACGAAGGCCACAAACACCAGCAAGGGTTGTCTCTGTCAATAAATAAAAAAAATCAGTTTTTCTTGTTTATAAAATTAAATTAAAAAAAAAAGGGAAATATATTTACCACTCTCTGAACTTTCTTGCGTTTCCCCCGTGTCTGTGAAGAGATTATTAAGTGCACGAGGATTGGAGGGAAGAAATGGACCATATTCAATACCACCGTTTGTATCAATTGGATCCGAATCTGGATCTGCATATCCTTCTAAATCATCGGGTGCTGGAAGTGGAATTGGAAAGTCTGAAGCTGGAGTATTACTTTCTGCCCTAAAAAAAAAAAAATTTTTTAATTTAGATAGAAAATAATAATAGATTCAAAGAAATTTAAAAACTACCATGTATTTTCAATTCCCATAATGTTGTCCACAGAAAGAAGATTATCTTCTTGTAGAGTTAAATTTTGATCTAGGGAAGAAGTCAACGGACTGAGACGTGGTGACGCCCCAAATAATTCGGGAATATCCGACGACTCAATCATCGAATTGTCTTCGACTTCCGATACCACCTTATTGTCCATTCAGTCTGCTATTTATCTACAAAAAAAAATTCGTTTCTTAAATTTCATCTCAAAAACAAAAAAAAAAAAAAACAATATTGCAATTAGCGAAAATTATTCCCTCAGTATTAGGGCAGTGTCATATTAGTCTGAATTGAGTTCTGGACTTTTTGTTGAAAAGTCAAGCTTGCAGATTGAACTAAAAGAGCGGGTCACACGAGTTTCCATCTTAACAATTTAGTCACCTCCGTTTATCATTTGACAAACATCCACGGCAAATGGACCAAAGTCAAGCTATTTCTGGTTCTCGTGCACACTTTTAAAGTGTCGTCCTGCTAGAACGTTCGAGGACCTCATCTCAGACCTTCCCGAGGTGGTTTACATGACAAATGTCTAGTAAACAAAAACACCCCTTCTGCTAGATTGACACTGCCACATTTCATCATCGGGTAACATTTTTTTTTTTTAACAAATATATTTTTTTATTATTAACATTTACTTTTTTAACAGCCTATTTTTTTTTTTAATAGTAATTTCTAATAATTATTTATTATTTTGATAATAAATTTTACTTAATCTCTGAAAAATGAAATTTACTAATTTATAATGCCACATTTCATCATTGGGAAAAGAAAATATAATCAACAATATAGAGTTTTTCTATTTTCTATTAAATACATTAATTCTATTATTCTCAGACAAAATTTCTCGTTTAAATTCCTTAAAACTGATAATTGAAATTTTTTTTACAGTTTAAATAAAATTTATGAAAACAATTATTTCAATCAATTGAAATAATTTTCATTTAATCGAATAATAATTTATATATGTATCTTCAAATATTGAAATCAATAATTGAAAAAATATCAATTATTCAATATTTGAAATTATTATCTTCAAACAATCAAAGATTTTCTATTATTAAACATCTATATTAAAATTAATATTTAAATGAGAGAATAAACATTTTAAAATTTCACAAAATTTAATCTTTTTATGTTTCAATATTTAATTTCATAAATATTAAATAAACTATTTTATTAAATAAAATAAATTATTATTGAATACTTTATTGAAATTGGATATTTCAATTTACGTGAATAAAGCAGATCTTTGCGATTGACATATTTCGCCTTTAAATGCCAATTAATCAGCAACTTTAAAAGTACAAATAGCACGTTTCTGTACCAAGGTAACCACGTGACCATTTGTATTTTACATTTTTCTATCATACATTCATTAAACAATTATTTTTCAACTGATATTTCCATCTAGAGTCTTTTGAAATTTTTATAATACATTTATTGAATTTATTATTATGTAATAATAATTAAAAAATTTCATTATTAATGAATATTTTCTCTTTTTTTGACTTTTTCATTTATACTTTCAAATTGAAAAATATTTGTTTTTTTTTAAAAATGAATTTATCAGAAATGTAAACTTATTGTTTTTACTTAACATTTATTATAGTACAATATTTTGAAATATGAAAAATATAAATAAAATAAAAAAAGTTCAAAAATTTATATAAATAATTTTTGCATTTTACTTTCATTTTAATTAAAAAGCGAAAGTCTAAAAAAATTCTTTAAGCAAAAGAAACGCCCATTAAAATTTATAATTTCTTTTATTTAAAGCAAATATTTGTATATAAGAGACAAAATTATAAAATGTTCAATAAATAAGAAAAATAGCTTATATTTTACTCTGTTTATCAAATTTGATATTTCATTTTTCATATAAAAAGCCTAAATATTGTATTAATTTGATTTCTCGTATAAAAAAAAAAGATTAGATAGACAATTCATTAAAGCGTGGAGAATATTGAACAGCCACTTGGAGGAAAATAAAAGAATCTAAAGCCAATTCAAGAAATTCTAAACTAATACCAAAATATATAATCGCTTATCACTCAAAAACATTAAAATATAATTAAATTAAGTTTTTTTTCTTTATATATTCATATATAGGTATATTCTCATATGTTTAATAGCACGTTTTTAATGTTCATTGTGGTAAAAAAAAAATTCCAGCAACGTGTATAATAAGATTATAAATTTAAAAAATTAGCAACAAATATAATAAATTTAATTGTAAATTTCTTAAATACATTGTAACAATAAAATGGTGAATTAGAAAAACAGGAGTCTGTCAGGTTGGAAAAAAAAATGAGACAGAACAGGAGTTATTAAAATCAGTATTGCGTATATTAAAATAAGACTAAATTGAACGAAATATTTTGTGTTTAACAATTTTGGGAAACCTTTTTATCTCGAAAAAAATGTTAATAATATCGAAATGTTCGCAAAAAAAAAAAAACTTACTTTCGCAGAGGATGGTGCAGAAAAATTCTTCAATTAGATGAGTAGCTTATACCGCCATTGTGAAAAATGATGTGAATGTGCGACACTGCGCAGAGAGGAAGCTGATAAATTTAATCAGGGATCGGAAACTATATGCAAGTTTAATCACTATAGTGGTGGGGGTATTACAATAATGTCTCGCGTTTAATGTCAACGGCTGTTTTCAATTATAACCACCAATGTACGGCGCTGCGGTCTATAAATGAAATTGTCCAAAACGTTCACATATCTATAATCAACGTTTTTATGGTTGAGAAATAACCGCCAAAAAAAGGGGCGGTAATTATAAACATATGTTTATTATTAATATATTACAATTATATTTTAGGCCTAAAGTCATTTAAGAAGAAGAAGAAGAAGAAGAAGACAATTATATTTATATCATTTCTAAAAAAAAGTCAGTATAATATATATACATATTTTGGATAATAGTAAATGAAAAAAAAAATTTATTTCATTATTTATTCAATAGGTTCAAATTTATAAAAAATGTTAAATATTAAAGTTGTAATTAACGTTTATAAGACAATAACTAATCGTTAATAGATGCGATATTGTAAAAAAAAAACATATTTACAGAATATATATGTGTTATCTTATTTATAATTTTATTTAAAAAATATATTTATAATATTTACAATATTCATTCATTTTTAATTTTATCTCCAAATAAAATAACCGCAGTCTTTAAACGTTCACTTTTATACAATGATATAACACTCGCAATCTCATTATTAGCACCAAATTATTGATAAAACAAACTTTATATAAACGTTGTTCTAATACACATTTTACATTGAAAATCTAATCCATATTATAATTTTTTTAGTTATACAAAATTTTAATCTAAAATGTTTATCAATATTATTTTTATTACTATTATTTTGTTATGATTATTTTTATTTTTATTATTATTATTAATATTAATGAAAATATATGCTTTGGTCTTATTTTGTAATTTAAATTATATTGTTATGATGAATAAATTATATATTTACATATTCGAAACATTATTAATTTTCCATTATTGTAGATGTAACAAAATATATATATTATAATATATGTATCTTGTTATTAAGCAATTAAACATTTACAACAAATTGTTAAATATTAAAAGTTTGGTTTGCATTAAAAATTAAAAAAATGGATACATAATAGTTATATAAAATTTTTAAATCAAATTATTAGATTATTTCATTTTCAATAATTACAAAAAAAAATAATTAATTTTCAGTATTATCTTAATAATTATATAATCGATTATTTAATTAAAAAAATAAACTTAAATTATTAGAAGCAATAAGATAAATTTTATTCACTTTAGAGAAGAATTTTGAAAAAATGAAAAAAAAAAAAATAAATTTAATTATTTAAAATAGTATATGATATGTAAATTTTGTTTTATATATAATTTTATAAAATATTAATTTATGGCCTATTGGATTTAAATAATTACATAAAATAATAATTAAATTTAATTAAAACTTATTTAATTAAATAAATTATAAAAAAATATGAATTAAATATCCCAGAGGCTTTTTTTATATTCTGATTCAAAAATACTGAAAAAATACTCTGAATATATAATTATTAAATATTTATCATTTTGAAAAAAATGGAAAATGATGAATCAAATTTTTTAGAATTATATGATAGAAATTTTATACTGTAGAATATATTATTTTTGCAGAATATTAAATTTTTTTTAAATATTATAAATTTGCAGAGAATTTTCATTAAATCGATTGCAAATATTTTATTTTTGCAAACAAATTTTATTTAGACGAAAACGTCTAACGAATATTATTCAAAAAATGAAATGTAATCGAAAATAAATTTGACATAAATAATTTGACGCTAAATTTCAAAAATAAAATTTCCGAATAAAAAATTAATTTAATCCAAATAATCGGTTATATACTTGACTATTATCAAATAAATATTTATTAAATAATTATTATTTGAATAAATTAAATATTTTATTTTTTTCATTGACAATCGGTTTAATAAATAATTCTGTAAAATTAATATTTTAACAATTTAATATTCTGCAAAAAGTAATATTCTAGTATAAAATTTCTAACGCATGAATAAGCTCTAAAACAAATTTTTTAGAAATTATATATTTCATAGAATTGTAATCAGCAGAATATTAATTTACCAGAAAGTCAATTTAATCGAATTTTAATTTGGCAGAAAATCAATTTGATCGAATTTTAATTTGTCATAAATTGAATTTGACCGAAATATTACGGCGCAAATTTTAAAATTGACCAATAGGAAATTATTAAGAAAATTGTTAATTTTTAAAATTCGCGCCGAAATATTTCGGTCAAATTTATTTTCGGTGAAATTGAGTTTCTGGCAAATTAATGTTTGAATAAATATATACTTTCTGGTAAGGTAAATTTCTGCCTAATTTTTGATTCTGCTATATTATAGGAGATTCTATTAAAAATTACCTTTCTGCTAAATTATAAAATTCTATGAAAAAACATTTCGCACAAATTGAAAATTTCGATCAAATTATTTTTCCGCCAAATTCAAATTCAATGAAATTGACTTTCTGGCAAATTAAAATTCGATCAAATTGGAATTCTGATAAATTAATTTTCGGTCAAATTAACTTTCTGGAAAATTAATATTCGAACAAATATACATTTTGGTAAAGTAGATTTCTGTCAAATTGTTTTTCTGCACTATTAATATTCTATTAAAACCATGTTTCGGGAAATTTTAAATTCGGTCAAATTTAATTTGTCAAATTAAAATTCGATCAAATAGATTTTCTGCCCAATTAAAATTCAATCCAAATTGACTTTCTGGCAAATTAATATTCTGCTGATTAAAATTTTATTAAATTTGTTTTAGACCTTATCCATGCGTCCCTTATATGATAATTCTAAAAAAAAATTTGTTCTAGAGCTTATTTAATCCCAAAAAATGTTTGGCAAATAATAATTAGAAATTTAAAATCTAAATATGAATGAAAAAAGAAAAAAAAAAAAAAATTATCTATCGAATTTGTTCTCCGATGGACATGTTACATACATGGGCAACGGTTGATTATCATAATATCCATAAATTGGTTGCGGTGAAACTGGACTTTGAACCATTTGCATTGGTTGAACGAATGGCAACATTGGCACTGGTGTTGTTGGTACTGATAATCCATTGCCATGACCTAATGTTGATCCATTATATGAGCCAACATAGAGTTCTTGATTGCCCATTTTTCCCGAATATGCAACACTACCTGGTCGAATCATTGATGCATCATGAATACTCGATGCCATTGCCGCTGCCATATGTGCATCATTCATTTGACTACTCCAACGTAATCGGCAAATACAAATAATAATAATGACAATTGCAATAAATGCAACAACACCACCGACAATACTTATAATTAATGTATCATCAGTTCCAGCTGAATTAATAATTGTTGGATTAATTGCCGAATCACCATTATAATGTTTATTACGATTTTCCTCAATTGTTGGTGCAACTGTCCAAATAATTTCCGGTTCAAATGTTGTTGATTTCATTGATGTTGTTGTCAATTCTGTTGTTTCAATTTTCTTCGATACAATTTGATCGCATGACAAATGTTCTTCAGTTAAATCAATAAGTATTTTATTAGCAATATAATCAGGTGTTTTGCATTTTATTGATTTGGAAATTGATTTTGATTTTAACCAACGCCAAAGTGGTTTAATTTCACAATCACAATTTATTGAATCCAATCCTTTTAATTCAATTGAACCGCTACGTTCATCTAAAGCAGTTATTAATTGAGATGGAATTGTTTGTAATTTACTGCCGGCAACATCTAATATAATTTTTGTTGATTTAGGAACTGGAAAAAAAAGTGTCGGTGGAATAGAATTTATCGATGTATTCTTTAAGCCTAGTGAAAAATTTGGTACACGAATTCCAGCCAATGAACTTGAAAGTATACTACGCAATCTTTCTCCTCTTAATGTTAATTTATCAAGACGAGGATGACTTTTAATTGACAATTGCTCGTTACCAATTATTGAATCCTTGATTTCAACATCCAATTCTTTCAAATTTTTCATTTCCTTTAAAATGCCCTAAAATAAAAATAATTTACAAATTATAAATTCGGAATTTTATATCAAAAAATATATAATTTACCTGTAAATCAAAATAACCCAGCCTTGGATAATCATAAGCTTCCAATAATTGTAATTTATTTTGTAACATTTTAAAAGCACTTTTTTCAATTCTTGTACAATTTGTGAAATTTGACATTTTCAATGAACGCAACATTTCCAATCCTTCGAAGCTACTTTCATTTATTGTTTTTATTGGATTACTCGATATATCCAAATTTTTAAGTACAGAAAGTGTTTTAAATGTATCAATCATATCGTTAAAATCAGTTAAACGATTTTTTGATATATCCAAACTTTCCAACATTGTTGTACGTTCCAATGCAATTGGTTTAATATTTAAAATCATATTACCAGATAAATTTAAATAACGTAAAAATGGCGTTTCAAGATGTGCTATATTTTTAATGCCAGTTTGTGCAAGATTAAGTGAACGTAAAATTTTTGCATCACCCAATATACTGCGTACAGCATTTTCACTTAATGCATTTTCCGAAAGATCCAAATTTTTTACATTACCAACAATATCCTGTGAAAATACTTCAACAAGTCGATTTTTTGCCATATTTAAATAATAAAGCGATGACGATTGTTTTTTTAATGTACGTGTTGGTATTTCAGTGAATTTATTTTTAGATAAATTAATTTTTTCCACTGATCTTATTCTTGATTGATCAAATATTGCCTCGGCAAGTGTTGTTAATTTATTATTTTCAAGATTTAAATATTCTAAACGAAGAACACCTTCCAATGCACGTTCACTCAATGATTCTAAATTATTATCAGAGAGATCAATTATTTGCAATTGTGTTGAATTATGAAATGCAAGCTCATCAACAGATTCTATTTGATTATTTGATAATTCCAAAATTCGTAGACGAGACATCTGCAAAAAAAAAAAAATAATTTTTTCGCCATTGACATGAAAAAGTGTCTTTTTTGTGCCTGTTTTGGGCAGATAAAGTAGCACTTTTTAAGGCAGTTTGGGCCAACTGTTAATTTTTGCATAATTTTTGTTTTGCTTTTATTTTATTTATCAATTTTTATTATTTTATTTTATATACTATTTCATATATATTATATTATATATTATATATTATATCATATATTATATAAATATATATATATATATATATATATATATATGTATATATATATATATATATATATATATATTAGGGTGGTCCTAAAAAATTTTTTTTCGAATTTTGACCATTCCCGCCCAACATTTTGTTATAAATGTAAAAAAAAGAGATACGTATTTTTTTGTTTCGATTTTAATAAAATTTTAATGGTGCCTCAGAGCACTTGAAATTTTACGTGCATTTTGCATGGGAAAAAAATTTTTTTTCGTAAATTTACTGTCAAATTGTCAAAAATCAATATTTTTCGACCGGACTACTCTATTTTTCTTCAGAAATGTTCGAAGAATAACACACAACAAATGATTTATAAAATTTTTAATGTTAACTATTTTTTAAACGACCTCAATGTGCCCTAAAAAGTGAAACAATGTAATATATTAAAAAATTGCTTATTATTTTCTTCCTGTTTATTTATTTAGCAGATTTAGCTATTCCTTAATTAAAACTAGTATTTTTGTTTGTCAGTGCATAAATTTTTAAAATTATTTAAACAATTTTTAATTGTTGCTATTTAACTATTCTCAAATTATTTTCTAGAAATACTTTTTTTTTCCTAATTTATCAACTTTTATTGCTTTTTAATTGAAAGACACAACAATTAGTCAACAAAAAATTACCAATTGTTTAAATAAATTATTTTTACTACTTGATAACTTTTCTTAAAATATACATTGATTTTTACATATTTTTTTTTAATTTTTCAAAAAATCTTGATCAAATTTCTTATGAACAAAGAATTAATTAATGAAGTAAAAAAATTAATTTATTTAAATAAATATTTTTTTGTTTAAAAATTGTTGCATTTTTTAATAAAAAAAAAGCAATAAAAGTTAAAAAAAAAAATTAGGAAAAAATACTATTTTTCTGGTTGAATTTGAGAATAGTTAAAGAAAAAAATTATGATTTAATTTAAACAAGTTTAATGGGGACGCATGATTATGTTCTAAAAATCATTAGTCATAATTTACATTTTATCGAATTTTATTTGTCCTAATCAGTTTTGAGCCGAATTTTAATTTGTTCGAAATAGCATTTGGCATAATTTTCATCAATCCGATTTTCTATATGGCAGAATTTTTATATAACGGAAAATTCAACTCACCGAATTTTTATTTGTCAGAATTTTTATTTGCTCGAATTTTCATTTAACATAATCGGCATTTAAAAGAATTTTTATTGGGTAGAATTTCATTGAATAGAATTTTCATTTAGATGAATTTTCATTTGTTCGAATTATTATTTGATATAATTTCCATATAATCGATTTTTCATACTATACAGAATTTTTACTTAACCGACAAATCATTTAATAGAATTTCTAATTGATAGAATTTTCATTTGTCCGAATTTTCAAATGGCCGAACAAACAATCGACAGAAAGATTTCGGCGCAATTTTTAAAATCAACCAATCAAAAATTATTCATAAAATTGTGAGTTGAATTTTCCGTTATATAAAAATTCTGCCATATAGAAAATCGGATTGATGAAAATTATGCCAAATGCTATTTCGAACAAATTAAAATTCGGTTCAAAACTGATTAGGACAAATAAAATTCGATAAAATGTAAATTATGACTAATGATTTTTAGAACATAATCATGCGTCCCGTTTAATGTAATGCAAATACAAATAGAAATACTAGTTTTATTTAAAGAATAACAAATTTTGCTAAAGATATAAACAGATAGAAAATAATAAGCAATTTTTTAATATATTACATTGTTTCACTTTTTAGGGCACTTTGAGGTCGTTTAAAAAATAGTTAACATTAAAAATTTTATAAATCATTTGTTGTGTGTTATTCTTCGAACATTTCTGAAGAAAAGTAGAGTAGTCCGGTCAAAAAATATTGATTTTTAATGACAGCTCGTACTGAAAATTACTGCCTCACCTAAAAAGTACTACTTTACGTGCTTGCCACATAATATACTATTTTTAATTACAATACGAGAAATAAAAAAAAATGTTTAATATCTCACCTGTGAAAATCCAAATTCATCAATAACGTTCAACATATTATTGGAGAGATTTAATATTTCCAAAAATTGTAGTGTTTTAACAAAATCACTTGGAAATTGAATAAATTTATTGCCAGAGAGATTTAATTCCCTTAATCTTGGATGAATGACAAATGATGTTAATGATAATTGATTAATATTATTGTTCGATAAATCTAAAATTTGAAGATTTGTCCCCGTATTAAAATGTTCACCAACAAATGATGTTAATTTATTTCCTTTTAAATTTAATTTAAATAAATTAATTGTACCAACAAATGCACTTCTATCGATATATTCAATTTGATTATCAGATAAATCAATAAATGTTAAATTATACAAATGTTGAAATGTATTCTCATTTATTTCTTTAATTTTATTACCAATTAATGAAATATGTTCTAAATTATGAAGATTTAAAAATAATATTGCTGGCAATATTTTTAAACCAGTATAAGAGGCATCGAGTTTTCTTAATGATTGAGGAAATATTGGTGGGAATCCACCGTATAGTGGATTATTACGTAAATTTAGTGTAACTAAATTTGTTAAATGAAGAAATATTTCTGGTGATATACGTTTTAATTGATTATATGATAAATTTAAATAGAGAAGATTTTTTAATGATAAATTCTCGCCAATTGATGTTAAACGATTATGAGAAAGATCAAGACTCAATAATGTATCTTCTAAACCGGCAAATGTTAATGATGTCACTGTTGAAAGAATATTGCCTGATAATTCAATGCTAACTAAACGTTCAAAATTGTGAAAAATTCTTGATGGAATTTCACGAACAAGATTACGATTTAATCCAAGAACAAGAAGATTTGATGCAATTGGACGTATTAATTCAGTGGAAATAGCGGCAATTCTATTAAATTCAAGTTGTAAATGAGTTAGTGAAGGAAGTCGTGCTAATGCTGTTGATGGAATTAAAAGAATATTATTGTCCTCTAATGATAACCATTCTAATTTTGTTAGACCTTCAAAAGCCGATTCTTCAATCTGGAATAATAAAAAAAAAGAAATTTTAAATAATTTATTTGGAATTCAAATTTTTTTTTTTAAATATTTTACTCACTGTTCTCAGAGCATTAAGACTCAAGTCTAATTTTGTAAGAGCTGACAAACTCGAGAAGGCATTAATTCCAAGACGACCTATGTAGTTTCTACTTAAATCTAATACCTGCAATTTGTTCATACTGGACAAATGATTTTGTTGTATTTCCTGAAACAATAAATGAAAACATAATTAAAAAAAAAAAAAACTTTTAATTAAATTTTTTTTTCACATTTTTATCACAATTTTATAAATCGGTTTTATTGAAATAACGGATATGAAAAAATGTGCATTATTAAATAAATTGTAAGGAGGAATGTCAATGTTACTTCCTCATGTAGAAAGAATTTTATAGTATAATTTAAAAATAACAAGTTCATTTCATATACTATGCAAAATATGCATTGAAGAAGAAAATAAAAATGAAAATTATTCACTTTTATCGAAACTAATTGTTTTTTTTATGCACATAAATTAGATTTTCATTACATAACTTACTGTTATTAAGTTGTCAGAAATATTTAAAAATTTCAACTCATCCAAATGTCTCAAAGCGTCCGTAGGAAACTCGTGGAGAAAGTTTGCAGCTAGGTCAAGTTCCCGTAGATTGTATGCTCCTGTAAAATAAATAAAATTACATCAACAATTTTCAAAAAAAAAAAATAAAAAAAAAATCCAAAAACAGAAAAATTGAAAAAAAATTTTTTAATAAATATAAAAATATCTCTATGATATATAATTATTATCAATTACTATACATAAAAGTGAAAAAAGTTTCCCAACTCTGAAATTAAATTAAAATATCCTATAAAAAAAAAAAAAAAAAAACAAAAGAAAATATTGAATTTCTATTTTTAATTCTTTCCATCTATGTTGAAACTATATAAATATTTAGTAAAAAAAAAAATTATTGTAAAAAACAGGATTTGAAAATGGAAGAAAGTATTTTAACTAGTTACTATATAATCACATTAATAAAAATTACTTTCTAAACGTGAACAGTAAGTTGACGCCTCTTCTTCTATCGTTTTTCCTCAATCTTTCGTCTTTTTGATAAAATTATAATTAATCAAGAAATCTTTTGACCCACTTGACCATAATTTCTACGATTTCACAATTTTTTTTTTTTTTTTTTTTTAATAAATATAATGTATAGCAAAAAAAAGCAGTCAAGTTATTTAAAATTGTTTTTCATTCATAAAATCAGTGTTTTATTATTTATTATAGGAGAAAAATTAGAAAATCTATTAGTTTTTTTTACTAATCAAGTTGTGTAAATTAAAATTTTATATATATAATTATATATATTTATAAATGTAATGGAAAACGAAATGTGAATCCAAATTCATATTTTGAATAGAGAATTTTAATTTAGCAGAATTCTCATTCAGTCGAATTTTTATTGATTCGAATTTTTAAATGACCGAAATTCCAATTCGCCGAATTTTAATTTATACAAATTTTGAACAGCCGAATTTTCATTTGTCCGAAATTACAAATGGTCGAGCAAACAGTTGATTTTGGCGCTATTTTTAAAATTGACCAAAATTAGAAATTATCACAAGAAAATTGTGATTGGTCAATTTTCAAAAATTGCGCCGTAATCTTCCTTTCGATTGTTTCTTCGGTCATTTGTAATTGCGGACAAATGAAAATTCGTCTGCTCAAAAATTCGTACAAATAAAAATTCCGATAAATTAAAATTCGGTGAATTGGAAATTCTATGCGTCATTTAAAAATTCATTTGAATGAGAATTTTGTTGAATATTAAAATTTTCTCAAATTAAAATTCGATTAAATAAAATGTCATTTTAAAAGAAAATGACTGTAAAATAAAAATTCGATAGGTTAAAAATTAAAAAAAATTTATTTTTCTAATAAAATAATTTTAATTAATGATTTTTATGCGTGAAATTCACGTGCCCCATTATTTTTGTCTTTGTATATAAAAGATGCAACGAAGATAAAGTAGAATAATAATTTACGCAAATACAAATAATAATTATTTATGGTTATATATGAAATTCTTTTCCCTGGTGTTAAATAATTTGATTTTATAAATTCAAAACATTTTTTTTTTTTTTAGACATTTTGTATGTCTATATAAAAATATCTCACGGTTCCCGCGCTTGAATGCTCTGTTGAACAAAATAAATCAAGTTCTTTGCCTGTACAATCTTTACTTATCTTTTTTATTTTTATATTATATATATAAATCAAACTCTCAAAGTAAAATTGTAGAAAATTAGATGTGATTAATAAAAAAAAAATAAGACTTATAAATATTAAATAATTTATATAGTAATAATAAACAAGGACGTAAAGTATATCTCACTCATAAAGAATGTCTAATAATAATGAAAATTATTTACGCAGATTCATTATGCAAAAATGTCTAAGAGAAATTTCTAAATATATGTTTCATATATATATATATATGAGTAAAATTTTTATAGGTTGAAAATTATATGCGCGCAGGTATCCGTAATTATTAAATTTAAAGATGGACTTTCATTGTTTTAATGTTTCTCTTTTTATTTTATATTCATTTTATTTTTGTCTAAAAAAGAAAAATTATCTAACATATTAAAATGAAGATTATTCTCTTCAGAATTCTAAATTTTCTTTAAATTGATAAGAAGCATTTCCATATTAAATTTTTTTTGCGAATGTTTTTCTAAAAGTTTTCAATTTCTTAAGTTTGAGTGTCCAAAATCTTCAAAAAATTTGAATTTCAAACCATCAAAATTTCCAAAAAATTCAAATACCCAAAATTATCAATATTTATATAAATTACAGTTCAAATATCAAAAAAATTTAATTATTTACACCCAGAGAAATATACGTTTATTTAATCCAAATAAGTATATATATTATATATATTTGATTCAAATTTTAGATTATTTGAAGATTTTGTCATTCAAACATTAAAAATTTCTAATTATAACGAAAACCAAAAATAAAAAAACTAAATAATATTTTTTTTTTTGAGATCCAAAATTTCTCTCACACACACGGATTTAATGAAAAGTGTTGACAGTGACCTTTAACTGATCAATATGCAAATAAATTTTTTTTGTCTAAAAAAAGAAAAGAAAAAAGATCTCGACACAATTGGAACGGATGAGGAAGTTAAGAAAAAGAAGAGAAAAGAGCAAAGACAAAAGATAAACGAGAATTTACGTGAGAGCAAAGGTAACTCGTGGGATAATTCTGAAATAGGGGTTCATTGTTATTTCGAGGTCGCAACTACATATCTTGCCGCCTTGCTAGTATTAAAAGTATTCTCGTTATACGAGCATTATCTTATATTATATATATATATAGGAAGTTGCATTTACATATATAAAGTATATTATATCTATATACATATATAAACATGTATATTATATTATCCTTACTATTGCTTTATATATTGTGAAAGCCAGAGTGAATTACATTTTCTTTAAAAGTAATCAACAAAGAAATCAAATTTTACCATGAATATGGTATACACCTGCAACTATTGCATATAATTTGTTTTTTTTTTCTACGTAAAAACCACCTGAATTTATTATATGAATATTTGAATTTTATTAAGTAATAGAAAATAATTTATAAACAATTGTGATATTGTAAAAATTAAAAAAAAAATTTTCTAACTTTTAAATTTGCCATAAAACAAAATATTTCAACAATTTTTAAATTTCCCGCCATTATCTATTGTTTTATGTTTACACAGTTGGTACCAAGATTCCTAACCAAAAAATTGATAATCTATGAAAAAAATTCCACATCAGAGTCAAAAAGAACACGCTAAAAAATCTTTGTATAAACTAGCGAAAATAATCTCTGGAATAGTTATAAGTATAGTTAATATTGCCTTAGCGATAATCCATTTTCGCTAAAATAGACAAAATGAAATTTTCTATAAGATTTAACTATACTAAATATATATTATAAATAGAATATAAATACAATATCTCTGAAACAGTATTTATTTTAACTATCATAGGAGATATTCAATTTCCTTAAGAAAATGAAAATAGTAATATGCCTATTTTAGATTAAACCTGTATTTAAACTTGTTAAACGTTATAGGGTCAGCCGGGGTAAATCCGAATGGGGGGTAAATCCGAACACTAATTATTTCAGCTTCATTAAAATTTTTAAAAATAAGTTCGATATGAGAATTTTTACCTCGGATCCTCTTCAAGAGATTCTAAGTATTATCCCATTTTTCGTTTGTTAATTAGCAACAGCATAAACAAAGATAACGAGTATTGCAAAAAAGATTGAAAATCAAAGATGACACTCTTTCAGTATTTTGTCTCGTATTTGAAGAAAAAGAAGCTAAAAATTTATTTTATTATTTATAATTGTTTGTTATGAATACTAGAACAGAAACTATTTTTCATTTTTGCCTTCTGTAAAATTTTATTAATAATATCAGACCGTTCGTATTTACCCAGGAAAATTGGAAAACCGGGGTAAATCCAAACGGTATTTTCAATCATTTTTTTTTACATCAGAGCCACACAAAATTGTTTTTATTTGATTACACTATTATTTTAACATTATAAAAGTACATAGAAAAAAGTTTTTCTTTCTATACGTATCCTCGTTAGTAAATTAATAAGCAGAAACTTAATCTCTGTTCTCTCGAAGGAGTATTTCAATTTTTTTGCCAAATGGTTTGTTGAAAAAAGTTTTTCAGGATCTTAATAAAATTTGGTATTCTAGGGTTTTTGGGGTCGCTAATTACCAATTTGAAGTCAGTTTTTCAAAATTCAAAATGGCGGACGAGAATTAAAAAATTCATTGGATTCGCTCGAAAATTGTTACTCGGGGGGTTTCAGGGTCGCTGATTACGAATTTGGAGTTAGCAAATTTGATCATTTTTAAAAATAAGTTTTAGGAAAGTCCGCCATTTTGAATTCAAAAAAATTTGACTTTTATTTTTGTATTTACATTCAATCACTCCAAAATACTTTCTGTAGCAAGTTTTGCAAAAATCCGTTATGATTTGATAAAGTTATTGAAGGTTTTAATTGTGTAATGCATTTTAATTTTTAACCTGTTTAATTTTTGTATTTATATATGATGCATTATTACATAATAGGTTTATTATCGTATTTTTTTTGAGTTTTTATATAAGTTTAACAATTGCAATACTTTAAATTTATTTTCCCTAAGATTTTTCTGAAATACAGTGGCGTTCGTATTTACCCCGGTATTTTAGGAAAGTTGCAAAGTATCGAGGTAAATACGAACGCTAAGTTTCCTGCGATTGTAATTTATCAAAAAATTTTGCTACCCCATAAAATTGTTCTATGGAAGTAAAGTAACAACTTCATGCACCAGAATACCGGAAGTATTTTTTTTTTTAAAGAAAAAACTTATGTTATTGTTGAAACTTACTAAAAGCGTTCGGATTTACCCCGGTTGACCCTAAGTAATCTATTAAATAGATTTCCTTATTTTATAAATATTGTACTTTTGCTATGTCACTGTTCATAAATTTTTTAGCGTGAAGATTATAAAATTTTAATTAAAAAATAAAATATGCGAGAATATTCAATATTTATAAAAATTAAAATATATTTACCTTTAAAGACATCACTGTTGAATCGTGACAAATCATTGTGAGCAATATTGAGGTAGAGTAAGTTCTCCATACCAATAAGGGCACCATCTTCCATATGAGACAATCCATTATGACTAAGATCTAATTTAAATAAAGATTCCAGAGTGGAAAAAGCACCACGAGGTAGAGAAACTGAAATAAAAAAAAAACAAACAAACATTGATTTATTTTAAAAATAATTTTATTTTATTATTTGCAATAAAAAAAAATATATATATATATACCTATATTATTTCCAGCTAGTGAAAGAATTGCCAATGATGTTGGACCCTTGAGAGATTTCGTTGGAATAGAAGTTAAATTATTATTGGCCAAATATAATTCTTGAAGGTTGATACAACCTTTAAATATACCCTCTTCAATGCTTTTTATTCCATTTCTATTAATATTTAGCAGCATCAAATTTGACATTCCATGAAATTCATTACTTGAAAAAATTGGATTTAAACTGTCACCAAGAAAATTACCTTCTAGCCAAAGTTTTTTTATTCGACTCTGACCCTGAAGTATTCGATCCATTAGTCTGTTAAAAAAAGTGCAATTTTAAAACAATTTTTTTTAAATTAAAAAATTAAAAAATTGTAATTATTTTATTTAATAATAATAATTATTAATTTAATATTGTTTCAAATTTAATATTACAGGAAAAAAAAGAATTTTTACAAGTATGGAGAGAATCGTACCCGTGTGTTCACATACAAATTGTCCTGAATTGATCATTGGTTAGCGTTTTCAATTTGTGTACGTTGAACCCGGGTTCGATTCCTCATATCTCAAAAAAAAAAAAAAAAAAATTCCTTACTTACATTAAAAAAAAATATTTAAAATTTATATACAAAGATATTTAAAAAAAAAATAATACAAAATTATGAATAATAATTATGATAATAATACCTATATATTAAATTTTCAGAGAGATCCAATTCTTCTAATGATGGAAGAAAATTAATAACATCTTCGGGTAAATTACGATAACCTGCGCTTCTTTGACTAAATGCAACAATAGGTTGTCCTCTCAATTCTTTTGCAGTGTCACGTGAAAAAACAACCCTGTCACATTTCATTTCAATTGTTTTTTGACGTTTCAGAGGAATTTTACATTCGCATGGTACATGAAGATCTCTTTTTAATTCAACACACGGTCGCCATTGTGCAAAATTTGGTGCAATCATACACAATGCCAAGATCAATTTCAAATATATACTGAAACATTCAAATAATATTTTTACTCATTTTATTTTTTTGAAATAATATTTTATATTTATTTATTATTATTAATTAATTCATTTATTTATTTATAATTCACCGAATTTTAATTTGTCCGAAATTATAAATGACCGAATAAAAAATCGACGCAATTTTTGAAAATTGACCAATTACGATTTTCTTGTGATAATTTCTAATTGGTTAATTTTAAAAATTGCGCCAAAAACCTTCTGTCGATTGTTTATTCGGACAAATATATAAAAATTCGGCGTCTAAAAAATTCTATCAATTAAAAATTCGTACAAATTAAAATTCAATGAATTGAAATTTATGTTATTTAAAAATTCGTACAAATAAAAATTCGGTGAATTGGAATTTCTGTTATTTAAAAATTCGAATCGCATAAAATTCAATAATTGAATGAGAATTCTGTTAAATTAAAATTAGTCTAAAAAATAATTATTTAACAAAATTCTTTAAAATTGAAAATTGTAATTAATAATTAATAAAAATATTTACAGTGGGTATGGTTTAGAAATTTTTTTTTTTTATATCGTTCCGCGTAATAGTTGTTTATATTTTTAGGTCAAGTGCATAAACTTCTTTACACACTTCCTTTTTATTTATAATATATATACGATATTGTATATAAAAATAAAGTACTGATCAATCTCGCGATTTCTTCACTTTTTTTTTCTCTTATATATTATAAATTTTCTCATACTTTCCTTGATTTCATAATAACTTTGAAAATATTATAGATATGAGTCTCTTGAATTCTATACGCGCTATGCCAAGGAAATTGTGTGTATGTGATAGTCATTATAATTCTTTTGTGAAATCGTCATTGCACGCAGGAAAAGAAAAATATAATGTTAAAAAAAAAGAGTAGATTATTTGCAATAAGCAAAAGTTTCACCTTTCAATCAAAGCGGATATCGTTTTTTTTTCTATTATATATATTGAAAATAAGAAAAATGAAACATTGTTTCCGTTTATTATAAAAAAAAAAATTCACGAATTGATATTTATTTAATTTGCAGTTGTATAGACAATGAAATTTTTTACGATTGAAAATAATATTTGTGTTTAAAAAAATTTAGGTTCATAAATTTATATAATTTTTTTAAAACTATTTTCATTTTAATAATTAATATATAAATAAAAAAATAAATAAAATAAATATTAAAAAAATCATCTTTTTTAAAATAATTTTATATAAATAATTTTTAATAAGTGAAATATTTATTGAGTTCAATTATACAAAAAATGTAGAATTAAACAAATTAATATTTATTAAATGAATTAAAATAAAATTTATGTTTTTGCCCATTAGATTTCTTCACTCAACCTAACTAATCATCCACGCACGCAAAACTTCAATCGATCCTATAATTTTCTTAGAATCAAGATAATATATATTAATAATACCAGTATTACTACTTTCTCTCAAGTTAAATACTTTCTTTATTTAAAGACTTTTTCATATAAAATCATAACATATATACAAGATGTGAATGAAACATCTGTAACACTCAACCTTCATTTTCTCAGATTAAAGAAATAATGATATATCAGATACGCGTACATAGAAATTAATTTTTTTTTCTTTTTAGAAAATCTATATGTACAGCTTATTTATTCTATAACGGTTTTAATTTTGAATCAAATATAAATATTAAAATTTCAATTTTTATAATTTTATAATGAACCTCTAAATTCAATTAATCTAAATTATTAATTATTTTTTTTCATCTATTGGCGAAAAAAAACTATTGTAATCTCGATTTCGAATAATCTTAAATTTATCAAAATATTTAAATAAACAAAATATAAATAAATTTTGGATTAAAAATTTTTTTATAATAAAAAATAGAATTGAATATTATATATAAATGTCTTTTTTTAAACATATATTAAGAAAATTTTCAGAAAATATTCAATTAATAAAATGATATTTCTTGTGAATTTGAAAAAAAAATATGATTACTGTGCGCTGAATATACATATATACAGTATGTAACGGTATTTCCGCATGAGAGCAAAAGACTTGAAGATTCAACAACGTCACTTTCTTCTTCTCTCGAAGAGAGTCTCTCATAGTCAAAGGAATTTTTCTCATATTTTAAAAAAGATAAATAGAAAAATTTTCAAATTCTCAGAGAGAGTGTCTTTTAACGCTTAATGACATATTATAATAATATATTCAACTTTAAAGAAATTTTATAGAAAAATCATAAATTATTTAACATTTTTAAATAAAGTAGAAATTAAAAAAAAATAAATAAATAATTTTCTTTCTGCCCCGAAATTTTTTTTTTTTATCTCTCTTGAAATTTGCAAGTTTTTGTTTTTGTTACGCTAGCTCATATTACACTTTGCATACGCAGTTAGAAAAAAAACTTGATATTTCATTCATCTATTCTATCACGTTTGTAATATATACCTATTGAAATTTCAGTTTACTATATATGAATGAAAGTAATTTGGTACTGATTTTAATTCGCATTAAATTTAAAATTTTCATTTTTTATACAAAAAAGTAATAAAAAAAAATTTTTGTTTTTAAATTCTATTTTTAAAAATGTTATAGTAAAAATTTTATACTTAAAATAGAATTTAAAGATTAATAAGCGAATTTTTTTTTTTTTTTTATTAATTTTTTTAATATAAATATGAAAATTAAAATTACATATGTTAAATTAATATTAGTGCCAAAAGACACTTGAATTTTTTTTTTTCAAATTTAACATAGTTTTAATTTATAACCTTTTTGATAGCAACTTTTCTTATTAATTTAAAAATATACTTTTCCATTAGTGGAAATATATTCTAATAAAAAAATAGTTCTCTTAATGTGAGAGTGTATTTTAATTTTATCTCGGTATTTGACTAAAAAGAAAATATAATTAAAAGATAAACTAAAAATAATTTATTCCAAAATTAAGAAAAAAATTCCTTTGAGTATTTTTGACTGTATACTATAAACCCAAGAGAAATGATATATATATTTGCCTCAGAGTCAAATAAATATTTGTTTCAAATATAAATTTTATTTGCGATTATAATAAAATTTTATTTGATTTAAATAAAAATTTTATTTATCACAAATAAATGAGCTAGTTGGCTCTGAGACAAATATACGTGTATTTAAATCAAATATATTATATTCAAATAAAACATTTCTCTGGGTATATGTATTTTAATGCATAATATGTATATTCAATATTATAATATAGAAAATATTTCACGATTATTTTTTCTGACATTTATAAAATAACTTTTTCTACTTATAAATAGTTATTTACATAAAGTTAAATGCAATTTTATCTCTTAATGATATTAAGCGAACTATTCTGTCAATTAAAAAAAAAGTTTAGGACATTTCTTTTTTATTCCATAAATTTTAAACTCAGCAACTTGTTTATAACTAAGATTCTAACCATCAAGAACTGGATTCACGGGTTGTTTCTTAACTTTTTTTTTGTTCCTTTTCTCATACCTTTTAATTTTTTTTTTATATATATATATTTTGTATCAAGATCTTCATTTTTTTTATTTGTGAATGCAAATATGCCAACAGATGAAAACAATTCTTTTTGCATTCTAATATGACGAAAGGGTAAATTTTTTGTTACAAAAAAAAAAAATAGAAATAAAATAAGAAAAAAAAAATTTTTCTTCTCCTTAAACTAATTTAATTAATTAGAATATAATTAAAAGTAGAAACAATTTTTTTACTATCGAATTAGTAAAATTTAACTACTTCAAAAGCAAAAAGTGAGTCACTAATTCAGGTAAATAGTTTTCTAAATAGTTAAAAAAAATAATTAATTAAATCAATAAGTATAAAATTCACGCGGTAAATGAGAGTGGTTTCTATTTAATTCACTTTATATAGAACCAACTAATCAGATTTAGAGAGTTATTATACAAATAAATGAGTGTTTATTTGTAAAACAGGTTTTTATCAATAGTTATTGATTTTTTAAAATTATATGAAAATTATACTATTACTAAAATAGTAAACGGTATATAATAAATTTTGCAGTTATATAAATTTAAGTTTTATTTTTAGAAACTAATAATAATTATTATAATTAAAAATTAATAACTTACTCCATTTTGTATGATAATTGTTATCCTTTTGATGATTTTAAAATAATATCTATATAATAACACAATTCAAACAACTATATAACAAAAAAAAAATCACGAATTATCACTAATAAAAATCATGATTTTATTCAAATATAAAGCACAACACTCCGAAATTATATGCGACTAGGAAAAAATGTATAAAAAGAAAAAAAAGTCAATGTACTCTTTGGTACTTAAAATATAATAATAATATATATATATATATATATATAAACGCGAATCAGTTAATATAAAAGCACTATATATATACTATATTATAAAAATTTTATATACCAGTCTAACCCGTGTGCTGGTGTACGCACAACTACTTGACGGTAGACCAGAAGACCTGGTAGACCTTCGCAGTCAAATTGGTGAACGGATACGGAGCGGAGCCTGAGGAAGCTCAGTGACGTGTTCAAAGTGGGTATACATATATATAACGATATATTGTAAACATTAGGGAAAATTAAAGGAAAACATTTGAAAAATTTATAATAAACTCTTATTTTAAGAGTATATATATATATACTTTATACTAAATTTAAAAATATGAATTGTATTAAAATATTTCTTCAGTTTCATCTGATTGAAAATTTATTTTTTGTTTCATAATCACTGACCCCAAAAAACCCCCCGAGTAACGAATTAAAAGCGAATTTAATAAAACTTGAAAAAAAGACCGCCATATTGGATCCGCCATTTTGAATTTTTAAAAACAATTATAAAATACGTGCCAAAGAATCACGTAATATTACTGTAATATTAAATTATCCGCTTGATATGGTGTGATTTTACAGTAATATTACATGTAACATTATTGTAATATTTTTGTAACATTACTGAAATATTACAATAACATTATACTCCCAAGAAGCACGTAATATAACCTCAATATCAAGGTAATATTCCATGTAAGATTCGTAATATTACGTTGTAATATTACAGTAATCTTACAGTGATCTTAAAATGTCCGCCTCGCGCTAATATTAAGGTAATATTACAGTAATATTGCAGTAATATTATACCGTAATATTAAGGTAATATTACAAGAGAATATTACAGTAATATTATGGGAACATTTCTTTACGAAAAAAATCTACCCATCCAGGGAATCGAACCCCGAACTCAAAGCACACGAGTCCAGAGTTTTACCAACAAGCCAAATTGACTTATAATATATTTACGTTTTTTATGCTTTATGAATAACTCAAATCAGTCTGTAATATTACTGTAATATTACCGTTAATATTACAGTAATATTCCCGGTAATATTACCTTGAGGCGGACATTTTAAGATTACTGTAAGATTACTGTAATATTACAGCGTTATATTACGAATCTCACGTGTAATATTACCTTGATATTGAGGATATATTGCGTGCTTGTTGGGCCGTAATATTACTGTTACATTACTTTAATATTACCCGATAACAGGTAATATTCGGTACTGTAATATTACCCGGTAATGTTGCTGTAATATTTCAGTAATGTTACAGAAATATCACAGTATAATGTTATATGTAATATTACTGTAAAATCACCATCATATTTTAATATTATATAGTAATATTAGAAAATATTTTCACAAAAAAATAAACTGGGAATCGAACCCCGAACCCAATGCATATGAATCATATGAGTTCTAACCAATAAGCTAAACAATACTTATTAATATATTTACGTTTTATGATATGCTACATATGAATAAAGCAAGGGAAGCTGTATTATTTTACCCAGTAATATTATCATCAAACAGACATTTTAATATTACAGTAATATAACACTATATAATATTACCGAATAATATTATTGTAATATTACATGCTACTTGGGTGTTAGAAAAATAAATTTCTCTATGAAATTTCAATGTAATAGAATTTCTAAAAGGTTAAGAAAGGTCAGGGATCAAAAGTATAATTTTATCTCTTACTACATATATCTATATATAAAAAGGAAGAAGAAATTTCTATACTTTTATATGCATCGACCGTCTAACGGTATTGTTATGCATGCATGTACTATAATTATGACTATATGTTGAAATTACAGACTGCACATAATTATCTATTATTATTATTACTATTATTAATTATATTTCGCAAAAAAATGAGCAGAATACCTATATATATATATATATATATATATATATATATATATTTATTTATTTATATGAACTTGATATACAACAGAGATCGAAATCAATATTTAAAGCACATAAGAATTAACCTTTAAATACATTATTTATATTGCCATAAGGAACAAGAGTAAAAAATATATATTTGATCTATAATCACAAATATTTTTATTTTTTTTTATTAGAAGGAATTCTAATTTTGATTATTTAACCCTTTAACTGCCGATGGCAAAGATTTTGACCGTCAAATCTTTGCCATGGCGTGTTAGGGAGTTAAATTTTGTAACAGTTCCTATAATAACATTTTCTACAGTAACTGTTCCTACAGTAACTGCTATGTTATAGTAATAGTTCCTATAGTAAATGCTATGGTAATTATTGCTATACTTATGGTTGCTATGGTAATCGTTCCTACAGTAACGGTTTCTACAGTAACTGTTATCCTATAGTAACAGTTCCTATAGTAACAGTTTCTACAGTAACTGTTCCTATAGTAACAGTTGCTACCACAGAAAATTAAAAGGCATTAAAATAAGCTGCAACGCTTCTTATTTTAATCCAATTTTGCTTATTTTAATACCAAAATGGATTAAAATGAGCAAAATTGGATTAAAATAAGAAGCGTTGCAGCTTATTTTAATGCCTTTTAATTTTCTGTGACTGTAACAGTATACTAACAGTTACTATTCCTACAGTATCTATTATCCTATAGTAAAAGTTCCTACAGAAACTGTTATCCTATAGTAATAGTTCCTATAGTAATTGCTATGGTAATTATTGCTGTACTGATGGTTGCTATGGTAGTCGTTCCTACAGTAACGGTTCCTACAGTAACAGTTCCTATAGTAACAGTTTCTACAGTATCAGTTCATACAGTAACTGTTATCCTATAGTAACACTTCTTATAGTAACAGTTTCTACAGTAACAGTACCTACAGAAACTGTTATCCTATAGTAATAGTTCCTATATAGTAATTGCTATGGTAATTATTGCTATACTGATGGTTGCAATGGTAGTCGTTCCTACAGTAACGGTTCCTACAGTAACAGTTCCCATAGTAACAGTTCGTATAGTAACAATTGTTATGAAAACCGTTGCTATAATGATGGTTGCTATGGTAACCGTCCCTACAGTAACATTTCCTACATTTACAATTCTTATATAGTAGTGGTTCCTATAGTAACAGTTGCTATGGAAACCATTGCTATAGTAGTGGTTTCTATGGTGACCGTTGCTATGCGGTAACGAATGGATACATTTTGTGTATATATCTATGTTCATAAAGAAAAAAAATTTTTTCAAAACATTTTTTTTAATTTAAAGAAATTATTGTTTTGAAATAAGTTAAAGAAAGTAAATTTTATGACTACATAGAAAGTTGATGAGAGTGATTTAAAATTAGCTGGAAATGATCTCTTTCTTTCTCATCTCTTTTTAAGTTCAACAAAAAATTAAAAGACAAATAACAGAAACTTTTTAAGTGTATAACAAACAAATAAAAAAAATATACTTTTTCTCCTATAAAAAAAATTGCAAAAATTTATTATATATCGGGCAAAGAAAAATTGTTAATTATAATAATAAATAATAAATTTTACTGGAAAAAAACTGTGAAGAAGAATACATAAAAAAAATTTTTTTTTCCTTTTTTCTTAGAATTTCATGGATAATTTCTTTCAAAGATTGGTTCGCGGACATCTAATGTGTCTTCAATGCCCTGTCTTGAGATTCTTGTTCTCGGGGGACTTGAACATAACGGAGAATCTGGCACGATATAGGCAAGAGGCAACCACCTCAATATATATATACACTGAACGAAAGGTATATGTACACATACCACCTCTCTCGATTAACTTCTTTAGTAAAGAATAACAAGAAAAAGAGGGAGAGAAAGAGAAATAAAAGTATATATATAGGAAAAAAGAGACAAAAGATCTCCATCAGAAAAGAATTCAGCGTTTCACGCGTTGCGGGCCTTTCACTATTAAGGTTGTACTCGTCAGAGCTGCTGTGCCATACCTAAAGAGAAAGAGAGATTATACCAACTCTCTCGATAAATGAAAAATGCAAAAAAATAAAAGAGCAAAAAAAAAATCTTTCTATTCAATTTAATTACATTGTATGTTTTTTTTTCTTAAACATTATAATATTGTTTCATAAACATTACTGCGCAATTATATAGAAAAAATAATTATAATCAATTTTTTTATCCTGTATATTCAAAAATTCAAAATGTCTGACGTTTTTTTTCTGTTTTAACAAAATTAACTGCAATTTATTGTATTCTTCAATATTTTTTTTAAAAAAATAACTGCATATTCGTATAATTATAGTGCGATAAAAAGACAAGTGGCGACTTTCCATATAAAAATATCCTAAGCGGTCGGTTTATTATCAACGCGAGAAATAAGCAGATAAAACAGCCAACTGTAGTTCACAATGTGTGCTCGTTTTGTTACTATCGGTATAATAGATTATTACATTTAAATTTTCCAAATTAAAAAAATAACACAACAATAATTTATTTATTATTATATTAATTAATTATTTTATTCAAATAATCGTTCACACTTGATTATATATTATATATCAAAATAAATAAAGAATCAAATAATTTTTATTCGAGTCAATTAAATATTGTATATATTTGTTTTAAATACAGAAATTATTGATTCAAATAAATTTATTCGAGCCAAAGAAAAATTTATTTATGACAAATATACGTTTATTTAATTCAAATATATTTTATTTAATTCAAATAAATCATTTCTTTGGGTGTATAAAAGAATTATTATTATTATTATTATTATTATTATTATTAAAATTATTAAAAATTAGTAAAAATTCTTTCTAATGTCAATTAGTAGCTCATTTTTTACTAATTCAAATTTAGAGAGGATAATAATAAAACAGAATAATAACAAGAATAATAATTTTAAATATAGTCAAAGTTAATACTTTTAAAGGGTCAAGTAACTTTGATATAAAAACAAAACTATAATAATGAGAATCAAACGAATTTATTTATATATATGTATATAGGTAAATAAAATTAAATCGATGACAAATTCAATTTTCTCAACAGTAGATGAGAAAATATTTTTAAATTTAGAAAATCTACTTTATATATCTTTATACACAATTTAATAGTAGAATTTAGAAAAAAATACTTTTTACGAACTCAAAACATTAATGAAATAGAAAATTTTCGTTTTATAAACTTTCCTAATATTTTTTCTGTCGCTAAAATTTCTTTTGACGTCTTGCGTCGTCGCGAGTATCTCGCGACTGCGGCTAAAAACGAACCGCAGAAACAGTCGCGACCCCACATTGTGCGCATCGTTACATTTTTACTATCCGTCCTCATATTGTGAGTTTTCAAAAATTATAAAATAATAATAATTGTGTACAGGGTTTTTTTTTTTAGAATCTATTCATTAATAGTGAAACAAAAGTTTTGAAAATTGTGTACAATTATATTATATTTTAATCCACAATAAATGTAATATTACATCCAGGTAGGGGTTGCATTTAAAATTAATTTCTATTCAGTGAATTTCAAATATAATATAAATACCTAATTATATATTTCAATAATAATTATTTTTAATAAAAAAAAAAATTAATAATTTTCCAAAAACAAAATTGTGTATATAAAAAGGTGATATTATATATATATGTATATATATAAAAAAAATTAGAAAATCGATTAAAAAAAAGTGTTGTTCTGCAGGTGAAGAAAAAAAAACCACGCAGGTGTTGGTGTAAACGAATTATTGAAACACATGAACCGGTGATTGTGAAAATGACGAATATTGCCGGATTTGGAACTATCGGCACATTATTATTATTATTCCTCACATTTTTTAACAATGGTAAGTCAAAATCTATTTTTTTTTTGTTTTTGTTTTTTAACATAAGAATTTATTATAATTATTTCTTATCTATAATATATTATATGAGAATATAATTAAATTTTAAAAAAAATTATTATTTGAATATTTATTACAATTAAATAAAATTCATAATATAATTTTTTATCTAAGAATCTCTGATTTAGAAAAATGGAATATACTTTAAACGAGAACGATCAATTCTTACATAACTTAGAAGGGTCAGGACTTTGAGATATATATACGTATTATATGTATACATATATACAAATCTTCCACAATCATTAGAAGATTCAAGAATTGTGTAACATTCTATGACATTGAGTTTTATTTAAAGAAAAACCCATTCAATCGTTTTAGAACTCCCGGAGGGTAAAAAGAATGAATAATTATATATAGAAAAAAAAAATAATTATATGTTTCAGAACATATTCTGCGTATCAGTAAATAAAAGTATAAATAAATAAAATTAAAACATTTATTTTTGTATAAAATAATATACGTAATATGTTGATGTTTACAAGTATTTTGTTTTTTTTTTTGAAATTTTATTTGTTACTATTATAAATAAAAAATAAAAAACTTCACCTGTAACAGCGATATGTTTCACTAAAACAGTGAAAGTTTTCGTTATTCTAGAGAAACATATCGCTGTTCCAGATAAAGATTTTTTTCTTTGCGTATTTATAGAATATAAATATCACTGATAATAAAAAAAATGAATGAATAAATTATTTGTCCTTGCGGTTCAAGATTCATGTTTTATATATTACAGGAATCTTGGTCCAAATATTTTAAATACAAATATAGCATCGATATTTATACACTATGACAAGAGGCAAAAATTTCAGTAATCGTGTGTTTAGTTTTGGCAGTTTTCCACTGGATTAAAAAAAAATTTTAACGTTTACGAATTGAATACTTTTTTTTTTTTAATTATTTAATCAAGATTTTCATTATTTTTAAATTTCAAATTTTCACTAAATCTAAATTAGTTAAAAATAACTAATTGTTAGTAAAAAGTAACTAATTTTCAGTTGGAAAAATAACTAGAAAAAAAATATAGTCAAAACTAATTTAATTATAGTTACTAAAAATTTTAATTATTTTAACACAACCAAAAAGTGAATAAATTATTTTTAACACAAAAGAAAAATAGTCAAAACTAATTTAATTAGTTACCAGTAGTTTTAATTATTTTTGACATAGCCTAAAAGTGAATTTAACTAATAATTCATAGAATTATTACTATATATTCGAAGTGGTAAATAAATTTTCTCTATCAAATTTGTTATTTTTAATATTAATTCAAATTTTCGCATATATAAAAGAATCTTTTCTTCATGAAATAAAAATTTAAACATATAATATTTTATTTTAAAAAATTCTATATATATATATAGTATATGTATAGGAAAAATAGGACAACTAGCGTGGAAAAAATTCTAGGATTATGGCATCCCAGGTGTTCGACACTGAAGTCATAGAACATTGTTGGGCACTTGTAGCACTTCTTGCGTCGAGGCGCGTACTCGATTTCCTAGCAGAATCCAATTAAAAAAGCAATCGCAATAGAGTCAATGACTAAATTAAAGAAAATAAAATACTTTTTTCTTAAATTTCAACTCAATTTTCATATTTGTGTATTTCACATTGTAATACACAATAATATAAAGTATAGTCATTTTTATACAAATATTAAAAAAATTATTTGATTCAAATATTTCAATTTTTTTGACTATTATATATGTATATCAAAAAAATATTTACTTGAATCAAAATAATTTTTATTTGAATTAAATAAATTGCATTTGAAGCAATAATTATTGCATTTGAAATAAATACTATTTAATTAACTCAAATAATAAATTATTTTATTATATATATTTGATTAAATAGTCAAGTAATCGATTATTTGAATCAAATAAATTTTTTTTTTCGCAGTGTAAGAATAAATATAGACAGTAAAATTAAATATTTTATTTCAAAATTAAAAAGTAAGTTATATAATTAAAAAAATATAGTGAAAGTGTAAACAATTTAATTTTTGACATTTTGAATCTAAAAATTACCATTAGATACTTTCAAAGAAATATTATATTTAAAACAAATATAAAATATATTTGAGTTAAATAAACGTATATTTGTCTCAGAGTCTAATAACATTTTTATTTAACGTAAATAAAAATTTTATTTGTCATAAATAAAATTTTTATTTAAATCAAATAAAAAATTATTTATATATAATACACTTTTGCTAACATAATTTTTAAATTACTTTTTGACTTTAAAATAATATGGAAATATTATGAACTAATTTTTGTATTTGACTGTCTATCCAATTCCTCATAAAATTTAAATATGTCTCGATATGTTTTTTATTTTGAATTTTGAAATTATATTATATAAGTATATGCAAACTTAAATTTACTAAAAATCAGTAAATCTAAAAATGTAACTTTTTAGCGCCTGCAATGTTTATCGAGCGACCCAGTTTCTCTATCTCTCTCACTCTCCACTTTTTCCTTTCCATTTATCTTTAACTACCAATTTTGACTAAAATAATCTAAACAAAATTAATTTTGAACAGTAATAGCAAAAATAATATCGCTTTATTTTATTTTAAGTTTCAGACAAAAAAGTTTCAAAAGATGAACATAAAGTATGAAATAAATATTTCTTTTATTCATTTTGAAAAAGAAGTACTTCTAACAAGTGCCACTTGTCATAGAGAGAATATATATAGTATAAATATATATTGTTGTCAAAAAAAGCCACTATTATTTTCAGAACAATAGAGAATACTTTTTCTAATTTCATATTTAAAGAAAATTCACACGTGCTTAAATAATGTTTTATAAAATATGTAAATTGAATAAACTGAGTCAAAAATATGAAATATTAAGAAAATTTATTTAATTCAAATATAAAATTTATTTGGTTTAAGTAAATATTTATTTCATAATAGTCAAGAAAACGATTATTTGAATCAAATAAATTGTTTTTCAGGGTAGTATTGAAATTTAATATGTACATTTTCATTAAATTTAATATAAAATGATAATAATTATAATAATAATAATAATAATAATAATTTTTTCAGTGAATTTAATTAAAATTAATTAAAAATTTTCTAACGTTAAATCAAAAACTTTTTTTTTTTTTTTTTAAACATTGTGTACTTAATAAGATTCGTCGGAAATAACATTGAAATTCTGTGACCGATCGATAGGGCAGCTATTTCTGACGTCACATGAATATATGTATATATATATATAATATATACATATATATATATATATACATTTTGCACCTCTGACCCACTTTACATGAGAGACATCAAAGATACCTTATCAATAGGGTTGCTCATGAGACAGATCACAAAAGAAAAAAAAAATTGACCAGAACATTTTTTTGTTGTTAAAAAAAATCATATTTTTTAATGCAAAAAAATTTCATAAGTTTTTAATTTAAGAATATATTATATTTATTTTCTTTTTGTAATATCCTATGTATATAAATATTTATAAAAATGCAATATTTAACAAATTTTTTTTTTTACACTTACAGGTAATGCATTGACATGCTATCAGTGTAACAGTGCATATGATCCAAGATGTGGTGATCCTTTTGATCCTTATAGTTTAGGAACAGTAAATTGCAGTTTTCAACCACGTTTGGAACATCTCAAACATCTCGAACCAACAGTTTGTCGAAAAATTAGTCAAAAAAGTAAATATGAAAAAAAATATATAAAAATTTTAAGATAATTAATTATATATATTTTATGTGGAAGAATTTCCGAAATTTTTCCGCAGATTTATTTAAAAAACACTCAGTGAAAAGTTTTCTTTGAACCAAATATTTTTGGTAATAATACAATTTTCTTTTTGATTATTTTATACAAAATTTGTTTAATACAAATAAATATTTATTTGATCGAAATAAATATTTGATTAAAATAAATATTTCTTTGATATAAATAATTTTTTTTTTTTTTTTTTTTAAATAAATGATGTTATTTAATAACAAGAACATAGAAATTCTTTGGTCAATATTATTGTACATTGATGGGAGACAAGTGAGACATTTGGCAAAATATTGGTAATAGGGCAAGCCTGCATTGCGGCATATTCGCGTTTATACGGCCTACTGTTTTCTTTGTTCAATTTAACTATATAAATTAATTATCCCATAAAAATTATTAATTAAAATTTTTTTAATAGAATTTTATTATGAAATAATTATTTTTTAAATAAATTTTCATTTTTCGAATTAGCATTTAAAAGAATTTCCTTTTTATATACGAATTTTTACCTCAACAAAATTTTTAGCTACCGAATTTTTGTTTGGCAGAAATTTTATTTTATATTTAATTTACATTCACCGAATTTTAATTTATCCAAAATTACAAATGACCGAACAAATAATAAAAAGACGGCGCAAATTTTTAAAATAGACCAATCACGATTTTCTTGATAAATTTCTAATTGGTCAATTTTAAAATATTGCGCCAAATTCTTTCTGTCGATTTTTTGTTCGGTCATTTGTAATTTTGGACAAATTAAAATTCAGTGAATTGGAATTTCTGTTATTTAAAAATTCGAATCGCATAAAATTCAATTGAATGTGAATTCGGTTAAATTAAAATTTTCTTAAATTTAAATTCGTCTAAAAAAAATAATTATTATTTCTGATAATAAAATTCTTTAAAACAATAAAAATTCTAATTAAAGATTTTTTATGGAAAATTCATTCGCCCCAGAAAAAAGGAAAGAAAATTTAAAAAAAAAAAAAAAAAAATGAAAATAAAAGTATAAAAAATAAGAATAAATATTTTTGTTGCAGCTAATGGTGAATTACGCGTTGTTAGAGGATGTGGATTTATAAATGATGAAGAAACTGACAATAAAGAATGTCAAAGAAGAGTAGGAACGCACGATGTTAAAGCATTTTATTGCGCGTGTAACACTGATCTTTGTAATTCAGCTTACACTAAATTGCCATCAAATACAATTATAGGAATTCTCGTTTATTTATTAACAATGAAAGCGATCAATTAGCCTCATGAAAAAAAAAAATAAACAAATAAATAAAAGCCTAATTGCTTCAATTTATATATATATAATGCTGCCGTTGTTTGATGAATATAATTATTGAATATGACTCGATAAGGATTTAACGCCTAGAAGACTGAGGGATAGGCCTATAAAAGATATCATTAGAGCTAAAAAAAAACAGTGATTTTATGAAAAATCCAAATGTGTATAAGTGATTTGAAAAAGCACCTATAAATTTCAAACAAGAAATGTTCCTGTACATCTAAAAAATTAATAATTTTTACAAAATGTTAAAAAATTTACAATACATATTCTATTATTGAAGAAAGAGATTTCCAAATGCAAGTATTCAGGGATTTGTAAAAAGATAGAAGTAAGATCGTTTTGTAAAGAAAATAATATCTATTTAAAAAACAGAGCGAAAGAATTTATATGCGCGATAAAAGGAATTAAAAAGTTTTGGGAGTCAGGGTAAAAGTTATCAAAAAAATATATATTGTCTATTTTATAAATTATTCTAAATAAGAAAACACGATTTTTAACACAAAATGTTTGTTCAATTACCGTGAATGTATATGAGAGAACAGATATATATATATATAATCATAGAGCATATATATTAATTTCTTTTAATCAAAAATATTTTTATTCTCTCAAAAGAGAATTCGATTTTAACGAATTTGTTATCAATATATGGACAGAACACCAAGAGGGCATTATAAAAAAAAAGAAAATAATAAGTTTTCACAATTTCAATAATTTTGCCGTATAATTTTTCCCCGATAAAGAAAGTACATTTCAAAACAGAAAGTTTCCTTTTTATATTAAAAAAAAAAAAATTAAAAAATAGTATATAATAATTTTGGGGATTGTATACAAATATAATAAAAGAGAAAAAAACAACGAGAACTATATATAAAAAAAAAAAATTATAAATAACGCAACAAATTTAAGTCAAATTGTCAGTTGTATTCCTTTATAGTCTATAATTACCCAATCAATATTATTATTTAATAATAATAGTATTATCAAAACAAAAGAAAAAAATAATAATTGAAATATGCTCACAATAATTTTTTCAATTAATATTTACCAATTAATATTTTAATAAATAAAATTATTTATTTAAATTATATACCAGTTTGCAAAATTACAATAAAAGAAATCCTATATATATATATACATTAATTAATTAGACAATTTTTTTTAATCATTTTTGCTTAATCCACTGTTTTTTGTTTTAAAATACTAAAAAAATTGACTCTCAGTGGATAAATCAACTAAAAAATAAATATTCTACATTTCAATAAATAAACAAAATCAAAATGATTAAATTGACTTATATAATATTTTAGATGCACTGTAATAAAAGAAAAGTAAATTAAAAAAATAGTTTTCAAAAAAAAAAGTATATAATTAACTAAAAATTTAATTTCTAAATATTGTTGTTTTTTGATAAATTTATTGCAAAAAGAAAAAAAAATTGATAGATTAGATTTATTGAATTTAAAAAGAAATTGTTAAATTTTTGAAACAAATAATAATAAATAATAAAATATTAAATATTCTTTTATAGGAAGAATGAAAAAATGTAATTTCGCTTCTAAAATGCTGGTAAAATTAAAAAAAAAAAAAAAAAAAAGTTTGTCCTAGTTGCTTCCACCTTTCATAAACAAAACGTCCTTTCTCATACGTCCGAAAGTAAATTCATTAAAACATATATATGAAAAAGAGAGACACTTAAGTATAATCATATAGAATATTATACATTATGTAATAGATAATATGCTTTTTTTTGTTTTTCATAATTATTACAAAACCAGGAATATACTTTCCTTGCCGATTATATATTGTGAACCATTTTGGAATTTTATGTAAAAATTAAAATAATATAATTTATGAAAACAATAGTATATGCGATAAAGTAATAAAAGTATAATTCAGTACAATAGAGCTTTTATTGAAGCAAATAAATGAGAGTAAAAAAAAAACATTAAGAGAAGCACGCTGCGTACTATTTTAAAATGCGCACGAGATTATTTTATTCATAAATGTAAGATATAGAACAGTTATTAAAAATCCTATTAAAATAATAATAATAATGCGTGAAATGTGTGTGTAGTTCATAGAATAGTGAGTGGATGAAGAATAACAAATATAAAAGCTAAAAAAAATATGCAACGTTTTTTTTTATTAAGTTTTACTTTATTTATTAATTTTTTACTAATTATTAATAAAATCGAAATCTAAAATATTAAATAATATCAAAAATTCAGTTTTAATTTTGAAAAAAAAAATTTCCTTTTTTTATAATTATATAATAATTCAGGAAATACATAACATAATAGTAAAACTATTAACTATTAAATTATTTAATAAGTATAATAATAGTAAAACTTATAAAACGTTGCATATTTTCATACTCAATATAATATTCTTTTTATAATCTCAATAGTTTTAGAAATAATTTTCTTAATTCTTTTTCATTAATTACTCTTAGTTGTTTTTTTTTACAAATAATATTTTAGTATACATATTATTAAAAAATAGAAAAAATAATTGTATAATAATTTATTTAATTTATTGTGCTAATTTGCGATTATGTTTATTAGGTCATATATAATAATAGAAATGTAATATTGTCATTTGTGTATAGATAAAGTGTGAAAATTGGTCTTCGCATAGATATTATTATATATACACATGGATCCATAAATTTATTATTATAATAATTTTCGTATATTGTTATTTTTTAAATTTCGTTATATTTTAAAAAATTAAATAATAAAAATGTCCATTTAAAATGTTTAAGTACTAAAACAAAAAAAAAAATTCTTTTAAATTGTTTAAACTTTTTTTTATTTATCGTTTAAGATTTTAAGAATAAAAAAATTCATTTGAAAATATAGAATTGTTAGCATGAGTTGAACAGTTTGAAATTTTTTTTTTTATTGTGTAAATATTTGCTTTCAAAGAAAATATAAATTTATGATATATTATATATATATATATACAAAAATTAATAAATATATATGAGAATAAGTAAATTAAAATTATTTATTACATTAATTTGAAAACTACTATAACTAACATAAATATACAATAAATTCATATTTAAAAATTAATTACTTATTATTTTGTTTAAATATATAAAAGAAAATTTGCTCAAACGAAATTAAAAAAAAAAAATTCCAAACTGTTCACCTGGTTCTAAATATTCTTTATATAATATATATTTTCAAGTAATTAATAATTCAATTAATAACTTGAAAATATTTTTCAATTTTTATTTTGCATATTTTTTTTTTACTTTAAAATCTTATGTAGATCAGAGGAAAATACAAATTTTTTTTTTTTTTGTCTTATAAATAATAAAAATAATTTTGTAACAAACCATCAAAAAACTTTTTTTTCTTTACATTCGAAGAAAAAGATAATTCGATTCTAATAAAATATTTCTTTAAAAGAATAAATGATTTTGATTTTTTTTAAATATTTTATTACTATTTTTTTTACGGACAATAAACATCGCATCTTGTATAAATGTTAATGTATCAGTAAAAAAAAAATAAAGTGTTGAACCGTTATCAAAAACTGAACATATATATATTTGTATAAAATTTATTTAATCCATATATTAATTTATTCCTTGATTTGAAAACGCGGCACGTGCAGTTTCGATATTAAGTAATATTTATTTAATATTTTAAGCATTAAAAAAAAATCCAAGGTTAACTAAATAATATATAATTTGTTTTTTAGAATAAATTAAACTTTTCAGTCGAAAATTAAGAAGTTTTATAATAGTGGATTGTTAATAATAATAATAATAATATAATTTTATATAAAATAAAAAATTTAATCTTTAGAGGTAAAATATTTTAATATATATATATACGAAAATATGTTACACATGGTTTTCAGTTTTAGATTATTATCACAGTTTATCGTTTCACTCATTTTCAACATTTTTTTTTTTTTTATTAAACATGCGACGAGTAATAATAGGAAATATTTTTGTGACACTATTTATAATAGTCGAAATCTATGCAGGTAAAATTTTATTGATAAATATTTATAATTTCTTTGATTAAATTAATAATATCTTGATTTGCATAATTGAAAACTGTTTTTTTTTCACTTTTAAGATTCATTCTATGATAAATATGTAATAAGTCAAAAACAATGGAAAGCCCTACCTCAAATATATCAAATACCTAAATTAAATTGGCCTATAAGGAATGTGATTGTTATAACTGAAAATACAGATTATTGTAAATCAGAAGAAAGTTGCTCGGAAATTATTAGAAATATTCAAAAGAATCATATGGAAAAAAATTTGTCTGACATAGGCTATAATTTTTTAATTGCTGGAAATATTTATTTATTTAATGGTCGAGGTTGGCGTTATGAAGGACAACATACTTTTAATTGGAATTCAAAGAGTATTAGCATTGTTTTATTGGGATTAAATCAACAATATATATCGTTAAATAAACAATTGAGAGTAATGAAATATCTTCTTAATTATGGTGTTCAAAATAAGATTCTAGATAAAAAATATAAAATTTATTATCAACCACAAATTTTAAAGACTGCCGATAATAATTCTAATGTAAAACAACAATTAAAATTTTTTCCTAATTTTGATCGATATTTCATTAATGATAAAGAAAAAGTGAATTTTAACAATAAAACAGATGAATTGGGTATATAAAACTTTTTTAATCATAAAAACAATAAATAAAAATATATTCAAATATTTTTTTGCAAGAATTTTTTATAGACAAAACATAATTTTTCATTTCAGATCAAGAATATTTTGAACCAATTTCACGTGAAAAATGGCACGCCATTGAACCAAGGGGAAAATTGTCAAAAATATTATATCCAGTGAAATTTCTAATAATCAGTCATTTATCGGAACAATATTGTTTAGAAAAATTAGATTGTGAAAAGGAAATTAATCAAATTCAAAGAAATGATATGAAATTATTAGGAAAAATGGATATTGGTCATAATTTTCTTATTGGTGGTGATGGCCTTGTATACAGTGGTCGCGGTTGGAATTTTGTGGGTGATCATACAACTGGATGGAATGAAATAAGTTTTGGCATTACATTTATAAATTCTTTTCACGATATTGCACCATTTGATTTTTTAATTGAAGCTATCAATAAATTAATTATAAATGGTATTAAAATTGGCAAAATAAAAGAAGACTATATTGTCTTGAGCGATCAACAATTTCATGAAAATCCACAAACAAATAATTCACTTTATCAATTAATTAAAAAATGGAAAAATTGGCGAGATCTTGATGATATAAATACTAATGATGATCGTGAATCATCAATTGAAACAGGTAAAAAAAAACAAATAAAAATATTTACTAAAACTAATAATAATAAAAATAAAATGTTTAAATTTCTTTAAAATTCAATTTATTAATATTTTAGAAACTGATGACGAACTTCATTTTGTTCATCAACAACAATGGAGTACAATAAATAAAAATAATATAAATAAAATAGATTTAAATTCTCCCGTCAAGTACGTTATAATTGTATATGAAAAACAAAGCGAAGATATTGAAATTGATTATAAAAAACAGATACAAAGAATGCAAGAAACTGCAATTTTTAATAATTTAACAGATATTAATCATAATTTTTTGCTTGATAATAATGGTAACATATATTATGGTCGTGGATGGAATGTACAATGTCAATATCATGAAAAATTTAATGATAAAAGTTTATTTATTCATTTTTTCGAAACTTTTCATAAAAATGATGAATATTTTAAAATTCAAATGAAAAATTTAAAAAAACTCATTGATATTGGTTTGGCAAATAATGAAATAATTGATAATTATATTATTTTTGATAGTCGACAATTGTATGAAAAAGAAGAAGATATAAATGATGAATTTTTCAACCATATACAAGGATGGTCACATTGGGAATCATTAAATTTAACAACAGAGAATATTATTTTCAATAATCAGAATTTTATAAATGAAACAATTAATCATTATAAATTAAATTATATTCCTCGAGAAGAATGGGGTGCATTAAATTCATCAGCACATTTTGAAAAACTTGATCTCCCAGTGAATATTATTGTTATTAGCCAAACAGATACACCGACTTGTTACAATAAAAATGATTGTAAATTAAAAATGAAGAAAATTCAAAAACTAGATATTAATGTAAAAAATTGGGCAGATATTGGTTATAATTTTATAATTGGTGGCGATGGTGCTGTTTATGAGGGACGTGGTTGGGATAATTTCGTTGGACATTTATTTAATTGGTCTCATAAAGGTCTAAATATTGGTTTACTTGGAAATTTTGATGATAAAGCACCGTCATCAAAAAAATTACGAACCGTACAAAGACTTATTGAACATGGTATTAAAATTGGTAAAATCAATAATAATTATAATATTGTGTGTGAACGACAAATTTCTCATACTGTCAGTCATGGTAATAAATTTTATGAAATTGTCAAAACTTGGATTCATTGGAATTCAAAACTTGATGACAAATGGAAGTCAGTTTAAAGAAAAAAAAAAAAAAATTCTATTCTACTAGCAAAATTACGATGAGAAAGTTATTAAATTAGTTAATTAATTAGTATAAAGTTGTTTGTATTTATTAAAGAAAAAAAAATTACATCACTTTGATATTTTTAAGCTCTCGTAAATTTTATTGCATCTTAATTGTATGCTCAAGTCTGTTAAAAATGTTGTAACGTGGGGAACTTTATCTTTCTGCTTACCGCTCTCAAACACAGTGACTAGAATCATTCTCGGATCAATGTTGTACATGGCATAAGTATAACATTCCTATAAAGTCAAATTATTTTTTTTTATCACCTGTTAAAATCAATTTTCAAGGAAAATTAATTTTTTCATACCTTTTGATTTTGTCCATTGATAAATATTATTTTATCCATTGCTTTAAGATCAGCATAACGATCCTGTATGCCTTCTCTAATATTATCCCAATGAGATAAAGGTTTTTGTAAAAACACCTATAAAAAAAAAATTTATACAATAATTTAATAAAATATTTTTTTTTAAATTTTGGATATACTTTTTTGTATATGAGATTGTTTTTTTCCAAAATTTAATAAACTTACACTTGGAGAACAAACGATAAGTGAAAAATCATCTCCGACTTCAAGTTCTCTTTTAGGATGCCTGTATCCAGGTCCAGAATCTTGTGTACCTCGCGAATCAAAAATTATTAAAACTGCCAAAACGTCATATTTTCTTTGAAAACTTTGTAATCTGAAACAAAAATATTTATTATTAATTTCGAATAATAATTTTCATCGTACATTTTTTAATTTGTTGATAAAAAAAAAGAAAAAGAAATCTAATAAAAATAATTTACTCTTAAATAATATCATCTCACTTGTGATAATAGTCGACATTTTGTCTACTCATAATGCTTCTCATTTCTCCAGAACTTGCTTGTTGACTTAATGTTGTATGAAAATATAATGAACACTTAGATAAAATGGCACTTCTCAATTTCACTAGCCATTGATATAATGCAGGTTGTTGATTTGTTTTCAAAAATGTTGCTCCAAAACCAAGTTTCCAAGACTTTTTTTTTTTAATGAAACAAAAAATTTAAAATATATAAGCAGCAATTAAAAAAAAAAACGAAACAAAATTTTCAAATTCTTTCTTGCTCACCTCTTTATTTTGCAAAGTACGTTCCCAGGCCGACATTCGAGCTTGAGCTCCGTAAAGTGCCATTAATGAGGGTAGGAATTTCCAATTTTGTATTTCAACATGTGCTTTCATAAGTTGTGCTAGAATTTCACATTCCAATCTAAAAGAAAAAAAAAAAAAATTTCCATTTTCTGTTAAAAAAAAATGCCTAAGAACTACTAGAATCGAAAAAATTACTGAGACGTGAATCAAACTGGATAAGAAAAAATAAAATATAACGTACGTTAAAGCTGCTTTAATTGCCGTTAAAGCTAAATGAGAACAAGATAAGGAATGTGTGAGTATTATGGCATCAATAGTTTGTAACAAATCAGGATGGTTCATTGGTCGGTTACTGATACTCATATTGTACATCTTTTCATAACTGTAAAATGTAATATTATTAATTTCTCTCTCTCTCTCTTTTTATAAAATGAAACAAATTTTATAAATAAATTAAATCACTGACAAATCCATCAATTGCATTCGAGCGGTAACAAATTGACACAATTGATTTGAAACTTCAGCAACGGTCGCTCCTACTGCGTTTGTTCCCTTCGTCATTTCTTCGACTCTCTTCAAATCTCCTTTTAGTGATTCGTACATTGTCTTCAGAGAATTCTAAAAAAAAAAAAAAATTATAATATTGTTTTTAATTTTTATTTTTAAATCAATTTTTTTAAAGAAAATTTATTTTTTTTCTCTTATTTAAAAAAATAGTTATATATTTAATAAACTCAATAATTGTTGCATATCCAACTCTAATGGGAAGGTAAAAATTATTGAATTGCACTCCATTTGTATTTTAATAAATATTTACGTCCTTGCGAAGGAACCCTTTGTTCTTGATGCGAAGGAAACCTAAATCCACGTATGAGCGCTCTACCAATGTTATTTGAGGAAGGTGCATGAGTAGCATCCCCCAAGGGCCCATCTGTCCCGAACGACATGATTCTCTTTCTCTTTCCTATATAGTTAAATTTAAACTCACAATCAATTTTTTATTATTATTCGTGTTCATAGTTTTAAAAATGTTAAAATTTTTTTTAACATTCGAATTATCCCAAAATAATTTAAAAAGTTAGAAAATATATTTATTACGTATATTTTAAATATCAAACACATTTATTACGAAGTTTAATTTTTTTAAAATTCGAATTAAAATTAATAAAAATAAAACTATCATAAAGAAAGTGCTTACAAATTTGTAAGTTTTGTCACATAAATAAAAGTAGGGAATTTTAAAGAGGTCATTTGAAAATTTAATCAGTATTTGTAATACAACTTTTTAAAAATACTTATTTTGGGATAAGTAGATTTTATATATATATTTCTAACATCAAAATTATAACCAAAATTATAAATAATATTATATATTTACTTACAACTGATTCCTTAGCTTTATCAAAACATAATTGTGTCACTTGTATAAAAAAACTATTTAAAAACTCTTCTTCGTGGTCCATAATTCATCATTTTTAACAATCACAAAAATCATTTAAATTACTTCAAAAGTATATATTCTCAAAAAATAATATCAAATTTGTGAAAAAAATTTTTTTTTTCACAAAATACTATTAAAAACATGTTAGGGTTATGTTATGACATTTGTGAATAGTGTGAAGTGAGTGTGAACTAGTTTCTTTATGTTTTTTTTTTTTAGAAACGTCACAAATTTGTCAGGGTTGGGAATCAGAGTGACGTCACACTCTTACGGTAAATATATGTCATTCGAAATTTTTTTTGCGTATATTACATAAAAACTGTAATAAATTCAAAAAAAAAATTCAAATTTTGTCAATTTATTTGATATAAATCGACAAAATTAAAAAACAAAACTACCCGTTAAATAATTAAAACAGCTGCGATATAAACAATCGCAATGCTGAATAATACAAATTACAATAAAAAAATAACAGAAAAATTCCCAACAGCAGATATATAAAGCAAATTGTAATTTAAATTCAATTAAAAATTTTAAGTATTCAAAAAGTTAACATTTTGTGTAATTTAAATATCAATTTACACTAAAAGTGTAAAAAAATAAATCAAATTAACTAAAATGTTAACTATTTTGTATAGAGATAGTAACATATAATATTATTTTCTGTAACAGTAATTAAATATTAATATATGATAAATATAGAATTAAGAATACTATTAATAGATTAAACATATTAATTAATTACACATTCCTGAAAAAAATGATTATCAGAATTAAGAAGAAAAATTATTGCTCACCACGATGATTTATCTGAAAATAATTATGAATTAAACAAAACGTTCACAAAACACTTAGAAAACGTATACAAAACATTAAAATATGAGACAACATAGTGACAATAGAATAAAAGATTTAAATAAAGTAAATTTTCACTGGTACTCCAGTTACTTGTTTTTTTACTTACATTGTTTACCCGATTTCCCTACCTAGAGCTATATTTAAAACGAAAAAATATTTTGCCTACTTTCCCGATTTCCCTACCTACATATATATTTGCGAAACGAAACTAATACCGCCCAGGTGCAAAATTACCTACACTAGGGTTAACGTCCCGGGACGCAACCGTCATCTGAGCGATCTTTTCTGAAAAGAAAACATTCAATTAGTTCTTTATTGCAAAATTATAAAAAACTTTCAATTTTTAATTCACATGCATTAATTTTTAATTTAAATAAAAATTTACAATGCAAAACTGAAAAATTATTAATAAGATTAATTAATTAAATTATTTAAAGATAATAAAAGTTTATAAATTTAGTTTTAATTACTTTAATTTAATAGAAAAGAAAATTATTTTGACTCAAAAAGAAAACTTACAAAACATTAAAAATATTGAACATATAATAAATAAATAACATACATGTATAAACAATGAAAAAAACATTGACATAAAATATTAATTTACTTAGTATTAAGGCAGTAATCCACAAAACATGTAATACTTTAGGATGTAGAGAGTGTTACAAATTATGAAGGGGTTAAATTTCCGAAAATGTCACATGTTTTTTTAGATTACTCCTAACAATACTTGAAAATAATAAATTTTGTCAATGGTGTCACTATGTTGTCGAATTTCCTTCCCTGTTTTTATCTTTAAATTTTAATATTTTATTTAGATCGATATGATACATCTACTTTTTTAAAAATCAAAAAAATTCAAAAATTTATAGTTCAAGAAAATCTATAAAATTAATTTTAAATTTATATGAATCTACTTTTATTGAAATCATAAAACAATAACTGTTTTAAACAGGGAAGGGGTTAAATAAAAAACGACTCACCGACCGGCGAATCCCACGTCGGGGCAATAACGTCATCGCCAATTCTTGAGCGCTTCAGGCCAACTCCCAAAGATCCCTCTTTCTTGGTCGCACTTCTGCGAAAGGTTGGGAGCACAAAAAAAATCTCATAAAAAAATAAAAAGTAAAAAAAAATTTATAAAAAAAAGACGTATGCTGGGACCACTTCTCTTCTTCCACATCCTTCCTAGTCTCTTCAGATATGTATTTGGAAAATTGGAATGGAGCTGAAAAAATAAAACAAAAAAAATTATAAAATTATAATCTTAAAACACTATTAAATGCTGAGTTATTATTTTTTAATCAATTAAATTAATTTAGTTTTCAAATTTGTTACGTACGTGAAACTAAATTAATTAAAAAATAATAATTAAACCCAGTTACAAATTTTTAAGTCAATTATCATTTCTGAATTTGTAAATAAAATTAATTATATTGAAAAACACTCACCTATATTGTGGGATTTCTGCGAAGTGTCTGAGATACGATGACAGCATATCCTTTTAATAAAAGGACAAATTTTCCTTCTTTTGGAATATCTACCTGAAAAAATAGAATAATGTAAAATAAAATATTAAAAATCCTTAATACTATCAATTATTTTTAAATATAGTACAATAAATTTTCAACTATTTTTATTTATTTTATTTATTGACATTTCTGAAAAATAATCACCTATAAGGGGGAATTTCAGCGTCGTGTAAAATATACGATGACAGCATATCCACTCTTTAAGAGGACGAATCTTTCCGCTACTGGACCAACTGTCTGAAAAAAATACATAATAATTTATTATGTTACATGTGAAAGTGAAATATTTAAAATCCTAAATATTATTAATTATTACATTGTTCTTATAATTATTATTATTACTTTTGAATATGTTAATATTTAAAATATTTACATTGTACTGCGACTCAGCCATGCAAGATCTCCTCCAGGAGCAGCTCCGCAACAAACACCCATCCTTCACGTATTGGACATCTATAAATTAAGACAAAAAATTATTTTATATAAAAACATAAATTTAGATTTTCAATCTAAAATTAATTTCATTATCTATTCTTAAGTTGATTTTAAAAAATAAAACCTCTTAATATCACAGTTTTTTGTAAATTATAATTAATTAACAATATTTGTGTTATTAATTAAGAGTAACTTCAATGTAATTTTCATTCACTAATTGTTAAAAATTGTAAACTTTATAAACAACTAATAATTAAAAAGTTTTAAAATAATAATTTTCTTTATCAAAAGCAGAAAATTGCTTATACTAATAAATATTTAAACACAAAAAAAGACAAGAGAGACGTCTTACTTATTCGAAGATTTAGTAAAAGTTGTCATTTGTCATCTCATCTATGGATACGAATTTTATCCAATTCATCTTAAAGTCTAAATTCTGTAAATACAAGTAATAAATAAAAAAAATTTGTAAAATCTTACTTTTTATAATAAATAAATATTCACCTGTGTTAAGAAGAGTTGACGACAAAAGGATTAGCATTGTCTCAAAATTCCTTTTTCCGAAATGACTTTATTCTAACTTTTTGGCTCTGAAAAAAAATAAAAACAGTTAAATAAATATACGATACCAATTTTCATATATTACTTTAATTTTTCTTTTAAATTTTGTCTCTAAAATACGGTGGACAACTTTCCGAACAAATGTAGAATTGAAATGTGAAATTGTTCGTGTAGTCATGTTTTAGGTTAAATTTCAAAGCGTCATAAAATTTGACAAAATATTAAAAATTCTTACATTTATCAACAAAAATTAGTTAAAATCTTGAATATTGATAACACACTGATCCTAATTATTAATATATATTTTTTATTTAAAATAAAATTAGAAGATAATTTTTGTTGTTCACGAAATATTCTATCACTTTCAACCGCGCTTTCTACAGTGTCCATCACTATAGTGAGCAGTGATACCAACATGAACGAAAAAAAATTATGAACTAAATAACGTACTGCCAACATAATTAGACATTTTTTAAAATACTTTTTTCAATTATAGTAATCTTTTTTATTATTTTCAATTTTTTAATAAAACTATTTTTTATTATTTTTTTATTTATATTTAATAATTATTCATATATAATAATATTTAATGTTTTAAAATATTATTTGAGTCGCGCGAGAATGCCATCTAGCGGCGATAATGTAACGTCACAATATATGCAACAAGTTTCAACAAGTTGTAATGCCCAAATTTTTAGGTTATAATTTTGTCAAAAAAATTTTACCTAAATTTCTTATTTTTCTTCACAGCTGCCACAAAACTTTTATATATTATCGATTATTTATATAAAACAGTACTTAATTGTCATAAAATATGTATAATTAGCTGTTTGATTAAAAAATTACAAGATTAAATTCCGTCAAACGAAAAATGTTTCTTCTACTTTCTGGCGACGCCATTTGCAATGAGCAGAAATGCCAACCCAAGATAACAAAAAACTGAACTATGTCACTTCTACCAACATGAAAAAAATTTCCATTTGAATGAAGCATAATTTTTTATTTTTTTTAATTAGTTTATTTCTAAACATTCATATTGATTATTAATAATAAAATTTATATATTATTATGATTTAAAATAAACATTTATTTTTTGTTTAAAATTCTCGATACGCCGTGAAATATTTAGGTGTGTAAGCTCCTTTATTTATTTACATATCCAACCCTGGTTTGGTTCGCATAACCTTTAAAGACAATCACAAACCTCATAAACAGTACTTTAATATAAATATTAAATATATAGGTATAATTTTATTTAAAAAAAATAATAAATAACAATATTTGTAAATATGTCAAATGCATATGAAAACTATTACAACGATTATCATAAAACTACAGAATTGCAACAGAATCTGAAATACAAGAAGAAATATAAAAGATTAAAAAGAATTATTAAGGATACAGTGTTTGTAAGTTTTAACTTGATTTAATTTATTTTCATGAGTTAGGTATTGCATCTTTTTTTTTTTTTATAAAATAACTTGTAATTTTTAATAAAAAATTATGTTTATTGTGCACAAAAAAACGTTCATTCCATTTTGTTATATTAAAAAAAAATTCGTAGTAATTTTATTTATATAAAAGTTAATAGAAAATTAATAACAGTGAATATTTTTTCATTTAATTTTTGATTTATAAAAACAGTCAAAATTAAATAAAATTTTCTCTCTGATTGTATAGGAAAATGCAGCATTATGCGATCAAGTCGCTCAAATGCAGGAAAATCTCATACTTGTCAAAGATGAGAGATTATTTTTATTAAGAAAATTATGTCAACAACAGGGTGAAATTGACGCCAATTCAGTTTTATCAAAACAAAGTAATTTTAATTCATCGGCTGTGAATATTGACGGTGTAACTCCAAAAAAGAGTTCTAAAAAAAGAAATTCAACTGATGTTTCAGGTAATTTATCAAGATTAATTATTATTTGTGTGTATATTTAATATGTTATGTTTTTTTTTAGAAACGAAACCTAAACCAAAACGCACTAGTAAAGCAACGCGAAAGGTCGTTCAAATAATTCCATTGGATGTTCATGGACGACCAATATTTCCAATAAGTTTGGGAGATCTCACCGTTTACTCATTAGGCGAAGTTGTTTCAGATCGATTAACTTATCATTCAGAAGATCTTATTTACCCAGTTGGTTATTGTAGTACTCGAGCTTATGCTAGTTTAAGAGATGCACGAATTAAGAGTCTCTACACTTGTAAAATATTAGATGGCGGTCCAAAACCGAGGTAAATTATTTTTTTTGCTTTTTAAAAACAAATTTTAATAAATTGAGAGTATTATTCACAATTTTGTTTTATAGATTTGAAATAGTTGCTGACAATGATCTCGATCAACCTTTAGTTGGCTCAAGTCCTGACGAATGTCATTCTTTATTATTATCAGCGATTTCTTCTGCTTTATGTGCAATTCCACCGAAAGGCGCTGAATTCTTTGGAATTTCACATCCAACAATTCAAAATCTTATTCAAAGCTCACCGGGAACGAGAAAATTGGCTTTATATAAATCACAACGTTTTGAGGTAAATTTCCTAAGTTCCTTTTATTTTATTTTGAAAAATTAACACATTTTTTTGAACCGCCAATTTACAGGTGAGTAAAAATCAGACAAATGAAATGGCATCAAATTCAATGATGGAAGAGGAAACTGATCCAAGTCTTGGATTTGCAGCTTTACATCGCCATTTTGCTCTCACTAGTGGTTATCGAATTAAGGAAGAACCCAATGAACAAGATTTATTATCACTGCAAAAACTTATCGCATGATCTAGTCATTTATTTTGTATGTTGAATCATAAATAAATTTTTTATCTATACTTTGTATGGTGTTCAAAAAAAAAAGGAAAAAATACTTGAATTTTCTTTTTATTCATTAAATTAAGTATTAAATAAAAAGAATTTTATTTATAAATTATTTAAACAATAAATTTAATTATTTCATTTCTAATTCAAGTATATAAATAAAAAGTTTAAATGATAAATTTCATTAAATCATTAATATTTGTTATATAATTTCGTTTCTAATAAAATAAGAATAATACAGTGTAAAAAAAACATTTATTTCGTATAATATATGTACAATTTGCTATAAACAATCTTTTTTTTCCCCTCACAAACCGATATAAAATTCTAAATGTTATTCTTAAGTGCTGTACAATTAATTGGTATTATCGTCACACGTGAGAGTACATAAAATTTATAATTTATTTTTCTATTTACACTCGGAGTGGATAGTTTGTAAAAATTGGGAAATTTCTTATTTCAAATATATATTATATCAATTAACAGAAACAAGTGACAAAATTAAATAAAGCAGTCTCGTTCTTAGAATTCTACTTATGAACACTTAATATTATGCGTCAAAAATTATTTTTTTTGTTTTGTTTTTGTTTTATGCAAAAACATTTTATTTAATAATATATAAAATTTATTTTTAAAAAATACACTTTTTCGAATTTTCATCCAAAAATTTAAAAATTGATCTTTATTTAAATTTTTTTTGTTCTTTTTCGTAAAAATGCATTTTTTTTTTGCGTGAAATTCGGAAATTAGGCAAAAAGTACAATCTCAATATTTTCGGTAGAGTTGAAAATTACAAAAATTCTTCAACATTTCTCAAAATGTTTATTGCTTTTTTTCATTTTTTTGAGAAATATTTTTTTATTTATTTTTTCTGTTTTACAAATTCGAACTCTACGTTACTTAATTGTTATCAAACTTATCACAGTCTATTTGCTAATTTCTTCGCAACGTATACAGTAAATGCCTATATGCAATTTACATCGAAAATTAAAGTGATGATTATAATATAAAAGAAAGCTTTTTTCCTTCTATATTCATAAAAAAATGAATTTTTATTATTATTATTTCAATTTTAGTTAATTTAAATTGATTAGAAAATTATTTTCTTCATAAAATAAATGTAAAAAGAATTATAAAATATATATTTCTTGATATCATTTTAAAATGTAAATTAATCGAAAATAAAAAAATAATTTCAATGTTAAAACAAATATACAAAGAATTAATTGTAAAATAATGAAAAAAAATATTTAATTTATCTTAATAAATTGTGCACCATTAATGAAACAAAGTCTTTTTTTTGTATATTGAATATTAAATTGACTAATAAACTGTTGTGACTTTTTTTTCAAAAATTAAAACTAATTTTTTTAGATATACCTATGTATATAATATTTTCCGCATTAAATTCTAATTTTATAAATTTTTCCATTTTCCAAATAATTTTAAAAAATTTGCTAACATAAATAAATGTAGAGTCTAATTTTTTATAACAGTCCCTAAGCGAAAAAATTGCGCGATTATATATTATTTTAAAATATCTAATATTCGAAATATAAATAAATAACTATGCTAAATACCTAGTTGTTAAAAGTCAATATTTTCAATTTATGTAAATAAAATTTTTCAACTAATGCAAATTAAAAAAGAAATTGTCTTTTACTGCAATTTTTAATTAAAAAATCAAAATTTGACTTTTAATAACTATTAAAAAGGCATTTACCATTATATTTTCTACATAAGCGCCATTGTCAACTTGAAATTCTTATTTAAAACTTAATTATACCAATAAAAAAAAATTATTTTGTTCCTATAATAATAATTTATGCAAATAAAAAAAAAAGCTTCGTAGAGTTTCTACAGAAAAAAAACAATTTCTTACAATTATTCGATGAATTCGCTAAATTGGTCAAAAATATTTTTACAATTGTTTTTTCAGTAAAAAAGATTGAAGATTTAAAAAATATGGAGAAACTTCTGGAAGCTCTTTTTAAAATTCAATTCGACTCTTTTTTTTAAAGGAGTCGAATTAGATTGTAATTTAAAAAAAAAAGTATTTACAAGTTCAATACCTTTAAAAAAAAATTGGTAAAATTCGGTTTTTGGGTAAATTTTAAAAATCCTTTTAACTAGTATTAAGAATGTTCGTGAGCTTCATTTGTCACCGTCTTCTAGCTGGACCCATTGTTCTTGTGAAAAGTGTATTAGCGACTGCGATCACAGGCGTGAACAATTTTAATGGATAGTCGCTGAAAATAAAAATTTTTATTTCATATAATTCTGTTAAATTTAAATTATTTAATAATCGACTTACCAAACTCCAGTCACAGGTTCCGCCTCATTCCCACTTATTATGAAGAGTGGAAATAAAATAGAAAATACACAACCACTGAAAATGAATTGATAAAAAAATTTATTTTCAACTTTTTTATGAAATGAAAAAATAATCAAAGTTTTAGAGAGAAAAAAATAGATATTTACCTCATCATAAGGGAATCGAAATATTTTGTAAGTAACGCTAATGGCAATCCAAAGCCAATAAAATATGGCCAATTGCCTTCAATAAATGTAAGTCGTCGATGTAATTCCCATCCCATGTTAAACCATTTATATTCAAATGAATAAAGTGAATACAAAAGGCACATGTGTACAAGAGCAAGTAATTCGCCTACCATTGGCAATGGAATATTATAAACGAGCATTCCTTGCGCCAGGAACAACACTTGAACCAGGATACTAACCAACATGTCAGCTACAAAAATACTGACACTCGGCAAATGATGAGGACGACCTTGTCTAAATCTGTACGCACTGTCAGCTATATCCTACATTTAAAAAAAAACAGTACAATTAATTATTAGTTCAATGTAATTAATTTAAAATTCAATTTAAAAATTTTTTAAAGTAAAAATTGATATAAATGTTGAAATTAATTTTTTCTTTTAACTTTAATTGAATGTAGAAAATAAATTTTCACCTGAAACCAAAAACTGTTGATTACCCTACTGAGCATAAAAAGAGGCAATATCCAAAATGTACCAAAAGTTAGGGACAAAAATGGATTTATCCACGACCAAAGTGTCGAGGCCATACCATGTGAATCACCAAATATAACAGTCAATAAATATTTTAAAGATGGAAACAAAATATTCTCAAATATTAAAATACTCCCAAGAAAAAATCCTCCATTAAGACCACAACATTGCATTGTTCTTGTAAGAATTGTCGATTCCCTAAAAAATAAAAAAAATAAAATAATATATATTCTTAATAAAAAAAGTCTATATGTAAAAATTATTTTACCGAAGTTCTTTTGATTTTACGACGGGACTCTGATTATTTGGTGTACCGCTTCTTCTTACATTTTGCTTGGAAGCAGTTTTCTTAAATTTTTCATTAATTTGTTTATCTAAATAATAAAGAATTACAGCACCTTTTAAACTGTCTCCTAAACCTCGACACATTGCTTTCACAACTCCCTGAAATTAAATTTCATTATTCATTAAATTAGAAGAATTATTATACTCTTACATTCTTAATAAAATGAAAATTTAAAAACAATTACAATATACACTAAAAGAAGATAAATAAAAATAACATTCTAAAATATAAATTACGTTAATTATTTTCAATTAAAAGGTAAAAATTTCCAAAAATTAACGTCAATCTAATGTAAAATTTATAAGAATGTAAAAATCTGACATTTATGATTTATTCAGTGTTAAATTTTTAGTGATTACTACGCAGTATCAAATGCGAACTTTTTAATGCCAAAGTACAAGAAATTATCAGTTATGTATGCCTAGAAAGACAAAACACTTGAGCTTTAATCATAAATTAAAATGTACATCTAAAATTATTTTAAACTACTTTTTAATTAAAATTAAAGAACAATTAAAGAAAAAAGGAAAATTTAATGAGAAATATTTCTGAATATAATTTATCTCGTAACAAATGATAAATGTCTCTTTAAATTGGCAACTATCCAAAATAATACATTGTCAAAAAAATTTACTTGTTATTTTATTATTATTTGAAATTTTATTTGAGAATTTTCTTCATAAAACTCAAAATAAGTACTTACCGTTAAGCTATCCATAGTTTTAATAATTTCAAAATATTGGAGTAGTTAATTTTTTTTTCATGAATGTTCATCGATTCTTGTAAATAAACATTATCAGTGAAAGAAAGGATGAAATTTATAGATATTACTAAAAAAAACGTATTTTTAATCCTCACGTACTGGAGTCAAAAATTATTTTCATTACGTGAGCTATTTTAACTAGAAAATGTGATCTTTACAATGACATGATCAACATGATCAGCCATGACAGCAAGTTAAAACACTTAAAAAAAAAATTAAAAACAAGTAGCGCACTCTTTAATCGGTAAACAGGTATGGATCGCTAAAAATATTCTGTAATATACACTAAAGGTTCTTTCATATTTCATTTGTTGCCAAAATTGTAAAGAAAAATCAAGAGAGCAAGAGATGTAGACATATATCACTATCCCTCTCACTCTCATGATTTTCCTCTTCAAACCACAACATCATTTCCCCTTAATAAATAAAAATAAATGTTTATTTTAAATCATAATAATATATAAATTTTATTATTAATAATCAATATGAATGTTTAGAAATAAACTAATTTAAAAAAAAATAAAAAATTATGCTTCATTCAAATGGAAATTTTTTTCATGTTGGTAGAAGTGACATAGTTCAGTTTTTTGTTATCTTGGGTTGGCATTTCTGCTCATTGCAAATGGCGTCGCCAGAAAGTAGAAGAAACATTTTTCGTTTGACGGAATTTAATCTTGTAATTTTTTAATCAAAAAGCTAATTATACATATTATATGACAATTAAGTACTGTTTTATATAAATAATCGATAATATACAAAAATTTTGTGGCAGGGAAAAAGAAAATTAGTAAATTTCTAAAAAATTAATCTGACGCAAAAACCTAACCTAAAAGTTTAGCATCACAATGTTAAACAAAAAAAATCAGGTAAATGTATAATTCAAATCGAAATATAATAAAAAATTATATTTTATCAACAATAAATATAAAAATTGCAAACAAATAAAGAAAAATTAAACTTAAAAAAAAAAATTTTTTCATGTTAATAAAAAAAAAGTTTAGTTTTTTGTTATCTTGGGTTGGCATTTCTGCTAATTGCAAATGGCGTCGCAAGAAAGTAGAAGAACCATTTTTCGTTCGACAGAATTTAATCTTGTTATAATTTTTTAATCAAAAAGCTAATTATACATATTATATGATAATTAAGTACTGTTTTATATAAATAATCGATAATATACAAAAGTTTTGTGGCAGCTGTGAAGAAAAATAAGAAATTTAGGTAAAATTTTTTTGACAAAATTATAACCTAAAAATTTAGGCATTACAACTTGTTGTAACTTGTTGCATATATTGTGACTTTACATTATCGCCGCTAGATAGCATTCTCGCGCGACTCAAAAAATATTTTAAAACATTAAATATTATTATATATGAATAATTATTAAATATAAATAAAAAAATAATAAAAAATAGTTTTATTAAAAAATTGAAAATAATAAAAAAGATTACTATAATTGAAAAAAGTATTTTAAAAAATGTCTAATTATGTTGGCAGTACGTTATTTAGTTCATAATTTTTTTTCGTTCATGTTGGTATCACTGCTCACTATAGTGATGGACACTGTAGAAAGCGCGGTTGAAAGTGATAGAATATTTCGTGAATAACAAAAATTATCTTCTAATTTTATTTTAAATAAAAAATATATATTAATAATTAGGATCAGTGTGTTATCAATATTCAAGATTTTAACTAATTTTTGTTGATAAATGTAAGAATTTTTAATATTTTGTCAAATTTTATGACGCTTTGAAATTTAACCTAAAACATGACTATACGAACAATTTCACATTTCAATTCTACATTTGTTCGGAAAGTTGTCCACTGTATTTTAGAGACAAAATTTAAAAGAAAAATTAAAGTAATATATGAAAATTGGTATCGTATATTTATTTAACTGTTTTTATTTATTTTCAGAGCCAAAAAGTTAGAATAAAGTCATTTCGGAAAAAGGAATTTTGAGACAATGCTAATCCTTTTGTCAACTCTTCTTAACACAGGTGAATATTTATTTATTATAAAAAGTAAGATTTTACAAATTTTTTTTATTTATTACTTGTATTTACAGAATTTAGACTTTAAGATGAATTGGATAAAATTCGTATCCATAGATGAGATGACAAATGACAACTTTTACTAAATCTTCGAATAAGTAAGACGTCTCTCTTGTCTTTTTTTGTGTTTAAATATTTATTAGTATAAGCAATTTTCTGCTTTTGATAAAGAAAATTATTATTTTAAAACTTTTTAATTATTAGTTGTTTATAAAGTTTACAATTTTTAACAATTTAGTGAAGGAAAATTACATTGAAGTTACTCTTAATTAATAACACAAATATTGTTAATTAATTATAATTTACAAAAAACTGTGATATTAAGAGGTTTTATTTTTTAAAATCAACTTAAGAATAGATAATGAAATTAATTTTAGATTGAAAATCTAAATTTATGTTTTTATATAAAATAATTTTTTGTCTTAATTTATAGGTGTCCAATACGTGAAGGATGGGTGTTTGTTGCGGAGCTGCTCCTGGAGGAGATCTTGCATGGCTGAGTCGCAGTACAATGTAAATATTTTAAATATTAACATATTCAAAAGTAATAATAATAATTATAAGAACAATGTAATAATTAATAATATTTAGGATTTTAAATATTTAATTTTCACATGTAACATAATAAATTATTATGTATTTTTTTCAGACAGTTGGTCCAGTAGCGGAAAGATTCGTCCTCTTAAAGAGTGGATATGCTGTCATCGTATATTTTACACGACGCTGAAATTCCCCCTTATAGGTGATTATTTTTCAGAAATGTCAATAAATAAAATAAATAAAAATAGTTGAAAATTTATTGTACTATATTTAAAAATAATTGATAGTATTAAGGATTTTTAATATTTTATTTTACATTATTCTATTTTTTCAGGTAGATATTCCAAAAGAAGGAAGATTTGTCCTTTTATTAAAAGGATATGCTGTCATCGTATCTCAGACACTTCGCAGAAATCCCACAATATAGGTGAGTGTTTTTCAATATAATTAATTTTATTTACAAATTCAAAAATGATAATTGACTTAACAATTTGTAACTGGGTTTAATTATTATTTTTTAATTAATTTAGTTACAAGTACGTAAAAAATTTGAAAACTAAATTAATTAAATTGATTAAAAAATAATAACTCAGCATTTAATTGTGTTTTAAGATTATAATTTTATAATTTTTTTTGTTTTATTTTTTCAGCTCCATTCCAAATTTCCAAATACATATCTGAAGAGACTAGGAAGGATGTGGAAGAAGAAAAGTGGTCCCAGCATACGTCTTTTTTTTATAAATTTTTTTTTACTTTTTATTTTTTTATGAGATTTTTTTTTGTGCTCCCAACCTTTCGCAGAAGTGCGACCAAGAAAGAGGGATCTTTGGGAGTTGGCCTGAAGCGCTCAAGAAGTGGCGATGACGTTATTGCCCCGACGTGGGATTCGCCGGTCGGTGAGTCGTTTTTTATTTAACCCCTTCCCTGTTTAAAACAGTTATTGTTTTATGATTTCAATAAAAGTAGATTCATAAATTTAAAATTAATTTTATAGATATTCTTGAACTATAAATTTTTGAATTTTTTTGATTTTTAAAAAAGTAGATGTATTATATCGATCTAAATAAAATATTAAAATTTAAAGAAAAAAACAGGGAAGAAAATTTGACAACATAGTGACACCATTGACAAAATTTATTACTTTCAAGTATTGTTAGGAGTAATCTAAAAAAAACATGTGACATTTTCGAAAATTTTTGTAACACTCTCTACATCCTAAAGTATCACATGTTTTGTGGATTACTGCCTTAATACTAAGTAAATTAATATTTTATGTCAATGTTTTTTGCATTGTTTATACATGTATGTTATTTATTTATTGTATGTTCAATATTTTTAATGTTTTGTAAGTTTTATTTTTGAGTCAAAATAATTTTCTTTTCTATTAAAGTAAAGTAATTAAAACTAAATTTATAAACTTTTATTATCTTTAAATAATTTAATTAATTAATCTTATTAATAATTTTTCAATTTTGAATTGTAAATTTTTTATTTAAATTAAAAGTTAATGCATGTGGAATTAAAAATTGAAAGTTTTTTATAATTTTGCAATAAAGAACTAATTGAATGTTTTCTTTTCAGAAAAGATCGCTCAGGTGACGGTTGCGTCCCGGGACGTTAACCCTAGTGTAGGTAATTTTGCACCTGGGCGGTATTAGTTTCGTTTCGCAAATATATATGTAGGTAGGGAAATCGGGAAAGTAGGCAAAATATTTTTTCGTTTTAAATATAGATGTAGGTAGGGAAATCGGGTAAACAATGTAAGTAAAAAAACAAGTAACTGGAGTACCAGTGAAAATTTACTTTATTTCAATCTTTTATTCTATTGTCACTATGTTGTCTCATATTTTAATGTTTTGTATATGTTTTCTAAGTGTTTTGTGAACGTTTTGTTTAATTCATCATTATTTTCAGATAAATCATCGTGGTGAGCAATAATTTTTCTTCTTAATTCTGATAATCATTTTTTTCAGGAATGTGTAATTAATTAATATGTTTAATCTATTAATAGTATTCTTAATTCTATATTTATCATATATTAATATTTAATTACTGTTACAGAAAATAATATTATATATGTTACTATCTCTATCCAAAATAGTTAACATTTTAGTTAATTTGATTTATTTTTTGTACACTTTTAGTGTAAATTGATATTTAAATTACACAAAATGTTAACTTTTTGAATACTTAAAATTTTTAATTGAATTTAAATTACAAATTATTTTATTTATCTGCTATTGCAAATTTCTCGGGTATTTTTGTTTATACAACATTTTCGGTTGACTAAAAGTGTTTGTATATTTGCAAGTTGTTCTTTTGTAAGTATATATACTTTGTTGTCCTTGTCTTAGACAAAAAAGTTGCAAAAAATCCAAATTACATGGATAAAATTAGGTAATTGTATGGTAGAAGAAATCCAATATGGCCGAATACTAGAGGACAATTTAATATTTGTGCTTACGAGATAAAATCATATTTTTTAAATTATGTTAAAACGAAATTTTTCTTTGTGTTTTAGAATTTTAGTTTATATATTTTTAATTTACTATTTTAATTTAAAAAAATGGAATCGTTTTTTATTACTTCATTAAACAAGTATATATTAAACAGAAATTATAATCCTAATATTAAACATAGAGTTGAAAATATCCTTTTTATGTAATATTTTCAAAAAAATATAGGATTTTATCCCATAAAGTTTTGATTTCAATTGTTCTCCAATATTCAGTCATATTGGATTTCTCTCACCAAACTTGAGATACAACCTAATTAGAAAATGGCGCAGCAACAAAGGGGCCTTCTAAACGTTTGTTGAACACGTTCAACAGCATCAGTGAGTTTTGTGGAAAAATACTTTATTATAATGGAAGTGGAAGATAAAAGTGAAATTATAAACATTAGAAGTGAAATAGACAATTCTCAACAACAATGCAGAATATGTTTAAAGTCATATTCTTCTACATGGGATTTATTTCAAGATGGGAAAAATGTTATTCGCAAGTTGATTGCTTTTGCCAATGTACAGGTTAGTTTATCATTTTTCATTATCTTAATTATATTTCAAATTATTTGTAAAAAACTTGAAAAAAAACAGTTTCTTTATTTATTTATTTATAATTAAATAAAAGTTTTATTTATTTTTAATTTCTTTTTCAAAGTTACAACAAAATAATAGTGAACAAGTATCATTTTTTGTTTATACATTCAAATATATACATATGTAAAGTTTACCACTACTACTGAAAAGTTTTTATTCACTTGTTTTTCAAATAATACAAATACACTTTTCATTGTTACAAATATTATTTATTAATATTTTAAATATTAGAAGAATATAATAAAACATTTTGAATGTTACTAAACAAAATAATATTTATATTTTGTATTTTTAATTATATAAATATATTATAAATTAAATAATTTAAATATTATTTTGTATTTTAAGAATCTTTACAATCATATATTTAAAATAAATAAAAATATTCGAAAGTGTATTTGAAAATGTTAAATTTAGATTTAAAATTTTTTTTATTTTTTTAAATAAATTAATAATAAACGAATTTTTTTTATCTTAGGTGGAAGAAGGTGACGGTTTACCTTCCATCATATGTATCGATTGCCGACAACTTATTGATATTGCTTATGAATTTAAATGTCAAGTCGAAAATTCTGATATCAAATTAAGAAATGCATTTTTAACAAAAGAAACATCATTATCGTTAACACATTCAATTAACAAGGTAATATCAGACGCAATATCAGATGAATTTTCACAAAAACCAATTCCATGTAACATTGAAAATCGTAGTTTACCACTTAATGATATTAGTTCAAAAATTGATCATTTCTCAGTACATTCTAATGAACAATCAGTTTCATCATCTTTAAATAATTCAACAAATATAATTGAATTTGATATCAATGAAACTTGTGAAGAGAAACATGAACCTGAAGAAAATTTCATTTATCGTGATAATGAGAAATTAAATATATCCGAAACATTACAAGAAGATGACAATTCATCAAGAATTGATGACAATATACATGAAAATAATGAAAGTAATTTGGATATTAATTTTGAGGATGATTATGTAAAAATTGAAGAAACAGAAAATCGATTAGAATTTACAAATGATAAAATTGAAAAAATCGAAACAATTGATGATAATATCAATGAAAATTGTAATGATTTTGATGATGAGGAAACGCCATTAATATGTCGTACACAAAGATTAAAATGTCCTAAATGTATAAAATTATTTTCTACTCGTACGGCATTAGAGAAACATGTTATAATGCATAAATCAAAAACGAAATTACGCTATGTTTGTTATATGTGTGAAAAACAATTTTCACACGTGGGAAAATTAAAAAGTCATTATCAAGATGTTCATGAGAAAAATAAGGACGATGAAAAATTTGATAAAAATGAAATTAACAATAAACAAAATGAAAAAGAAGAAAATTCATCATCGTCATCATCATCATCAGAAAAAAAATCATTGAAATTTTCTTGTAAAGTTTGTTCAAAACAATTTACTTATCATAAATCATTTATATCGCACGCTAAAATTCATCACGAATATAATAATACAGATGAATTAATAAATGAATCATTTCCATCGAAAGATATTGAGAGTTCATCAAAATCAAAAGATATTGAAACAGATGATGATGAAATGCTCTCTGAAGGTTTACAATGTACAAAATGTGGTAAACTATTTGCAACAAAAAGAAATTTAAAACGACATCTATTAACTCACACTGGTTTAAAATACAATTGTCCAATGTGCGGTAAGGAATTTTCACGTGTTGATAAACTAAAAGAACACGAACAATCGAAACATAAAGATGAATTATTTGGTGAATTGTCAGAAGATGATTTTGATGGCAGTGCTGATAATGATAATAAATCATCAGATCATCAGGAAAATAGAAAAAAGGTAATAAAATTTTTTTCATAATTTCTGAAAAAAAAATTATTGTCTATTATTTTAAGTAATTTTTTTGTTTTTACAGGAAAAATACAACAGACCTCATCAATGTAATCTTTGTCCAAAAGCTTTTGCTCAGCCACAATCATTGGCTAATCATATGGAGCGTCATAAACGTGTAAAAGACACGCAAAAACGATTTTTATGCGAGGTTTGCAGTAAATGTTTTGCACAAAGTGGTTCATTGGTTGCACATATGCGCACTCATACTGGCGTTAAACCATATGTTTGTAATGTTTGTACAAAAGCATTTACAAAAAGTACTTATTTGCAATTACATTTACGTACACATAGCGGTGAGAAACCTTATATTTGTCAATATTGTAGTAGAGCATTTGCCCGTGCCAATACATTGGCAAGACATATAACAATGCATACTGGTGAAGCAAAATATCATTGTCAAATTTGTATGAAATCATTTAGACGTTTAACATCGCTCAATGAACATACATATACGCATACTGGCCAAAGACCATATGCATGTAAAATATGTGCAAAACGATATAATAATGCTGGTTCATTGTATGCCCATACAAAAAAATGTAAATCCCAACAACAAACAACAAATATTCAACAAATTTATCCAATTAATAATGAATCAATTAATGAAAATAATTTACAAACAAATAATTTATCATCATCATCATCATCATCAGTGGTATCTCAATCTAATCAATTAATTTCATCGTCACAAATTTATACACAAAAGAAATTAATAGAAAATGCCACTGTAACACAATCAATTCCAACGCCACAATTTATGATTGCCAATGTTCATAATCAAAAATCAATGACAAACAATATTATTCAATCGTTCCCTGTTGAAGATCCAAATCTTTATGCCATGAGTACAAAACAATTTAAAAATCCCTATTACACAATTTATCCTAATATGTAATTATTAAAAAAAAAAAAACACTAAAACTAATTTTTTAGAATTCGAATTTAATGGAATTTTATTCTGTAGAATATTATTACTTTTGCAGTATGTTAATTTAAAAGAATCTTAATTTTGCAAAAAAAAAATTGTACGGAATATTCAATTTGTTCGAATTTTCATTTTAAAGAATTTTTATTCGAAAAAATTAATTAGCCATAAATTCAATTTGATTGTATCTCAATTAGTGCGAAATGTTGTTTCATTGAATATTTATTATCCTGATTAGTAATTCAAAAGAATTTTAATTACACCAGACAGAAAATTAGAAAGAATATTAATTTTACAGAAAATGCAAATGATTGAAAATTAATAAACAGAATTATTTTGAGACTAATTTTAAAATTGAACAACTAACAATTTTTGTGTTAATTTCTGATTGGTGAAATTTCAAAATTTGTTCAAAATAGTTGTATTAAATTGATTATTTTCATTTTCTGTAAAATTAATATTCTTTCTAATTCTCTATCTGTGCAATTAAAATTCTTTTGAATTATTATTAATCTGCAAAATTAATATTCTTATGAAATAACTTTTTAATTGAGATTCGATCAAATTAATTTTAATCTAAATAAAAATTCTGCAACATTAATAATCGATTAAATGTAAATTTTGTAAAATGAAAATTTAAATGAAAATGAATATTTTGTAAAATTAGAATTATGTAGAATTAAAATTCTGTACAATTTTTTTTCTCTGCAAAATTAAAATTCTTATAAATTACTATTATGCAAAAATAATCTTCTACAGAATAAAATTCTATGAAAACATAATTCTAAAAAATTAGTTTTAGTGCTTATTCATGTATCCCTTATTTTTTGAGGTGAAAAAAAACTTCAATTTACTATTCAAGTATTGTTTCCCAAGTTCTTCTTTTTTTCATTAAAATTTTCAGTTTTTGAAACAATTTTTTGTAAAATATTCAAATTTTTTGATATTTTCATAAATAAGAAAATATCTGCCCGATAGATATATATTTTTTTTTGTAATGATGGATTATTTAAATTATTTTTTCTTCTTTAAATTATCATTTATTTCATACTTTTTTTTTAGTATTTTTCTAAAATAAAAAGAAAATACGCTCTTTTTCGAAAATTATAATTTTCATTATAAATTATAAAACATAATTTATGGTTCTTTGAAAAAAAATTATTGGATTGTTTTTCTTGTTTATGTAATGAGTACATAAAAATATTTTTTAAAAAATATAACAAAAATTTCCAGTGGCAATGGACATTTCTTTATTTTAATAAAAATTGACATAGGTATATATATATATGGATTTAATACTCTGCATTTTTAATAATGTAAATAATAAAAATTATCCAATTTTTTTATAATTATATTCAATATTCTTATAAACATGAAATTGTAAGAAAGTAAAATGTAAATTAAATAGAATAAGTTGTAAATAATTTTTAATGAGATTAAATTTTAGAAATATGTAATTATATCAACGTACTGCGAGTTTAAAGCGTTATTTAATATAATCTATGGATTGTATAATAATGAAAACGCAATATAAACTAAACCTGTTAAGATTATTACCATATTATTTTATAATAAAGCTTTTGTATAAAATAATCAATTTAAATATCTTTTTCACCAATTTTTTAAATTTTCATTTCATTTTTTGTAAATTAATTAATGTTTGATAAAAGTGGATTAAAAATAGGGTAAAAGTTGGTTTAAAATAGGTTTAACGAAGAGATATTGTGGATTTAAAGTAGGTTTAAAGTAGTTTCAATACAGGGTAATAAATATAGGTATAGGTAAAAAGAACAATAATTTGATTAGGCTGAATTTTTAATTTGAAAATTTATACATATACAATATATATATATATATATATAATTATAATAATGGTGTCTACCTCTGGTTTAAATCATAGTCATAGTTGTTCCTGCTCTCACTAATAAGTATAGATATTTATTATATCCGTAAAATGGTAAATTGCAATCATTATGTTTCGTACATTTCAATTCTGCTGTGGAAAGATGTAACCTTTCAAATACGAAAAACATTTTTTTTTTTATTGGTACACAAAGAAATCATAATGGATATTGTAAATTTATTTCTGTAAAACTAAATATTATTTATATAGCTTTTAATGGACAATTATAATTATTAATTAAAATTATTATAAAAAAAAATTAATATTTGATTTTTTCAAAAAATTATAAAAACAAAATAATTTGATTCAGATCGAAAGTTATTTATTTAAAAAAAAAGAATTTTTTTAAAATAAAAATTATTTAATGCATTATTTTATTCGAAAAATAAAAATATTTACTATTATAATTATTTGAGTATAACAATTTTTCTTTTATAGTGTGTAGTTGTATTTACATTAGTTTTATAAATTATATTATTCAAATTTCACAAAAAAAAAAAAAAAAAAAAAAAAAAAAAAAATTTAAAAATATCCATTTTGAATTTTGTCCACGTAAAAAAAAATTATAATAATTTGTTGTCGATTTTAAAGCTGTTAAAACATATAATTTTAAAGCAATGACGTAAAATAAAATTAAAAAGTCTGTTTCTCACTAACGTTATGATTTATGGAAAAAAAAACTAGAAAAATTTCTTCTCTTTTCAAATTATTAATAAAATATCACATAACAGACTTTTTTTCATTATTGTACGTTATTTTTTCTACGTATTTTTTTAATAATCAATTTATTAAAAATAAAATAATAAAAATAGAATTCTAAAAATTGACATTCTTCTCGTTATTAAAAATTTAATTTCTAAAATTTTTAATTTCAACAACCTTAAAATTATTCTTAAAATCTAATAAAAATTAAAAAAAATTAATTATAACAATTTTTTGTTGAACAAATACTAAATAAATATATATATATATATATATATATATATATATAAATATATAAATATATACATATATATATATATATATATATTTAAAAATAATTTAAGTCGAGATTCTATACAATAAACATTGTTTTGTTATAAACAAATAGTACAAAAGATTTTTTTAAAAGAAAGTAAATTTCTGTGTTATATTTGTATATATATACACTGAGAAAAATATGCTATTGAATCAATAGCATTTCTGCCAAAGGTATATAAATTATTGATTCAAAAGCATATGCTATAAAATCTATAAAATATTTTACAAATTTTATGGCATTTTTGAGTCAATAATTTTTATACCTTTGGCAGAACTGCTATTGATTCAATAGCATCTTTTTCTCAGTGTAAGAAAAGTGATAAATTCATGCAAATATAATTTACATTCTCAATTGAAATATACAGAAAAAACGTGGATCAAATTTTTTTTCTTTTTACTAATCCTATACAGAAGTACAATTTAAAAAGAATACACATTTTTTCTGTGTTTTTTTTTTTTTTTTGTTTACAAGTTTTTAATTTGTAATTTTGTCTTGCACATTAAATGATGTTTATGTATAAGTTTTTCTTTTTAAGAACATATGTATATCTACAATTTTTTTTAGTGCAAAAATTTAAAAGCAAACACGATTGAAACATTTACATTTTTTACATGTGCAACTATTCTCCAAGATTTAAATAAATATTTACAAGAGTAATTTTGAATTTTTGTAAAATTAGAATATATCATTGTTTTTGTTAATAATATAATTAATAATAATAATAATAATATCTCTTTTGAAAAACGTCCAAATGTTCTAATTTTACAAAATACTTTTGTAAATTTCTTTTCGATGTTATAAAGAAAAAAAAATATATTTGCTATTTTAACACAACTGATTTTTTTTTTTTTTGGAAATTCGTTGATAAATTTTGCGAAGTAAAATAGTTAACTCTTTCCACCACAAAATTATTCACAAAATTATTGGATGAACGCATGTACAGAATACGTCCACCAAATATTCTTTTAAATGCAAGACGCATACATATACAATAATTATAGTAATATAATTGAAGAAATACTATGTTTCTTCTGCAATTATTGATTCGATTCATTTTCGTTCATATATTCTCATATATAGAGATCTACTTGAATATACTATTTTAAATAACTTTCAAACAAACTTACATTTGACGTATACTATACATGCATCTTATATTAATATTAGACACGTCCCACTCGCATTTAATCGAACGTTTCATTTTCATTTGTTTTTTTTATGGACCTTATTATTGAGTACAAAATTACAAATAGAGGAAAGGTAATAAGGATTGTCCTTTGACTGGGTAAAACCTTGTTCAATAACAAGTTGCGCGAAAAATCACAATTTTTCAAGTCTCAAACTTTCAATGTGTACCATTCGGATTATTCAATAAGCATATATAATGTCTATTTTAGAACAAGAAAAGAATATTTTCCATATCCTTCATATAGTGCTATTCCTTTCTTCTTTTTTTTTTTTTTTTTATACATTATGCCGTTTGAAAATGTTAATTTTCCGATGATGCAAAAAGTTTAGCAAGTCCGATAGCCGATCACTGTAGATCCAGAAAAAGATCTTCAGTTCTCGGAACACCATTCTCACCAACAAAATACAGACAGTTCCTTTCCATGCTCACTACTGTGCCTCCAAGTCGTGACAGCTTGTGCCTTCATCTAAAAATCAAATGAATTATATTATACACTTTCAGTTTTTTAAAATTATTTATACTATTTAATATTAAAAGGATTCGTGGTGGTTATATTAATTTAAATTATAAACCGTTACTCTGGCAACTGTTGCTATATAAGGTATCCGTTACCATGGTTACAAATTACAATTACAATTCGAGAATTTTTTATCCACTTTGGTCCATTGTAGCTCGGATGCTGTTGTTTCTCGGAAATTTCAAAATTTTTTTCACTTTGGTCCATTGTAGGTTGGATACTGTTAATTATATCAAAAAGTACTCTATACATTTCTTGAAGAGGATTATATCTTGGGGATAATTTTCCTGAAGCTATGCCCTATAGAGATTATCTCGGAAAATTTAAATTTTTTGTTAATTTTGGTCCATTGTAGGTCGGATGCTGTAGATTATATCAAAAAGTGACGCATACATTATTTTTGTAGAGCACTATCTGAGGATAATTCACGTACTATTTCGGAGAGTTTATCTCGAAAATTTGAAATTTCGAACTTTTTTATCCAATTTGGTCCATTGTAGGTCGGATGCTGTAGATCCTATCAAAAAGTACTCCATACATTTTTTGTAGAACACTCTCTGAGGATAACTCTATTGCTAATCCGTAAAGTTTATCTTTGGTCCATTATACACCCTGAAAAAAGTATTCTCATATTTAGAGGAAAAATCCTCTTCTAATATCCTCTTAATTTTTCCTCTCAAAACAAAAGTATTCCACTTGAATGTAGAATATTTTTATTCTTTAGTGATTAATAATAAAAAACAAAACAATTTTTTTGAGGTTTGATGTCAAAAGCATTGAACTAAAGATAAATAAATAAATAAACAAATTTATAAATTAATGTAATTAAATAACAATTAATCATTAATTATATTTACTTAATTAAAAACATTTAATTTAGTGCATCAGAATAACTTTTCTTTATCAGTCCATAACCATAATTGGCAAATAATATGCGAGAGGAAAATCCTCTCAAGTAAAGACTATTAATTTTGATACAATATATAAGAGGAAAATATGCATCAAATTAAGAGGAATCTGCTAGAATCAAGATTACTTTTTTTAGGGTGTAGGTCGGATGCTGTAGATCCTATCAAAAAGTTCTCCATACATTTTTTGTAAAGCATTATCTGAGGATAATTCACGTACTATTTCGGAGAGTTTATCTCGAAAATTTGAAATTTCGAACTTTTTTATCCAATATGGTCCATTGTAGGTCGGATGCTGTTAATTCTATCAAAAAGATACATTTTTTTGCAGTGCATTATTTGGGGATAACTCTCCTGCTTTTCTGGAGAGATTATCTACAAAATTCTTATCCAATTTGGTCCATTGTAGTTCGGATGCTGTCAAAAAGTTCCTTTATACATTTTTTGTAGTCCACTATTTGCGAATAATTCTCTTGCTGTTCTATAGAGAGTTTATTTAGGAAATTTGAAATTTCGGAATTTTTGGTCCATTGTAAGTCGGATGCTGTTAATCCTATCAAAAAGTGCTCCATATATTAAGAACACTATCTTGGCATAACTCTCTCTCTCTTAATGCCCGAGAGTTTATCTCGAAAATTTAAGTTTTCGAATATTTTTGATCCACTTTGGTCCATTTTAGATCGGAGGAAGTTTCAATTTTGGTGGTACAGAGTTTTTTGCAATTTTTTTTTAATTGTTTTTAATTCGAAATAATTTCTATTAAAATTTAATGTAAAGCATGCGCGCTGAAACATGCTATCAGTCTCGTTGTATAAAATTAACGCAGTATGCATCACTTGGTACAGTTTACATATATAAATGCAAGATGGCTGCCGGTATATAGACTGCAGTGTAGCTAGGACGTGGTCTCTTTACGTTGAGTTTGGTTAAAAGTGGGGACTGGCGGGAAGTGTTCAGCCATTCAGAGTCAATGTTGCGGGGGTGCAGAGAATCTGGTATAGAACTGTGACGGCGCGTACGTGCTTGGAGGGGAATACTACGTATACTACAGATACTACGCTAGCGTACTATGAGTTGTACTCTAACACCAATACACATGCATATACGACGCGACATAACAGCGACTAGCTGTATTTTCAGCATGCTAGTTGCAAGTATGTGAAGTATGCAACCACTTTCGCACGCATCATATACTTCTTGTTCTTTAAAGCGCCTCTGACCTCTAATAAATAACTTTATATATATATAAAGTTTTAAATATCTTTTTAAAATAGTTGTATAATCAATCAAAATTCTTATGTTCTCTTGTCAATAAACCGCGACTGGGTTTTTCATATTTAGTTTTCCTCAGATTAAAAAGGAGCCTATTATGTAAACTAATTTTTTTGGTTCAATTTTATTTGTAAGATGATTCTTATATTTGGTTTATAATCTTCCATTTGACGCATATTCATAAATGACATAAGTGTCCTATCAAAAATTAACTACTGGTGCAATAAATTCTGTCAATTTTTGGTAGGGTGCGAATATATAGCCATAAATGTCATATATTACCTGCTGCATTTTTTCAAAATCGAGACAGGGTCTTGGTAATCTATGTGGAGGCCGATGACGTTTTCGAGGACTGCATGTACCAGTGACGTCAACATCACTGTCAGCATAATTATTATGGTGGTGATGATGATGGTGATGATGATAATGATGGTGTAAATGATGATGATGTTCTAAATGTGAATGAAAATGAGAATGTGGTCTTGGTCGTGACCTTGGTCGAGGCGGAGGTTTTAATTCAGTCGATGAGGCATGAAAAAGTTTTGGCGGAGGTGACAGAGATCGTCCTGGCTTGTGCGCATCCACAGGTGGTGAGGTACGAAACTGTACCGGTTGTGATATCATATTTCCACTTCCGCTTCTACTACCAAGAAGTCCTTGGACCTGTTGAAAGTGTATAACATTAAATTTGTAGGCCTAAATAAAATAACACAGGACGACAAAATTTTGACCTAACATCAGTACCAAAAAATCAGAATATACTTTTCTAAAGTATATGCGTATTTTAAATCTGATCTCAGAATTGACCCAGCGCGTTAGATTTTTAAGATATATTCTTATACCAAGAGATAATTTTTGTCTAAAACAGTTATTACAGCTTCTGAAAGTATACTATTCTTACCCTTTAAAATGCATTTTGAAACTTTAAAAAGTCTTTATTTGACTCTGAGTATATACTTTCAGATGCTGTAACAACCTTTTGGTCAATTCTGAAGTCAGAATCGGATTCAAAATTCTTCGAAAGAGTACAGTCTGGTTCTTGATTTTGAAGTAGGTTAAATTTATTTTGGCCAGTGTAATGATTTTTGTCTTATATTTGCTATATTGTTATAAGTTACGAGTACATAAATTTTATATAATGTTCTTTTTTTTTTACTTTCATAATTAGCATTCTTATTAAAAGATTACAATTGCATTTTTCAATACTCATTTAATTATGTGCTTTTGTTGAACACGCAAAGGTTACATACCTCCTTTTAATATTTATAAGTTAATAAAACATGAATGTTTAAATTTTTTAAAGAATCTTGATAAAAGAGATATTTTTAAGAAAATATTATGCGAATTTTTGTTGAGATAATATGCGGTCCATCGCAAGTGTCTGACTAATGTAGCCGACCTCTACTACTTAGAGAAGACGACGTGTCAGTAGTATAACATGAGTTCGTTATTGTAAAGATAGGCTATTTCAATTTAATGCGAAAAACAGAATTTTTATTGCTTAATGATTTTGAAGAGTATAATGTTTACTGTAAAAAAGTTTATCCATGGGTGCCTGAAGGTTGGACCTAAAATGAAGGACATAGAAATGAAATAAGGATGACACAACAGAATAGCTATAGGATGCCTTTTTTCTAGCATCAATAAAAGGCAGGAAGGTTAGACTAGCTGCTCTCTAAGAAACCAGTTGCAATTTTGAGTATCATAAGGAAGCCTAATGGAGAATTTGCTAAGTCAGATGATGAGAATTTAACGCTGAACCCAGTTGATAGATTTTACAGACATGGTCTTGGAGTTATATTATAATATAGAAAAGAAGTGAAAATTGTAAATTACCTCTTCGTCACTAGAACCAGAAGCAGCTTCCCTTCCTGTTCTGCTGACGGGTGCTGAGCAAGAGGCAACTATTGCCTCACAATGTTGAAGCTGTGACTGGCATTGAGTTTGACTATTACTACAGTTAACTTCAGACCATTTTCGTTTTTCTCGAGCAGTTGCCGTTCGACATCGTTGTGGATTAACAACTTTCGGACCATTTATTACTTCCAATTCTTCTTCCGAACTATGTTGATCATTGCAATTCAAGTACAAAAGAAGATCCTTTTGAGATTCTTGTGTCTTGGTGGTTTGCATGAGATTCTTCTTATTTGATTCGTTCTCATTCTCCAATTCTTCACTATCATATTTTTGTCTGATCTTAAGTATCGGTGTTGGAACTGTGAAATCGGTATCCGATATGACGACACTGTCCGTGAGTACCGGACTTTCCAGACTCTCCATCGCTGTAATAATAATAGTAAGAGCAATACTCATTAGAAATTTGATATTATATGGTAAATCTGTGTTGTTTGTTTTGATCGAAAATCCAAAACATATTTATATACGAGAAAAATGGAGGTATTTTTCTCGGTGTAAGTAAAAAGAAAAAAGTGTACGACGAAAGGTTGTAAAATCGAGTCACGTGCAACACTTGGCTCGAATGTGAATATCGCTCGAACGTGTTAGCCTTACTCATAAATTACGTTTTGTACATTCGGAAATCTTAAGAGTCAAGATCAATGTCAGATGGTAAAGTATGTCGGAAATTGCAAACTTGTGCCAATACATTGAGAATATCGTTAATACTGCTACCAACGGAATATATGTACTCTTTTTAGATAAGAACTCGGTTTATAATCAAAGATTAATTAAAATTTTTTTTTATTTGTCAATGCCAAAAATATAGTCTATAGATATATAAAAATGTGAGATTGTCATTCACAATTAGGTTTTTTAATTTTTAATACGCGGAGACGAGATCTAAACAGATAGATTACTTATGCATAATACATAAATAGCAGTGGCAGAAATCACCTGTCATATTAAATGATCATCTTCAGTCGCAGTTCATCCCTAAATCCGCTTGTCAACCTTGTCTCATATATGTTGCAAAGCGAATAGTCCCTTTAATTTCTTCAATATTAATATTTTGCTTTATTAGAGAGATATAATCAAATCTGAATTTATTGCGGAAAAAAAGAAATTCTTAAATCTATAATAACCGGATTTTTAATATAGAACCAATTTTGGTTTGAGATGTTATATTTATGATACAGTTTGTAGCTTCTCTGCTACTGGGTGATTTAATTTGTATTTTCATTGTCCTTGAACTAGGATTTCTTATATGTATATATTATTGCATTTTTTTTTTTTAAAAAGTTATATTTCAAATTACCTATCAAAAGTAAATTTAAAACAAGTTTTCAGTGTGGCTTCAAGCCGACTCTGCTTCGTGACCCAGCCATCAGCTGATCGATACACGTCACCCTACGCTACGTACTATCTTTCTTCAAAACATTTGACCGAAAATTTTTTGTTTTTTACATATACATATGTAAAAAACAAAAAAACTAAAAAGACATACTAGTGTTCTAATAGTGTTTAATCTGAGAGGTGATTTTATTTTTAGATGCCAAAAATTAGAGATGAAATATTTGAAATTATAATTAAATATAGTTATATCATATATCATATTATCCATTAACTTTTCTGTAAATCAGTTTGAGATTCTTATCTTAATTTTCTATTATAAAAGTACGGAAAATTTAAATTTTTTTACCTACTTTCTAAATCTAAATTAGTAAAAATTATAACTGATTTGAATTATTGACACACTTTTTGCTTTTGATTTAGTAAAATTTAGTTTAAAAAAAATTTACTATCGAATTAATAAAATTTAACTAATTCAAAAGCAAAATTAAGTCACTAATTCAAATTTAGAAAGTACAAACTATTAATGAATTTTTAGCTTCAGAACCTACTCTTCAAATTTGAAGTAGTAAAAATTTTAACTAATTTAAATCACTTTTTGCTTTGAAATTAGTTAAATTTTACTAATTTTAAAGCAAAAAATAAGTTAGTAATTCAAATTAGTTAAAAAGTTTTACTAATTCAAATTTGGAGAGTATACACGGGAAAAAAATATTTACCTGAAACAGCAAAAGGTTTCACTAGAATAGTGAAAGATTTAACTGAATCAAGTAAAACTTTTGCTACTATATAGTGAAACCTTTCGCTGCTCCAGGTAAATTGTTCATTAGTAGGACAAATGCAAATATTACGTATATTGTATATGTATATATACGATACCCTGAACTTGAACTGAGGGACCAATGAAAAAAGAATTAATAGGAACAAATGGAAATATGTACAATAAATGTACTTTATGAACGTAAATCTCTATAGACCTAATCTCGTCCTTTATCTTTGTTTCAAATACATTCAACTATATAACATATATGCAATGAATTGCAAAGAAATATTGAGATGTATCATGTATAAAAAAGCAAAGGTATAGGTAACTCTCTACTTCTGAGTATTGATCAGCTTGCGCTTGCGCTTCGTTATAATATATACCTATGCACATAGCATTGCATTCATAAGTTGTAGGATAGGATCATCGCACTAAACTTTATTTTTAATAACTGTTTGAGTATTCATTTTCATCTCTAAACTATTATTGATATACACCTTGTATTTATACATTAGACTTATTAGACATATTATAAATATGACCTGTACATATGTATATATACATATTATAACCTTGAAAATATCAACACGTATATATATATGTATATATACCCGTAAGCGATAAAGTTTTAGCAAAAATGTTTCTCAAGAATTATTAAACTCTTTTTTTAAATATAAAATTTTAATTTGCTGTTATTGGTTGAAAGAGATTTTTTGAGAATTTTAATAAGTCTTATATGGAAATATTAAGTTAACGATTGTTTTGGTAGGTGTACAATATCACCTGCAGGTTATTATAGTTACATGTTGATTGATCACATAGCACTTCTGCATCGATTGTCAGTTTAGAGTGATAAACTATCGTATAACTCTCTTGCATTAACTGCCGATTTAGGGTAACTATTTACCGATATCATTACACTGGTTGACAAAATTTTGTCCTACTTCAGAATCAAGAACCAGTGGGGTCCGAAGCATTTTGAATTCGTATCTGACTTTAGAATTGACCTATAGCACGTTTTGGTTTTTGAGATATTCTAACCTAAAAGTGCAAGAAAGGCGATTTTTAACCATAACCCAAGAAGCACGTAATATATCCTCAATATCAAGGTAATATTACACGTGAGATTCGTAATATAACGCTGTAATATTACAGTAATCTTACAGTGATCTTAAAATGTCCGCCTCAAGGTAATATTACCGGGAATATTACTGTAATATTACGGTAATATTACAGTGATATTACATAATATTACTGTAATACACTGCAAAAATAAGTGACTTATTTGGTATCTTACAATAAGATGTAATATGGAAAAATAGTATCTTCCACCTTAAAAAAAGATATTTTGTAAAGTATCTTATTAATATTTAATATGCTTTTTGCGTTTTAACAAAAATGAAAATATTTCTTCCATCTTAAATTGTAAGTTACTTCGGTAAGTTTCTATAAGTATCTTGAATTAAGATATTTGTGGGGTCATAAGATGTTTAGAAAAAAGATGCTTGTTAATTCTAAGATACGTCAGAATTTGAAGTTACTAAAATATAAAATACATTAAGCATCTTACATAAGAGGCCATAGTTAACCTCAAATTTTTTTTCATCAAAAATATGTAAAGCACTTTGGCGAAGATACTATTAACATCTTAAACTAAGATATTTTAAATAACTAAAAAGTTACTACCAAAACATCTTAAAAATGACTACCAAAACATCTTATATTAAGATACTTCTTTTTGCAGTGTATTCTCTTGTAATATTACCTTAATATTACGGTATAATATTACTGCAATATTACTGTAATATTACCTTAATATTAGCGCGTAATATTACAGTAACATTACCGGTAATATTACCTTGAGGCGGACATTTTAAGATCACTGTAAGATTACTGTAATATTACAACGTTATATTACGAATCTTACATGTAATATTACCTTGATATTGAGGTTATATTACGTGCTTCTTGGGAAGGTTAACATCAAGAAATAATTTTTTTTAAAAAAGTCGATACAGCATCTGAAAGTACTATTCTTACCCGTTGAAATGCATTTACAAACTTTAAAAAATCTCTATTTTGTTTACAGTCATTTAAATTTTCTGATACTATACTTATAGTTTACGAATATCGTTAAATTTACCAAACTCAGAAAATTCAAATGTCGATAACTCAGAGCCAAATAAAGATTATTTTAAAGTTTTAGAATACATTTTAAAGGGTGAGATTTATTGTACTTTCAGATGCTGTAATAAACTTTTTGAAAAAAATTATCTCTTGATGTTACATAACCTTAAGGTTAAAAAACGACTTTTTTGCACTTTTAGGTTAGTAAAAACCTGACTTGCAGGGTCAGATTCGGATTCAAAATACTTCGGAAAAGTATAATCTGGTTCTTAATTATGAAATAAGCGAAAATTTTGTCAACCGGTGTTATTATTGTCAGAAGAATTAATGGAAATATTGTCTGATTACTATTTTCAATTTTTTGATGTTCTTTTCAGTACATGATGAAAAAATAATTGATCATATATAGCATAGCGGTGCTTTAGGGTATATTGAATTAATAAAATACTAATTTAGATTTCTAGAAATGGATATTACTTTAAAATTTTACTTACGACTTGAGGGTTCATTCGCGATACCAGTGCCATCTTGAAATTCATCATCTGATTCTGTTCCTGAATCATGATCATCGTCAGTCTGAAACAAATTTCATCAATTTTTTTACTTCCTCAGAGAAAATTTTTTATAGGTCGTGAGAGGTTTAAATAGGTGCGACATTACTATAATTCATGAAATTAAGTAGCAGTATTTTTAGGTTAGGTAGCTTGTAAATTGGCAATATATAAGTACCAACCATTTAACACAAAACTATAAAGAACATGGCGCTAAATTTAAAATGACCCAGTACTGCCAATATAAGAATATATTATTACACTCTAAATCTGAATCAGTGAAAATTCCACTGATTTGAATTCAGTGGAATTTTTACTGATTCAGATTTAGAGTGTACAATCTAAAACATAACTTATAAATGAACAGTTTAATATTTTCTCTAAGAATATTATTGATTGAAATATATTTGAAAAGCTGTTTAAATTAAAATTTAAAAATGTTTGATTATTTGAGGCCGACTATGTAGATCGTGTCTTTACTGTACGTGCTTTTTCTACTTGCGATACGTAAGCGCAGAATTAATAGAATTCTTCATTAACTGTTGAAGATTAATAGATCGTGTATAAATATAATACTCTATCATCATTGAGAACAAAATTTTAACAAATAAATCATCCATTATTCAATAATAAATATTTATATGTCCCTCATTGTATATATAAATTTTTCACTAGTTAGTGTATTTGAACAATTTTTAAATTTAAGCGCCATTATTTATAGTTTTATGTTATATAGTTGGCACTTTATTGTCAATAATTCATAAGCTATACCTAACCTAAAAATTGTGTTTTGATTGATTATTAGACAATTTAAATTAAGAATAATCATTAATAAAATAATACTAATTCACAATTATTTGTTTGACTAATCAAACAAATAAAATGTCATTCACTGACAATCAGATTTAGTCTATTATTGAATTAGAAATTAATTCTTTTTCTTTTTTTAATAGAGTAATTTGTATAAATGTACCTTCTCTTGATTTGGATCCTCGTTTAGAGAATGAGTTCTTAGTTTGTGCGTTAAAAACTTGAGCATAGTTCATTTATTTAGGATGTCACTAGAACACTGTCACCGCACAATTTTCCGACACAGTCTTTTTCTTTTTTTCTTTATTAATGAAGGATCACTTAATGCCATAAATATTGCCTCTTTATCATTATTTTCTATATGTAATTATTTAGGCTGATTTTTTTTGCCAATCAATGAAGATAGCATATATAAATTTAAGTCGAGTTTCTTTGGCGATGATGTAATAAATGATCCACGAGATGCACTTGAAAAAGAATTCACGATCGCATCGACCATCAAGTAGGCCTGACATGAAGACCAAAAAGAGGGAAACAAAAAAATAAAATAAAATAAAAAAAAAAAAAAAAGTACAAATGCTTCGTGTGGGACGCCTTGTGGATGGATCGTTATGTCTCTCCTCTCTCCTATATTAAGAGGCGTGGGTTTATTTCGCGTTTATATTTTACACTCTATATATTACACCATGTTATTGCACATACATTACAAAACTGGAGTTGGCATTAAATTAAAAAAAGAAAAAAAAAAAAAAAAAACTGTATACACGCATCAGCCAACATATGAGTTTGTACCCGCACAGATACCATCTTTTATTTTTTTCCTTATATACTTATATACGCTCTCAAAACTTTAACCCTTTTTATGTAACTTATTCCCCCTCTTTTATATCCACACACTACATGTAGTTTGACGGCTACGATACGCAACTCCTCTCTCGCCACGTGAGGTGCATTAACCTACGGCAAAAACATCCGTCACTACTTTCATTCCTTGAAAAAACACACTTTTACAATTATTAAAATGCACCTCCATTATTATAGAACATATTAAAATTGCGATCATAACATTATAAATATATTTCTTTCATGTAGAAAAAAAAATATGGATTTTTTTCTTTTTTCAAATATGAGATTTATCCCAAAATTTTGTTTCTGATGATAGGTAATAATGGCCATTTAATGAATCTTGAACTATTCCTTCCAATTTTATATATCATTGAACAAGGGCTTTGCGTCCGCGCTCTTCCACCTCAGACAGCAGTGTACTTCAGGTCCTCATAAATTAGGCAAAATATTCTACTGATGCTTTTTTGTGGTACAAACATAATCTTATTATTTTTTAATGTTACTTTAATAAATGCTCCATTAGGTTTTTTTTTGGTATTTTATATATATATATAGAAATCGTGGACAAACAGAATTTGCTGAGGTGGCTAAATGTAATGCTGAGCTCAGCTAAATCTCTGTTGTCGCAGATGAACGCGGATCATTATATTAATGTTATAAATGTCCGTTTCTCTTTAAAAAGAAGCTACACGCTAGTACACTTGAGCATAAAGCACTAAAATAGTTGCGCAATGGTGGTTCACGTTCTTCACCTGCTTGCATTTCCAGTTTTAAACTCAAATTCAATCCATATCCAAAAGGACTTTTCGTCCTTAGAGACTACTATACTATATGAACACTAATATTCACTAGCTTCTATTCCTTTTATTTTTGTTCGCGAATCGCTTTTACGATTATTCACGACTCCCCATACACACGATTCACGACGACTATGATGACGATAACCGGCTGCGCCTCCACTGGAGCCTTCCCTTCCTCTCATTCCCCTCTTCCCCGCCGTTGTCTGTATACACTCTTTGTGCCACCCCCACTCACTCTTTCTCTCTCCTTTTCCAACACACAACGAAAATTCTACTATACTTGTTTCGCTACTCTTCTATATATGTGTGTATAGCCTCCACGATGAGCGTCTTGTCTTTTACATGCCAACATGCCTCCCTTATACATTATACATATATGTATGTTGTACATTGTATTATATACAGTATAGCATTATATATCAACAAGTTTTAAAAATTAGCAGTGAAGAAAACGGATAAAATTTTAAATTTATTTCAAAATTAGAAATATCAATTTGAATATAAGTGCGTTTGCATGGAAAAAACATCTTAAAAATGATTTGCATATTAGTTTGGAATTTAAATGAAATCAATATGTAATTAGTCCAACATATTTTGTTCAGATCAACAAAATTTAATACGAAATAAGATTAGAAATTAGACAATCTGTAAAGAAATAAACAGTTCGTGAATTTGGTCTTATAAATACAGATTTCTGTATAGTTAAGTTAATCTGAATTCTGGTTAAAACGAGCAGAATTCTGATTATGCTAACCAAAATCGATAATTTTCAATGTATATCTTAATCAGAATCAATCAGAATTCTGAATAAGTTAATTGAAATTCTGGTGAGCTAACCAAAACCATAATGTTCAATATATACCGTAACAAGAATTATAGCAGTAGGAAGAACCAGAATTTTGCTTCCAATAATATATGAATTCTGGTTAAGCTAACCGAAAACATAAAATCCTACCCAGGTGAAACGATTCTACGGAAACTACTCCACGGAAATTCCACACGGAATTCCGTAAAAATTATATACGGAATTCCGCAAAAATTTCCGCAAAATTTTTGAAAGAAGTTCTTTTGTAATTTTGCGAATTTTTTATAAGAATTACACACATAATCTCTATACAGAATTGCACAAAATTTTTGTTAGAATTTCACAACTGTATACTGAAAAAAATTTAGCCGAAATCCTCAACTACCTTTAGTTAACCTTGACCCAACTAAATTCTTAGTTCTTTTAACAACTTTTTAATAGTCCATACAACTTTTTGAATTCAGTTAAGGACCTATTGAACTAGGGTAGTTAAAAAGTAGTCAAATCTACTAGTTTTTTTATTGAATGTATTTTTTACTGATTTTTTTGTAATTTTAAAATAACTGCTGGTGGATACACTGAAAAAATTAGTCGAGAAATTCAACTCACCGTTAGTTAGTTGACTGAAAAATAGTAAATTTCTTTTGGAAAACGTTTTATTGACCTCTCAAATAAGTTCGACTAGATATTAATTAATCTATCATAAATTCTATATTATATCCACCAGGAACATCATCGTCGACTAGTTTTCGTTATAGTATAGCAGCAGTTATTTTAAAATCACAAAAAAATCAGCAAAAAATAAAGTTGTGGAATTTTATTGAAAATTTTGTGCAATTCTGTATGGAATTCTTCCAAAAAAATTCGCAAAATTACGAAAGGAATACTTTCAAAATTTTGCGGAATTCCGTATAGAATTTTTGCGGAATTCGGTATGGAATTTCCGTGGAGTGATTTCCGTAGAATCGTTTCACCTGGGTAACCAGAATTATAGTAGGAAGAACCAGAATTCTGATTAAAATAATTGGAATTCTGGTTAAGCTAACCGAAATCATAAAACCCTAACCAGAATTATAGTAGGAAGAACCAGAATTCTAATTAAAATAACAGTAATTCTGGTTAAGCGAAGAGAAATGATAGTGTTAAAAATAAACCCTAACCAGAAATATGGTTAAATTCACTGGAATTCTGGCTAAGCTAACCAGAGTCATAATGTTAGATATAAATGTACCCTAACCAGAAATATGGTTAAAATAACGAATTCTGGTTGAGTTTACCAAAATCATAATGTTAAATACATATACCCTAATCTGAACTCTAGTTGGAATAACAAGAATTGTGGGTAATTTATTTAACTGGAATTCTGGTTGTAATAAGCAGAATTCTGATTAAGCTCACCAAAATCATAATGTTAAATATATATTATACCCTAACTAGAACTCTGGTAGGAATAACCAGAATTTTGGTGAATTTAACTGGAATTTTGGTTGTAATAAGCAGAATTCTATGGTTAAGCTCACCAAAATTATTATTTTAACCCTTATCGAAATTCTAGTATTCTTTATACATTGTCTGTTTCCGGATTCATTTTGAATTAAGTTTATTATTTTCTTCTTTTTTGCTAGAAATTCCAAACTGATTTTGAATTAAATTCGGACTAAATTATATCCAAAATTGTATTGTATATGAAAATAATTTGCGTTTGTCCTTAAAAATCAATTCGTATATATATATGAAAAGATAAATCTGTTAAATGCTCATTGAAATTAGTAAACAACAATTTGAATTTTAAAAAAAGAATAATCCCAATTTAGTTAAAAAAGTTCTATTTTTTAAATTTTTGTTTGCATAATTTCATATTTTCTTAAATACCATTTTTGTATATTTATTACATAATCTATATTGTCTTTAAAAATTGTTTTAAATTTGACATTATAAAGTATTTGTGAGATTTTAATCTATATTTACATGTGTTTTATAAATATTAATATATTTATATTATAAGGCACAATATTTATATATACATGTGACAAAATTGACACAATGTTTTATAAATACAATAGATGAACAGTATGTTGGGGTCAGTGTATTACCAATTTTAGTTCAACTATTAATAGATCAATTTGAGGCTTCTCGAACTCAGTTGTACCTTTATAACACACAGCTTTAAAGACTCAGGTCTTAACATCATTTTCTGCATTAGTATATATACATATATACATAGTTGTTGATGAGTCTTCATCATGAATGAATTTATTGAAAATGAAGTTTGCGCTATGTGTAAATCACCGGCAAAACAAAAGTGTAGTGGTTGTAAAACAATTTTTTACTGCAGTCGTGAACATCAAAAACGTCATTGGAAAGAACATTCAAAGAATTGTACATCATTTCAAGTAAGTTTATTATAATCTTCTTATAAAAAACAATTAATGACTAAATATAAACATATATGTATCTAAGATTATAAAGAAAAAAGGCCTTTGATTCAATTTATGAAAATGAGAAGTTTTTCAGCTTGCTGAAGATGAGAAGGTTGGACGATATTACATGGCAACAAGAAGAATTGTAGCTGGCGATGTAATATTACATGAAGAAAAGCCTCTTGTTGCTGGACCACTTCAGGATACTTTGCCACTTTGCTTAAATTGTTATGTAATTCTTAGCGTTGAAAGTTCTAAACCTTGCGATAAATGTGGTTGGCCATTGTGTACAAATTGTCAAGAACATGGTCCAGAATGTAACTTTACAATAAAGCATAAAGACACCAAAGTGAGTTATATATATTGATGATTTTGAATTAAAATTTATTTATTTCTACCAATTTTTTAATAAATAAATGTATATTAATTATATTTTTTACAGATATCAATAACAGATTTTGATTATCCACATCCAACTTATAATTGTATTACTGTAGTGAGGGCAATGTGTTTAAAGGAATCTGATCCTGATGCTTATGCAAGATTACTAAATCTCGAAGGTCATTGCACAGAATCAAATAGCAATGATCAATTTAATTTTGATGAATGTAGAAATATTGCACAATTTATAAAACGAGTTTTCAAAACAACTGAATTTACGGAAAATGAAATCGCCAAAATTGCTGGTATATTAAAGGTTTGTTTCTCTCTATACTTTCTATGATTATACTAATCCGAAGTCAGATTTTCAAAATTGACATGAATTTCCCATAAAAATAAATGGTTAGAATATAACCCAATATAATTTAGCAGAATTCACCGAATTTTTAATTGTACAAATTTTTAATTTATAGAATTTTCATTTGTCCGAAATTGCAACCGACAAACAATCGACAGCATGATTTTGGCGCTAATTTTAAAATTAACCAATCAGAATTGAAAATATTGTGATTGGTTAATTTTGAAAAATTCGCGCCAAAATCTTTTTGTATTGATTGTCTATTCGGTCATTCGCAATTTCGGACAAATTTTGTCATTTTAAGAATTCTATTAAATATAAATTTTAACAAATAAAAAAAATTTTGATAAATAAAAAATCGAACTCAAATAAATAAATAACTGATTATATTTGAATCAAATAAAATTTTTTTTTCATAGACACACAAAAAAACACAATTACCTAAAATTTTCAATTTATTTGAATTTATATAAATACAAAACATTCAGTTCATTTAATTCTATATTTGCGAATGCATATATAATTTTTTTTATGCGTTTAAAATATTATGATAAATTAGAATTTAAATTCTTTTCTTTTTTGAATGATAAGTTTGTTTGTAAAATCGAAGAAATAGCCAGAAATTGAAAAAAACATTAAACAACATTATAATTATCATTGTTTTTGATAAATCACATTCTTTTAGAAGACCACCTATTACTAATTGTAAAATTATAACGATAAATTGTCCCTGAAACAAAAAGAAAGCTTTAAGTAATTTTTTTACAGTAAATAATTTTTGATATAAAAAAAAATAATTAATATTTACCATTTGTATCAGAGTTAAATAACGTTTAAAAGGAATGATCATTTTTTTAATTGTACCATCAAAATTACTGAGAAAATAGTAAAAATACATTATGACATGAACGGCACAATTTAAAATTGGAATCAATAATGCTGCTTCTGTACCAAAATATCTTGTAAAAACAATTCCAATTAAGAATGTACTTATATGATGATATAAATGTAAAAATGTAACTTGATTATTTTTCTTTCGTAAGATATAAATCACCGTTTCACTGAGCTCAATCAGTTTTAACCATATTCCAATATAACCACATTTTGCTATCTAAAAAACAAAAATAATTATTATTTTCAAAAATTAAAATTATTTTTTTTTCTTCATTTTAATATTCTTAGAGTTTTTGGTTTGAAAAATTTGTTAACGTGAATAAAAAATGCATTCAAAAAGGAAATGGCAAAACAATTGAAATAAGGTCAGGAATAATCACTATTCAACCGATTAGTAAGAGTTAAAAATAGTAAACCGTCTTCTATAATTGATGAATAAATCATTTTTTTTTCTGTGAAGAATTTTTTTTACAACTGAATACAATAATTTTATAATAAAATAATTTTTCAAAAAAAAAAAAAAAAAAATTACATACCGTCATACCGCAAGCATCCATGGTGTAAACAATGGGACGACATTCAAGAGCGCGAAAAAATGGATAGCAAGCTGATACATTTATAACAATATAAGCATTAAAATAAACTTGAAAAAGATTATAACATTTAATAAATGTATTTAATTTGTAGGCTTGTCGATTTTTCATGAATACTGGTGCCAATTTAAATACAATAACAATATAGATTAAAATAATTATAATTGGATACCAAATACTATCCATAATAAACCAATCTCTCATTCGTGGATCTGAAAACAAAAAACAAAAAAATTAATTCCTACCCATAGAAATTAATGTGTGCCCTTTTTTTTTATTGGTTAAAAATTGGTTTAGCAAAATGAAAAATGTAAACGTAAATTATTTATCCTAAGATTTTATTCTATTGTTTTTTTTACACATACATGCAAAATAAACAGAAAAAAATAAAGACTTACGTTATTTTCGTCCACATTTTCTTTCTGCTCAAGCCAATTTATCCTGATGGACACGTTTCATTTTTGTTGTAGTTAATTCGCGGGTTTAATGTTTCTTTTGGATTTTCTGTGATTTTTATTAATTTATAAAAGTTTTTTTTCAATTGTTAATTAAAAAATTTTAATGCAAAATACGTGAAATTTTTTAAAATAATAAAAATAAAAAAAAATAATAAAATTAAATTTAAAAAAAAAAATTGGAATTAAGAATTGAATATTAAAAAAAAAAGAAAAAAAAACTTGTGACAAAAGAGAGGGGTTGAAAAAAAATTTTCTCTTTTTTAAATACAAAAAATATTAATCCTTACCAGATAAGTCGTAATAATAATAGTTTATAGTTTCCATGATATCCATATTTTAGAAAATTGTAACTGATTCTTGAAAAAAAAAAACAAACTAATTACTATTGAAATATATAATATAAATAAAATGTGTGGAATTAATATAATGAACTGTATATCAAAAGACACTTTTAGTGAATGATAATGGTTTAGCTATTTTAAGTGAACAATAAATTCTCATATTTGTAAATATATTGAATAATTCAATGAATTTTTGATTTCAAATCATTTGACCTATTGTTATTTATTCCAATATCAGAATTTAATATGCGAAATTCTATCGTAGAAATTTTTTTGCAAATGGATTTTTCCTTTTGTCGATCAATTTTTTTGATAAATTTTGAAGTAAAACTAATCTCTGAAATATGTTATTTTTGTGTGTTTTAAAAATCGAATTAAAAAAAATCAAAAAAAAAATTTTTGGTGAAAAATTTGTTTTCTAAAATTTTATTCAAATTTTTTTTTAGTAAATTAAATAGTAAACCAAAAAATTTTTTTTTGGATTTTATCTGAATTAGTCGATTATTTGATATAATAATAATTATAATATGAGAATTGAAATTTTTTAGATTAATGGCCATGAAGTACCAATAACTGAACCAGCACACATGGCTGTTTATGATAGTGGATCATTTTTTGAACACAGTTGTCGTGCTAATTGTTCAAAAAGTTTTACAGAAAATGGAGGAATAATTATTCGTGCAGCTTTTCCAATTTCAAAAGGTATTCATATATTCTCTCTATTTTTTATTTTATTAATTATAAAAATAAAAAAATAATTATAGGTGAACACTTAACAATTTGTTATACTGATCCCTTATGGGGAGTTATTAATAGAAGACATCATTTATTACGTACAAAATTTTTCGAGTGCACGTGTCAAAGATGCATTGATCCTACAGAATTTAAAACAATGTTCAACGCTTTATTATGCAGTAAAAGGTAATAAGTGAATTTATTTCAAAATGTAAATATAATTTCATTTTTTTTTTTTTTTGTATAAATGTTAATTTAAATCAATAATAATATTAATTTTTGACATGATAGAATTTTATTTTTTTTTTTACAGAGAATGCAGTGGTTTTATGCTTCCAAGATCATTTATTATTAATAAGGAAGAGCGACCCGATTTTATATGTAATATTTGTAATTTTTCAATATCATGGGATGTGGCAGAGCAAATTATTGAAAAAATAGGAATTGATCTTTCACAAATAAAAAAGGGTGACATACAAGCATGTAAAATATTTCTTGAACGTCATTCAAAGACACTTCATGAAAATCATTTTTATATGATAGATGTAAAACTTGCATTATCACAATTAATTGGTCAAGAAAAAATGTTGACAAATACTGAAATTGAATTGATAAGTGAAAAAATTCTACTTTGTAAAAAGCTTAATGAATTATTTGGTATTTTAGTACCCGGTAAGAATATATTTAATAATTTGAGAAAAATTAGATAATAGTTTTTATTTATAAATTAATGTATTTCAGCTGAAAATCGATTAAGAGGTCTCAATTTATTTGAAATGCATGCAGCAATTGCTGAATTTGGAAGACGACAAGAACAAAGTGAACTTCGAGCAATTTTAATGGTAACTGGATTTTTTTTTTCTGTTTCGAAAAACAAACGCAGAAATATTTTTAAATAAATTATGTGTGTTTTTTTTTAATAGGAATCGAGAAGAATATTAACGGAGGCATACAAGTTTTTGCGTCATGAACCAGAAATACTTCCTGAAGGAAAAATTGCCATACAAGCAAGAAATAATATACTTGAAATGGATGTGATTATAAAAGCATTATGTCAAGCTTCAATTGCTCCAATATAAATGAGAAAAAAATGTATAATAGTTTATAGTAGGAAATTTAATAAAAAAAAAAATTGAAAAATATCTTTTTTTTTATCGAATCGTATTCATTTATCTGAACTACAGTTATAATAAATACAAGTTAGTTCTATTTAAAAAAAAAATTAATATAAAAATTTCCCAAATTCTCTAAGAACTCAGAGATAAAAGAGAAACAATAGAGAACATCACGTCAATCTAGAGATTATATTATCTATGTCTCTATAACAATAGAACTCCCCGATTGGCTATAAATCTTGCTCCCACGTCCGGAAACCCAGAAATGGTGCTGCGGAGGATTCTAATCAATAGTCAATACCCACAGGACATGGACGAATGCTTCCTGTAAAGTACAATCGTGTGTCACACATGTGTAGACACATTTTCACAAATGTAAAACACCATTTATTGTTAGAAAATTATTAAACGTTCATTCGCGAGTACAAAAAAAAAAATGTTTCTTTTATTTTCAATGAAAAAAAAAAAGTTCAAGGCCAAAGGGCCAGAAAAAAATTCTTTCCCCAAATAAAGGAGAATTTAAAATATGAAAAATAATCAAATTTACAACAATTTTCAATAGGAAAAATTATTTTTTTGCTATGTAATAATATAGATACATTTAATATTTGCTTTTTTATAGTTTGTATTTACAAAAGTACAAATATAATTTTTTTTTGTTCCTCTTAAAATAGAGAGCAGTACATAGATGTAAAAATTAATTACATCGTATAATTAAAACTATGATTTAAAAATAATTAAGTACCAAATGCACCTTTTGTTCATGCATACGGCAATCAATAATAATCAATAACGAAATAGAAATATATTGCTCTCGATAAGATTTTTTAAAGTGTATTTTGAATTTCTAAAACAGAATAAGATTTTCAGTTATAAATTTTTCAAATTCTGGATTTTTTTTTTTTTAAGTAAGATTGCCGTATCCATGCAAAAGGTGTACAATCACATTTTAAAAGACTTTTTTTTCAAAATAAATTTGAACTTTTACTCTAATACCAAAAAATTTTTGATATAATTTTATGTAAAAAATATGAAATATTTATATATATTTTCAGTTACGATTTATACATTATTATTCGAAAAAAAAAATTCAAGTCTATTTGTTCTCGAAATATAAAAAATGTTTAATAATACAAAAATACTAAAACATAAACACCATACACTTATTCTATTTAGAATGAAAATAAATTAGCGAATGTAGAGAAAAAGAGCTTTAAATTATTCTAATTTAAAGTGATCATTTTTTTTTTACTCAATGTATTTATCATGATTTTCATTTTATTTAAAAAATGATTTTAAAAAAAGTGAAAGAAAATCGAAATAATTTACATATTTAGGAAATTAAAGCATAAAACTAAAGTTTTGGTTTAGATTCAAGATTTCCATTAAATGTAATTTAAACAATTGGCGGCTTTAAATATAAAACAATAACTTAAAAGTTAATATTGTCGAATAATAATTAGTTATTTAAACCTTGAAGGTTAAGTAGAATTGACATTTTTTTTTTTCAAGTATATTCTGAAACTAAAAATGGAAATTCAGTTTCAAAAAATTAACAGAAAAAAAAAATTGTTATAGCTTTGTTTCGTGTTTTACTTTTGTTCTATGCAATTGATTTGATCGTTGAATATTGTACATATTAGTATAACAACCTGATGAACTTTCAGGATTTGAATTTGCCGTATTACCATTTTGAAATAAAAATTGATTATGATCTTTTTGAATATGATTCTGAATATTTTGCGTTCTTGTATAAATTTCAGAATCAGTTTCATTTTCATTGTCAGCGCTATCTACATCTCCTGAAAAATGGAATTAATTAATTTTTAGAATTTTTTTTTAAAGTAAATTTTTTTTTAAATTTACTCACCATCTGAACTATTGGTCGATGGTAGATAAAAACGTGATGGAAGTATTTTACTACATCCTCGACGTCCTTTAATGTTATGATTGGAATTATTGTATTTAAATTCACGAGGTAATGTGTAACTTCGAGGCAATGAAATTTGACTACCTTCCATATCACTAATTTCACCAGCATCTCTATCTCTATCTTCTCCTTTTGAACTTTGATCATCTTCATCGTCATCGCGTCCATTGTGTAGTCTATTTGATTAGAAAAAAAAAATTGATTTTTCCCTTTCTTGAATATTAATAATTTTCAATTTTACCTGTGAGTAGAATTTTCAGGCGATGTCCAATGAGTATAACGATGAGGAAGACAACGTGGTGCCAAAAGAATTTCAGGTGTTTCTGCTCTATCCTTTTGTGGTCCCTTCCAATGATTCGAGGAATATATAGCGGGATGATAAGGTGACGATGGCGGTGGAGGTAAAAGACAATGCATTTTAATTGGAGGCCATGAGGACATGACATTTTGATCATGCAATACAGGCACTGATGTTGATAATGGAGAACTTGGTGATGTATGTAATTTTGTATTTGGCGGAGGTTGTTGATTCGATGCCGATGGCGATGATGAGAATGAAGATGTTGATGCCGAAGGTGGTGGTACCAATTTACCCTGTTTTATTTCCTCCTGAATAGCTCTCAATTCACGAAGTTGCTGTTGTTTCTTCTCTCTCAATTTCTCATGAATTAGATTTACACTTAATGAACCTCCAATACCAACATCCGCCTCATGTCTTTCTCCAGATGAATCTTCATCCTGCAAAAAAATTGCCCAAATAATTAATTTCTCTTTTTTTCCCTATCAAAAGAAATAAATTTCAAAAAAAAAAATTACTTGAACCATGCTGGAGCGAGATAATGGCCTCTTCCAAAATGGAATCAATTGTCGTGCACTGACATTACTATTTATCCATTGTTTACTATCGCCAATTGACGCTAAAGAGACATTATTTTGTTGATGTTGCGATGGAGGTGGAACAAATGTTGTAGGCTTTTTCTTTTTGCGATTTGGATTCGTCACTGTTGGATTTGCAAAACGACAATTAAACACACCGGGAATTCCACCGTTGCTACATTTTATTCCACGTACGCCATTATTGATATTCATTTTTTTATCATCAATATAATTCATGTTTTTCGCATCAGAAATATCCTGTAGAAAAAAATAAAGATAACGAAATTTAGAAAAAAAAAATATATTTGTAAATAAGATAACAAAAAAACAATTTCTAACCTGATTATTTAATGTTGTTACAATATTCGTGCCATTCATTCGTCCACCCGCTTCGTATCTCAAACGTCTTACGTGAAAAAATCTAAATTCAAAGCAAATAAATTTATAAAAACTTTTCTAAGAACTGTTGGATTAAATTCCAATAAATAAAATGAATTATTAAATTACCTGTAATAGAGGCCCATAAAGCAAATACCTCCGAAAAATAAAGCTAAAAGTGTGAGAATAAGTACAGCCGGTCGAGGACGATGATCGAGATGAATATCAGTTCTATTGACACCAACGGCCCAAACACCAATTAATAAACTATTCTCAAGGAACATCACAGTATAAAAAATCACCTATTAGACAAAAAAAAAATTTACTTTTAATATCGAGAAAAAAATAATTAAGGAACAATAAAAAAAAATAATTACCATCTTTTGACGATGATTAATTTCATGTAAATTAACATAAACAAATATGTAGACAAATGCAAGTAGCGAAGCTAAAAATGTTTTACGATAAATTGTAAGACGTTCACCGCCATGAAATAATCCATCTGGCGTTAGCATTAACCATGTTAACATTGATAACCAATGTAGGGCCATTACAATAATTAACCATTGACCACCATAAAGTGATGCGTATGCAATTAATGCGCCAACTCGTGCACTAACTGTTCCTAAACGCCAAAATAATTGTGCCAATACACCAAGCCATGTCAATACTAAACGTTCCAAATTTCTTAAACGCGCTGCACCTTTACTGAAACTTGCAACTGCCCAACATACACTCCACAATGATAATCCAGCTGAGACTGTTGTTAATTTTTCTAATTTTCCATCATCTCTTGCCGTTTCAACTTTTCCAATTCCATGATCGAGTTCAATTTCTCTTTCAATTCCAACAGACAATAAGTATAATTGTAATAATAACATTGGTGCTGCTTCACAAAATGCATGTATTAAACGTAAAACACACAATTCTCTCACCTGTAAAAAAAAAAAAATAATTAAATTAAACAAATTTTCTATGTGTAATATATTTTAATTTTAATTGAAATATTTAGTGAAAAAAAAAAATTTTATGTAAATTTTTTTCAAAATTTAATTTAAAAAAAAGCAGAAAATTTCCTACCTCATGTTTAACATGAGTCAAATCAACGGGAATGAAAAGTTTAAAGTAACGCCAAAGTACACCAGCTTGTGTTGAATGAAGTAACAAAACCCATCCCATTGTCCAATTACCAGTCTTCTTTTCATTATTTAAATCACAGTCAGTTGTTGTCACATTATTTTTTAATTTACCTCTTGCGCCCCATAGGTACCATCGTATACTGACCACCTGATAAAATTCAAAATATATTAGTTTTTTATTATTTTAATTTATTATTATTATTATTATTTATTATTCTCAAAAATTTAACTTTCGAGTGGAATACTTTAGAATAGAGAGTCTGACAATAAATAAAATTATAAAAATTAATTAAAAAGGGACGCATGAATCAGCTCTAAAACAAATTTGTTAGAAATTATATTTCATAGAATTTTAATCAGCAGAATATTAATTTCCCAGAAAATCAATTTAATTGAATTTTAATTTGGCAGAAAATAAATTTGATCGAATTTTAATTTGACATAAATTCAATTTGATCGAATTTTAATTTGCCACAAATTAAATTTGACCGAATTTAAATTTTCCTGAAACGTTGTTTTATAGAATATTAATAGTGCAGAAAAACAATTTGATAGATATCTACTTTAACAAAATGTATATTTGATCGAATTTTAATTTGCCACAAATTAAATTTGACCGAAAATTAATTTGGCAAAATTCCAATTTGATCGAATTTTAATTCGCCAGAAAGTCAATTTCATCGAATTTTAATTTGTTAGAAAAACAATTTGATCGAAATTTAATTTGTGCCAAATTAATTTTCAGTCAAATTAACTTTCTGGGAAATTAATATTCAAACAAATATACATTCTGGTAAAGTAGATTTCTGTCAAATTGTTTTTTTGCACTATTAATATATTCTATAAAACAATGTTTCGGGAAAATTTAAATTCGGTCAAATTTAATTTGCGGCAAATTAAAATTCGATCAAATTGAATTTATGTCAAATTAAAATTCGATCAAATTAATTTTCTGCCAAATTAAAGTTCAATTAAATTGACTTTCTGGCAAATTAATATTCTGCTGATTAAAATTCTATGAAATATATAACTTCTAACAAATTTGTTTTAGAGCTTATTCATGCGTTCCGAATTAGTGACTTACTTTTTGCTTTTAAATTAGTTAAATTTTAGTAATTCAAAAAGAGAAAGTGAGTTACTAATTTAAATTAGTTAAAATATTTACTAATTCAAATTTATCAATATTAAAAAAAAAAAAAAAAAGAAAAATAGAACAAGAATAAAAAATTAAAAACGAAATTCTAAAAAGGAAAGTAGCTAAATAAAATAAATACAAAAATAATACAAAGGAAAAAATATATAAAAATAATAAGAATTAATTATATAAAAATAAGAAAAAATAGATTAAAAAAAACAAATAATACGGTAAAACAAAAATTAGTAATCAAATTAACACCAACCTGTGATAGCAAAAGGGAAATGACAACAAGGGAGATACTTAAGGGAAAAAGTGCTGCTGGAGCTGAGGGATGATGAGCGAGAGCATATCCCATAGCAAGATCAAATACAACGTCACAAAAATATGATGCTAATGAAATTATATTGAATAAGACGTCGCATAATGGCAAAAATTCGTATTGGCTATTTTGCTGCCGATGCTGGGCCATAATGGGCTTCCGTCACCCATTTGGATTCCCAGCAATTTCTTTCTATTTTATAGGCTGACAATGATGAAGCATTTCCTAAAAGATTTTTTTTTTTTATTGTATATTAAAAATTATTTTTAACACTTTATTAAAATAGTAAACAAAATGAAAAATAATAGTGACGGAAAAAAATACTCTTTTTTTTTGGTCCTTTGAACAATATTAAAAAAAATAAAAACTAAAGCAGATTTAACAAATAAAAATAAAAACTCCCTTTTGAATTAAATCAAAAGGGTTTTTTTTTATAATATTTTAAAAAATAAAAGTGATTGAAATTTCGAAAATGAAAAAAAATCTTAAATCTTTTTTTTAAATATAAATATTTTTAAAAAATTATTTAAATTAAAATATAAAATTAATTGTGAATATTTTTATTAAAAATATATAGATTAAAATAAATTAAACGTCTATTGAAATTAAAAATCTTTAGTAATTTTTAAAAAAAAATTAATTTGCATACTAATAATATATAAATTTAAAATAAAAAATCTTAAAAAAATTTTTAGACACAAAATGGTATATATATGAATCTTATACACCCACGCATTCGGAATGAGATATTACAAATGTTGCAGATTATATATACATATATATAATCTCAACCAATGCAGAATTAAATTTATTTATTAAAAAGTTTGTGAAATAAATGGTCATCAATATTTAAATGTTTTAAATATACATATATATGTGTATATACTTACTGCATTCTTCACATGTCATTGACGAGCGATCACAAAAGTGACATTCTTAACCTGGATGCTGTGTGCTGGTCGACCTGGACGGTTGAACCAGCTTTGGAATGCAAGGAATTTCACCTCGAACGCTCCTTGTCTTGCACTAAACAAGAACTTGAAAGACTATTGTTTACCATTCTCTTTAACTGGACACTATTAAATGCACTTTTTTAAAAAAAAAAAATTTTTCCTCCGAAAAAAAATAACAAAACAAGGTAAAAAAATTATCAAAAATTGAGATAAACTTCAAATGAAATAACGTTTTTACCTGTTGATTGTAAATTTTGCAGTTATATAGACTTGCATGCACGCACGTAACACAACAGTGATGCCAGCTTGTAGATAAAAATTAAACCCCCTTCCATCGCACTTTACATGTTTGAGAATGTTGAAAGTGCACACAACAACAGTGGCTTGTGTGGTGCTCCTTTCTATTCTTCTTTACCATCCAACGATACAAAGTGGCGCCAAACATTTGAAAACACGTATAATTCTCAGAAAAGCAATTTTTTATAGAAATTATACTTTTTAAATATAAAATTAAGATTCTTTAAGGAATATTTTTCTTTCTAAATAATAATAATAATGCAAAAGCATTAAAAAATTGTAATATTGATATTTTCTATTGGAAAAATTTGAAATAATTTTGTCATAATTGTGATTTATATATTTTATTTATATAATAAAAATTACACATTTAGAATTACTTCTTCTGCGCTGCAGCAGCTTCATCCTCACGTTGATAGGATTGTAAGAGTTCTTGTTTCTTGGTAGCAATTCTCTCTGCTCTGCGTTTGCGGGCTTCTTTAACTTTAGAGCGACGTGCTTCAGCTTGATCAGAAAGCATATCTGCTCTCATTTTCTCAGCTTTTTTCTTGTGAATAAATTCCATAAGAACTCTCTTGTTTTTAAAAACATTACCCTTAGCTTTCATATAAAGGGAGTGATACAAATGTCGATCAATTTTCTTTGTCTCACGATATTTTTTCAAAAGACGTCGAAGTACACGCATACGTTGTACCCATAAATCCTGAAAATAATTCAATCAATTAAGAACTAAAATTACATTCAATCATTTTTTTTTTAAATACTATTATTTTGTTCTTTAAATTGATTTTTACATTTATATTTTAGTTTCTTTACTATAACAATTTTATAAATAAAAAAAGAAAATAGATAATTATTTGTATTGAAATAAATAATAAAAATTAAATTAACAAATATAAAATGATAAAAATTACCTTTTGTGGTGTTCGAGCATTGGCGGTACCTTTCCTTTTACCAAAACCGCAATGTCTTCCTTTTCGTCTAGCTTCGGTATTTTTGCGTACACGAGCACGTGAGTGTACAGCAACTGGTTTCTTGATGATCAAACCATCTTTAATGAGCTTACGAATATTTTGACCTGTTAATAAAGAAAGCAAAAAAATTGTTTTACTTAATATTTTAAATGAAATCTTAAAATTTTTATTAATTTTTCTTTGGATAAAAAGTAAAGTTCTTAAAGAAGAAAAAAAATATTCGTTTACATAATTCTTTGATAGCTATTACTATGTAAACTGAAAAATACAGAAAATGTAAAAAAAAAATTAACTTACGTGAATTAGTGTTGGCAATTTCATTTATTTCATTAGGATCCAACCAAACTTTCTTCTTACCGCATCGCATAACAGAGGCTGCAAGCCTCTTTTGTAATTTTAACGAACTGAAAATAAATAAGGTTATGTTATATTTATATATCTGTCAAAAAATTTTCTAATTTACTAATAATTGAATATAAAATTAAATTTATGTAAGAAAATTATTTAAAAAAAAAAATAAAACAAACAAAGCAAGTTACAAGTAATTTTTTTAAAAATATATTTACAAAATACGCTAACCATGTGGCCAGTGGTAAAACAATTTTTGTTTCATCAAACACAATATAAACTTAAAAATAAGAATCAATTGTATTATATGAAATTAATGAGGAATATCTTATCTTTTTATTTATACACTTTAATAATTTCTTAAACTAAATTATAGATGATAAAATAAATAATTTAAAATCATTAAAATTTACCTCATGGTGCAGGTTCCGAGCTGCGCCTGCTAAAGAAAATCAAAATGGCTGACAATACGCCAAATTCTTTTTTTTATAAGGTTTTGACACAATGAACACACTGCGTGCATAAAGGTGCGATCACAGTAAAATGGAGGGGAATTTTGAACGCACCCTCGCTCGGAAGTGAAAAAAAAAAAATTGTGTGTGCGAGCCGATTTTATAGGTTAGGCACGTGGTTGACAAAACAGATTTTAATTGTTTATTTCATATAATTTAACTGTTGCTGTAAGTTTAAAAAATTAATTTTATATTATTATATTTAATAATTGTATTATTAGATTACTAGTTACATTGAAAATAGAGACATTATCAATGACCGGTCAACAATGTTTTTATTATATTATTTAAAAAAAAAAAAGGAGAATAGTATTTTTTAATAATATGTTTATTTTTAATGTTAAAAAAATATTTTCTTTTTAGTTTTGAAAAAAATGTCTTTTCGTGGACGTGGTGGAGGAGGATTTGGTAGAGGAGGAGGAGGAGGTGGTGGTGGATTTCGAGGAGGCAGAGGAGGATTTCGCGGAGGTAGAGGTGGAGATCGAGGAAGTAGAAAGTGAGTATTTTTAATAATAATAATAATAATAATTTCAGTGAATTTTAATGAAAAATAATATTTTTTTTTTCGTCAACAGTTTTGATCAAGGACCACCTGATAGTGTAACTCAACTTTGTCATTTTGAATGGACAGCGCAGGATGATTTAATTGCAAAAGTTGATATTGAACAGGTCCCTTATTTCAATGCTCCAATTTATTTAGAAAATAAACAACAAATTGGTAAAATTGACGAAATTTTTGGAAATATTAGAAATTTTTATGTGTCCATTAAATTATCTGACAATATGAAAGCGTCAAGTTTTGAAAAAGATGCACAGGTATATATATATATATTTTTTTTTTGATAGATAATGTAAAAATAATTTTAATTCAGTTAATTGATAATTTGTCGTTTTTTTTTTTTGTGTAGTTTTTCATTGATCCGGCGAAACTCTTACCGCTTCAGAGATTTCTTCCAAAGCCTCCAGGTTCGGTACAAAAGAGAGGAGGAGGTGGACGAGGAGGAGGTCGAGGTGGAGGACGTGGTGGAGGTCGTGGATCTTTTGGTGGAGGTGGACGTGGTGGATCTTTCGGTGGAAGAGGCGGTTCTTTTGGTGGAGGCCGCGGAGGCGGATTCAGAGGTGGACGAGGTGGCGGTGGATTTAGAGATTCCGGAAGAGGTCGAGGAGGAGGAGGTGGAGGAGGTAGAGGCCGATGGTGAAAATTTAAATCGAAATTTTAGATTAAGTAAAAGAAAAAAAGCTAAATTTATGGAATTATCGATTTTAAATTGACAAATCTAATATTAAAAGAACTAAAAAGAAAAAGAGAATATTTTTTTTCTCCGAGACAAAATGAATTTAATTTTTTTTAAAAGATTATGGATTTATATGATAAACAAAAACAAATTTTTTGTGAAATATTAAACGAGATTTATTCCATAATTTTACAAACTATATTTATGTAATAACGATGATTTTTTTTTCATAATAAATAAAAATATTTGTTTTATACTTCGTCAAATTTTATATGTTTACCGAGTTCTTTTTCGGCTTTTTTCAATAGTTTGTCCCTTCCTCTTTGCTTTACTCTTATGTTATTTTCTATTTTTTCTTTTCTGTCCTTTGCCATTTTATCCCAATATGATTTTTCCTCGTCACCTGTGAATTTAAGAAAATTAGAAATATAGTTATTTAAATAATTTTGATTTTTAATAATTACCCTCTAAAATTGTCATTTGTCTGTCGTCTCTATTTTTTTGGGTAAATAATTTTGCTGATTCATTTGAATCAAATCTGACGAATGCAATGTTTGAGCCTTCACGAATGTCAACGTATTTTATGGAATTGGATGTACTGCCTCCTTTTATTTCCATCTGTTTAAAGAAAAAAAAAAATGTAGATTTTTGAATTTTTCAAACAAAATTACAAATTACTCACTTTAAAATTCTGTGTATCAATGCATGGTGATTCCATGTCTATTTGAACAATTAATCCCGGCAAATAACTAAATCTTGGAGCATCTTTTTTTTCAGCATTTTTCTTATTTGTTTCGTCTTTATCAATTTTAATTTTCTCAGCATTTTGCCATTGATTCCACATTGCTCGTTTTAAATGTTGCTTCAATTGTTGCATTTTTGCTTTTTGCATATCAAGATATTTATTTCTTAATCGTTTCCATTCTCTTTTTGCCATTATTTCTAGTCCCGTGTCTGGTGCTTCAATTTCATCTCTTCGTTTTGAACGTTTTCGTTTTCGTTTCTTCTTTTTTTCCACTATTTCACTATCAACGTGAACTTCATTTGTTTCGATAGATTTTTCTCCATTAGCCACATCATTATTTTCATCAATTTTTCTCGTCTTTTTGGGAATAATAATTTCTGTATCGGATTTATTTTCTATTTCTTGATCGGATTTTTTTAATTCAACATCAGAAGCTTTGCGCTTCAATTTTTTGTCCTTTTTTTCCTTTTTATCACATTCAAGAATTGATGAATCATCATTTACATCAGACGCATTTAAATTATCAGAATTAGTTATTTTTTGTTTCTTTATTTTTTTCGATTCTTTTTCTACTTTAAGAGCAGATGCTGATGAATCAGATTGATCACTTTCTGTATTTTCGTATTTTTTCTTTTTTGTTGCTTGAGAATTTTCATCATCGTCATCATTATTCATTGTAGTTTCCTCAGTTGAGAGACGTTTTTTCTTTTGTTTCTCAATTTCCATTATTTTCTCTTCTTTTGTTATTTCTTCTGATTTATTTTCTTTTTTTGTTATAATTTGTCTTGCAATTTCTTCATCGCAATTCTCGTGTGTTGTTATACTGAGAAGAGTATTTGGAGTTGTTTCTGAAGGTAGAAGACCACCCTTTGCCTTGAACGCCTAAAATCGATAATATATTAATATTACGAGTTTAAAAAAAAAAAATTAAATAAACTTACTTTTATACATTTAAGAACATCTTTGGGAGTTTTGAATTCAACGAAAGCAAAGCCTTTGATTGCTCTATTTTTGTATTTTGGAATTGAAATATAATCAATTTCTCCATATTGTGAAAATATTTTTGAAATCCAATCGTGATCTGCTTCGGGCGGTAATTTTTGCACATAAATTGTACATTCATCGGAATTTTCTTTCTTTTTAATTGGAGTTGTTCGACAAACTTTAGTACCATCTTCAGAAATTGATAGCATTGTTGAATCCCTTAATGCTTTTGCTATTCTACTTACATCTGTTGTTAAAGCTGCAACTTTATTGAATTTAATAAAAATATCCAAATCAACCCCTAGAAAAAGAAGGAATATTTAATACAATTAAATTTTAAATTAATTTTTTTTATTTGAAAAATATAAATATTTACAGGGATTTTGAAATATTAGTTTTCCTAAAAATCTGTCTTTGCTTAAATTTGCATCACTGAAGTAAAATTCCATTTGTTTTAAAATTGATGCATGTAATTCTCTATGACGTTTTCGTGGTTTTTTACGAAGAATTTCTGGTTTTTGTTCTTCAACAACAATTGATTCTTCAATAATATTTTCAACTGGTGGAACTGGAATTGTTTCCGATGCTAATTCCATTTCTGATTCTTGCTCTTCACTAACCATATTGACGAATTTTTAATTCTACAAGAAAAAAAAAATTTTTGATTATTTATAATTAAACAAAAATGTTTTCTAAATAAAAGTCGAGAAAATACATTTTAACAATAATTAAATAATCTTTTATTTTTATGTGAAAAATATGAAACATAACCTATAGAAACATTTGTGTCCTGATTCTGAAGAATCTAATGTGGTTAATATTTTTAGATATAAATTACTAATGTATAAAAAGATTTAAAGAAATGTGAATAAACTTACGTACAAAAAGAAAGGTTTAAAAAAAAAACGTCAACTTATGTTTATACGACGATGAAACGTTATTCCGGCAGTAAACACAACACTTTTAAAGTACCATTAGAAAATCAAGTGAAATTTAATTTATTATAAACAGAAGTGATGAATTACATTTCACTTTATTTATTTCCTTGTTTTGTTGCAATGATTTATTTTAATGAATTAATTTAGATTGATTAATTTTTTGACGACAGTTTGACGACGATGTCAACAACGAAGTGATCTTCGATAGTTTCGATATTATTCCATTCTTACCAACAGAGCGGTTTTATTTTGTTGGTAAAGTTGGTAAATCAGCTGTAGTAAACAAAATTTGGAATGTTGGAATCAAACATATTTTTCCTCGTTAGGAAGAATTAAGAAATAAATCTAAAAAGTAATATATATTTATATCATTAACCCTGTGCTAACGATCATTATTGTCATTTAACATTGAGTAAAATTTTCTATAAATTTTTACCGTATTTTGTTTAAAACAATGTCTTCGTTTGTTGCCGATGTTCTTCTTTCAGCAGGTTAGTTAATTATTTTAATCTTAAATACATATTTACACTATTTTTGTTATTATATTATTAACAATTTTTTTATTCTCAAAAGTTATACATTATAAAAACAATGGCATTGACATAATTTTTATTTTGAGGTTATGTTGACATATTTTTTTTATGATTGTAATTTAAAAATAATATATGTAATTCCTTTCTAATGAATAGGTAATTTGGAAAAAATAGACTTAAAGGAAAAAATTACTGAAATCGAGAAGAAAATAATAAAACTTAAGCATGAAGTTAAAGAATTTATGCACTACAATTATATTGACTTTGTGCCAAGAATGAAAAAAGATAATGCAATGATTCGAGATGCAGAGAAATTAATTACGGAAATGGAAATATTGGAAAAACGAGTAGACGATCAAGTAATTTATATTTTTAAAAAATAATTTCTATAAAAATTATGATAAATGAAGAAAATTACTATTTTTTTTTTCTCAGGTAAAACTTAAATTACCCAGTTCGCAAAAAGAATTAAAGGATATTTCCAATTCACTCAATGAATTACATTTAAGTCTTCAAATATCCAATCGTCTTCTAAATGTACATAAATGCATAACATCTGTAGAAAAGTTACAGGAAGAAAAAAGATACATTGAAATTGCAAATACTTTACGTCAAATGCAAAATTATCTCAGTGATTCAACTGTTATTTTGCAAAATCTCAATATTTACACAAATTTATTAAATGAATATGGCACTTATTATGGTGCTTTTGTAACTGAAATTACAACTCAAGCTCAAGAATTTATCTCTTGGAAGGAGGAAATAACACAAAAAAATGAATTAATCGTAAATTTAACTATTGAAAATGAAAATAAACAAATAGAAGATATTATATTGGCATTGCATTATGTTGATCATTTATCGGCATATTTGCATGCATTTGCGATAAATTTATTAAAACACTTTATAAAATCAATTATAACAAAAAATTGTTACGTTTATGTTGTTCAGGAGAAAGTTTTTAATGTTGAAATTATTGACAATAGCAATACATTACCTGAATATAAAAGTGTATTGCATAATCTTCAATTATTATTTACATTTCTTAATCAACATTTCAATATGAATATTGGTGATAGAACTTTTTTATCAAGACTTGGAGATTATTTGCTTGATGAATTTTTTGAGCTTCTCATAAAAAATTGTATTTCAAATATAATTCCAAATTCAAGAGCAAAATTAGAATCATTTGATCCAATCGCTGATGATATTAATGAGTTTCAAAATTATTTGCTTGACATTGGTAAGTTTTTTTTTTTTAAATAATTTTTTTTGTTTTAAAAAAGTTTTGTAGAATTTTTTTTGTGCCTTTTTTTTGCAGGATTGATTTCTAAGGAACAATGTTTTGTTTCTGAATATACAAAAGATATAGACAATTTATTTATAAGTAAAATATGTGAAGATTTTTTGGTAAGAGCAAGGGATATAATGAAAAAAGATTTGCATGATTCAATTCTACTTGAACCGCAGGTAATTTTATTTTTAAATATTGAAAATTGAGTAAAGATTATTAGATTATTTGATTTATTAATTTTAATTTTTTTTTAGGTACTTACTTTTGATTCAATTGAAAATGATTTGAAAGTAAGAAAATTAAGTGAAAATACATTCCAATTACCTACATGTAGAATAAGGTAATTAATTTAAAAAATAAATTTTTTATTTCTCAGTATTTTTATTTGATTATCCTTTTTTTTCCAGCAAAAGTGCTCAGGAAATATTACATCTCGGCAAAGAAATTTTAAATGAAACATGTCAAAGTTCGGATAAATGCGCAATAAAATTGTTTCATACAAGTAGAAATGTTTTTGAAATGTATTCTGCTTTAATTCCCGAGAATCATAAAATATTATTGGAAACAGTACCACAACAAGCGGGTAAGAAATAATTCGAAATTCAAAAAAAAAAAAAAAAAATGAATAAAATAAAATATATTTTCTTTCAGCGTTGTTTCATAATAATTGCATGTATCTTGCACACAATCTTATTACATTAACAAAAGAATACGAGTACAAATTGTTGCCAATTTTAAAACAACACAACATCACTTACGCTGATCAAACTTTAATGCTTCGCAAAGTTGGATGGGAACATTTTTCCAATCACATGAAAATTCAACGCGATATTATTTTCGATATTCTTCGAAAATCAGGTGAATATTAAATTAAAAAAAAAAAAGGAAAAAAAAACAAAAATTAAAAAATAATTCTTTTATTAGCGTTAGCAACTATGAAACAAAGCCCAAAATTATCACAGGACACTAAACGTGATTTAGATCAATGTTTAAGACAATTGGATCATTTAAAAATAGTTTGGATAGAAATTTTACCTGAAAATATCTATTGTCGGGCAATTGGTGAGTTATTTAAATAGAAAATTAAAAATTATTATTAATTAAATTATTTTATTAAATCTTTTAAGGTAATATTGCAAATTCAATGGTTGAAGATTTAATAGCTAAAATAACAGCAGTTGAAGATATTCCAGCAGATTTAGCAACTGAATTGGTAACACTTTTAAATATGATTGTCCAAAAGACGCCTTCAATTTTTCCTGTAAGTAATTCTTGTTGTAATTTATCAATTTCTCGATGGTTATTTTTTTTATTTGTAGTTATTAAAAAATAATTGTTAACTTTAGGAAGAGGAAACAGTTCAAAGATACATTCGAAATTGGCGAAAATTATTGGAATTAATAATTGTGCTTGGCGCATCTTTAGTTGAAATTGAAAAACGTTGGGCAAATTCACAAGGACCACTTGCTCATGAATTCACTGCCGATCAAGTGAAACGTCTTATTCGAGCACTTTTTCAAAATACAGAACGACGATCTGCTTTGTTAATGCGAATAAAATAAATAAAAATTCTTTTCAAGTTGTCTTTTTTAATTTTATATGAAAATTACAAAAAAAGGAATAAAATATAGAAAAAAATTATACTTACTTTTTAATTTAATTCTTGAAATCTTGTACCTTAATTTCGTTTTCTTTCTACCTTAATCTTTTTTTTCATAAGTTTGATATTTAAAATTATATAATCACAGGTGTGCATTTCGATGAAATATAAAATTACTTCAAATTTTATATTTTTACAAGTATTTTATTTTTTTTTTTTTTGTTTGTGCAAAATAGCAAATAAGCTAATTTAAATAGAAAAACAATCCGGTATTCACACCTTGCGAGTCAAGCTTGATTTTTCTTTTTTTTTTTTAATGTATTATTTATAATTAATGAATGATGAAATGATTTGAATCCACAATAAATAGGCGAACAAATGAAAAATGTATTTAAATACGAAACGTTTTAATTGAAAACAAAGCAATATAGATTGATGACTGGCAGAAAGCATTTCCCTGTAAATTGCAACAAAACACAAAATATTAAAATATACAACTGTTGAAGAAAAAAATTAGTTTTTTTTTTTTTTTTCATTAAATTGTAAATTTTTTTTCCAAATTTCCTCAATCAGTTGTATAATTATGAAAACAAAAAAATACTTAAAAAAGAAAAAAGAAAAATAATAATAATAAAAAACGCCTGTGTTTGAGAAAAAATTTAGGACAAAAAAAAATTAAGACGTAGTAATTGTCTTTATTTTAAAGATATCTTAAAAATGTGCTTAACAAATACAAAATACAGTATTTCGAGTATTTAAATACAATCTTCTTATGCAGCACGTATTTACATAATATATTTTAAGCATTTTATATACTAGTACACTCTCCGATTCAATTAAATGAATCATTAAGAAACTCTTATCTAAACTAAAAAAAAAAAAAAAAAAATTCCCACGAAATCAAAAATCTTTTCGTTTTTTCTTTCAAAATACATTTATCTAAAAATGTTCATCCCTGGCAATAGAAACATTATAATATAATATATATATATTTATTTATATAAACAATATAAATCACTACACAATTAATCGTAATCACAATCGATTACAAATATACAAAATAAAATATACACATTTTTAAATGAGAAACGCATGGTGTGAATTCCGGGATTTGCCAGGGGGAAGGGGGGAATAAGAAAAAATGATTTTTTTCAATGAAAAAAAAAAAAATAAATAATAATAAAATAAAATGTTGCAATTAGGGAGAGGGGGGGAAACCCTCTTTGCATGTAAACTTTTATTTTCGCGAATTCAGCGAAAAAACGGTCATTAATTTGCTCTCTCTAAATTTTTTTTTTTTTCTTTTTTGCGTTAAATTATACATTGAGCTTCTATTATATGAAATGATTTTCCCCAATTAGTAATGTTAATTTTCAATTTTTCTTGTTTCTTTCTTTTTTTCTTTTTAACAACACAAGACACAAGCAAGCAGATGTTGAAGGCGGACAGGCAGAAAAGCAGGCAGGGTGGGCATTGAGATTTTTTTTCCAAAATCCAAATTAACATTTTTCTTTCTTTTTTTTTTTTGTAAATAAAATATCGTTGTTTTCTAAAGATAAACGTAATTCATTGCGATGATAATTGTTTATGAGAAAAAAAGGGGGGGGGAACAAATTTCAAAAGTCTGTTTTTAATATTTTTCACACACATTTTTTTTTTTTTTCCTTTATCATTTTTCTATTTTTTCCAGATAATATTTTTTTTTTTTTTTTTTTTTTTTGTTTAAATGCATAATTGTGGCCTACAGATTGCACGTAGCGCTAAGATTTTTATTTTGTATAAAAAAGTCTGAACTTTTGTTTTTCTAAAAAAAAGTTTTTTTGTTCCCATTCCAATTTTTGATGGAATGTGTTTTTATTATTATTATTATTATTATTATTATTATTATTATTATTATGAGAGAGAAAAAAAAGAAGTGAATTTTTTTAGGAAAATGTTTAAATTGAAAAAAAAATGGTATTATTTTCTAATGTGGGAAAAAGTTTGTTTAAAAAATTGTAATTTTTCCGACATTTTTGCGAAAAAAAAAAGTGATATATTTTTTTTTTGCAAAAATAATTTTTTTGACTTTTTGAAATTAATTTAGAAAATTTTATTTGAAACGAATTTTAATTCGAGAAAATTCATTCGTTTTTGCTGTAGAAAAAAAAAATGTTTTCTTTGTTTTCGAAAGTTTAGAAACAAATTTTCTTTGGAAGAAATTTTGTTTATTTGAAAAATAATTTTTTTTCGAATATAAATTTTCTTTTTAATTTGGATTTCTTCCTTGCAAGAAGGAGAAATTTTATTTTCGAACAAACAATTTTCCCAATAAAGAAAAAAATCGTATTTCAATTTAAGGAAATTTCATATTATTAATTTTTTTTTTTTTTATTAGAATTGTGTGTAATGGGACAAAATTTTCTTTTTGGCAACGTGAGCAGCCTGTAAACCAGATTATTTTTCTTTTTTTTTTTTGCGGCAATACAATTGGGTATAGAAATCATTTTTTTTTTGTTTTTTTTTTGTTTTCATAATCGACAATTAGTAAATAAGTAGTTAATAGAGAGAAAAAAAAAATAATTATGTACACGTTGCTGTGAAGATTGGACAGAGTAGTCATCTAGGCGCGGGGTTGATTGGTCCCGCACTTCAGATTGGGAACGTAGCATTCTAGTTGTTTTACGTGCATTCGCGCAGATGACGATGACTGTGAACATGGAAGGGCAAAATAGTTTTTCACATTATTTCGTCAGTCTTGCAGGAATTGTTTAAACCGCCCCAGCTGGCGGAAAAGTGTGCCGCGAGTTGGTTGTCAAAGTGTCTTTATTTTCCATGCATATAAAGGGAATGGGGGAGGGACATCTCTCGTAATGCTCAAAAAAAAAAAAGAAATAAAAAAAAAATTCCCCTTCTTAAAAAGTAATTTGCATTACAAGGGACATTAAAATATAAACTGTTTTTATAATTAGAGAGAGAGAGAGAGAGAGAGAAATAGAAACAGATGATTTTAAGGTGGTATTAACTTTTTTTCAATTTAAAAAAAAAAATGGCTTCGAAGGGTCGCGTATAATCGATGATGTTCTTGAATTATTATTATTATTTTTTTTTTTGCGGGTGTATCAAAATGAGAGAATAGTGAAATATTTAACGCGAAGGTTTTTTTTGAGAATTAGAGCAATTTTACAGTGATTAGGTTACTGTTGTACCTGCTACGTCCAGCAGGGGATCGGCTGCGATACCTCGAGGAACCTGAGTCCTTGTAGTAGTCATTGTTGGCACCGCTGCCTGCTCCATAGCTGTCTTGTGAATAGGGATCGCGAGTGGAATAACCACTATTTGAATAATCATCTCCATAGCGACTTCGTGACCTATTGGCACCACCTCTGCCTGCATAATATCCACCACCACTTTGATCGCCATAACCACCGCTGCTACCACGATAACCACCGCCGCTTCCACCCCGTGAATTAAATCGTGAACCACCACGATAGCCTGAACCGCCACGGCCACCGCGGCCACGACCACGTGATATTTCAACACGCAATTTGGCACCACATATCTCAGAGCCATTCATACTGTTGCAGGCCATTTCTGCCTCATCCATATTCATGAATTCAATGAATGCAAATCCAGGAGGATTGAACGCCACCCAAACTTTTTTTAATTTGCCAAATTTTTCAAATTCATTTTGTAGATCTTCCTTCTTTATTGATTCATTTAGACCACCAACGTAGACTCGTGTACAACCGTCAGCGTTCATTTTTCCAAATCTGAAAACGTCGATTTTTGTCAAGATAACACACATCCGGCTCTTATCGATGTACAATTGTTTTTTTTTTTTTTTTTTTTTTAATACAAATAGGCGTTGATTTTACGAATCTCATTGGAAAAATAATTTTTAAATATTTTAATTCTATTCGTTAATTTTACTCTCGAAAAAAAATCGGGACTTATTTAAAATTAATCTAAATGAATTCAAAACATGCTTTAATAAGAATTTCATTTATTTCATTAAAAAAATCACCGACGATTTGAATATTTTCTATATATTATAGAAAGAGAATTTATAAAATCACAAAATTGGGATTAATTAAAATAAGACATCTTAAAATATATAATTTTAAGAAAAAGAAGATTAAAAAATCGTCGAATATTCGTTGCAAAAAAAAAATATATTATAGTTTTTGAAATTGTGTTGTTTCTTTCGAAAAATAACAAGAGAATATAATTATTATTTCGATGGGTAATAAAATATGAGCTGAAAAATATCGTAGAGGTTAAAATTGAATTTACAAAGGAAATATCCTCGCAGTTTCGTAAATTTGACGTTTTATTCTTTTTTTTTGGTCGTTTCTGTTGTGTTTAAAACGTTGTTTAATTTTTGATAGGTTTTTTTCTCTAAAAGTTTTTTGAACGAAGACAAAAAGTGAACGTGACATTTTAACTATTATTGTCATTTACATGATGAAAATATGCGTAATATTGTTTCAAGTTTCTGGATTTATCTTATTTTACTATCGTAGCTTAAATTTCTTGACTCTGTTTTTTTTTTTTAAAGAAATAATTTTGACAAAGAACAAACGAAGCGTAAAAGTGCATTTTTAAATCGGAGTATATCGTAAATAAAGGAAATCGTTTCTCTAATCAGGGTTACATAATTTTTTGTCGATTTAAAAAATTCATTTTATCTTTACGATAAAAAAGTGATATAGAATTATTTGAAAAATAAATACCGTTGAGAAGTTTAATAATTAAAATAGTGAAACGAAAGTTACATTTTCAAATGAACAATGAATAGAGGTCCTGATGATTCAAATAACAATCGTCGTGAATCGCAAGTTTTTTTTTTTTTTGCAAGATGAGAAAATAATTGAAATACGCAACAATTGTAATGAAATGACAAAAAGGGCTTTGATAATAACAATTTTCTCGTCGGAAATTCAATGTCGAGACGAAGCGTCGATTGAAATTTCGGAGAAAGAATTGGATCTTAATATTTTTAAGATGTCTCGTAGTTTTACACAAAAAACGTTGTTTTATTGCGTTCAATACGCATAATATTCTTTTATTTACAGAAGTCGATATGATGATTTAATTGAAAAACGTGACGACCCAATTTTTATATAGAAACGCTATTTTCATTTTTATATCCACACAAATCAATTTTGTAGGTTATTTTCAAGAAAAAGCTTTGTATAAATAAGAAAAAGCAATGTCAGAAACTTTTGAATATTAAATAGAACGCATATTGATCTCTTGTCTTTTTTCTACATGAAATTTAAAACAATTTTGTCGAGAGAAATAGAAAAATACAATAACGAATTGCATTATTATATTTGTAAAGTAGAAAATAAATCGATGGTTTTGTCGAGACAAAGCAAATAATAATATTCGAATATTTTACATTTAAATAAATTGACGAATTGTACAATATTTATCAGAAATTAAATAATAAAAAAAAAAATTGACACGGCGTTTAGAGAAATGGACGAAACGCTAAAGAGAAGTATTTTTTGTTTCTCAGAGAGAGAGAGAGGGAGAGACACAGCTTTACTCCAAAAAAAAATATTGTAATTTCGTCGAAGAAATTGGAAAAAACTTACGGTGATTGTGATCAATTCTTCGATTTTGCAGGACCTTCGTCAACGATGATATTTGTTTTTGATAAATTGAAGTAAACAATTAGATTTTTCAGTTGTGAAACTATGTATAAAATCAATAGGAACCGAATCCAACGGAAGCGGGGTTCACAAGACGCTACGCAGAAAACATTTCCGCCCCTTTGCCCCTTAATGTAGACTCGAACCCAAACGCCACTCAGGAACGTAATTATTCTTTTGGGTACCTGCTACATATTTTTTTTTTTTTTTTTTTATTTTTTTTATTAGAAATTTATTTAAAATTATAGAATTGTTATTGAAAAATGAAAGATATTTTTAATTTCTTTTTAATAAAATTATATTTTTCCTTAAAGGTAGAAAATTTTATTTACAAATATTAGACGAAGGCAAAGTTTTTTTTAAAAAAAAATCTACAATTGAGTTACATAAGGATTATTAGATTCAAAGTTATCAAAAATATCATTTGATATTTGTAATTTAAATCGTGAAAATTCCTCAGTTATATTTGGTGTTGGAGGATGAAGATAATCTTTAACAGGCACAAATTTTGGTCCTCCAAATGTGTCAAGCATTGCAATTGATGCAATTTTTAATTTTGCAAAAAAAAAATGATGATCTAGGGATAAAAATTTTAAAAATTAAATATTTTTTTCTTTAATAATTAAATAACTAATATTTGCATTTTTTTTTGTTTTTACCTGCAGGCATATTTTGTAACCATGGATGTCGACTAAATACTGCTTTTTCTGCTATTGTTATTTCCGTAGAATTTATATTTACCTATTGATAAGAAATAAAAAATTATTCATACTTTTTTTGACGTGTAAAATTTAATGGAAAATTAATATTTTTTTATTTTTCTTACGGGTCTTATTTTTCCTGTAAGAATTACTCTTGCACATCGAGGATCCATGGGATCATAATTTTTTTTAATACAATATCGTCCTTGAGCCAAAGTCATCATTAAACTGGCTCGATTGTCTTTCTGTGAAAAATAAAATTTAAATAAAATTAAAATAATTATAATACTATTATTACATTTTTATAATTCAAAGATTATTTTTTTTTAAATTAAAATTTCTTCATTTTACATACGGTTATATCTTGAGCTGTAAAATCCAAGGGAGTTAAATACATGTAAGGAATTCCTGATCCATTTCCAATGATTCCATCGCTAAATGAAATGACATTTACTGAGGGAAATAATTTTATATCTTTTCGTGAACTAATTGTCGCCACCGATGTCCAATCTGCAATATTAAATCAAAAAAAATACTACTATATAAACCATAAAAATAATAATTTATAAATATACTTTCGTTTTTTTTTTATAATTTATAACATTGAATTAATCATTTAAAACAGTGTCAGTAAAATGATTCATAATGAGTGGTTTAATTGTAGATAAAAAGTCATCAATGTAAATTACATGCTAATGACGTGTAATAAAAAAAAATTTATAATTTAAAAACTTGAATTACTATTCAAAGAGTTGTATTTGAAATTAAAATAGTTTTACTGAAATAAAGGAATTTTTTTCTTTTATTTAAAATAATTTTTTTTAAAATTAAAGTAATATTAATTTTGTTAGAAAAGAAAATGCAGTTTTGAAATTATATAAAAAATAAGTAGATCGTGTTTTTGATAATTGAAAAAAAAAATGATTTTTTAACATTGGAATTTTTCGATAAGATAAAATTAATTTTCCTTATTTATACTTACTGGCTTGATTTACAATATAACGAGCCATAAGTGCAGCTTCATTAATTGGTGGTGGATCATTACTATTTTCATTAATTCTTTCTAAAGATTCTTGATTTACTTTATCAATATATTTGTCATATTTTTTCTTTTTTTGTTCATTTTGTTTTTTATATTTCTTCATTTTATCCCCATGTTGTTTATTATTTTCTAATTCATAGTTTTTCTCTTCTTCTTCCTCATCATCATCATCATTATCATTTAATTTATTATAATTCTTCTTTTTAGAAAAATCTTTGTTTTTATAATTCTCCTTCAATTTTTTATCTTTCCATTTTTGTTTCTTGTTACTTATTTCTTCACTATTGTCATCATTAAATTTATTTCTTAATAATAAACTTTGTTCATAACTTTTACTCTTGTCATCATGATCAACATTTAATTTGCTAGTCAATTCTTTTTCCTTCTTCCATTTTTTAAATTCTTCGAATTCTTTGAATTCTTGAAATTCTTTATATTCCTCTGTATTAATATATTCTTTAGCTTGAATAATTATAAATGTGGAAAATATAAAGAAAAAAATTGTTGAACAATGAAGATTCATTTTCTTTTTTTTTGGGAAAAAATTGCGAAGCACTAGAAACCTTTTCAATCAATGTCCGATAAACGACTAAAGTCTGCGACAATGACACTACAATTATACACTTTCTTGACGATATTAATGAGAAAATGAAGGAGTTTACTAAATAAGGAAAAAGATATTTTGAGACGTACTTGAAAAATATATCTTAAAATGACCTAAGGTGACTATAATTAAATGTATATTGTATTTAAAAAGACGTCATACACTTGTCCCTGATTTGAGAAAAAAAATTAGTGATTTCTTGAATGGATTTATAAATTGTCTTACTAAAAATACATTTCTTTTGTACTATATATACATTTTTTAAAGCAAAATTCTATACTATTTCTCTTGTTTACATCTCAGCTGATCAGGAGCGTACGTAGAAATTGCTTCAAAAAAAATATTCAAAATTTCAAGGGGGTTGAACCCCATTCCATACGTTCCTTGGAGTTAAATTTGCGCGCCAATTTTTAAATTTCTTTTTTCTAAATTATTAAAAAAAGCAATAATACAAAAATTGAATTTTTTTTTTTTTTTAAACGAAATATTTACTTTCTTTTTAAATATAAATCATTAATGTCGAAAAATACGAAAGTTTTTATATTTAAAATAAGATTGTTTATATTTTTTTTTCAAAATAATGTACATATTAAATTTGTAGAAGAGCTTTTTATTTTATGTAAGTTAATAAATTTACAAGACGATTTTAGGAGATACTGCTTGCGTTTGATGCAATTCTCGGCCACAAATCCGCACACTCCTTTGCAACTGGTCCTGTAATGGCAGAGCCTTTCATTTCACCTTTATTGTTGACAATCACACCTGCATTGTCTTCAAAATATATAAAGACACCATCCTTCCTGCGGAATGGCTTTCGTTGCCGAATTACTACCGCTGGCATAACTGAAAATAAAAATTATCTACTTTAAAAACATTTTATAGGGGAGAAAAACAAAAAACAAAAAACGAAATGTTTTGATCATATTGAAAGAATATTTTGAATAATTATTATTTCTATATTTATATTTTTATATTTAATAAAAATTAGAATTAAAAAAATGTTTTTAAATTATACAACTCATTTTGTAATTATTAATTTGTAACAATCTCTTTTAACGGAAATAACGTTCATTTAATTAATTAATTTCATTTTTTTTTAATGCTTACCCTTTTTTCTTAGTTCAGGCTTTCCTTTTTTAACAGTTGCAACAATCATATCACCAGAACCCGCAGCGGGTAAACGGTTCAAACGACCTTTAATTCCCTGTACTGCGATAACATAGAGATTTTTTGCTCCTAAAAATATATAACAAAAATTTTAATTATCTTCTATTTATTCCTTTGCAAATATAAAAAATAAATGTAAAATTCAACTCATGACAAACAATAATAATGTATATATTTTAAATTACAACAATTATTTCTCATAAAAAAATATATATATATAGTTTTATCGAAAAATTCTTATATTTACTTCTAAAATATTTAAAATTACAAAAGAATTAATAAATTAGTTGTTAAATAATAAATTATTACAAAATACTTTAAAAAGTATTTCCAAACTAAATTTTCCTAATTAGAATAAAAAAAAAAAATCCCTTGAATTAAATATTCATTTACAAATATCAATTGAAGAAAGTTAATTTATTTGTGTAAAAAAAATATTACTAGTATTAATTTATTTATTATTTATCTTTAACATTGTTAAGATATCTTGTTTTTTTCCGCCAGAAAAAATATTATCACAATATAAAGAAAGAAAATCAAAAATATTTTTAATTAAAAACTTAGAAAAAAGCATCAAATGAAACAATGTGTCATTCTCTGTTTTTGAGGTTATGTTTTGGGAATTAATTTTTTTTTGCAAATGATAAACTCACCTGTGTTATCGGCACAATTGATAACTGCTCCCACGGGTAAACCAAGGGATATCCGGAATTTAGCTCCTGCAGAACCTCCACGACCTTAATCGACAAAAATTGATGATTATTGATAAACATTTTCTTTAATAAAAATTCACAATCAGTTCACACACATTTGTTTTTTGTAGTCGTTAAAATATCACTGCAAACATATATTTATGAATAGAAACTTTTTGAATTATTAGACTTGAATTATTCGCATTCTATTTCACTGGATGATTAAATTCTGTCGAGATTTTAATGGATTAAAATCATTAAAGAAAAACCTACCTCTCTTCGACATGGTGGCGACTTTTGAAAGAAAAAGAAGCTCCTTTTCACTGATCACAGAGCATTCGTTTTTGCGCACGTCACGTGTCACTTCCGGTCATAATACACTGTTTCCGTTTGCGGTAAAACTGATGAAATTTCAAAATTTTCTGGTTCAATTTAAAAAAGAAAATAATAATTTAAATAAATCATTTGTTTATAATGTTTTGCCAACAACATTTTAAGACAATGAAATTATTTCAATCTGGAATTTTCAGTGACGTGTTTTCCGGTTTGAAAAGAGAGGTTAGAAAAATTGATTTTTTAGTTTTCGTTATTTAATTTAGATTCTAGGCGTATGTAACATAAAATACTTGTTTTTTTTCAAATTTAGCAAATTTTAACGCATTTTCTATTCTTACTGTATTTTTTTTATAACAAAAGGTCTAAAACTTTGACATTTTTTGGTTATGTGTTTTTTTTTATGGAAAACACTTGAAGGTTGAATGTATTTAATAAAAATTGATAAAATGCACTAAATTATTTAGATTGATACTTCAAAAAATTTGCAAGAATCTTTCACACCTGGGGATAGAGAAATTTCGCATTTCTGTGGTAAATATTTGACACCTAATAATATTGTTGACTTATTTATTATGTCTAAATGCATCAATATTAATGACTTATTGAACACTAATGACTGTAAATTTACATTTCTTATATATATAAAAAAAACATTTAAAGTATTTTAATTTTAAAAAACAGTTAACAGAAATTTACCGGAAATTGTTGACTCTATTTCCGTTTGACTCTTCCAAAACCTGAACACAACTTTAATTGGTTACTTATGCCCGCGAATATTTGAAATGTCAATATGTTCAAATGCCTTGACGCATGCGCAGTGGTCTATATTTAGGTTTTGGAAATGTTTTTTTCGTCTGCTAAAAAGTAAAAATAAAAAAAAAAAAATGATGTGTGAAGAGAAATATTTTATTTTTATTGTTTAAAAGAATGTTATTACTGAAATGAATTATATGTAAATAGTATTGATGCAATTAAAACAAAAAATCATTTTTTACCAGACGCAAATATCAATTTTCAAATAAAAAGGCTTGAATTTATATTTATAATACATAAATTTTAAATCATTATTAAATAATTATTTTTATCAAGATTTACAAAAATGCCTAAAGTATTGTTAACAGAAACTATTTCTATGGAGCTTGGAGGTAATTATAAATATTCAAGTTTTTTTTTTATTAAAAGAAAAATTGGTATGTTTTCTCCTTTGTAGACATAACCTCACTTTTTATTTAAAACTGTTTAGATATTTTATTATTTATTAAAAGAATAATAATTATTATTATTATTTAATAACAATTTTTTTTCATAAAAACATATGCAATAAATAAAATAAAAGTCATAGAAATTTAAATAAAATATGAAAAATTGTAATTGAATTTATATAACAAGGAAAATAATTTTAATCACAATTTTGATAAATGGAAAATTTTAGAATAAATAAATTATTAAAGTTAATTAGGAATATTATTTCTCTATTTTTATTTTTTTTAAAGAAAAATTGATTTTTTATTTTCTTAATTAATTTTAGCCCAAGATCCATGGCCGCAATTAATTAAAATGTATCAACCATATGAGGTCGAACAAATTTTATTGCCGGACAATTCAAATTGTCTCGCTGTACAAGCATATTTAAAAATGTGTAATTTAGAATTTCAAGTTGAACCACGAAGAAATGCCGAATATATGTCACCCTCTGGACGTGTTCCATTCATAGAATGCGGTGCATTTGTCATCTCAGATTTCAATGGAATTGTTAATTTTATTAATTCAAAAGGCACAAGTTTATCAGATGAATTAGAAGCAACCGATAAAGCAGACATGAGAGCATATATTTCATTGGTAAATGATGTTCTTGTTAATGCCGAACAATATATTTGTTGGTGTGAAAAAGATACATTGAACAATATCACAAAACCAAGATATGGAAGTGTTTATCCATGGCCATTAAATTATATTTTAAATTGGCAAAAACAATCGCAAGTGATAAAAAAACTCAAAGTTTTAGGCTGGTATAATAAAACACTCGATGAAGTTCTTGATGAAGTGAAAAATTGCTGTGATGCACTATCTGAACGACTTGAGAATAAAACATATTTTTTCGGCGAAAGGTATAAAAAAAAAAATATTTATATACTTTTTGTAATTTTAATTACACTTTAAATTATTTTGCACATTTTTTTTTTCATTTTTTTTTTTTTTTTTAAAGGCCAACCGAATTGGACGCATTGGTTTACGGACATGTGAAAGCCCTTACCATCACTGAATTCCTTCCCTCTATTTCAAATACGATTAAACAATATCCTTTAATAATGAAGCACAATCATTATATTCACGAGCAATACTTTGATGAAATCGCAAAATCAATAAGCGATGATTTCGAAGTAATTGACAAATTTTGTGAAGATTCATGGAAATTTTCTTATTCCAACGAATCCATTTTTACATCATCCACATAAGATCCAAATTTTATGCACAATCCAAATTCCTCATTGACAAAAAGTGAATTAAATATTGTCTAAATTTTCTTTTTTCAAATGAAATAAAGAAAAAAAAAAAAAATTATTTTCGAAAAATTTAATAACTTCATTTTTTTTTCCTTTTTTTTTTTGTTTTATTTGCAGACCAAACGAATTGGATGCCCTAGTTTTTGGACATATGTTTACAATTATAACAACATCGCTTCCAAAAAATTTATTGGCTGATATCATCAATAAATATCCCACGCTTGTTACATTTTGCAAGCGCATCGAAAATAGGTATTTTACGCCAACGACAGATTAGGGGGAAAAAAAAACAATTTTTCGTTACGTGATGACAATATATTTGTTTTTTTTTGTGTAAATTACATTTTTTTCTGTGAAAAAATATATGCAAATAATAATGATAAACTTTAGTAGTAATTCTATTAAATTTTGTCAAATTAAATGACATTGAAAAGTAACGAAAATTTGATTAGATTAATTTTCAAAATAGCGATTATTAGTGAATTAAAATTAAAAATCATCGATTTAAAAATAAAAATTAAATGATAATGTAATTATTTAGTTAGACTGTTAAATTCTACGTGCATGTTGAAAATACAATTATTATTATTATAATGTTTTGAAATTAAATTTTTCAGCATTTTTTACTCTCAAGCTATCTTTGAAACAGAGAATTGGAGGCGAGAATTAAGTAGCACGACTCATTAAAAAAAAAAAAACTAAAAAAAAATTCCAATTGGTGATCGCACTACATCTTCACAATGTACCTGCTCATTTACTACCTCAGATCATGTAACATCACAATCAACTGAGCGCATGATCTTTTAATAATTACTGAAAGCAAAAAAAATATATATATATATTTAATTGTAAATAGTAAAAAAAAAAAACGGAAAACTTATTTTTCAGTTAATTTATTTCTTAATCGAATTAAAGACTATTTTTTCCTATTTATTTTAATTGCTTTTTTTAACAATAAAAATTTGTCAACTCGAAACGAAAAAAAAAAATAAATTTTTATTGAAACGAATGTCAGTTACGTACTTCTTGTCTCCAACATCTGGAAATTATTCCCCAATCTAAATTATTTTACAAATATTTCAATTTTTTTCGTTTGAAAAAAAAAATAATGTTTTCAAAATTTACAAAATTAAATAAGAAACATTTATATTTCGAACATTTATTTTTTTATATGTCTTTTACAATTTTCTCAGTCGTAACAATTTTTGAACTTGTACATTTTTCTCTTTAAATTCAAAGTATTTGCGACATAGTTTCTTTTTTTGGAAAAATGAAATTTTCTTAAAAATTATTTTCATATCTCAAATGTTTCATTCTAAAAGAATGATTTTTTTTTAATTTTCCAAATTTTAGTAAAAAAAAAAAAAAAAAAAATAATAAATAAAGCGTAATGAAAGAAAAATAATATTTTTAAAAGAATTAAAAAAATTTTAAACTAATATACAAAAATAATAAGGATTAAAATAACTCGAACTCTATCCTAGATAATTTTTTTTATTTTCAAAATACTTTCTCGAGATACTTAATTTTCAAGTTTTCTTTTTTGGAAGACTACTCTCTGAAAATGCTTTGAGAATATTTACATTTCTTTGCTATTTTCGGAGAAACTTCACATTTCATTTTTTTATGTCTCGAATTTAATTTTTTTTCATTCACTAATTACGTTAATTATAAAATATAAATTATCCCTTGCGCGTTTTTTTGTTGCCTCTCCTAAAAAGGAAATTTTTTTTTTTTACAGTAATAACATTTTTTCAATAAATTTTTTTAAATATCAAAATAAAAAAATGTGATTTTCAATTTTCAACAATATTTACAAATTTTCTCTTTTTTTCAAATAGAGCGAAATCAAAAGATTTTCGTTAAAAACACGAAAGGGATTTATTATAAAAAATCTCTGTTATATTAAGCTCGAATTTTCAATTTTTCGTTTAAGACTAATTTCTATATATATATATATATATAATAAAAATTTTGAATTTAAAATTTACATAAGAGTTTGAATTATTAAATTTATTATATATTTGTGTAATTTAAGAGAAGGATTAAAGAAAAAAGAAAGTGCCAAAGAATATTAAGGAAAAAATAGAGTAATGTGTATTGACAAAAAAACACAGATTGAAGTGAATTAAAAATAGAAAAGTATTAAACATTTTTTTTCTTTTTTTGTAGATTAACTGCATTTTTTATGAACAAAAAAAAATGACCTTGCAAGAATTTTTTTTCATTTTTCTTTGCAAGCGAAAGTTTCAAGTTTCCTTTACAACTACAATTCATTTACGATTCTATAACATCTGCGATGTATGTACATGACAAGATTATAAATATTCTCTAATTAATTGTGCTCTAAACAGGTGTAACATCTACAACGATTTTTTTTTATTTTTTTATTTTTTGTTGGTCTCGTTTAGGATGACAATCATAAACTAAAGAAAAACATATATATATTTTTTTTTTCATCGTTTCTTGGAAGAAGAAAAAATTTGTTTCTTGAAAACAATTTTTTTTTTTTTAATTACCAAAATGCGATGGAAATTTTTCTTTTAAACAATTCTTTAGTTTGTGATTGTATCTGGTGGGTCGAACAACTTATCTACTTACAAAACCATGCGAAAATGCAGTTTTTTTTTTTCGAAGACAGTTTCATCATTGACGGATAATTTTAATTTACCACCATTTTATAAAAAAGAGAGTATTTTTATATAAATAAAATTCAGTCGTTGAAAAAAAAAATAATAATTTTCTAAATTAAAAAAGTAATAAGAAAATGAATTTCAAAAATTAAATCTAAATTTTTACGATTTAATCGTTTTAATTTACATTTTATATTTATATTTAATAATAATAATAAACAATTCGTGCTGAATTCATTAATAGTCAATGTCAATGATTTGTCATTCGAATTTTGTACAATTTTGTCAATGACTATTTTTGTGATTATGAACTTCTATCTACGAATTACTTAAGCAATTTTACACCTTTACATATATAATGATAAAGAAAAAATATTTATCTGAAAAAAATTGTCCCGACAAATTTTCGATTAAATTTCAGATAAATATTTTTTACTCAAGGTATTTGCATATTTTTTTTATTTTTATTTATTCTTAAATATTCATGTATATAATTGTTTATTAATGTATGGCATATTTTCTTGTCGGCGCTTCAGTCAAAAACGTTATTAACATTTGAACGTGATTTAATATTTCTTTGAAATTAACTTTAAAAAAGAAAAAATCCAATTCTAATTTGCAAAGTCTTTTTTTTTAAATAAAAAACATATATATACATCTCGAAAATAAAATTGTCATAATAAAATTTATCAACATTTTTTGTAAAGAGGAAAATAAATTTTTAATTTTTGCTTCAAAATTAAAATAATTTTGCTTTGTACTTGAAAGTGACTAATTCGAATAACGTTCATATTTTCACTTCAAACACCGTTTTTTTTTCGAGACTATATATATTTATATTATAGAATCCATTATATATATATTTTGTAAATATTTTATTATTTTTCGAGAAAAAATGCAGAGAGAAATTTATTTATCTAAAATTGGACCTATTTTCAGAATAGAAAGCTTTCATGTTACAATTTTGAACTTGCTTTTTCCTCTAACTTATATAAATTGATAGAAGATATTTTTTTTTTTTCCTTTTTTTTAAAAAATGGAAATTATCCTAAATACTATTTTTCTTTTAATACTATATATTCTTTTTTTTTTTTTTTTTTTTTTTTTTTGATTACAGAGATTATTTTTCCTATTTCTTATAAACGGAATTCTTCAAAATGTGTATAGAGCACATATTTGTGCGTGACGGTATTGATAATAAAAAAAAAAAATTATTATAATTTGCGCGTGACGATATTAAAAAAAAAATTCTATTTTGCTATTTATAATAAAAAAAAAATTAATTTATGAATCACTTTTTACTATTCTAATAAAACAAAAAGTTAATTCAATTGTAATATAAGAAAATGGTTTCTAAAATGAAAATAAAAATTCGCTCTGTTAATTATTGTGCATGGAAATTGTTAAAATTTAATAAAATGGAAGCTTATTTGACTGAAATGAAATTTACACGTTTATAATTCACGGTAAAATTTAAAATCTTACAAGATGAAAAGAAAAAAGGAAAACACTTTTAAATGCAATGGAAAAATTGTGCGTAAATAAAAATTTAATTGATCCTCACAGATCATTGGTCTCTTTTTAAGAATATAAAAATGTTAATTGAATTATTCTCAAATTTTATATTTAAAGTGTATTAATATTTTGAATATAATTTTTTTTTTTTTAAATATATTTGTAATCATTTTTTTTTCAATTTCATTAGAAATATTTAAATGAAATATAAAATATTTGTAAAATTTCAATTTGAGAGATTTTAAATATTTTTTTAATAAAATATTTACCAAATAATTCAATTAAAATTATATTTGATATATATAAATAAAAATCTCATTAAAATAACAGTTTTTTTTTAAAGTAAAACTTAAAGTTTGTGACTTTCTTAAAATTATTTGAAATTTTTATCGTATTTAAAAAAAAACTACGATTATAGCACAAAAAAATGTCTTTCTATAAAGTACTTAATATTAGATATATAAAAAAAAAGCTTTTAAAATATTAAACATATATCGTATATATATATATTTATATATATGTATGTAGCTTATTTCGGAAGCTTTAAAGAACATGACGCTCTGCATATTCTTGACAATTTATAGTCAAGTTACGTAAATTTATTTTTAATTTTTAATGATATTTTACTATTTTTGCGAGGTGTGTATTTCTCCAGGAATAATTCTCATTTGTTTAATGAATTAAAAGAAAAATGCAAGTTATCTCAGAAACAAAAACCAGTTTGTCTCGAAGAGAAAACTTGAATCATGAAATTAAAAAAAAATATTTCCATTGAAAGCTCACCTCGCAATTAATTATCAACGTTTTTTTTTATTTTTTTTTTAAATATTGCCATTGAAGCATAAAAAATATTTCCTTCTAAAAATCCCTTTTTGAGAAAAAATTTTATTAAATAAATAAATAAATAAAAAAAAATACTTTTAAAGCAATTTGCTTTTTTTTTTAGAGAAAAATTTAATTTTTCTTTTGATCGAAAATGGTTTTTAGAAGGAAATTTTCTTTTTGACGAATAATCGTCATATTAGAGAATCTATATTTATCCTACATTACCATTAAATGACCAACAATCGCTTAAATTGATAAATACTCTTCTCGCCTCTCAGTCGAGATTTGGATATAATTTTACTTAAGTTAATCCGGTGGTAGAAAACTGAAAAGACGAAATTGATCTCGAATGTGCGGTCTAACGTCTCCACCCTGAAAAATGGAAATTATTTATTTCCCGTTTTTTTTTTTTTTGGTGACAATAAATATTTTTTAGATATTTACCCAGTGAACGAGATTTTCGAGAAATGGTAAAAGTTTAATTAGTTCATTATCAGAACGATCTGCAAACCAACTTTCAATTGGTATTCCATTTTCCAACTGTAAAAAGAAAAAAAATATTAATAAATTTAATTTTTAATTTATAATTTGAATGAAAATGAAATATTTACTTGATAGCCAAATGCTTGTGGACTATTATCGATGATCACAGTTTTTGATAAGTCTCTTCCAAGAATAGACAAATCTTTTATGTAGTTACCATTAACGCAAACGCAATGCTCTCGAAATAGACGATATTTAATTAATTTTCTTGTTGGATCGAGAAGATTCATCAATTTATTTGCATAAACACGTTTACTGGCTGTGAATAAAATCACTTCGTATAATGATGATACGTGTTCTAAAAATTCACGAAAAAATGGCCGAGTTCTCACGAAAACGGTATACGTGACATCTTGAAATACAACTGGAAAACGAAATGCCGCATCGGAAAGTTCTTGTAAACTACAATGAACAAGTGTTTCATCCTAAAAATAAAAAAAAAAAAAATAAGAAAAATAGAAAAAATTTGAAAATTTCTTTTTTTAAATAAATTCTTACCAAATCCAAAACTAAACTAAATTCTGGACTACTTCGTGTTTTAAGAGGAAGAGCTGGACATCTTGCGCGCATTGCCGGTGTTAATGGTGGTAAATGTTTAATAAATACATAAGGATCAAATGGTTCCCAATCATCTTGTACATGTGTCACCATTGTATCAACATCGCAACTTTCAACAATTTCTTCACCACCAACCTCAATGTATTTCACATCATTATATTCACCTTCAATTTCTTCGGCATTATTGTATTTTTCATCACAATTTTCATCATTTGAATTAATTGAATAAATACTATTGCTATATTTTGAGCTCGAATACATGGTAGACTCATATTTAGAAGACTCATCATTATCAATGTTCTTTTCACTATTATTCTCATTATTATTGATAAAGGAAAACTTTGAATTTGGAAAATATCTTTCAGTTGGAAATGATGAACGATTATTGTACATTGAAGACGAATGCATTACACTGTAATATTCCTCGGAAGTTTCATTTGTTGTACACGCTGAATAATGTAGCGAAAGAATATCTGCTTGAAAAAATATTAATTAGATATTAATTAAATAATGTAATTTGATAAAAAAAAAAAAAAAGATTACCGCTGGTTCTATTTCCCTCTTCGTCCAAGAGGTACGAAAGATCGTTATGTGGTCCTTCGGTTGATGATGGCATTATTTCAGTCAATGATAGACCATTGGAAGAAATTTTATTATCCTGAGAAGAAGCGGGATTCACTGATTCTGTAATAGTTAACGGAGCTTGATAAACTGATAACGTAGAGATACTCCAATTTTCCTTTGTCTCATCTGGTTTCGATACTTTTGTTGACTTTGAAGGCTAAAAAAAAGAGAAAATTTCCTTTAATTTTCAAATCAGGAGGAATTAAAAAAAAATAAATAAACTTACAATTGTTACATCTTTAGGTGCAGAACGATGTAATGGCGTTGACGTTACCATTGATCTTTTGATACATTTTCGACGACGAGGTCCTCGCTCGCGTCTTATTGGCGCTGCTTTAGCAAAATGTAAAACGTTTTCCTTACAAGTCTGAAATAAATTAAATTATTAATAAATAAGACTAAAACCGGATTTTTTTTTATTTTTTTTATTTTACAAACCTCTTTGAGAAAATTTGGTGAACGTCGCCTCCAACGTGATAATCTACCGCAACGACTTGAAGTATTAACACGTTGACTACTATTATTGATAGCTGGTACTTTTCTCACAGCACCAGTTTGAACTCGTCTTACAGAAACTTTTGATCCTTGGACACTATTTGTCCCTAAACGTCCCCTCAGCCTTCGACTCACATGTTCACTTCTTAACCACATCTCTCTTCTATTAAATTCCCTGAAAAATTCAAATTTTTTTTTTTTATACAAAAAGAACGTATTTTTATCTCTTCTCATATTTGAAAAAAAAAATTCATACAGAGATATATGATCAGTCCAGTAAGCAAGAATACCATTCTATCTTTAGAAAATAACCATTACACATGAGTAAGGTGAATACGATACAGAAAATTCCAAAAATAGTCATATGTCGAATTGCAAAAAAAAAAAATCATCAAATTCGTTGATTTTTTAAATAAAAAAAAAAAAAATTTATTTAGTCATATTTATCAAAAAGAGATTTGTGATATTTTCAAAATATAAAAATTTAACCCCCTCCCCTAAAAAAAAAAAATTTGCGCGGGAAAATTTTTTTTGATACAAAAAAAAGGGGCGTATCAGTTTCTATACATGATGTTGTTAATATACACACAACAAACGCGAGAATTCATTTATTTGTGTTGGTTTATGAGTGTATATCGATTTGTGTGTTATGTTACGATGCTCCGCAAGCCGCTCGCTCTGAACGTTTTTCGTTATATATATATGTATATATACGACACAAGTAGGATGGAAAGAGAAGAGAATGAAAGAGAAGAGAGACTCTAGTATACTCAAGAAATAATATATAATGGAAACAAATTCGCAATGAATTGTTAATTTCAATAATAAATAATTTAAAAATGATAAATAAATAAAAAAAAAAAAATAGGTCGATTAGGTTTGGCGGTCTCCGGCGACGGCGGCCGCTATAGAATCGATCGAAAGTTTGAAAGTGCGGTGGCGGCGGCATATCAACGACCCTGAAAACCCGAAAAATTCCCGCGAAAACACAATACTCGATGAATGTAACAGAATTATGATAATTCATTAAATTACTCACCATCACTGAAAGTTTATTGGTACTATTGTCAGCCATTCAAAAACAATTTCACTCTAATAAACCATCAAAACTTTTTTATTTAAAACGACACACACTAGCGTTCACTTTTCATCCCCCCGAAAACTAAAACAAACATGGCTGCGGCGTCACTCATTGAAAACGAAGTCAAATTCAATAACATTTCGATTTACATGTTTTAATTAAAACAATTCTTTTTTATTTTCACTATTTTCAATTAACTGCTATCAATTTTAAACCCTTTTTTTAATGTCGAAAAAATAAATGTCAATTGTAGACAGTTACTTGACTCGGAAGTCGATTAATACTACGCATGCGCAATAAATTCGCCCTCTTGCGTTCACTGCAGAAAGTTTTTTGAAATTTAAAATTACTAAAAAAAAAAAGAAAAAATCCATTGTTTTATAATAAAATTACAATTAATGTTTACCTAAAAAATGTTGTGTTTACATTATACAATATTAGAACACAACAATTGAATATATTTAGCATAGATACCAAGATTAAATTTATATTATAAAAGCAATAATTTGTTTTTATATTTTAAATTATAAAATTAGTACTACATGCGCCATCTATCGGGACAATTTGAAATCTTCTACACAACTTGTACATATGATAATTCTCAGTTTCAAAAATTCAAATATTTAAATTTCAAATTCAAATTTATTATTATTCTATTTATTAAAAAAGTATTTACATTTTGGTATTTAAATAGTATTTGAATTTATTAAATAGTTAAATTAAATAAATTTATGTTTTAAAAATAACAATTTTTTTCAAATAATCAAATCAATTAGCTATTATTATTATTATTTCTATTAATTATAATTTAAAAAAATAATTATATTATATTAATACATACTTTAAAAAAGTATAAATAAAAGCAGGGAATAAAAATCAGTTAAAATTGACAAATATAAAAATATTAATTATAAATATGATAGATAATGTAAAAAGTAATTTTACATATTTGAAAATTACAAAAATATTCAGAACATGAATGTATTTATTATATTGATATAATATATATGTATACTTGATAGTTACAATTAACATTCACATGCACTGATTAATTATTTTTATATCGAAATTTTGATAATTGCGTTATATACGTTTAAAAAAATTAAAACACTCGGTTTTTGTATATTATATTAAAAATTTCTCTGAAAATTGTGATTATAATATAAAATTATTTTTAAAAAAATATATTTAAAAAAAAAACTTTGAGCATCAAATTTAAAAAACTATATTTTTTTTATTCTATTGTCACTTATAATTTTTTTTTTTTTTTTTATCAATTGAAATTATGAAAAATGTTTTGCCTTTTGGAAGAAAAGAATTTCTCAAATTTTTGTGAGACTTTTTTCAAATTTCTTGGAAGATAATTTTTGTACATTGTTTTGAATTCATTTATGTAAAAAAGTTTTTTAAAAACCAAAAGTTTCTGATATTATTTTCAGTCAAAATTTCTACTCTCCATTATTAGTGGAGAAAGAAAATTTATTTTTTTTTTTACTTTTTTTTTTTTTTTTTTAATAAAAAAAGAAAATGTACTTAATTTAAATTATCTTCGTTACTATTTTTACTAATTTCATTTGTATTTTCAACTTTAATATTCGATAATTCTTCCGTATTATTATTGTTAAATGCAGCGTCATAGGAATTTTTAATTTCCGACGATATTGTTTTTGATGTTTTAACAATTTTCAATTCTGAATTTTCAATTTTCAATATTTTCTTATTTTTATCTGAATTTGATAATTTTTTCACATAAAAATATTGAATAATTGCAATAGCAATAAGGGCAAATATTCCAAAACAAAGTAAAACTTTTTTTGACCTCCATATAAACCAATCATAATGATGACAAATTTTTCCAAAGAAAAAATAATACAATCCAACAAGACTAAACGCTGATGTACAAATTTTTGGAAATAATATACCGACGAGATAATAAATTTGTGTGTGAAAGCAAATATTTGCAAATCCAAATGAAAATGCTTCCATGATCCATAGAAAATTGTTATAATATATGCCAATCTCATTGAATTTGTTTACATTCTGTAAAAATATATTTCCCATTAATAACAATATTATCTATAAAAAAAAAAAAATTAAGATTCAATAATTAATAAAAATAAATTCTCACCACAGGTTCATTGTTTAAACTGATTTCTCTCAATATGGAACCAATGTAAACGAAGATAGATAAAATTATATATCCCACATAGGTAATATTCAATGAATCACTTTTCTTGTATATACAAAAGCTATAAAATAAAACACCGCATATTTCTCCATATCTCACTGACATTGGAAAATCATAACTAACATCAAACACTGTATTTGACAATTGTCCCGTAAATGCGGCAATAAAACAAATTAATAACATTTTCCAACTAATTAAAAGATGAAGCATTGTCTTTAATAAATTTCGAATATTAAAAAATGGTCCCTTATTTTGTGTCTGTTCAGATTCATTAAATTTTCCATTATTTGGAATACATTCGACACCACCCGATTTATATTCATTTGTTTCTTCATCTTTAATTAAAAAAAAGAAACTAAAACTAAAAATCATAAAAAAAATATTAATTCCATTAATCGTTGATTTGGAAATATTTTGAAAATACTTCATTTTAATTAAATCAAAAAAATCAAAATTATATGCAAAAAGAAATATTTCAATATTAAACCAAAAATTAGATATATAAATATTAATTTTTTCACTATTTTTATTTTCAACAAGACATTTTCCTTGTGCAACGTAACCAAGCGCTGTTCCCAAACCAAGAACTGCTGACGATATTAATAATAATTTTGTTTTTGCCCAAAGATATGTGCTGACAAAAAATATATGACACGCATAACTGGTGAGAATTGAAATTCTTGTTCCTGCCAATGTCACATACAATGGTGCCAATAAAATGCATAGCACAAGAGCAACATGAAAAATTAATCCTAATCTCTCGTCATTGAATTCATGATTGTAAAACTAAAAAAAAGAAAATCCATTTTTTATCATTAATTCTAAAAGAAAAAATAATTTTTTTTATTTAAGAAAAAATTTTTTTTAATTTTACTCACCTCTGATTGAATTCCAGAAACTGAGACATATCCCCAACTCAAAATTATGATATTCAATTTTTCTCTATTAATTTTCATGTTGTTATTTTCGAAATTTTGAAAAAAAAAATCTTTTTTTTTGATGAGTCAGCCTTTGAATTTCTATAAAAAATTAGTGTAAAATTTTTTTCTTCATTTCCCCCACCTCCCCTTGAAATCACTCACAATAAATGAGAAAAAAAATAACTTTTGAGATTTATTTGTTTACATCCAACATAATTATTTTATGTCAATAAAAATCGTTTTGATAGAAAAAAAAATATGAATGAATTTTTCACTGGGGGGGAGAGAGAAAAATGTGAACTTCATGCGCACACTGCGTCTGACCTTTTTATTGATCTATACGGGATGAACGCAGGAAATTCATATTATTTCATCTAAAATAATTTTTTGCGAAAAAAAAAAAAATTTTTCATTCACAAAAAGTATATAAAAAAATAATAATTTTTTTTTTTTGTTGAAAAAAATTAAAATTTGTTTCTAAAAATTATGAAAATTATTCCAATTATGTGTGAAATATTTTTTAATTTTACAACAAAATTTTTAAAAGAATAATAAACACCATTGCATAAGCGTTGAACATACTTTTAATTTAGAACACTCATCCAAAAAATATTTACATATGTTCCATATATAATATAATATGTATAATAATAGTAGTACTTTAAAAAACTAAATGTACGTCAGGCTAGTTTTTTTTTTCTGTATATAGTTTTAATTACAAAGAAAGAAAATGAGAGATATTACAAAATGTACACGTGGGTCGAATTTGATTTTCGTAAAATACGGGTAAATATAATATGTATAGGAAAAAAAGAGAGAAAAAAAAAAAATTAACAGATCTCTACAGCATTAAAAGAATATATATTCAGGGCAAGGGTCGAAATAATTATTATAATATTTAATAATATAATTGAATTAATAGCTTCGATGCTCTAAATAAGCGAACGAGCATCGCTGCTTTCGCAAAGGTTTATATATATATATAATTCCTAAACTGAGCTGTAATTATCGTTATTATTATCATTATAATCATTAACATTATGATTATAATCGTCATCATCATCAACAATATCAATCATCATCGTTATCATTTTCACTAATATTAATCATTATATCATAATCATTTTCACTTATTAACAAACAATGGATTACTATTTAAAAATTAGAACTTATAAATTAAATATTCCCACATACTCAGTTCACAAAACTATATTTTAATTTTTGTTCTAAAACCGGTCCCCCTCCACTATACAAATTCTGATTTTGTATATTTTCTATTATAAAATCTATTATAGTCATGTTTAAAGGAAGACAATTATCTTCCTTTTGCAAAACCAAGTTATTTTTAAAAAGCTCACAAAAAAAAATTCAATTTAAATTGTTTAAAAAAAAAAAAAAATAAATTTTCCTTTACGAATGTATTTTTTTTTACGCATTATTTATAAAACGACAATGAAATAAATATTCTATGTACAATGTAGTCGTTTTCAACTTATAATAATAATAATAATATATATATATTCAAATGCAAATTTATCAAAAAATTTGATACAACTGCAAAATAATTATCATTGAAAAAAAAAAATACGTTTTTAACGTAATTTTCATCATTATTTTTCTTGTCACGTTAAATGCAAATTACAAAAAATTCGTTTCTCTTTTGAAAACGAAAATGAATTCCCTTACAAATATAAAAAAAAAAAAAAACTGTGCTGACTAGCATTGAAAAATTCACTTGTTCGCACGAGTCTACATTGAAATTAATTAACAAACAAAAAAAAAATCAAATAATTAATCAAAAGCACAATAAGATATTTTGCAAGAGAAAACATTCCCCCCCCCCCTTTAAGAAATTAAAATAAGTTGATAACAAAAAAAATTATTTTTTTAATTATATTTTTTAAAATAAAAAATCTCTTATTTAAAATCAATTTTAGTTTCAATTGAAATAAAAAAGAATTAAATAAATAAAATAAAATATTGTCGAAAACAATTAATTGAGATTTCATTCATGTATTATAAAAAAATTGTCGTGTGACAAAAAATTGATACCGAGATCTAATTTTAAAGCATATTTTTTTTTTTTTTTTTTTTTTAATATCTTTTTGATATTTCAATTAATTTTAATTTCCCCTAATTAATCTGCGTAAATTATTAAATTATTTATGTCTGTGTGTGTATTTTTTTTTATTATACAGTATCTTAAAATAAACATATTAGTGATTCTTTTTTTTTCCTATTTAAATTCGCATGAAATTAGTCAAAAATATTATCAGTAACTTCGTAGGAGTAGGATATTTAAAAAATAGCATTTTTTTTAACCCTCTTCCCACCTCCCAAATTCCTGTTAACATGAAATAGTTAAATAGAATAATAATCGATTGTTTAAACATTTTACTTTGTACATAGTACATACATCGAAGTGATTGATTTTTTTTTCTTATTTCATTCATTATTATCTAATCGCATATAGACATATATTATTTTCTCTATATTTAAATTAAGAAATTATTCCATTGATGAAAATTAAATCTTAATCGATTAATTATTTATCATTCGATTGAAAATTTATTTAACAGTTTTTTTTTTATAATTTATAATTAAATAAAATTTTTGAAATATATTCGTTTATTTGATTACATGATTTTCGATCAATTGATAAAATTTATTAATTGAAAAATAGTTGAAAATATATATGCGATTCAATCATTATTATTATTTTTTTTTTTTTTAGACTATCGAATGATTATACAACGATAGAAGGCACTCGAGGGTCGAAAAACTTTACAAAACGGCAGTCAAAAAAGGGATATTAGATTATTAAAGTTATCAATGAAAAAATATTAACACTCGATTAAAATATTAAAAGGCACTTTTATCATAGCGAAATCAATAATTATTAAAGTAATTCGTCCAAGTACCTCTTCACAACACGAGTCGAAGCTACATTCTAAGTGACTAAAATAAATATTAATATCTTATCTCGCGAGTATCTCCAATTCTCGTAATAAGTCTAGACGTTCCATTCATTTTTCATTTGCCTTTTTCATCTTTCTTTAATTTTTATTTCTTTCCTAATTTCTTTTTTTTTCAATTTTATACACAAATAATTAATTTTCTTTAATTATTTCATTACTTCGTTTTTTTTTCTTTGCCATTTCACTAAATAATTTCCTACATTTGATCGAAATGTTTTTTTAAAAATATTATTGACACGCTTGGTTTTTATTAAAAAAAAAATAAATAAAAAAAAAATTTTTTGTGTCAGAATTCTATTCGATTATTCATTTTAATTGAATATTTTTTTTTATTAATAAATGTTGCACGTTATAATTAGTATTATGAAATTAAACATTTGTTATATTTATAAGCAATGAACACATTATATCCGTTCAGAGAAATTTTTTTTTTTTTTTTACAATATATAGTATTTATATATTTATATTTATTATTCATTACTTATATATAATAGGCATATTTTTTTATATATATAAAAGAAAACGTTAAATAGAACCGATATGGCTATTAGCCGCATTACACTATTTATCTGCAATATCACAGTACTTGCTGAAGAAAAATATATATAAATATATATTTTTTTAATCGTTATAAAAGCCGATTCGATCAAAAATGAAAATGGCAAGCAAAAATTATCTGTAAAAATATTTTTTTTCTTTCTTTCGTTTAAAAAAAAAAAAAAAAATTTTCATCAATTGTTTTCTTAACGTCTCAGTTTTATCTCTCCTTTGCAAAATTTTTCTTTTTTCTTTCAAATTTTTAATTTGAAAGTTTTCTCTTTTCAAACAATTTTTCATATTACATTAAAAAATGTCGGAAGTAGAGAAAAATCCCTCCCTTTTTTTTTTTACTTTCGATAAATATTTTCCAAATATTGAAAAATAATTTTCTATATACTTATTTGGAGAATATTCTTTTTTTTCAACAATATTTTTGAAATATTGTTTATCTAAAATTCGTCTTACAAGAATAGATTTTAAAAATAGAAAAAGCATTTTCAAAAATAATCAACAAAAAGCTAATTCTGGACTTTTTTTTCTAAAATTTTTCTTTTTATCGCGCTTTGCGTCATCTACCCTAAAAGAAATTTCATTAACATTTTTTTTATGTTTTTAAATACTAAAAAAGGGAACGAAATGAAAAAAAAGCTAAAGAATTCTGTGAATTCTTTGTTTAGTAAGATAAATTTATGCATTACGAATTATGCAGAGATTTTTCTTTCTGTTGGTCAAATAATAATGCGTGTTTTTAAAAAATCATCAGCAATTAGTATTGACCGACATTTTTCAAGTGCAACAAACGTCAACGGCTTTAAATTCTACATTATTCTCATAAGCGAACAACACGCAAGATACTCAACGTCAAATTTGTTAAAAAGAAAACAAATTTTTTTTTTTACTAATAATAATTCAGTGACAAATGGAATTAGGAACTAAATTTAAAAAAAAATTACTCAATAATCACTGGTGAGAATAATTTTTAAAAAAATTAATTAAATATTCTCAAAACAAATAAAAATTTAGAAAAATTTTCTATCAAAAGATAGAGAGAAAAAAATAAATAAGAGTCGCTTACGTGATTTCGCTTAAAATCCTAATGTCATACATAAACAGGACCCTGATTATCATTGTCGTCCAAGCTAATTCGACTTGGATATGCAGGACCTCCGCCATCATCAAAAAATCGTCTAAATGTAAATTCGAAAAATCCATGAAACGGCTTTCCATTATCCAAATGTTCATCGGATTGATTTGATTCAGATGATTCGGAATTACGTAATTTCTCAGGATCAACAGGATCAAAATTACTTGTATCAGTTGGATATTGTATTCGTGGTATATGTGGCGCAACTTGACGTCGCAATCCTTTCTCAAAATCAATACTCGAAAAGAATGGATGACTTTTTACTTCGTCGGCATTTTTACCCAATCGACGATCGGCGCCAACGCAAAGTTTTAAAATTAAATCCATACCTTCAGGTGATAAATTCGCTTGTTTTGGAATATGTAGCGTCGTCTCCCAATTGATTACCTTGAGGAAAAAAACGTTTTTTTTTATTTCAAAATTCACTTTAATTATTTATATCAATTGAATTTTGTCAAAAAAAAAAAAAAAATTATATATTCACCTTATACTGTGTTTCGGCAGGTGTATTGGCCAAAAAAGGCGGTGAACCAACCAACATTTCGTATAAAATAACACCCACACTCCACCAATCGCACAATTGTGTATAACCAGTACGTTGTAAAACCTCAGGTGCAATGTAATTTGGTGTACCAACCAAAGAATGTGCCAAACATCGTTGATGTTCCCTGTGTCTTCTTCTTTCAAGTGGTTTCGATTGAATGCATCGACATTCATTATTCCAATCTTCCGCCGGGTCCATTGAATCCTGCTTGCCATGTCCTAAAAATCACAAAAATCAATTAATTCCCACAAAAAAGTAATAAATTTAAAATAATTATTGTCCCATTTTTAATTTTTGTCTTATTTAAAAAAAAGGTGAAATTCACTTTTATCAACAATATGGAAGAAATATTTTTTTTTTTTGCAAATTATTGTAATGTTTATTTGGTCAAATTTTTATTTGACAGAATTTTTCTGAACACAATTTTTTATTTAAAAGAATTCTAATTTAAATGAATTTTAATTTATCAGAATTTTTCTTTTATGGAATTTTAAATGCAAGAATTTCCAATTTATCCAATTCTTAATTATCTTAATCTTAATTACATTCATTTAAAAAGAATTTCCGAATTTTTTATTTCGAAAAATGGAAATTTGTCTAAAAAACCTAATTATATCTCAAAAAAAAAATTTAATTGCTTTCAGTTATTATTTACAGGGTGTCCAACAAATTTAAAAAAAAAATTCAAGGAATTTTCAAGATTTTTCAAGGACCAAAATAATTTTTTTCAACGTTCACTTTCGGTGTAGAAACTAAGAAAATAGATTATAGTAAAGTAAACTTTGTTTTTTAATTTTTCTCAATAAATATGAGATATGAATAAGTAGAAATAAAAGCATAAACAATAAAATTGAAGAAAGAAAAATAGATTAGGAAATTCAATTAAAAGAATTGGAATAATTTGAAAACGAGTAAAAAAATAATAGAATTTTATAAAAAGAAATTAAATTTAAGGAAATATGTACAATGTTGAAAAAGGGGAAATCGAGAATTTTTATAAATTTTTAAACTAAAAGGAAAAATTGTTGCCAAATTGAGAATTCTTGATCAGTTTGTAAAAGTAAATACCTGAATATATTTATGAATTGGAAAAAAAATCCAAATTTGAAGGAAAAAAAAACTGTAAAAACGAAAATTTTTAATAAAAAACAATAATTTAAGATAAAAAGATTACAAAAAAAGAAATGGACATTTTTTTTTTTGCAACAACCCAGATTTTTTAGTTCTATGCAAATTATTTTCATTGTTCAACTTTGAATATTTTAAGAGATGAATATCCTTTTTAGAATATTTTTATAAAAAAATTCAAAGAATTTCAAGGTTCAAAAAAAAAATTCAAGTTCTGCTGGACAATTTACTAAATAAATAAATATTTAAAAACTCACCATTTTGTTGATAATATTTTGAATTATGCGTCCAACGAAAACCCGTGCACAAACCAAAATCGGTCAATTTAATATGTCCATCGCGATCAATAAGTATATTATCAGGTTTAATGTCACGATGAATGAAGCCCATTTTATGTACGCTTTCAACAGCACATGTTAATTCGGCAATATAAAACCTTGCCAATGATTCTTTAAATATACCAAATTTAATTAACAATGACATTAAATCACCTCCCGGTATATAATCCATAACAAAATAAAGATTATCCTTATCCTGAAATGAATAATAAAGTTTAACAACCCATTCATTATCAGCCTCGGCCAATATATCACGTTCAGCTTTAACATGCGCAACTTGATTACGATTTAATACATCTGCTTTACGTAATGTTTTCATAGCATAAAATTGATTTGTATCTAATTTTCTGACAAGTGTCACTTCACCAAATGCACCAACACCAATTGGTTTAATTTTTGTGAACATTGATTTATCCATTTTTGCACGTTTCAAACGAATATAATTTGATTCTTTTTGCGAGAGCATTTTACGCATTTGACATTGTGCCTCGGCGCTTAGGCCAATTTTTGCCATTTCTGTTTCAAGTTGTAAACGACGATAAAGACGTTGTTTATGTGATTTAAGAACATTTTCAACATGTTGCTCCATGAAAAATTTAAATGCCTGAGGTGAATAATTGCGTACTTTACAATCGCGACGTTCTTCTTCTTTTTCTTTACTCATGTGTTTGCGTTCGGGTATTGGCGATTGATGTTTAATTTTATATGAATTGTTGGTTTTTGGTTCGGCGCCTTGATGATTATTGTTACGTGTTGTGACGGACGTTGATGCTGTGGGCGGTAAAGGTGGTGTTTCAGGATGTTCGGCGGGTGAATATTTACGTTGAAGTGGTGGATGATGATTTGTAGCGACGGGCGATGAACGTGGTGCGGTGACACTTTCGGTGATTCCACCGTTGTTTGAATCGTCATTTGGTATTCCATAGGGAGGCGGTGGTAGGGGATGATGAATGCCACGTTGGGCGGCAAGGGCTTGCATTGTCGTTGCGTAACTTGGTGGCTCTGTGGTGGGAACGCAAATTGAATTTGATGCGTTTCCGTTGATAATTGGCGGATAGGCGGGTGGTTGCTGTTGTTGTTGTTGTTGTTGTTTTTGTTGAATTGAAGAGGCGTACGAAGGAGGCGGAGGTGGTGTACTGCTGGTTGATATTGGTTGAGGTGATGTGGGGGCAATTGCTGTTTGTAGAACGGGTTTTTGTACTTGGGTACTTTTCACCGATTGCATAATTATTGGCGGTTGGGTTTTTGCTTGCCTTGCGCCCCAGGCTTGAAGGGGTGTTGGTCGGGCCATTGAATTTTGTGTTGTGGGCGAGACAGTCGATACGGTGATTGGACTTGGTGATCCGGCTGACGTTGGTCCTGAGTAAATGCCCGATGAGGGACTTTTTCGATAATCCTGTTGCGATTGAGTGGGACTCTGTCGATTTTGCATTGAGGCACTGTAGGAGGGCGGTTGCACTGAGCCAGATGATGATGAGGATGGAACTATTGGATATGGCGGTGGGGGTTCAACTTGGGTGCTTGAGTTACTGTTACTCGATTGATAAATACTGAGGGCTTGAATTTGTTGTGTGAGTTGCTGTTGAACTTGGGGGCCATTTTGAACGATCATTGGTTGTCGGCCGTTGGATGTGACATTTGAACTGGCGACGGGACTTGTTCCTCTTTGGGGAGGATTGACGGAAGTTGAATTTGAACCGGAACTACCGGGTGTTGCGGGCGGTGGCCGACTTGGTACAACGGGTGCGGGGGACATTCGCTTGAGCATTTGTTGCATATTTGTGGGGACATTGGGCTGGCTATAGGGGGCATGAGGCGGTGGTGGAGGTGGCGGTGTTGAACTACATCTTGGAGGCGGTGGTGGCGGCGGTTCTCTCTCGACAAAACTACTGGGTGAATATTGCCGACTCAATTGTGGATGTGGACTCAATTCGGCGAGACGAGGACTATCGGACCTTGAACTTCCTGCACCGCTATCGAGAGCTGGACTTCCACGTTGTAGGCTCAATTCACGTTCGAGACTTGGTTTTCTGATTAGTTTTGTATTTAGTTTGCCGAGGCCATTCATTGACTCGCCCTGGGTTTGTTTCAGTAATTCAATGGCTGAATCAAGACGCCAACCAGCTATTTTCAGCGCGCGCATACCAATATCCTATGGAAGAAAAAAAAAATAATAAATTCCAAATCCAAAAAGGAAAATGAATTTTAAAAGGAAAAAAAATACCTCCGAGTAGCCCATGGCTAAAAGTTGAGCTAAGGCTTGACGTTGATCGGATTTATCAACAGCCGAACCAGATGCACCGGAAATTCCACTGAGACCTGACGCAGAACTAACTCCGCTTGTTGTTGAAAGAGTGGAAATTGTACTTGCAGCACTTGAGCCAACTTCACCGGTTCCACCTGCAATTAGAATTAAATAAATAAAAATAATTGAATATGAAATTATTTTAAAATATAAAAAAAAATCATACCAATATTTGCAAAAGGCAACAGGGAATTACGAATCTCAGCTAATGCCTTTTGATGGTATCCTGAGCCACGAGTGCTCGACTTGCTGACCACGGGCGGATTCATAGTGGCCCATGCTAGGCCCACTGGGACCTAGCTCCAATCCACCTGCGACATAAATCAAATCTAGAATACAATAAAATAATTTTTATTATCAACTTTTCAAAAAATAAGACTCGTTTATCTAATTTACTTCTTTAACGTTTTTATAAATTTAATTATAGAAAAAAAAAATAAATAAATTGTAGCATCTCGAGAAATAAATTGCTTATTTAATTTTCATAGCTAATAAAATTATCACCGATTTGATTATTCATTAAAATTCCAAATACATCTATACGATTATTTTTCTAGTTTACATAACAGAGATAATCCTTAGAAATGGAAATATCAGTTAACAATAGTGTTTTCTCAGTTTAGTAATTAAACATTAATTCACTTAATTTACATGACTATATTCTAGTTACATGTAATGAAAGCCTTTTTTTCAAATCTTATATCATATCAGCAAGAGAAAAATAAAGCTATTTCTTCTATACAAGAAATTCTATAATCACGTAAGACCGACATATTTTCTGGATGAGTAAGATCAATAATTCGGACTATTAAAATAAAGTAGGAAGCGAATGTTTTCTGTATTTTTTTTTTTTCTCGCAGGCAATAATTGGAAAATTCAATTTATCAAACTCAATATTAATATTCTTCTCGAGATTTTTTCATTTAAATGGTGTGCAATTTTTGTTTTTCGCGAATTGCAACACATTCTTTTTATTAATTTAATACTCTTAAAATATTTTAAATATTTCGTGAATTAAAACAAACAAAATTTTTCTATAATAATAATCATAAATTAAATTATATAGATAAAAATATAAAAAAAATACTTGAAATTGTTTTAAAAAGTAAATTGAAAAAAAAAACAAATATATCCGATAATTATAGTAATATAGAGAACTGTCTGAGGAAAACAATTGTAACACGTAACAATTTTAACCATAACTGACAATTAATTGGAGTTAAATGACAAAAATAAAACTAAAATAACAAAAAGACAGAAAGTCATTCCTTTTTTCGCACATACGAATATTTAAACATCGATTGCACTTTACTCTCTGTTTAATAAACATGTTTGTTAACATTAATCAAATGTGAAAAATAATAAAATATTTTTATTTTTCAAAAAAAAAAAAATTATTATGTAAACTAAATGCAATTTGTTTTCATCTTAAACTTATCACAAGAAATAAAATCGTTATGAAATGTTGACAGAATATAAAAATAAATTGTCAAATATCAAAACAAAAACATGCAAAATATAAAAAAATGTATAGTTTTTTTTTAAAAATATTTTCAGTCATTAAATAAAATGAAATTACCTTCGGAATTTTACGACGAACAATGTTTCCACTATCAGTGCATTATTGAAATAATTGTTTTATTTTCCAAATTTTGAAATGATAGTTTTCAAAACATATATCCCACAAGGTTGATAAAATCGTCAAAGGCACAATCAGTGGAAAATAATTTAAAAGTCACTGACACGACACAAAAGTGGTGACATTCTGGACCGAAGAAACTGCAATTTCCAAGACACATAAACATAATTTCACGCAATACTTCTTTTTTATTCAATTAATTAATTTTTATATTGAACATTGTTTTTCCAATGAAATTGCGATTAAAAAAGAAAAAAGTGGGGAAAAACAACAGCTTTTTGAGCACACACAAAATCCAAGAGACACTTTTCTGCAACCTTGTGCAAATTTTCGAGGCAACATATACTAAATTCTAACCTTGATTTTATGACAGATGTATAAAATTACTTTTCATCCATCAATAATTATAATCTTTGATAATCCAATAAATTCTTGAGGGTGCAGCTGGACTCAACGTCGAGGAATTTCTTGATCCAAGAAAGCAACGGTGATGCCAGTGTATGGATCGCGAACATATTACCTTCTTACTTTTTTATCAAGTTCCCACTTTCGCAAAGAGATTTTCACTAAATTATAAAATCACTATTTTTCAATTATTTCAAATAATTCAATTGCAGATTCCCGGTCACGATTGCACGAGCGACAACAAAGAAAGATACAGCCGTAAATTACTAAGTAACTGGCAGCCATTTTGAAGTGCCGACTTGACACTCTTTTTCGTAATTTACGGTCCCCACCGAATTGCAAAGTATGGAATTTCACGAATTTCTCTTTATTACGTAATAAATCACTTTAATCAGTAAAATATCGTTTTTTCATAATCTATTCTTGTAAAAATTTGACAAAAAACGAAAATATTTCATTAAATTTTCAAGGTGAAAGAAAGCGGGAAATTCAAATGGTTGTGTATTATTTTTTACTTATATCATTTTATGTAAAGTAATTTTAAATTAAATTAATAATTTCGATATAGAAAATAATTTTTAAAATATTTTCAAATATTTTTAACTTTTCAAAAGTATTGAAAAGTATTTGTTAAATGAAAATAATGAATTTTATAAATTAGTATTTAAATAATGTTAATGTCAATATCTATTTTATCGATATTTTTCCATGACATTGCTCTGTTTTATCGACGGCTCTGGAATGCATTTTCATGAAAATGGAAAATTGCATTCACTTGCAGAAAAGTGCATTTGCATTTGGTCTGAATAAAGTGGATTTAGGAACCCGACATTCCATTCGAGATTTTTTATATCAAGAGAAGTTTACTTGCTAAACGCATGCTGTTAATTTTTTTTTTATTCCAAGGAAGAGGTTTTCTCAGACTTCAGAGGTCATGTGGAATCTTTCAACGTGTGTATAACTATATATAAATATATATATATATATATATATGCGTATTATTCGTACTTAACCTATAAAACGTTTCTTTTCGCACTTTTTACATAATGATAAATTAATTAAGTTTGTATTTAAAATTATTTATTAATTTTAACACAAAATGGAATTTACAATTTTATAGAAACATTGTTTTTTATTGTATTATTATTTTTTATGTTAGAAAAATTAATTTCAAATGTGTCAAAACGTGACAGGTTTTTAAAAAAATTTTTTTTGTTTATTAATTATAGGTAAAATAATTTATATTACCTAAATTTATTTACATTAATATATAAATATTTAGAAGTATGAAATAAAAGAAATTTAATTTTACAGTAAAATAATTTGTATTGTAAAACAGTGAAGTAAAAAAATGGGTAATACAATAAGAAAAGTTTATTTTAATGCGACGAGGCCGATTCGAAATTTTAATATAGAACGACGAGCACATAAATTTATTTCTAAGGAAAAACCAACTCCTGCACCTCAATATGAATCGACATTAAAGCAAATTGAAGTATCCAAACAATGTAAGTCAAATTGTAAAATAATTATAAAAGGAAAATCTAATGAAAAAAAAGAAGATTTAATTTTTTCTGTGAAATTTCAGATGATCCTGATTTTATGGATAAACAAAAATTAAAAGATAAACAATTGGATAAATATTTAAAAGACATTTATGTAACTTCCAAAGATCCAATTAAAAAGGTTTTTTTTTTGTTTCATTTATTAAATCATTTTTTTTTAGATAATTATAATTTTTCGTCTTTTAAATATTTTATATATTAAATATATAATATTTTTAGTTGGATTCAAGCAATAAAGCAGATCCATTAAAATCTTTGCCAAAGAATAGAAAAACATTTGAATTCGAAGACATGAATTATTATTATGCTACTAATGTAAAAGAAGGGAAATGTTCTTTACAACAATTACAAATTTTTCTCGCAGATCATGCGAATGATAAGAAAAAATATACTGCTGCTTATATTGCCGATCAGTATTTATTAGATAAAAAAATTGTAGGTGAGTATTAAAAATTTTTGAATTTAACAAAGTTAATTATTAAAATTTTGTTTAATTTTAATTATTATAATTTATTTATTTATTTTTTTTTTTTTTGCAGAAAATGTTTTGAAACACTACAATTTCTTTAAAATAAATTTAAAGAAAGAGAAAGACAGTAAACGACAATTTGATCCTTTCTTTACTATCAGCGATGAAACTGATAATAAAGATGAAAAAAAAAAATTATCGTGAATGTATTATAAATTTTGTCAAAAAAAAAAAAAAATTTCTTATATTTATAGATAAATAAAATAGTATGAAAATGAAATTGAATAAATTTTGAAATTTTATATTATGTCTACTTTTTTAATATTCAAATTTTCTTATTTTTAATTAATATTTTGTTTATTGTACTTTAAAATTGCATTGCGGATTTTTTAAACAAAAGATATTTATTACTTCTCTAGATATTTATTATTTATTTAACGTTCATATAAATATTATTTCACTAATAAAATAATTAATGGACAAAATGATTTGTATTTAAAAAAAAAAATGAAAGTTTCTTTTTGATAAAAATACCACAACCTTGACCAAATATGGTCACAAAATGAAGAATTGACTCACTTTCATAAAATTGTTGCTCTTTGAATGAAATTAAATAGAAAAGAAATTAAATAATTAAAAAAAAAATGAGATTTTTAAATATAATTTTAAATTTCGAAAAAAAAGAATTTTTCCGAAATTGTTATAAACATTACCGGTATTTATTTTGGATAAATAATAATTTGGGGGAAAAAATATTGTCCAATGTACGTAGCCAATGAATTTTCAGCTATAGAAAGAAACCAATCGTAAAGCAGATTAGAAATGGACAAGCCGTGATCTTCCATTGTTATTATTATTCAGGGCTTTTCTGTCTTGCTTTATACACGCGGCTCTTCACTGATTTCATTAATTTTTTGACGCTTTTTTTCCATTTAATTAAACGTAATTATTAGTGTAATCAAATAATTATAAATATGTCGACTATTGCAAGTCCTTTAGTGGTTGGAGGTGTTCGACAATCTGGAGCTCCGGTTAGAACTCAAAATGGTAAGAGTTTATAACCTCTTTTTCTTTGATGTTAATTTTTTTTTTTTAATTATACTTTTTTCTTGTAAATTATAAAAAATAGAAATTTCAGTACAAGTATTGTATTAATTTATTATTTGCTGTAATTGAAAAAATTATTTCATTAGTTAAGGACAAATTTTACAGTGTAGAAAATTTAGGCGTTCCAAATAAACGTGATGTTGGTTTTAAACAATTAATTTTTTTTTTTAATAAATTCTCTTTTAAATTTAAAAAACAAATTTAAAATTCTTTTTTAAGTTATGGCCTGTTCGGCAATTTCCAACATTGTGAAGAGTTCCTTGGGACCCGTAGGACTCGACAAAATGATGGTTGACGATATTGGTGTAAGTGAATTAATTTTTTAGTAAAATTTTTATCGCTGTGTCTATTTAGCCCGCAAACGGGAGGAATAGTGAAGATAGATTATTTAGCCCGCTTATTTTAAAAAAATCACCAAAATGAGAACTATTTATTTTGCAGTAAGTATTTAAAATATTTTTTTATTTTTCTTATTTATTTATTCTAGAATAATAAAATATATTTTATTATATAAAATGTATATTAAGTGCAATTAAAAATAAGGCAATTGTTTGGTAGGGTTTGTATGTATTTAATTTAATTAATTATTTATATTAATTAAAAGTGTGGTAAAGAAACAATTTTTTGTTTAAACCAAATTAATTGTAAGAAAACTGTTTAATTACAGGTATATTTATTTTCTAATAAATTATTAGAAAATAGTTCATGGAGGGTTGAAAATAAATAAATTTCATTGATGGGAATTAGAATCCTTAACTTTTATTTTTTTCCGTTAAATCCACGTTGGTAATTTCAGTTTTATAAAAATGTTCCAAAACCATACTTTTTTTGTTGACGTTAAATTTCAAAAAATCATAACTTATTTCATTTTCATCAAATAAAAAAAAATACGTATTTTCTTATTTTTCATATAGATTTCGAAAAAAAATGATTTGGACAAAAAAAAATTTTGAATGAAAATTTACCGTGTAATGCCCCATACGTATTTATAAAATACAAGAATTTTAATTGTATTTCAAAAATTAATTTTTATTTGTAAATTTAAAGTTTCAATAGAAAACAATTTTATAAACTATTTTCTAATAATTTATTAGAAAATAAATATACCTGTAATTAAACAGTTTTCTTACAATAAATTTGGTTTAAACAGAAAATTGTTTTTTTACCACAATTTTAATTAAATTAAATATATAAACAACCCTACCAAAACAATTCATTATGGAGCAAATAAACTTTGTATTAAATAAATAAAATATATAATAAACGATTGCCTTATTTTTAATTGCATTTAATATACATTTTATATAATAAAATATTTTTTATTATTCTAGAATAAATAAATAAGAAAATTAAAAAAATATTTTACATACTTACTGCAAAATAAATAGTTCTCATTTTGGTGATTTTTTTAAAATAAGCGGGCTAAATAGTCAAAATATTGAATTTCTCCCGCTAGCGGGCTAAATAATCTATCGCCACTATTCATCCCGTTAGCAGGCTAAATAGACACAGCGAAATTTTATTATATTTTTAAAAATTTCTTTCTCGTAATTTAATAATAATTTTAGGATGTTACTGTGACAAATGATGGAGCAACAATTTTACGTCTTTTGGATGTCGAACATCCGGCAGCTCGTGTTTTAGTTGAACTTGCTCAGCTTCAAGACGAAGAAGTTGGAGATGGCACAACATCCGTTGTAAGTATTTTTAGTTTACGATATTTTAAATTGCATCGTAATTAGGTGCATTTATTCTAATTTAAATTTTTCGCAGGTTATTATTGCGGCTGAATTATTGAAAAACGCTGACGAGCTCGTGAAACAAAAAATTCATCCCACGTCTGTTATCAGTGGTTACAGATTAGCTTGCAAGTGAGAATAAAATTTAAAAGTCGAAATTTTATTTAATTCAAAAACATTGATTTTGGTTTTTCTTTCTTTTTTTTCTAGAGAAGCTTGTAAGTATATTATGGAACATTTGACAATTAGTTCTGACGAGCTTGGTAGAGAATGTCTCGTAAATGTTGCAAAAACTTCCATGTCCAGCAAAATCATCGGAGCGTATCCTTTTTTTTTCTCAAAATTATGAAATAGTTTTAAAAATAAAAATTTCTTTTTTTATTTTTCCTTAATTTTAAAATAGAGATGCAAGCTTTTTTGGCAATATGGTTGTAGATGCGGCGAATGCTGTGAAAATTAATGACGGCAAAGGTGGACATATTTATCCAATAAAAGCAGTTAATGTATTAAAGGCACATGGTAAAAGTGTTCGGGAATCATTATTTGTTAATGGTTATGCGTTAAATTGTACTGTTGCATCGCAGGCAATGCCGAAAAAAATTGTTAATGCAAAAATTGCATGCTTGGACTTTGGTTTGCAAAAATCTAAAATGAAATTGGGAGTGGAAGTTCTTATAACTGATCCCGAAAAATTGGAAGCAGTTCGTCAACGTGAAATGGATATGACAAAGGAACGTGTGCAAAAAATTATTAACGCAGGAGCAAATGTCGTTCTTTTGAGCGGTGGAATTGATGATCTTTGTCTCAAGGTAAGATAAAAAGAAAAAATTCATTTAAAATTAATAAATTTATTTGCAATTTTTATGTTAAATAGTATTTCGTGGAAGCGGGTGCAATTGCAGTGAGACGTTGCAAAAAAGCCGATTTAAAACGAATTGCAAAAGCAACTGGAGCTCTATTTTTAACATCGTTGACAAATATGGAGGGTGAAGAAAGTTTTGAACCAAGTTTCCTCGGTGAAGCCGCTGAAGTTGTTCAGGAATTGGTTTGCGATGACGAACTCATTCTCGTTAAGGGGTAAAATTTAAAATTTTTATCTTTTAATTATTTTTATTCAATTATTTAAAACAAAAAAATAAAATTCTAGACCAAAAGCAAGAACAGCGGCTTCAATTATTTTGCGTGGACCAAATGATTTCTATTGTGACGAAATGGAAAGATCCGTTCACGATGCATTGTGCGTTGTTAAACGTGTTATGGAAAGTAAGAATGTTGTTGCCGGTGGTGGTTGCGTCGAAGCAGCACTTTCAATTTATTTAGAAAACTTTGCAACTTCTTTGGTAATTACGTTTTATTTCAAAAAAAGCAATTTTTTTTTGGAAAAATGGAAAGTAATTGAAATTTTTATTGCAGAGTTCAAGGGAGCAACTTGCAATTGCTGAATTTGCACGTTCATTGCTTGTCATTCCAAAAACATTGTCAGTAAACGCAGCTCAGGACGCAACTGATCTTGTCGCTAAATTGCGAGCTTATCACAATTCCAGTCAAACAAAAGTCGATCACGCTCATCTTAAATGGTTGAAAAGAAAAATTACTTCTTTCTTTTTTTGCTAAAAATTTTGTAATTTAGTTAATTAAAATTTTTCCCTTTTCAGGATTGGACTCGATTTGGTGGAAGGCACTGTGAGAGATAATAAAAAAGCCGGTGTATTTGAGCCGGCAATATCAAAAATAAAATCCCTCAAATTTGCAACTGAAGCGGCAATTACAATTCTAAGAATTGACGATATGATCAAACTTGATCCCGATCGTTCAAAAGATAAATCCTATCACGATGCAATGGCCGCTGGAGAATTAGATGATTGAGTCTAAATTTTTTTTTTTATCCGTTCATTTATATTCCGAAAAAAAGCAACTATTTTTTAAGAATCAAGTGATTTTGTTTTTATTACGAGAAAGCAATTTGACACTTTCATAACATAATTTATACTCATCGAAAAAAAACAACAATTTTTGCACTCATTTCTTTTTTGCCTGCTTTGAGAATAAAAATGTAATAATCGATTTTTTTTTCTAATCGGCAAATAAAGCTTTCTATTCTAAAAACAAAAAATTAATTACTTCATTTTCTTTAAATACTTTTTTTTAAAACAAAAAAAATTCTATTAGCAATTTTTTTTTTAAGGAAATGATTTGGAAAAAAATTAACAACATGTCTTTTTTTTCCTCGTGATTTTATCGATATGTTTCATAATATATTACAATTAATGATTTTTTAAAAATTATTTTCTATAACAAAACTATTAGATACATATGAAACTTCAAGCATATAGTCATATAGTTCTCAAATACCAATAAAAGTATGCCTCTATGCAACGTAATATTTTATACAAACTATTAATCGTGTATCTATCACTAAAGAGTTTTTTTTTTCATCTAGAATACGTATCACTTCCGATCATCTAACAATATATTTTTTTTTTCACAAGTTATTTGAATTCTACAATTATTTTTTTTCCACATTTGACAAATTAAAAAAGAAAATCCCAACAATTCGTAAAAAATTTGTTTTTTTTTTTATTTCTGATTTTTTTCCCCCTTTTATTAAACTATAATAAACTAATCACCGCAAAATAGAAGAAATAATATTAACTATAAGGAAAATTTACAGTTTTTTTTTTCATTATTAACAGACTACAAGTTAAACTCGTGAATTTTAACTAAATTTCATCTAAATCGAAATATACATAAATATTAAAAAGATGTGGAGTTAAACTTGTAGTCAAAGAAAATTTGAAAATTCTCCTCATATATATATATATAGAATTAGAAAAAAATTCGCTATGAAGAATAAAATTAAAAAAAATAGTTAACAGAGAAAAATCGCGTATAATAAAAGAAGTGATATATATTCAATATTGTTAATTCTAAATATATATTTATATTATGTGTATAAATCCAAAGGCATCTTCGAAAGGAATTCATTTTTTTTTTCTTTTTTTTTGTGTAAATCCCGTACAAAGTGAAAGAAATTAGACGCATCTCTTTTTTTTCATAAAAATTGATCCTAGAATCATTTACGAAATTTTTACAAAAAAAAAAGCATCAATTTTCATTGATTGAAAGCCAAAAATTTCAATATTGAGATACGTGTAATTTTTTTTTTTTTAAATATGAAATCCGGATGAAATATCGTCAATATGAGATCCTCGCCGGAACTATGAAATAAATATTCAAGATCTATTGATAATAATAACATATTAAAATAATTTAGTTCAAAGAAAACATTTCCTCTAACGACGATTCATATGAAACAAACATTTTACCGTTTTCGTATTATTTTGAAATTGGAATAATTGATTTTCAAATTTTTTAAATTTCCAAAAATAATTATTTTATGAAGTTAATTTAAAAAATATATTTTTAAAACTAGAATTATTTGAGTTTCAAAAACATTTTTTTTTTTTAATTTTATCACATCCACAAAATAAAAAATTGTAAATTGTAAAAAAAAATTTTTTTCAATTATTCCACACTTAAAATAATGAAAAATAGAAAAAATCTTTCGATTCATATGTTTTCTTTTCTTTTTCGTTAGTATAAAAAGAAATAATAAATCAAACCAGTGACGACTAATATTTTTGTATTACTTTTAAAGAACATTTTGTGCTCTCAAATCTTTTTTTTTTTGCACAAAAAATTTAATTTGAAATTAGATTTTAATCTAATTTAACAAAAGAAATAAATATCTCTAAGTTATTTTTTTTTCTTCAAAATTTGTAAATAATACAAAAATATTTAGTTGTGACGTGATTAAATCCTCGCCAGTGCTTACGATTCAATAATAAGAATAATAGTAATAAGTAAATATGTAATAGTTCCATTTTTCTATTTCCGCGATTAGTTTGGTTTTTTTTTCTTTTTTTCGATAAAAAATAAAGATTTGTATATGTTTTTTTTACTTCTTTAAAGCGCTGGATTCTCAAATTTCGGTCCTTTGGTTACAACAATATCCGCATAAGAATATTCTTGTGATAATTCTAACACTTGAAATTTCTTTAGGACTAAAAGTGTATAGAATTTCTGTGCAGCCTAGAAAAGAAAAAAAAATGTGTTTTTTTTTATTTAATTCATAAGAAAAATTAATTTTATAATTTAAAAACGAAAAAAAATACCTGTTTTCGATTATTTTTATATGCCATTTCAGCGAGTGTTAATCTGTCTTTGGTGTCCAATTTATTTTTTATTACATGATACATGTGCGCTGCTCTCTTATTGAGAACTCGTTCCTCAAATTGTTCATATGTTTCGTCCACTTGCTGTTCTTCTTGCTGAAAATTAAAAAAAAATTATTATATATTATATTAAATATGAAAAAAATTGATTGGAAGGAATATTGCAAAAAGATAAAAAGAATTTTTTTAACGAAATAATTTACCGGTCCAACAGAAGGTGGAAATTCATAATCGTCTTGATTCCAAGGTGTTGCGGGACCACCTCTTTCGGAAATAGCACCAGGTGTGTGCGCCGGAGGATGATTTTCATCGTATCCTATATAAGAAACTGGAGGCTGAGTCTGTCAAAAAATTAAACAAATAGCAAATAGATAATTTAATAAAATAAGCCCTGTCGAAAAAAGGTATGGTACTTCTTAGAATAAAAAAAAAAAAAAATCGTAATAAAAAAATACATACCTGATCGTATCCCATATTCTCCATTTGTGGTAAATGTGACATATCGGGTAATTGTTCAAGTTCCTGCAATTGACTTGTTATTGGCTCAGGAATTGTTGGTATTTGTGGTAAATGATCCATTGATGATCCATGATGAATAGGTGTTTGCGATGATTGTAATTGTTGTTCGTCTTGTTGTGTAATTGGTGGTTCATCATTTGTACCAAGTAGCGTACTAACGTCATTTGCCGGTATTTGTGGAATATCCATACTTAAAGCAGCTGGTACTTCCGGTATTGGTTCAATAATTTCCGATTGCTCCACAGAGCTCATCATTCCCGATATATCGGGAATCGATGGCTCTTGGGGCAATGATATTTCCGCTGGCATTGGCGTTGGTGCCATTGGCGTTTGGGGAATTAAACTTGCCTGATCCACGGCATCGCCTCCTATCGACAATTGTCCAAAGTCTTCCGATTGTCTTATCTGCGAGAAAATTGCAAAAAAAAAGAATACCGATTAGAAAAAATTGAAAATAGTTCTTTATTGAAAGAAAATATCGAACCTCTTCGTCAGCAGGTGCCTTGCGCTTGCGACCAGATCGTCTACCCAAGAAACTCTGCTCGAATGGTGCTTCCGGTTCTCCAGCCTCTCTCATTTGTTCCAAAGGCATTGCGTCCTCCTCACCTCCAATTCTACCAAAGTCCTCATGATCGTACGATTTACTTGTCAAATGTCGTTGATAATTCTAAGAAATGGAAAAAATTTCGTTATCACACATTTCAAATTTTTGAAAAGGAAAACTAAAATATTCACGAACCTTGAATAATACTCGTGCAGGTATTGGTCTTCCTGGTAGAGCGAATAATTTTTCAACGCCACCAGTTTCTTTCCAGTGCATTAATCTCTTTGTCGGCGGTGCAAGGTCCAATGTTGTTACAATATCACTTGTATCAGATAATTGTGCCTTCATTTCCTCACCGGAGATATTTTTCACTTCGTCGACAATTAATTTACGCTTACGTTTTGCTTTCGTGAAACCTTTTTGGGAATTTTTTAAAATTAAATTTCGAATAATTACTAAAAATCATTATTAAATAGTGAAAAAAAAATATATATTTGCTTTTATTTACCCTTGAGAGCAGAGGCATCAACAGGAGCGAGAGCAAAACTTTCCTCCTCGTCATGAAGTAATGTTGTTTGTTCTTGTACAGGTGGTGGAATATCTTCAATGGAATCCATTGCGTGATCTTCAGCGATCGATGGAGGTGCGGGAGTAAATCGACGACTAGCGACACTCGCTCTACCACCAAGATCATCGCTTCCAATTGCTGGAGTTGCTGCCCTTGAACCATCACTGCTGCTTGACGGTAAATTAATTTAATTAAAAAAAAAATATTGAAAAATTAATTTAATATTGAATTTACCTCATTCCGCCCATTGGCGATGGTGCACCACCACCAAAATGATCGCCCATATCATCATCATCAGAATCGTCGTGAATTGATGCTGCAGTCACCGCTGCGGCAGACACAGCTTCCTGTTGATCGGTTATTGAACTTACTTCAGGTACAGGTACTTCTCCCATTGGCGCTTCATCAAAAAGACCTCCTTCAAATAATCCACCAGCTAAAAAATAAAATTGATTATAAATTATACTTTAATGGAAAATTAATTTTGTTTTTTTCATTTCTTCTTCTTAACGCTTTTAAAGAAAAATTTTAAAGAGTAGAAATATTTTTTTTAAAAAAATATCTCACAAATTATATCCTGTCCAAGATGACCACCAAATCCATCGTCACGTATTGGTGTATCAATATCCATTGGTTGAGCTGTTGTCGATGTTCCAGCCACTGGTTCCTTCTCCTTTTGCTCTAAACTTGGTTCCATTCCAGGTTCGCTGAATAACATGTGTCCCTAAAAATTATATTAAATTATAAATCAATCGACTTTAAAATAGAAAAATAAATCGATTTTTTATTTTAACAAAATTTTAATTACCTGATCAAGCGATGGCTCCATACTTGCAGCGTGACGAAGTAATTCCGGTGGTTCCGCGTCAAAACTCATATCACCAAATCCTTGATCATGAGTCCCTAACGAAAGACTTCCATAATCCTCTCTCATTGTTATTTCCTCTGCTCTCGATTGATTTAAACTGAATTGTGCCTCTATATCAACGTCCCTTTAGAAAGAAAACAAAAATTTTTTTTTTAATTCATTTTTCTGTATTATTATTTCAAAAAAAAGTTTTTTTTTCAATTCATTAAAAAGGCTTTTGATTATTAAAGAAAATTTGTTATTTTTACTTTAATTCCGGCATTGGAGTATCGAAATCGTGAAAAACTTCCGGTAATGTAATTGCATTGACAGCAGCTTCACGATGTTCTTCAGGTAAATCAACCATTCCTGGTCTAAATGCCATTTTAATTTTGACAAATGCTTCATTACAATCGGCCAATAAATATTTTGCTTTTCGCGAATAAATTCGCACCACACCAAGTAACAAATGACCAGATGTTCGAAGTGCCATTTTTACCTGTTGAAAAATAATTTTTTTTTCAATTTTATAAACATCAGACATTAAAAAATTAATAACAAAAACAATATTTCAATCTCTAAATTCTATATTATTTAAACGCTTTAAATGTATAATATTCAAATTCATACCTTGTGATACAATAAAAAAAAAAACAAACAAAGAAACAAAATGTAAATAAAGAAATTTACCGTTGAAAACAAAAAAGTAACATTCTTTTCAATAAGAAAAAATACAATATTTACCTTTGGCTGAAGAATTCCGTCAACAGATTTCTCAATATTTGTCTCAAAAACGTGAGCCTTGGTCAATTTTTTGTCCCAATGAGCAGCGAGCCAAATTCGGGCCAAAGGGCCCTTTTTGGCCAGGACAAAGTGTGCGTAAAACATTTTTCTTCCTTTTTAAAACTCTACGAAAGAATAATTCATTTTAACATATAGGTTGACAGTTTATGAAAAAAAAAGTAAAACATCTTTTTTTTTTTTTGTTTATAAAAACAAAAAACACATAACAGAGAAATAAAAAAAAAAAGAACGGGAAATTTGTTAAGAAAAGTTTACACAAATTTTTTTCTTTTTGTTTTTCAACTAAAACACATTTAATTTTAATAATTCAATTTCTAAACATCAATATGTTTATATGTCATCATAAAAAACTTGTTGTCAACAGCAGTTAAGATGGCGTCACTCCCTAAAAATTTTTGGCGGTTTGGAAAAAGATGAAAGAAAATGATGATTTTTTCACAAGAAACACTTACTTTTCTAAACACTTAATTTATTCACGTTAATCCACAGCTTTTCGGTGTCTCATTTTCATCAATGAAATTGCCGTTATTTTGACAAAATTATCAACAAAAAAAAATGTAAACTCACAAACACTCACTTGGGGGGGTCCGCCGCGTCTTTAACTGTTTGCGCGTTCCTAAACACATCAAAAAATAACCTCATCGCCATCTTGAATTTTCCATCAATTTTCCATTATTTGAATTTGTCCATATTTCAAATCAATGGAATTTTGTGGGAAAATAATATAAAAGTAAAAGAGAAAAATTGCTTTTAGAAAAAAAAATAACATTAACAATTGTTTAAAAAGAAAATTAGATTTTTTACACAAAAACAAAGTCAGATAAGAAGAAAAAAAATAATTTATAGTTTACCGGTCAAATGTTGCATTCTGATTGGTTGCGAAAATATAGGTTAGAAATCCCAACAATTTGGAAAGTCGCCAAATTGAAACTGAATCTGAAATTCCAATCATTTTATTTATTTTGTTTTGCAATTGTTAAAATTCTAGGCTAATTAATTGCCAGGTGAAATAAGAATTAATAAAATAAAAAAAAAATGATTATTCTTAATTTAATCCCATTGTCGAAAAATTGTTTTAAAGGAGAAAGTTTCTGGGAGTGGAAAACATGATAGAGAGAAATTGTATTGATTTCCCAGAGATAGAGAAATTTTACAATTGGTTCAGATTACATCCTTTAATTAAAAGTTTAAAAAAAAAAATTGCAAAAATTAAAAATAAAAACATATTTTGAAAATATAATTGAATTTTCAAAGTTAAATATCTCGTGACTTTGGAATAAGTGTTTTTCATTGGTCTCTATCTCCAGATAATGTGGTCTTTTGAAAACTATTTTCCAGGCTAAAGACGTCATTTATTGCTCCATCATCATACGAGCACAATCTATTTGACCTTTAGAACTTCAATCTCTTTCTGTTCTCATTTTGAAGGCTAGGAAAAAGAATATTTAAAAATGGTAAGTTTTTTTTTAAAAAAGAGTTTTTCATTTGTTTTTTTTTTTAATTATTTTAGGAGTAAATTATAGAGATTTTGTTTTGTTTTTCAAGTTAACCTAAGAATGATATAACCTTGTTCTATAATTGATGATTTTTTTCTATAATTGATTTGATGGCGTTAATTAACACAGAGCTTTCATTTACAGCCTTGTGTAAAATTTATTATTAACATTGTAATCATGTTTTTTTTTATTCTTTTTTGCTTTGAAATGAAAAAACGTGTTTTGGGCGTAATAATTGAAATTTTATTGGACTTATTTTAATTAAAAAGAAATATTTTTGAAATTCTTTTGATTACTCTTATGATTTAATTATATTTTCATTAATTTCATTCAATAATAATTTTCATTGATTTAGGAAAATTGTTTTAATTTAATGAAAATTTAGCAACAATTGATATTTTACTAATAATTATAATAATACTTGAATAATTTAAAAAATAAAAATTTCTCTTTGAAAAAAAAAAAATAGTCGGAACCAATAAATGTCGTTGTCACTGGAGCTGCAGGTCAAATTGCCTATTCTTTGTTGTATCAATTGGCAGCTGGTACAGTATTTGGACCAAATCAACCGATTAATTTACGTTTATTGGACATTCCACCGATGATGGAAGTTTTAAAGGGCGTTGTCATGGAATTAGAGGATTTGGCACTTCCTCTCTTAAGAGGTAATAAATGAAAAGCAAAAAAAACAAAAAAATGCAAATATAAAAATTTTTTCTTTTCTTTTTATAAGACGTTCTACCAACTGCTGAGCCAGCTGAAGCATTTAAGGATGCAGCGGCTGCATTTTTAGTTGGTGCAATGCCACGTAAACAAGGAATGGAACGCAAAGATCTTTTATCAGCGAATGTGAAAATATTTAAAGTTCAAGGCGAAGCTCTCGATCAATTTGCCCGTAAGGATGTTAAAGTTTTAGTTGTTGGCAATCCAGCAAATACAAATGCATTAATTTGTTCACATTATGCACCATCAATTCCTAAGGAAAATTTCACGGCTATGACAAGATTAGATCAAAATCGTGCACAAGCTGCATTGGCAGCACGTCTTGGTGTTCAGGTAAAAATGAAGAAATTTAGCAAAAAAAAAAATTTTTTTCTATTATATATATTTTTTTTTTAGGTGGATAGTGTGCAAAATGTGATTATTTGGGGTAATCACAGTTCAACACAATATCCAGATGCAGCGCATGCAACAGTTAATAAAAAATCAGTGTTGGAAGCAGTAAATGACAATGATTGGTTGAATGGAAATTTTTTGGAAACAATTCAAAAGCGAGGTGCTGCCGTTATAGCGGCACGAAAAATGTCATCAGCAATGTCGGCAGCTAAAGCAGCTGGTGATCATATGCGTGATTGGTGGTTAGGAACAAAACCTGGACAATGGGTCAGTATGGGAGTTGTTTCCGATGGAAGCTATGGAATTCCTAAGGATATTGTTTTCTCCTTTCCCGTTACTATTGAAAATAAACAATTTAAAATAGTTCAGGTAAATAGAAAATTGAAAATTATAAAAAAAAATATTTATTTCCATTATAACTATTTATTTTCCTTGACAGAATTTATCGATTAATGATTTTGCCAAAATGAAACTTGATGCAACATCAAAAGAATTACAGGAGGAACGCGCTGAAGCAAATGATGTTTTACAAAAGTGACTAGATAATTCCATGAAAACATCATCGACAATATCCAAGTTATAAAAAAAAAATATTACAAGTTTAATGTAAAAAAAAAAAATGGTTACAAATTTCAGTAGGTCTATCGATTGTTGCATTAAATTAGTAAAAAAAAGAATATGTTAAATTACATAATTGTTTTTATTAATCACTATTATAGATTTAATCATTTTTTTTATTTTTTATTCAGTTAATTCAATAAATTTCAATTCATAAATGCATCCGTTAAATATGCATTTTTTTTATGAAATAAAAATGAAGTTGATTGTTTTTCATCGGGACATTTTACAGCTCCATTATAAATGGCGTATGCAATTATTGGAAGAGGATTATTGTTTTTTTTATTATTCCGAAGAGTAATATTTAAAGTTATACTAATTTTTTTATCACATTCCATTGTTTTTGGTTTTAATATCTCCATTCTTATGTATTTTGAATTTACAAAATTCTTAGGCTGAAAATTATCAATAATAATTTACAGAAATTTTAATAATTAATAAATAAATAATTTACATTTAACTTACATTCAGTAAAGGACAACGTGAATTATTAATTAAATCTAAAATTTTTTGATACCATGGTCTTTCAAAATTGGCAAATATTTTAATAAACAATTCTTGTCCAATATATGTATACGTTTTTTCATGATATAAATTACAAATTTTAAAATTTTGATTTATTTCTCTTCCGGATGTAATAAAATTTATTTTCATATTACCCTAAATAGAGTAAATAAAAGAACATTAAATTTACTTTAATAAATTTACTAGAATTAAATTACAAATATTAATATTATATAAATAATTATTTTCTTTATTTTATTATTTAACTATATTATTGTTACATTAATTATTTAATAATTTTGTTATTACATACATACCGATAGTGATTTATCATTAGTGAAGTTCCATTTTAAAATATTCTCCATGGAATTTAAAGTTAAATTATTTTCTTCTACAATTTGAAGAATAATAAAATCAGAATTTACGAAAATCTCATTTCGCGTAACTTCTATTAATGCATGAGAAGTATTCGCATATAAATTCATCTAAAATAAAAATTAAAAAGAATTTTTTGATCTTCACAAAAAATAGATTTGCAAATAAATCATATAATTATAAAATATTTTTGAGAATTTGGAAATATTTTAAGAAAACTTACAGAATTACCAATAGCTATATTGACACTCAACAATGATAAATAATAAAACATTGTTACAAAATCTGTAAAAACTTTAATCATTTTATAAAGAAAAAGCTTTTTTTCTTGGGAGAAAACTTTACTTTTTTTTCAACTAATCGTGTCTTTTTATTATATCTTATTCTATTGTAAAGCAAAAAAAAAAGAAAAAAAAAACCTTGTATTATTTAAATATTCAAGTTAATGTTTCAATTATTTTAAATAATAGTTGAAAATAAGTACTTTAAAAGATTTTTCAATATTTTCTCGTTTGATATTAATTCAATTTACAAAAAGAAAAGAATATTTTTATTGAAATTAAAAAGATTGTTGAAAAATTAGCTTTAATAGAAAGTGTTAATTTATTCTTTTTAAATAAGGAATTTTCAAATTTTATTTCATTATTGTATTTAAAAAATAATTTATACCTTTATTATTTAAATTTTTTTGAAAACTTATAATTAAATTAAATTCTAATGGGAACAATTAAAAGTCACTCTTGTGTAACGTATTTTTATCATTTATTCTTCTCCCAAGAATCAATAATAATTTATTTTACAGTAATAGTAACTATCTTTTTTTTTCCATTTCGACATCGTTATTAATATTTTCTCACATTTATATTATGTATATCTTTAAAACTTTCCTCTATATGCAATTACAGGTATACGATTGTATTTTGTTTTCTTTTGTTTTTTTCTTTTTTTTTTTTTTTTTTTTTTTTGTCAGCCTATAATCGTAGATACCGTGTGAGCATTAAGTATGTTACCGTACAAACAAAGTGCTTAATTCGTCTAATGTTGCCGAAAACGATCAAATCACAATTAATCATTTGGTTTTTAATAATAATTATTTTGATGCTTTTTTAAAAAGACTAAGGAAACATGAATCTTATTCAGAAAAAAAAATTATTCTAATTTTTTTTTTATTATTATTAATATTGGCATTGAAAGCCAAATATTTTGAAATTTTAAATAAAATACAATTTTCTAGAATTCCCTTAAAGAGACAAATATTGTAACAATATCAACTTGATATTTGTTGATATTGATGTTTTTTTTTATTTGTAATATTTATTTTTATAAGAAATATTTCATTTTTCTATTATTATTATTATTATTATATTCGAGAGGAAAGATTCACTAAAAAATTACAGTCAATTTAATGTTTTTAATCATTCATTAAAATGAAGAAAGAATTTTTATATCGAGCTCTTATTTTTTTCCGGCAAAAAAAAAAAAACATAAAATTCACAGAGAAAACAAAAAAAAAGGAACCCTAATAAGGTAAGTACTGAGTAAATTATACTAACTACAAGAAGAAAAATTTGTTTTTTTTTCCTGGTGAAACAAAAGAAAAAGCACAAAAAGAAAAATAAAGTAAAAGTAAACGAAATAATAATAGTCCTATATAGTACAATGAAACAATAATTAATTCGTTGACACTAAACCTAAAACTATAAATCTATATAGAAGAGAATAAAAATTTGAAATTCAAAACCCGTTTCGAGAAAATTATCCCCTCACGATGTCTAATTAGACGTATCGTATTATTTTGTTTTGTCACATGTAGTTTATCACATTATCTTTGAATAACAATGATTACAAAGATTTTTTTTTCTCTCTCTCTCATTCAGTACTGTATCTACTTAAATGTAGAAAGTTTCTTCTTTTTTTTTTTTTTTTTTTTGCAAAAATGATATAATTTCGAACAAAAAAAAAAAAAAAAAAAAATTTCGCAACTGAAGAGAATTCATGTTTCAATAGTTCTGATTCGTGAAAAAAAATTAACTATATTAGGAACTATCGGAAACTTGTTTCATTTTCGTCACGCTCCCAAAAAGAAAAAAAATTCTTTTTTTTGTAAATTTTTTTTTTTAGTGTCTCTATTCGATGACTAAAAGTTTAATTTCTTTTTGTTTAATTTAAGTGAAAACCTCTTTCTCGCGTGGCGGCGAGAAGTCTCTCTTTTAAAATTTCTTCAGTTGGATATTCCGGTAATTTTAAATAATGCACGCACGTATTTACGGATGGATAGCCGCCCGATCCTGCGTCGACTTTCCTTACAACTGTCAGTCTAGGATGTAAATTACATAAACCACCAGGAGGCAGTGCCGAGCATCCGGTTGCAAATTGCAGAAAGGCCTTTCTCTCTGCACCCGTCAGAGATAATAAAACATTGACAAATCTCTGAAAACCAGGACTGAAACAAAAATTCATTATATTTAAATTTAATTTTTAATTTTTTGAAGAATCATCTATTTATATTATATTTTTAATTAATTTGAAATAAATACCTTTCCCTCGTGTAACCCAATTTTGGCTCAGTATAATTGAGAAGATCCTCGCGTGTCCATTGAGGATTTTGTTCACCGCAAAGCATTGCTCTAATTTCCTCTGGACTGAATGCATGTAATTTTTCCATTGGGAAGACTTTAGAGAAACCGGCACGAAATGCCTCCATTTGTTTATTAATACCACGATCGAGACAATATTTCACTGTTAATTCCATATATTCCTTGGCATTATCAATTGTTATTGTCACATCGGCACCATTATCCTTTAATTCCATAACGTCGTGTTCAAATATTTTTGAACTTGGCGCATATGTCATTGTTAATGCAAGATCTTCAATAGCAACCGATGTACCCGATGAATGTGTAATTCTAAATGAATCATAACTTTCATCAGCCGATGACGATTGTCCCTCTGATATTGCCCGTTCACGTTTTGATGTTAAATTTTGTATTTCCTTTAAAAATTCACCACGCACAGGATCAACATGAGCAAGATCTTCAATATCAAGAATACCACTATACCATGGGATTGGCTCTAAACTTGAGCATTGCGCCTGTTCTTGTTCGCCTTCCTCGGATATAAAACTACTCGCCATACTCGATGACATACTCTCTTGTGTAACGCCAGTGAGACCAATTTTTTCATTAACATTATTAGTGATATCACCGCGGCACATTAATTTTAAAAATGGCCTCGACAATGGTAAATCAACGAGACGATTATCCTGAAGGACCTTCGCTAAAAATACACCAAGAAACCAAAAGTAACGCGTTGCACGTTGACATTCTGATGAATCTTGTGGCAATGGCGCTGGAAATAAACCACTTGAACGTGTCACATAATAACCATGCGGTCGTATTTGTTCACTGGACGGACAGAGATTATCTTGTACGCATGGCTCCTCATCATCGCATAGCCATAGACCCAAATCTTTTCGCTGTAATTCCGCGGCAACAAGAGCAAAAAATTCCAAAGTTGGCCCAAGGCCCGTACCCTCCTCGCCGACAAATTCCACCTCTAAAATACTCTTTCGACTCGCGTGAACCTAAAAAAAAAAAAATTTAATTACAGGAAAAGAATACCTTAATTATTAATAAAGAAAAAATAAAATGTCTTACCTTGAGAACCTGCTCTGCCCAATCGAGTAATTTATCACCCCTCGGCACACTGACTCTCTCGTGTTTTAATCTCCCCACACGAAATTCATGACTATCGTCACGCCTTGGACTAAGACCGGGCGCCCTTTGTCTCTCAAGTACCGCATCCCTTTGCGTTTGTAACCAAACAATTGATCTCGATGCACCAAATGCCGTACAACTAAAATAAAGTCGCCTCGTTTCAAATGGCAATAAAAATGGACAACTTCTAGCAAGTTCCTCGCACCATGTTGGCAATGCACCCGCCGCCAATGCCAATGGATCTTGAATTTGTTGTACTATTTTATTTGTTATTTTCTTCGATGTAAATTCATCTGGATTAACAAGACATTCATAATCATCAGCCGTGACACAATTCTCCTCTTTTTTATTATTATCATCTTTGGTTGTACTCAATACATAAACGTGACGCAAAAGTTGTAATACATCTTCCACTGTACACGGATTTGTTGTTTGATTATTTGCATTACGTGAATAAAGTGTCACTATTGGCGTTGCTCGTCCCGATGATTCATCATCTTTCGCTTCTTTGTAAATTATTCTAAAAAAAAAAGGTAAAATTAATTTTTTTTTGATATTCTCTTCGAAAAATATAAAAATACTCACGTATAAGTAGGTTCCCATATTCTTCGTAATTTTTCTTGCCTACTACCAAGTTCCGTGAGTTGCATTAATTCTTGGACAGATTGAAAAATACTGGCCTTTGGCTCCAAAAGAGGTAATTCAACATCCGCAATACCCGGAAGTCCAGGACCTTTTAATGTGAGGGACAATTTTGGCATTTGCGTTGTACCAACACGAACACTCGATTGTGTCTCACTACCCGGTTGCGGTACATCCAAATCAGTTGTCTAAAAAAAATTTTTTTTTTGTAATTTTTAGATTTAATATAATTTTTAAAAAAATTTAAATCATACCTGATTAATATTTGTTCGACCTGGCCGAGGATCAAAGGCCGGAATAAGTGCAGAAAATTGTCGTTTCAATACAAATTCATCATCCCATGCTCGTCGTTTTGTACTTTGTGGTGTTTCTTCTTCTAAAAATGCTGCCAATAAATTTCGATTAACCATCATTTCTTCGTATTCACCTTCGCCACCATCGCCCTCCTCTTCATTTTCCTCATCATCGTCCTGCAAAAAGTATACCTTCAAAATTCAACAAGTGTATATAAATACACTGCATGCTCTTGACACAAGAAATGAGAATTAACATCAAACAAAAAAATCTGTAAAAGGAAATGAATTCAAAGAAAAAAATAAAAACATTTTTTTTAAAAGATGAATTCACCTCCTCTTACAGAAAAAGAAGAAGCTGATTTACTTCAATTTTTTCCTTTTAGGTAATAATTTTTTACTTTAAAGAAAAAAAAAAAAAAAAGAAAATTGCAAATGGAGTGAATCAGCTAATTCATTTATAATTCAACATACTTCCTGATCGTTATCCTCGTTGTCATCGTCCTCCTCTGGAAGAATGGGATCCTCATCGTCTTCCAATTCAGTGAGAAGTGTCGGTCCACCAGTTGTACGACCACCACTCACACTTGAACCCGCAACACCGCCGCAAGATTCCAAAAAATCCTCAAGACTAACCTGTAGCCACAACTTTTCAATTACATTAAAAAGACGTTTGACCGCGAATCAAATCAGTGCTTCTTTTTTAAATTCAGATCACGGATCGACTTTAAGGCTCAAAAAAAAAAAATCCGATTTACATTTCAAAAAAGTCGATTTTTTATTTTAATTAATAAATATTTTACTTTAACTAATGTTTTTTTTTAATTGAATAATAGTTTAAGATAATTAAAAAGAATTTGATTAAAATTATTGAAAATAATTAATTTAGAGAAAAATTTTATTTAAAAATTTTGTTAAATAAGTTGAATCTTATTAAAATAAATCAAAAAAAGTCATATAATCCGAAGTCTGAGATTTCAAAAATTGAGAAAAATAAATTTTTCACATGGTAGTAAATAAATTTAAAATCCAAAGAATTTAAAAAAAGAAATTTTTTTTGCTTAAAAAATTTAAATATTAAAAAAAAATTGTAAAATCTAAATTAAAATATTGAAACTCACCTGTTCACTATCACTACTTGTACTGGTGAGAGACATTGTAAAAGCTTGTCCCAATCCTGGTCCCGTTGTTGTGGTAACACCACTTCCAGCAACTTGACCACTACTCGTGAGACTTGGATAACTTTGAGCTGTACTCAACAGCCCACCAGGAAAATTTGAACTAAGTGCTAATCTAACCAAACTAGAGACGGAATTAGGTCCCCTTGGATTTGAACTAGAATTTGAATTTGGAGCAATGTGTTGACCACTCGCTGGACCTGAAAAATATTTAAAAAATATTTTTCTAATTTCATTATTAGAAAATAGTTTTCTAATAAAAAATCATTTTTTTATATTTATATAAAGAATTCTTTTGCCATAGCTCACAAAATTCAATTTCACAGAACAATAGATCGAATTTTCAATTGTTTTAAAGGAGTAATGATTTGACCAACACCTTTTATTGTTATTATTATTAATGAGTTAAATGATCTAGAGAAGACGTGAACTGACCTAACGTCCGTCTTCTCGCCATTGCTGCAAAAGTTTCCAGCAAGCCAGTAGCGGCTGCTGGTTCCAAAGTATTGTTAACATCAGAACAAGCGAGATTCGGCACAGAAACGGACATTGGATTGGTAACAACTGAACATCCTCCAGCAGGATTTTGCGAGGAAGAACTAGCCTCCTTATCACGGCTGCATTCTTTACTTCCTACTTATTTATAGACACATCACAATTTCATTCATTTTAGTTTATTAGAATGAAAAACAAATACATGCAAACAAATAGGGAAATTTTTTTTTGACTATCTATCGCTAAAAATGTAAATTTAAAAAATAACTCACCGTCCAACATATGGGGTGGATGTCTTGGAATTGGTCTTATCCTTAAGGAATTTTCCTCAGTTTCAGCGGCAACACTTATTCTAACAGGAACCAAACCAACTAATTCGCCACTCAAGAAACTATTTGTATTATTTTTCATTCTATCTGCGCCTTCTCTCATTCGATCCAGGACTTCCGCTGCTTCCAAACTCAGTAAACTACTTGCAGGCTGCGATATTATCAAGAATTGATAAAAATAGTAAAAAAAAAAAAAATATTTAAATATACTCAATGTGGAAAATAATCATTTTTATTTTACTATTACCTTTTATGTTACTTTTCAAATGTGAAAAAAAAAAATTTCAAAGAAAAAACTAACCTTGTTGCCTCTAACAGGTGGAAAAAGTGGTTTTGAACTATTCGATGTTCGATTACTGTTACTATTTGTTGAGCACTCGGTATTGAGAGTTAGACTTTCGACAATTGTTGCCAAATCACTGGTAACCGTTGTATCAGGTCGTGGATGAAGAACAACTGATAGTTCACCCGTTGAATTTGCCCCTCCTTCACCAGTCACAGCGACAACTGCTTCCGCTCGAGCAACTGACAACACACTCTCAGCAATTGACTCCGCTGCTTGCTGAAATCGAAACAAAATTGTAAATTAATTAATTTACTATCTACTGACCTCGGATTGACTTTAAGACGCAAAAAAAAAAATTGATTAACTATACCTTGGCTGCTAAGTTGTCGGTACTCGCGGCTTGATCGGTGGAAGCTACAGAACATCGAACAGTGTCGGTGCAATCAGGTAGACTTGGAGTACTGCTCGATTTTCGGCCAGTTAAATCGCCACTAATCTTACCCTTTATACTGCTCTCGGAGTCCATTCCAGTGCCAAAGAGTCGAAGATCGTATTTACCCTCAGCGCCCATTCGATACGAATTTGAACCCCCATAGTCCCATGTGACGTCTATCCATCCATTATGAAGTTCTCCGGTCACTGTCCCTTCGCCTTAAATTGAAAAAATTAATATTCAAAAACAATTTTTTTTTCTAAATTAAATTTTTAAAATACCAACTAACCAGGTGGTACTCCATCTTGATCCCTCCATTTCCAATCAAGTCCCCTCGCAACGCGCGCACCAGCCACTAAATGTCTTAAAACTTGTGTTCTAATTAATCGTCTCTGCCTTCGTACGCCAGCTTCAGCCTCCCTCGCCGCTCTACCTAAATCCTCACAAACACCAGTGACATCACCATAAACTTCAAAGCCAGAAACGGACAAATAATGCGTTTGTCCCGAGGCATTTTTTCCCGTTTGTTGTAAACGTAAATGTCGCCAACCTTGCGTTTCATCACTAGGCGGATCCAATGTCCACGTTGCCGTACTACCCGGTTCATTTAATGAACAATCATCAACGTGAGCATACAATGTTGTCCAATTAATACCATCCTTTGAAGCTTGAAATAACCAATTTCTTAATGCACTACGCCCATAACCTCTTGCGTGTCTCAATGTATAAGAATTTGGAATAATCCATACGCCAAGATCAATTGAAAACCATGATCTTTTATCATCATTTGTGTGACAATTCAATGCCGCTGGATCACGACTCAATATATCCTCAAGATGTCCATATGGTAAATTTCTTCCATCACTCGATGTTACAACAACAAGGCCATATTGTCCTGGATTAACCCATTCGGTGGATGATTTTGAATTTGTACCAATCCAATATAATACACCATTCTCATCGAAATCATGTTGATATTTAAATGTCAATCGATTACCGTCTTTTAATTTTTTAACAAATGTAAATGTACCCCTATCATGATCGTGCCATTGTTTTGCCACCATTTTCAATAAATGATTTTCCAATTGTTGAACTGTACTCAATGGTTCCATTTTTAAACTTCTTCCCGAACGATCAATTAATGCACTTTCACCATTTGCCTTCTCTAAACGAAATCTTAAACGACGTGTTAATATTTGTAAACCATAACCAGAACCCGGTGTATCATAAAGATAAACTGGTAATTTTTCAATTGATTCTAAAACTGAAATTAATTTTTGTACAAGTGTCTTTGCTGAATTATGTTGTTGTGTGTCTTTTGTTTGAAAGGAATTTTTAAATACCGCTATTCTTTGAAGACGAAGTTTCGTTGCACGCACCGATGGCGATTGTATTATTGTTGTTGTTGGCGCTGCCAATAGACCAAGTAACGCTTGAACAAGACCACTTGAATGTAATTCATAGGCCGATACTTTACCCTCTTCGTTTAATAATATTTTCAATTCCTCAAGAGCACTTTGTAATACACTTCGCCATTCACGATTACCCGATTGTTGCTTGTGACATGCCTTTTCAATTTGACTGACAATTGCCCCTAATTTTGCAACAACACCACGTGGTTCAGCTTGTGCTGCCTTAAAATAACGTTCATATATCTCTTGTGCTTGATTTTTCACTTTTTGTTTAAGTGCCTCGATTTTTGATCTTAATCGTTTGCCACGTTTTCCCGCCCAACCGGCCGCAAATTCAGGTCCTGAAATTTTCAATTCAAATAGATAAAAAAAATAATTTATATGAGTGTCCAGAAATTTTTAATTATTCAATAATAAATTGAAAATTAAATTACAATAAATAATTACCTAAACTTGTTTCAGCAGTGAATGAGTGTTTTGTTCCTCGATTAGATTCGAAAATAAATCCAGGTAAATCCTCCCTGAGTATTGTCGCTTGTTGTTGTCCATCGCTATTGTGAATTGACAATTCACTCTCTTTTTTACTTGACAATGCCCAATTACCAACGACAAGTCTTGTAGCACCAGGTCGCGATAAAATTGGCTGACTCACTGAATTTGGTTTCACTTGACTGCGTGCTCTTTGAAGTTTTTCCAAAAATTCACCACGATTTTCTGCAAGAGAAAATTGAAAAAATAATCTCAATTTATAAAATAAAATAATTTTTTTTTTCAAGGTAAATAATTGAAAAATTATTGAAATTCTCAAAAAAAAAAAAAATTTAAGTACAAAATTATTTACCTCCAATTTTTTATTGTAAAAAAAAAATAAATAAAATTTGGAAAAAAATCACATTTAAAAAAAGTTATTGGGTGACATTGTATGAAGTGAAATGACAGCAAGCGAAATTAATGAAATTTGATAATGAAATTATATATATATATATAGTTAGAAGTGGAATAAAAGAAAAAAAAACAAATGGAAAAATGAAAAAGAAAACATAATCATTGAAATAGTGTTACCTACCTTCGGTACCGAGCGACTCAGTGTTCCTCCCCTTTCCTGTAGGCAGTTAGTAAAAACGAGTTATTTTCGAAACCATTCCCTGCGTCAAGTTAATCACAAATGAAAGGAGAGGAATCATTTCCAATAAATATTAACCAATCATTGTGATGTGAATTTTAATTAAAATATTTACTTTATTTCTTTAATATTAATTAATTTTTTTCAATACTAAAAAAGAAAAGTAAAAAAAAAATTAACAAAAGACAAATAATTTTTCAAATAAAATTAAAATACCAAAATTTTTAACAATTGACAAATTTAATTTCAAAATGAAATATAAATATTCCACAGTAATAAATAATTATGATTATTTCGTCCTCTTTTTAATAAAATTAAAATTCTTCCAATTTTTCAATTAAAGGAATTAAAAAATTTACAACATTTTCGAAAATTGAAAATTTTAAAATTAAATTTTTTTTTTTTCTCTTTTCTATTTTTATATAATTTTTATCAAAATTCGCGAATTATTAAAAGAATTTCAAAACTTTAACACAGAGATAAAGTAAATTATTTATTATTTTAATATCATTTCATTGGGAATTTTGAAATTTATTTGAATTGCATTAATCTGAATCACTGGAAGAGAATAAATAATGTTCGAAAAATAAACGATTTGACAGAAACATATTATGTATATATAAAAAAAATAGAAATATAGATATTTCAGAAATGACAAATCGGAACTAAAAATATGAAACATTAAAAAAAAAGCTTTAAACAGAAATTCATGCCACAAATTAAAGGTGCAATATTTATTTTTAAAATCATATTTTTAATATATTTACTAACGTTAAAAAAAAATACAAAACAAATTAATTAAAATAAAATTTTGATTTAAATATTTTTCGAACAATAAATTAAAAAAAAAACCAAACAAATCTTGCTAAGATAAAATAAAATTTAATAACAAAAATTATTGAAATTTTGAAAAATAGTGAAATGAGACCAATAACAAAAAAAAAAGACGATACAATGAGTGTGTTTTTTGGGATAAAATTGAAAACAAAAATTGATTTAAAAAAATGTATATAAATATTTTAAAGAGTGCATAACTAGAAATTTAATAATCATGCGAAAACAAAAAAAAAAGAAATACTTACCCGTTGTGTCGGTTCCACCTTCGGGACTTCCACTTGAATACATTGTTGCCAATTTTCCATCGAGAATAAAACGAAACCATCCATTACTTCCATTTGACAATTCCAAAGCCGCGGCATCAGACCAAACATAAAGACAATCACGACCACGACAGATAAACCAATCACGCCAATGATAAGCCTTTCCAATTAATAATTCACGAGCATCTTCCAAACGTTGCTCATCACCATTTTGATTTGGTTCTGTTTCAGGTTCGGGAATTGTCTCTTGTGGTCCAGCCAATGATGCTACTTTCGAAAATACACCGAGACGTGCAAAATGTTCTAAAAATTCATCTTTCCCTTTAATCATCAAATCTTGAATCATTTGAAGTATCACCAGATGACCGTCTTCGTCTTCCTATTATTTTTTTAAATCATGGAACATCAAAAGAAAAAAGTCAAATAGTGTACCAAAAAAATAAAATCATTAATATTCAATTATTAAATTTATAAACACAAATTATTAATTATTAATTGACATGAAAATTAATTAAAGACAAAATTTTACTCTACCATCGGTCAGTATCCAAACCATAATGGTAGCAGGCAGACAGTTAGCCTTATTAATTTTTTTTTTTTTAAAGAAAATAAGGTAGAAATGGAGTCATTTGAATAAATATTTTAAAAAAAGTTATTACGTTTTCTGTTTTTTAATTTTCAACATTTACTCACTTAGACATGAAAATATGTTAATTAAACACAAGAAAATGAATTCAAACATAAAAAGGACGAATCAATTACAAATGTGTAAATTAAGTTCTTATTTTCAAAAAAAAAAAAAAGAAAACTTCTATTTTTTAATACTGTTTGTTTTCGATAAATTTTATTTAAATAAATATATATTTAGAATAATTAACATATTTTTGTATATTATAAACAATTAACATGTTTGGAAAAATCGGAAACAAACCTTCTTCTAAAAGTTGAGATGAATCCTTTTTGAATACAAATAAACCCCCCTCAAAAAAAACGACAATATTTTAAAAAATAATCCCCTATATTTCTAAATGTATTTTTAAAAAATTTTACCCATTTAACTTTCTATTTGTAAATTTATGCACCAACCAGTCCACTTCCGGCAACTCATTTCCTAAATCATCTAAAGCAATTCTTTTTCTTTTTTTTTAAAGCGATTTGCTGGACGGATAATAAAAAAAGAATAAAAATATTTGAAAAGTATTAAATTCTAGAATATTTTCAAAAAAATGTAACAAAAAAAAAATAAATAAATTTATTAGAGAATTTATTAGATATCATTAGCAGAACATAAATCATGCTAAAAATTTGTTATATCTGTCATATATATGTCTATTATAAAAAAAAAAAAGAAATTGATATGTTAATGGTGAAAAAAGCCAGCGGCTGTGCAACACCATTAGAAAAAAAAATACGCGAGCTGCAAGTCGATGGCCAAAACGTTTTTTTTTTTTTTTTTTTTTATATATTGTTAAATTGGGAAATTCTGAGTTAGAGAAATGCAAAATAAAAAAGTACAACGGATTTTACCGTCTTATCAATAATGAAGTTCTGGGAACTGGAAGACTTGCGTGCCGAAAAGCAGGGCAATTTTGGGCCAATGATCAACTTGAGTGGCGGATGTGGCGCCGGTGATGTCTTTATCTCAATTTCCTGCGAAAAATCTTATCTAAGTCGCATCGAATTTAGAGCTTTCTGTCTGCCTCTACGTTTTCTCAAAATAAAAAGAAAAAAACAAAAAAAAAAACAAAAATGAAATTCATAAAAAATTTAAAACCAAAAAAAAAAAATTAATTACATATCTTTTTGATGAAAAATAAAATAAAAGAAATAAAAACGAAAAAAAAATAATATAAAAATTTGCTTAGTTTTCTTTTTCCCAATCGAAAGAAAAAGAAAAACCTGAATTAAAATTTTTCCAATATTATTATAGTAACAGACCTCGGATTTCTAATAAATTTTGCAGCAACAAAAATTCAATTGTTTTCAAAAATTTGCATTTTAATTATTGGAAAATTCAATAAATTTAAAAAAAATATTATCTAAAATTATTTAATAATTTTCAATTCTGTAAAATTTAATTATTTTGATAAAAATATTTTGAAATACAATTACTTTCTAACAATTTTAAATGTAACTCTTCCAAAATTCAATTATTTAGAATTTTTTTTTTTTTAAATTTATCCTTATTTAAAAAATTGAGGAATTAATGAAATGAATTTAATATCTAATAAAAAATTAAAAAATAAATGAAATAATATTAGTTATTTAAATTAAAATAAAAAAAACCGACTTTTTTTTTGCTCTTTAAAGTCGATCCGAGGCCTGTAGTAAAGAAAATTATTTTTCCCTTTGCTTTTGTTTTAAATAGAGAAAATTATTCCACTCACCTCGTTGTCCAAAACATTGGCAATAACTTCAACGAGCATTGCTCCACATCCTCCTGTTTTATCCGAGCCACATGTTTCCACAAGTAATTCCGGCTGTATATAGTGTACCATTTTTCGTATTAAACTCAAACTAGCCTTTCTAACACTTGGCAACATTGTCGATTGGAATGTTGTGCAAAAAACCGGTAATAATCGCTTTAAATAAACTGGCGCCATTTCAGGATCACCTTTTGGCTCCATATATTCTTCATGTTCAGTTTCTGTTTTTCGACTATCTTGATTTGGTGGTAACATCCATTCACCAGGCGATTGTAATATTGCCGCAACTTCACGATGTCCCTCATCAATTCTTTCGCGTGCTTTATCCAATGGTGTTTTTCCATCTTCATCGCGTAAATCAGGATTTGCGCCATGTCGCAATAAAACTTTTGCAATTGCCGGCCTACCAAAACAAGCGGCATAATGTAAACTCGATGAACGTTGTCCTTTATTAACATCAGCGCCACGATCACAGAGAAATTCAACCATTTCCTGTGTACCAAAAGCCGATGCCCAATTTAATAATGTTTGTCCAACGTCATCCATAAAATTTACTTCAATACCACCGGTATCAATTGCTTCAATTAATGCATCGGTATCCTTTGAGCGTATACAATCAATTAATTGCCGATGTGTTTTTTCACCGGCACTATCCAAATGACGTAAACGAGGTAATAATGGACCCGATGGACCGCCAGTATTATTGCGACCCAATGCCGAACGTCCTTCAAATAAAAGAACAAGCAGTAAATCAACAAGACGCATTGAATCAAGAGCACATCTTTCATCGCCTTTAAGGGCCTTTTCAATTGCGTCGGGTAATTCCGATCTTAATAAATCGTGTGTTATTGACGGTGAACCACGGCAAAGTGTCGACAATAAACTAATAATTGTCGATACAGAGGCGCATGATTTTGGCTCTGTTGCCGGTATCGTTGTTGTTGTATTTGGCGGTGGTGTTTTTGGATTTCCCGACGCTGTCGCCACCGATGTATTTGGTCCAGCTGCATTTGACAACCTAATAATTTATTTCCAATTAGATTCAATTTTTAATTTCTGCTTTTTTAATTTTCTTTTAATTTTTTGATTAAATTGAAAAAAAAATTTTTTTTTTTCCCCTACCTGTATAATAATTCAGAAACCAATCCATTTGACGCAAGTGGAGCAGGATCTGTTCCACGTCGTGAAAAACGATCGGCTAATGATGCAAAACAACGAAGAGCACCATCGGCAACGTGTGCATCCTCATGTCGCAATAAAGTTGACAATGCCTCAACGCAATCGGGTAATGTTTTATCTTGTGGTTCAACTTTTCCGCAAAGACGCGAAACAACGGCCATTGCCGAGTGAAGCGTGTCACGATGAACTCGCGCTCCATTTTCACGAATAAAACATAATGCACATGGAAGACCGCCGGCCTCGAAAACTGCACCTGCCTCTCGCGCGCACACCAATTCCAATACCTATATATAAATGATGAATATTTCAAATTACAAGAAAATTTTATTTCAATTTATTATTTCTAAAATTAAAATATTAGTTAAAAGAATATAATATTGATAATTACAGGCTTCGAATAATTAATTTTTAAAATAATTTTTAATTAAGATTTTTCAAATATTTAAGTTAGAAGAATTTAACTGAACAAGAGTTTTATATTAATTATCAATTAATAGAATAAATCTACTTAATTCTGGCATTTTTTTTTTTACATTTATTTAAAAAAAGTAGCATTTAGTTTTTGATGAAAATTAGTATAAAAAAAATGTGCTACTTCGAAGCCTGCAATGAATTTAAAATAATATCTAATGATGTGAGATCTTTTTGAAAAAAAAAAATAAAATAAAAAGGAAACGGAAATTATTCGAAAGGAAGTGAAATAAAATGAAAGTTCTCTCCTCACTTTTATACATTGTTCAGCAAGATCTCGACTGGCGCGTGAACCAAGTGCTGCGCCTGAAAGACGACTACAAATGGCCTTGATGGCACCCTCCATAGCAACTACTCGCCTTGTGCACTCGGCAGAGACATCGAGATAATATGTAATTGCACGAGCAGTGACTTCAAGAACACTATCAGGTGCATGCTCGTCCAGAAATATTCGACAAAGCGCGGGCAAAAAAGTCCTTGGTGGGCAACTGAAAATTTGGTTTTCTTTTTTCTCATTCAATTTTTTCAAATTTAAAAAATTTCAAATTAAAATAATCCAAATCTATTAATTTTAATAAATAATCAATAATTAATTAAAATAATAAAAAAAACCTTAATGCAAAATTAATTTTGCCTAATTTTTTTTGTTTTTTAATGTTAACTTTTTTTCAACATCGTTAATAAAATTTAAAGCGTAAATTACATTTTTCTTTAGTATAAATGTAAAAATCGACTTTTATTTCAAGTGGAATGTTAAAATATTTAATGTCAAGTGTTATATACCTTTCAAAGCAGCGATCGACATTATCCGACATCAAGAGAAGCATACACAGTTGTTCCAGTGCAATCAGCTGCATGTCCCTTTCATCACCTTGCCCCATACTCAACCATTCCAGTAACGTTTCCGGATCCACGTCCGCCATCTTATTGCTAAAATTAATTAAATATAAATTATTTCACCTATCAAAAATTTCTTTATTTTTTTTAAACAGTTATTGTCATGAGAATAATCAATAATTTTGGAGCGTGAAAAAAATCAATTTTACAATTTAAATAATTTATCAATTTAAAAAAAAAAATCCGGATATTTTTTTTTTTGGATGAGAAAGAAAAAAAAAGGAATGAAATAAAAAGTTTTTAAAATAAATGTGAATAACGAAAAGTTTTTAAAAATATATATGAAATATATTTAAATATTAAATAGTTGAATAAATAATGCACGCTATTGTTGCATGTTCTTGACTCTACTTTGCAACACTTTTCGTTAAAGGCAATGGGTAATGAAGACAAGTTAATTAAATCTGTTTTCTGAATCATAAAACTAAGGCCACCAAGAAAAAAAAAATGAAAAAGGAAACTGAATTTCTATTCTATCAATATTTTGATCTAAAAATAAATATATTTTTCAAACAAAAGATTTGAAAATTTTTTTCATTGAGTTTAATGATGCAATAATCATAAATTAATAATAAATCAATAAATTTATAATTAGTTACGGCAAAAAAAAAAGAGAAAAATCACGCTTTATCATCTAAATTTTATATTTTAATATATATATATAATAAAATAATAATTATAATAAAAAATTTATAAAATTCCAGATTTTGCGAACAATTAAACATGTTAATAAATTTTAAATTAAAAATTTTCGAAAATTTTTATTAAATACTAATTGATAATAAATGACGAATATTAGGGAATGCAATGACTAATTTTGTCCAAAATCATTAAAAGAGGATATGACAAATTCAATTGGCATTTTCAGTAAAAACCATATACATAAATAAATCAAAATTTGCTCTATGAAAATTTAAATAAAATTAAAAAATTAGCATATTATAAAAAAATTTTAAACTAAAACACATGCAAATTTTAATTATTAAAAAATCGTAATTAGGTGCAAAATAATTATTTTTAAAAAAATTGATTTAAATTCACATAGTAACAAATATTTTGCTAAACTACATTAAAAATCACTAAATTATATTAAAACGAAAAAAAACACAAAGGGTTGAAAATTAAATAAATAGGGAAAAAAATTCTCCACTCAAAAATAATTCCATTTAACATTTCAAATGTGTTTACTACTTTCTCCTTTAATTCCAAAAATTGTTTTTCTAACGGATTCTTAACGAGCGAAAATCTGACAAAGGAACTCACCTTTTTTTTCCCCCTGTGTATCTGAGACTGTTTTCTTAGCAGATCTCAAATCCCAATTCTGAAACACATTTGAACACTTTTTTTTATCGTAGAAAATATCGACAAGGTAAATCATATTTTAATCGAGTTTAGGTACACGACCATGTAAATTATACATATACATATATATATATATATATATATACATATATAATATATATATATATATACACGAGGCATACACAAAAGATGATTCGGAATAGACAAGAACGATACGAGGAAATGCTTCATTAAGAATACCTTATTTTAGACACTTTCTCAATATTAATTGATATATATTAACGATGAACTCAATTGCACTTTGATTTTCATTTGATTTCTATTTAAAGAATATAAATAAACACGAACTTAAAACACAAAATTCTTGAAAACTGACACATGTTTGAAGGAAAAAGACATACCTTCGAGAAGAGTGTTTCATTCTTTGAGGGGTCAAGTCGCCATCCTGTTTCTATAAAAACGTTATTTTTTTTACCGACAATCACCTTTTAACGAAACACCAAATATTGAATTTATCGTTTAATTCATCGACAAACTAATGAGATGTTCTTACGATGAACAAATAAAATATTTTCCTTTTTTTTTCCCCGACTATTATCGAATATAACTGAAGTGGTTTTCCATTTATGTGACATTCGGAGCAATCCGCTCGGTGAGTGAATGATTATTTAAGATGGATTTTCATGAATTATATTTTGGACAATGATGACAATTTGCCCACCAATCAAATGTCGTGTAAAATTTAAATAATCCCGGGAAAAAAATTGTATTTTATTTTTTAAATTATTTTTTGTAATATTTTTCAAATATTCAATTAAAAATTGATAAATAGAAAAAATAGTTTAAAAAATTAATGATATTAAACAAATTGAATCGTTTTGCAATAGATTACATTTCTTTTCGGAATAGTGAAAATGGAATTTTTTATAGAGCCAATCAAATTCACTCGAATTGTTCGCTGAAAATACACCTTAATTGTTTTTTTTTTTTTTTGTTTTCCAGTTTTCTTTTTTTGTTGCCGGTGAAGAAAAAAAATAAACTTAAAAATTATTATAATTATAATTATAATTATTCTTTTTCTTTGATTGGAAAATATATTTTTAACACGAATAGTTTAGTAGAGAGCATTTTGGAAAATTGTGCAAATTTTTCGATAAAAATTACAAAAATGGTAAATTAGATATTTGTTTTTACAATAATAAATTGTTTTTATTGTTATGTTGTAAATAAATTTTAATTCTTTTGTTTTAGTTACCACTTTCGTTGTTGAGAACAGCTCAAAATCATCCAATGGTGAGTGTACATAACCTCAAAATAAATGTTTTTTTTTGTTTAGAAATATTAATTTTTCAATTTTGTTTTTAGCTTGTGGAGTTAAAAAATGGTGAAACATATAATGGACATTTAGTCAGTTGTGATAATTGGATGAATATCAATCTCAGAGAAGTTATTTGCACATCGAGAGTAAGATATTATTTAAATTTACAATTTTGAAAATAAATCATTGTTAGAATATTTTTTATATATTTTTTGTTTTGTAAATTATTTTTATTAGGATGGTGATAAATTTTGGAGAATGCCAGAATGTTATATTCGTGGTAGCACTATAAAGTATCTTCGAATTCCCGATGAAGTTATTGATATGGTGAAGGAAGATATTCAAATGAAAAATCGAGGACGCGGAGACATGAAAGGACGAGGTTCTAATCAAAGAACGGGTAATCGCGGCACTGGAAGAGGTAAAAAAAAGAATAAATAGTTTTATTAAAAAAAATATATAATTATGATTTTGTTAATTGTTTTTTTAGGTTCCTTTGGAGGAAGAGGCAGACCACCACCTTTAGGTCGAGGAACAATTCTACAAACAAATAAACACAATAAAAATAAATAAATTCAATTTAGTACTTTTTTTCCACTTATTATTATAAAGTTTCTAAGTATTAATTTTTCATCTAATTATGTATATTTTTTTTCTATATAAGCATAGTTTATGCTTAAAAAATTGTATTATCAATTTAACATGATTTGTATTGAAAAAAAAATTACAAATTCTTTATGAAATAAATTAAATTTAATAAAAAAAAAAAAAAAAGTGTATTTTCTATTTTTCCTTTTTTAGATACAATTGTTTCAAGCACAATAGAAATAATCCAAAATTGCTCCTTGTCGACAAAATCCTGAACAACATCTACCGTCACTTCCGCTTGGTTGACATAATTCATTTTTCACAAGACAAGCAATTGTAACCAAAGTCATTGTTGTCAATAATATAAATAAGCCGAACATATTTTTTTCAATCCCCCTATAAAAATACTGAAATTACAAATTTTCGTTATATTTTATTTCTCTCTTTTTTTTCTTTAAAGAAAAATATCAGTTTATTGAAAAAAAAAAAAAATTGTAAATAAAAAACTTACGTATTGAAATATTGAGGAATCTTTGTCGATGAAAATTAAAATTTATAATGAATTTAATTCTTTAGAAAAGAATTTATATGACTACAGGGATAAATCTGTTATACGGAAACAGTAAAGATTTTCTTAAATATTGCTAATCAAATAAAAATGCTTTTTTTTTTAATATTATGTTAAAGTTAAACAATTTCGAGATAAAAACAAGGAAAACATTAAACCTTGAAGTTGTAAAACGAATTTTTTTTCATTTCCATATAATACATTATTAATATTTTTTATACATTTGATAATTCCATTTTTTTTTTGTCTTTATTTTCTCCAGATAATTATATTTTTAACATTATTATTATAACATTATTATAGTATTATCATCTCTGAAAATTAAATATTATTTACAAAATGGAATCATAAAAAAAATACAAATTACAATTGAAAATAAATGAAATTATACCTTTACAAATCAAAAATAAAATTTTTCTCTATAGATTTTTTTTTTTTATAAAAAATTTTCTATTTTTATATATTCAAATTCAATATCGTTCGAACAAGACGAATATTCATTTAAATGTTCAAAAATATCTTCACTTTTTACATTTGGTTCTATATTTATATTCTCATCACATTTGATAAATAAAAATTCATTTGCCTTTGATTTAATATTCTTAGGGAATTTATTGATTGGCTCATTAAATTCTAATTTAATTTTTTTCTTTCTTGTATAAGTTTTCAATTTTGTTTTACAATTAAAATTACTTGGTAAATCAAATTCTAAAATTTTGTCATTTGTCGATTTTAATTTTTCTTCATTTCTTGATTTTAATTCTTTTTCATTTATTGATTTTAATTTATCTTCGTTCATTAATTGTGAATTTGTATCAATGAAAAGTTGATTTTCAATATTAATTTCATTATTAATTGTTCTCATTTGACAATATTTCACTGTTTTTATATGAAGAGTAATTCCAACATGTGTGAAAATTCTTTTACAAACATCACATTCAAAAATACGATCATTAGAATGTACTCTTGTATGACTATTCAATCCCTTACGACTAGTAAAATTTCTATTACAAATTTTACATTCATAAGAAATATTCTTTAAATTTTCATCGTTATTATTCAATTTTTCTTGAATTTGATTTGATTTTTCGTTTTTTTTGTTTCTTACTATGTAGATTTCGTTGTTTGTAAACTGCGTGAAAAAAAATTAAATTGTAAATTAGTAATTATTATTATAAAAATAAAAATTATTTTTTGACATTTTAATTTATAAATTAATGAATTAAAATTTTTTTAAATTATAATTATTTTAATTAAAGTAATACCTGTGCATAATCGCAGTGATTCATATTAACAATGAGTATTAATTAGTATATACATAGAATTTGTAAACAAATACAATTGAATGTTTAATTATAAACAAAACAAAATTAATTGTTGAATTGACTGTGTTTATAACCTCAAAACGAATTTTTTTTATTTCTGGTTAAATCACATTTGTGTCAAAAAAATCACTTGCTTTGATTTTGATTAGTTTACAGTTGGACAATTGTTGAAAATCAACGAATCAAATATCGGCCACATGTGAAATGACACTTTACCCCCTTCATGTGATTTCGCCCTTAACTCAACTGTCAAATATTTATAGATTTGCACGCAGAAAAAAATTGTTTGTGAAGTTTATGTAAAAAAAAAAAATTAATTAATATTAATAAATAAAAATTGAAATACAAAGCATCAAAAGAGGGATCGTCTTGTAAGCGTTATATTTATTTTTAGGTTAGATGTAATTTTGTATTCGTATCTAGACGGACGACTAGCCACTTCGATATATATTGTATATCTATATATGTATAAAAGACGTGACTGTTTGCGAAAAATTGAGTTCCCGGTGGGAAGTGATGGTAGTGTGGTGCATTGTCAGTGTAATATCGTGCAAAAGGTTTTCCTGAGATTCGAGGTAAAAAAATAGATAAGAATTCCGTGATCGTGGAATTTTCTAATTGTTGAACCGTCTTATATTATCAAGTTAAAAACAAGTATTTTTCGAGGAATTTTCAATTTTTACGTTTGATAAGGATTTTATGCAGCTGATTCTTCGATTAACGCTCGTTGACAGATCAAGCGCGGGCGCACGATGAGCTTCCTATTGTAAGTTTTCCATTATTGTTAACCAACTTTCTTTTCTCTCGAGATACAAGGACAAAGTCTTTGAATCATTTATATAGCAATTCTTTATAGTCAATTTTTTTTTTCTTTCATTATGAAATTTTTTTTGTAAATATTTTCGTCTTGCAAATGAGAAAAAAAAAACAAAAAATAATGTTCATATATAGGAAAAATTAACCGGTCATCGTACGATTGACAGTACAACGACAGTAAAACAATTCTTCTCCCTTCTCTTTGCTGACTGGTCTGTAAATTCAGTTTCTTGACCTGGACGAATCTTGGAATCATTTTGTGTTTCGTCGCCTTGAAATAGAGAACTCGGTTCTTTATTGTTCTCTAATTTTTTTATTTTAATGAATATTTGTCGCTTTTTTTAAAAAAATTTTATTTCTTGCGTAATTTTTATTATAATGACACAAATTTAAAGAATCATCTCACTTTAAGGAGTAATTGTCTGCTTCACTCTGTTCTTAAAATAGATTCGGAAGTACTTAAGAGTATATATATATATATACAAATACATTTATGGAGTTTTCATTTATTTCTTTTTTCCATATAGTTGTGGTTTTGTTTTAATTGTTACGTGAAATTTAAATGACTTGGAACAAAATGTTGTTATTCTAATCAGCTGTTTGTGCGATAATCGCACTACTCCAAAATCGATAAATGCTTCTTGTTCGTCTTCTATGTCCTCACAGGTTTTGTGATTTTTTTTTCACTTTTACCATGTTTTATTTTTGTTTCTTTTTTTTTTTTTTTTTATTAATCCTTAGATAATTTTGTTTTTGAAAAAAAATTTCCATTTTTAAGAAAATAAAAATTATAACGAATATCTTTTTTTTTTAAATGAAAAATATTTGAAAAATGTTTCTTTTTAACTCGCATTGTCTGTATGTATTTTGAAATTGCATCACGTTCTGTTACTCATATCTGACAATATTTAATCGTAACTGTTAAGTTGAAATTTTGTACAAATAATTGCTTAAAAATTCATTTTTGTTTAATTCGGACTTTAATTCTTTTTTTTTTATTTATAGTAAACCAAATTTTTTATAATCTATTTTTTTTAATATTTGCTATATAAAGCAAATTATTAAAATTTATTTAATTCGAGGCCGACGTGATTTTCTGAGATCTTAAATTAACTATTACACTCGAGCTCTCTCTCTCTCTCCTACGCTTATTACTCACCTACTTATCATTTTATTTTTTATAATGCGGGTTCGTCAAAAAAAAAAAATATATTCAAACTAGAATTTAAAAAAATATTTTTTTAAATGTTTTTATTTGCAAAATTAGTTCTCTAATAGTTTTTATTTATATTTTTGTTTTTATTGAATAGATTTGTATTTTAATATAATTCAATCAGTATAAAGTTATGAATTGTGATTTGTCATTTCTTTTATACTCATAATTTAACTGTATTTCCTGTGTTGGCTTTTGTGTTTGATTACTGGGGTATATTTTTTTCAGGACAGTAAAGAGAAAGTTTGCCTGTTAAAAAAAAAAAAAAAAATGTTTCAAATATTTCACTCTAGAGTTTAAATATTTTTTTTTCATATTCTGATTTTATTAGATTTCGTCTTTTTTTCTATTTATTTATTCTACTAACAATTTTATATTCAATGAATATGAAAATTTGATAATTTTTTTTAATTTGAATAATATTATTGTAAAAGTGGAAGCCGTTCTTCAAAGACCTTTAAACCGAAGAAAAATATTCCCGAGGGAACACATCAATATGATTTGATGAAACATGCTGCTGCCACACTTGGTTCGGGAAATTTGCGACTTGCAGTTATGCTTCCTGAAGGAGAAGATTTAAATGAATGGGTCGCCGTTAATAGTAAGTTGATTTAAAAAATAATTTTTGTCATTTTTCATAAATAAAATAAATATAACTTACTTTTTTTTTAGCTGTTGATTTTTTCAATCAAATCAACATGTTATATGGCACAATCACAGAATTTTGTACAGAAGAAAGTTGCTCGATTATGTCGGCGGGACCAAAATATGAATATCATTGGGCAGATGGACATACAGTGAAAAAGCCAATAAAATGTTCAGCACCTAAATATATTGATTATTTAATGACATGGGTGCAAGATCAATTGGATGATGAGACTCTTTTTCCTTCGAAAATTGGTGAGTTTTTTTTTTTTTTTTTTTTAAATGTTCTTTAATGATTAATTGTTTATTTTTTTTTTTTCAGGCGTACCTTTTCCGAAAAATTTTCTTTCAATCGCTAAAACAATATTGAAGAGACTTTTCCGAGTTTATGCACACATTTATCATCAACATTTTAGCGAAGTTGTTCAACTCGGCGAAGAAGCGCATTTAAATACGTCTTTCAAACATTTCATATTTTTCGTTCAGGTGAGTTTTTTTTTTTATTATTATTTATAAATATTAATTTAGAATTAAAAATTCAAAATAGAATAGATTTTTCAAATTTTATAATTGAGCTATAAAACAAACAAAAAAATAAAAAAATTAGGAATTCAATCTGATTGAACGAAGAGAATTGGCACCTCTTCAAGAATTGATAGAAAAACTTACTGCAAAGGAAGGTCGATGAACGTAACCTTTACTTGAGACGAATTACTGTGAAACTTCTCCAAAGAATCTCATCTGTGCTGTTTCCGCTAAATAATCATCGTATATAATATTAATTTAAATTAGATTTTATACATTTCAAATTTTCTTTTTTTTTTAGAAAACAAAAAATACAGAGCAAATTTTAACAATTTTTTTTATTTTTTCTATATAGAATTTTTATTAACTGGCTTTTTTGAAATCGTAGCAGCGTAGTACTGAGATTAGGTATATGTGAATTTATAAAATTTTCAGTCGGTACAAAAAAAAACGTCTGTAAATTCTATATTTTTCAATAACCTCCAGCCTTAATGTTAAAAAAAAAGCTATGAACCTCTGCCGTTTGTACTTGATTAATATGTAACAATTTACACTCTATTTTATTACTAATAGAGTCACTGGCTTTATAAGCGTTCGATTTGACTAGTTTTTTTTTTTATTTTTTTTTTAGAATTTGTTGCATCATCGGCACGTCGTAGCTACAAAAATGTAAAAATTGCGACCACAAGATTATTCTTCAAAATTAATTCAATTGAATTCACATAAAAATAAACACAATAATTTAATAATGGAAAATTTGTCTGAAAAAAAATTTTGTTGAAAAATCATGTGATCGGAAAAATCCAGACATCTTCGTGAGATATCGATAGTTTTATCTCGATTTGAACTAAAATAAAAGTTCATTTTTAGGAATTTACTATCGCACCGCGCTTGGTATGTAAGGGTATTAGGCTAGAATTCTATTAATGATATTTAATAACTGTATTGTTATCGTGTAGCGTCGACGTATCGAAAAAAGGAACCCTAGAATAATGATTATACACTTTTTTTTAAAAAAAAAAAAGCTCGTCGTCAATCATATGAAGTTTTTTTTTTATGTCGACGTAGATAAAAACACACGATTTTTTCTTCAATTGCTTTGTAAGTCTTCGAAGTGCATTTTATGTATATATTTATTATACATATAGGTGCTTATTTTTTTAAGCAAAAAATCACTCATCGCATAAAAGAAAAAGAAAAAAAAAATTGCTTAGTTTTTCTTCTTGGAAAATAGAATCGTTGAAAACGAATAAAATATTTTCCGAATTCATCCGATGACCAACGGACAAAAAATATTGATATTTTATATACAGTATGTAATTGATAAAAAATAGATATCGAAGTGAGTGAACTAATTTACAAGAAATATATATATATAAGCTTTATTTTTGTTTTATAGAAATTTTTTTTTTTGCTATCTAGCGATTTTTATTCTCTCTCTCTCTCGTTTTTTAATCATGATTTTAAATCAGTGAACAATGTATAATGGGTCCATTTGTGTGTTAATTCATAATATAGCTGTGAAAAATGTAATTTTAACATATTGAGGTAGTGCATTTATCTGCGACATGATTTAATTTTTATTATAGTTGATTTTTTAGTTTTTATTTATTTTCCTTTTAATAAGCAATAAATTCGCAGATTGACTATCTTTTTTAAAATTCACACTTGGAGAAAAAAAGGAATGAATTTTTGTATGAAAGAATTTTAAAACTTGATTTTTTTTATTTTTAAAATTATAAAAACTAAATTTTGAAAGCGCCTGAAAAATTGATACAAGAATTATATTAATAATTTACCTGTGCGAACGGCCTTTTTGACTAAAAAATAGATTTCTAGTTTTATTAATATATATATATATATATATAATTTAAGTGAGTTCACCGGACGATAGTTGAATGAACAAAAAGTTTGTGATTATTATGAATAGGATTATGAAAAAGAAAAAAAAATCGTTAGAAAGGTATACGAATAATTGTTACATTTTTGTACTTAAAATTGATTTAATCATACGAATTCTTTAGCACAAAAAAATTTTTTTTTTTTTGCAAATTTTCATGTTCTCCATAAATAACGCACACTTTTTGAATTTAGTCGATAATTCAAAAAAAGTTCGCTACAGGTACATAATTTAGCGCTTTGCTTAAAATTAATCTTCGATTAAAAAAAAAAAATAGATAAAAAAATTCTACGAATCCATTGTTTTTTTTAATCAATATTTGACAATTTATGTCAAAAATGTTCACTTTATTAAAAACTAATAGAAAAATATCTGCTATGATTTTTTTTCTATTTTTATGGAGTGTGGAAAAAAAAACACCGAATTAAGTGATTTTGACAAATTTAATCGTTTACTCGTCGGTGATAAATTTGTGCAATGTAAATAGTATTTTTTCCAATAAATGAAAAATCGATGTAGTACATTGATGTTGGAAATTAATTATTAGATTAAGTTTTTATAAGATTTTTATATACATTTTTAATTGAGAAAAAAAAATGAGAATATTTTTTTATATTAACCTTTAGAATTATCTATTTTAAATAAATTTGATTTTTATTTAATATATACATAAAGTTTAAGTTGAAAATAATTTTTATGTGAAAAAATTTTTTTTTAGCGAAAAATTGATCTACTTGTTTTAGCAAATCGTTTTGATTTCAAATGAAATCTTGTTGGTATGGGATATAGACGAAAAAGACGTCTAGGTTTATAAGAATATGGTGAATAAAATTGTTGATAACATTCAGTGCAAATTGTATGTAAATCACAATATTCATCAATGTAAGTAGAATTATTTACTTTTGATTTTATACTAATTTCACTATTTATTTTACAGCAATGTTGAGAATAATTGGTTAAATTATCAGATTTTTCAAGAAGACAAATTGTTTGAAAAAATTCAAAAAATCTTCTTAGTCGTGATTTTTTCATTGTTGAAATTGAAAATTCTTGATCATCACATACACAATGATTGCAATTTGAAAAAATTTGTGATTGACATTTTTCTTCAATAAAATTATGTGACTTATGAAGAGTTTCATTGAATTCTTGATGAATTTGACAAACCATATTTTATGAAGAATTGAAATTAGAGAAATTTGTTGAAAATTATAATAATCGGTAAGTTTTTAAATAATTTAAAAACATTTTGAATATATTTTTTTTTTATTTACTGCTTTTTTAATAAAATTTTACATTTTATGGATTTGTTTGGAAAAACAAAAAAGAATCGTATTAAAAAGAGAAAAAAACAATTGTTAAATATAACTGTAAATTATGAATAATTTTTTTAAAATTAGTTTTATGAAATTTATTTCCCACCAAGGGGAAAATTTGAATTTACTATTGCGCAAGTCTAGAATTATATTTATTATCATTTTCTATTTGAAATTTATTTGTTTGGTGTATCGTTGAATTTGGGAAGAAGTGAGTGTGTGTGTGTGTTTCGTACTTTCCTTTTAACAATGGAGTGTGAAGGAAAATTTTATTTTACATCAGAACAACTTGCAGATACACCAAGCACAAAAGATGGGATCTCGATTGATGATGAAATAAATTGTCATAAAAAATCTGCAATATTTATACAATCTTTAGGAGAGAAATTAAAAATGTATCCTTTTTCTTGAAAAATTTATTCAGGTGTTAATAGAGTATTGAACGATTGTATTTATTATTTTGATATTGTAAACAGTTTCTCTAATATTTGAATATTTACAAATAGTTTTGAATAGAAAAATATGATTTTAATATAATTTATAAATTGAAAATTTTCAAAAAATTTAAATTTCTAATTTAGTTAAAAAATTTTAATATACAATTCTTGAATAAATAAAAGAGATAAATTTTTTTTTTTTAACGAAAATTGTCATTTTCTTTAATTTTACGAAAATAGTCCACAATTGTGTATTAATACTGCTATTGTATATGTGAAAAGATTTTTCATGTATCATTCATTGAAGAAATTTCTTAAGTACAGAATTTCGCTTGCTGCTTTATTTTTAGCGTGCAAAACTGAAGATGTTTATGTAAAATCAGAATATTTTATTTATCTTTATTTCAAATTTGTTTCTCCAAATGATATAAAAGTTAATTCAGAAGTAAGTAAAAAAAAAGAAATTTGAAAAAAAAATGTATTCAATTTCACTAGTTAAATTTTTGAAATCAATTTTTATAATTTTTAAATCCTTTTTATCAGGAATTCAATGACGAACTTGCGAATTTTAAATTTAATGAAATCTTAATTATGATGACATTGGGATTTGAAACAATTGTTGAACATCCTCATCTTCATATTGTAAAACACGCTCCTTTTATTCAGGGTATTTATAAATTATTTTTTTTTTCCTTTATATTTTACAAGAATTAAAATTATTTTTGATATTTTTTTTATATTTTGTTAATATTTTTTTTTGTTTTTTTAATTCAGTGAGAAAAGATGTCTTAAAATTAGCCTACTTCACGGCTTCGAAATGGTAGTTTTTTTTTTTTTTTTAAATATCCTTTTTCAATTTCAACAATTTTTTCATAAAATTATTTTTTCAGTTTGCATCTGACGTCATTGTGTTTACAGTACACACCAAAAATTGTTGCCTGCTTCTCGATTCATTTGGCTGCTTTGAAATTTCAAGTGAAGGTAATATTTAAATTTTATTTCAATTTTCAATTGTTATTAAAAAAATTCATAATTCCAATTTGTAGATTCCAAATACTGAAGAAAATCAACCATGGTTTTCACGTATCGAGAAAAGTGTGACTTATGAATTTTTGGATAATTTAACGAAACAATATTTTAATTTATTTGACAAACATCAACCATGGTTCAGTATTGCTAAAAAAATGATTAATAGAAAAACAATAATCACCCAATCACCGCAATTGAATCTTAATCTAAGTATAGGAATTTCAACGAAACGATTAGATATTTCTGATAATATACAATCTCCACTATTCAAGATAAATCAATCAAATTCTGATATTAATGAAAATTTGCATTTATCACATGCGAAGAATGATAATTTATCATTTTCACAAAATATTGATAATCAAGATAATCGAATATCATCAACATTTAAAACACTTCAATTGAAATCAAATGATTTATCTTATTTTTCACCACCAAATCGAGAAATTCTCCAATCATTGTTTAATCGAAATTGTTTAATGTCAAATGAAAAAGAAATTTTACAACAATCTGATAGTCGAGAAAATTTATTTTTATTTTCAAATATTCATCATTCAAATTTTGTTAATCAAGAAAATTCATCTTATTTTCAAAATAATCATTCGACACCGAAAATTTCAGAATCATTAATTCCTTCGATTAATCAATTAACGCCAATTATAAAAAAAAATGAATTATCATTTCAAAAGGAGAATTATCCAAGGAGTAATTTCCTGAAAAGTTTGGAATCATCGAATGTTGATCATTTGACGTCCAATAATAGTCAAGAAGCATTTGATTTATCTCTTTTTCAAAATTATACAAGCGAAAATTATTTCTCCAATCAATCAAAATCATTTAATTATGATATTTGGCAACCATTTCTTTCTAATATTAATCAATCAGTGAAAATTGATTCTTGTTTGCCAACAAATGAAAGATGTCAGGAAATATCATTAAAACGTCAATCTAATGATTTAAATGATTCGATTATAAATAAACGTCGATGTTTATCTGGTATTAATAATAGTGTACCACAATATAAATTTAATTTTCTTTAATCGCGTTAAAAAAATAATTATCTAAAAATTAATGCTTCTTCCAAATAATAAACTGTGATATTTATTTTTCAAATTATGTATTAAAAAATTTGTTCTTACTAGATATTCAAACGACGAATTATTTCATATTTTTGTTAAAAAAATTTATTTTTTCTTTATATAAACCTTAGATTTAAATTGAGAACATGATTTCAAAAAGGAAAGTTTGAAAAGAAGTGTAAAAAATTGTATTAAACAAATAGTTTTGTAATTTAAAAAAAAAATTATTTTTATTGGAATAAAAATTTTCGTACCCAAACAAATTATATTATACAAAATTAATTTATTATTATTTAAAATTTTTAATCATATACTTAAAAATCATTTAAATATTAATTTAAAATTTAAATAATGTCTATTATATTAAATTAATTAATTTACAATTTTAAATTTTAAAAAAATTTGAATATTTAAAATTTAAGTGGTGCCATCTATTAAAGCGCCATTAAAGTTTTAGTTCCTCCCAGTTTTGCAAAAACATAAAATGCACAAAGAAATTTTTTTTCTTAAATAAAACTCTAATTTTTTTATTTGTTTGAACTTTAAAATAAAAGGACAATGTTTTAAAATGTCAAAATTAATAATGAAACGAAATTAAACATTTTTTTTTCGTTTTTTATAATAAGAAAAATGAGAGAGAAATAATATAACCTAAAAAAGAAAATGGATTATTTAGGAGAAATAGTTGTTCTTGGAATTGATAGTTTAATTTTTGGTTTATGTTTAAAGCAATATTATCATTGTAAAAATGCAATTAATGCTGTCAAGGTAAGTTTTATTATATTTATAATTTAGTCTATTGTATTCAAAAAAAAAAATTGTACTTTTATAAAAATTTATTATTTTAGTTAATTTAGTAAATATATATGTATTTTGTTTTATTATATAATAATTATATTGATAAATATTTCCAATAAAAAATAAAATAAGAAACTAATTGACATATTATTAAAATTTAAGAATACAGAATTTCACGAGGTTGGACCGAGTTTATATAAAACAATAAATAAAGCTGATGGAAAAATTAAATATATTGCGATAAAAGGAACTGTTTTGCCATTAGGAAAATCGTTGCATAGTGTAAATAATAAAGATGTTACCGGTGTTATACAAAAATTAACACTTAAAGAGCATATTGTGGCTAGAACAAGTGCTGGCTTTTGGTAAGTTTAGATATTTCGAATTTAATTTTTTTTTTTTTTTTTTTTGAACAATTTTTGTATTTTTCAGGTCTGATCAAGAACGGACAGTACAAGAAATTTATAATAAAATACCATTTGCCTTATCTAATGGATCGTACAAAGTTGAAATTGTTGATGCAATGGCTGCTGAAGTTTTAGATATGGATACAATATCAGATATTTTTGAGCCTAAAGTTCCAACATTTTCCGATCATTTATGGGGCTTTTTCACAGGTTAATAATAATAATAATAAATTCTTCTCATCTTTTTTTTTTTTAAAAAAAAACTTTAATTAAATTAGGTGTTCGACAACGTGGATTGCAATCAACTGAAGAAATGTTGAGAGAAGGATCAGTGATAACTGGCATAGGAGAATTAACAAGACCAGTAACAAAGCCAGATACACTTTTATTACAACCGCCAGTTGATGGTACTCCATTTTATTTGACAACAATGTCAGTGAGTTCACTTTTAAGAAGGCTGGACGATCGAAAAAAGACTTATAGGTTGGTTTTCCAAAAAATTGATTTTAAAGAAAAGAAAATTTAATATTTTTCTTTTGCAGATGGTTGTGCATGATGTTTGGTACTATTGGACTTATAATAGGAGGTTTAATAGCACGTCGTTATTGGAAGGATAGAGAGGAGGAAAGAATTGCAAATGAACTTCGTGAATCATTGGCAGCGTCACGAAAAGAAAGACGGCAAAAAGTACGTAACAATGATCTCAGTGAGGATCTTGCATGCGTTGTATGCCGATCGAATCCACGTGAAATTATTTTACTTGATTGTGGTCACGTTTGTTTATGTGAAGATTGTTCCGAGGGAATAATAGGCGGATGTCCTATATGTCGTGCGCCTATTAAATTTAAATATGCAGCATATATTAGTTAAATTGGGGTCTAAAAAAAAAAATTTCAAAAGAAAAAATCGCTCAATCACCAAAAAGAAAAATTTATCCAAGTTGTTTTTTTATATATATATATATATAATTTAATGGAAGTGAAAAATTGATATCTACGTTAAAAGGTAAATTTTATATTTATTTTACAATTTATTTTATACATTTATTTCTTATAAAGTGGAATCAAAAATTGATATTTTTAATTTGATTCTTTTTCTCTAAGTTTGATGGCAAATTCATTATTTGTTTGACTTTGCTAGTTTTGCCAATACCAAGTTTTGGTAGTCCACGATTTAGACCCTCTAATAAAATGCAAGCTTTACATATCTCTTGACTTGAAACAAAACCACAGCGAGTACAATTACGTCTTTCGGGAAATTTAACTGTATTCTTAATTTGTAGGCGTTCACCTAAAAACAAAAAGGTTTGCATTACAAAATCCTATTTTTTTAAATTTTTGTTTTTTTAATTACCTGAATGTATTATATCAATGATGCTTGACGGTCTAATTTTTTCCAAATTCTTTAATAAAGTTCGCGCATGTCCTCTATAGGCATTTGGTGAGAATATACATTCTGTTGAAAAATAAACGAGACGTTTAAAATAGGCGTACATCACTATTTCTTTTTCATAAGTATACTTGAGGGGTTTACATCGACTGATAGCATCTTCACTCGCCTGTGATAAATAAAATATTTTTATTAAAGTATAATTAAAATTAGTTTCTTCATTATCGGTTTTATTATTAATATTAAGGAAAAGAAAAGAAAAAAAGAAACTCTTACTGTTACAATTGAGGTACACCTCTGTAATCTTGCAATGTCCCCTCTTAAAACGTTCATTAACACTGTTTCGGCAATATCATCTGCATTATGACCGGTTGCTATGCAATTTACTCCTAAAAGTGTTGCACCTCTATCTAGAGCTTGACGACGAAAAACCCCACAAAATGTGCAATTATTTTTTCGACCTATCTAAATTGAAAATTAATTTTTAGTTAATATTCTCCATTTATAAAAGGAAGAAAAAAAATTACCTCTTTTACAATTTCATCCATTGTCCATCCATATAGATCTTTGTATGATAAAATTTTTAAAGGCATATCATAATCGTCTCTATTTTTTTTAACTGTTTCTAAACTATCATCTCTGTATCCTAAAATATTGCATTTTTTTTTTTAAATAGATAACAAAAATTGTAATTAATAGAAAATTAAATCATAAAATATTTGAAAAAAAATTGAATATACCCGTAATTCCTTCGTCGATTGATAAAAGAAAGAGATCTAGTCCATAATTATATTTTTCGTTTAATAATTTTAAAACATATGCAAGAACTGTCGAATCTTTTCCACCTGATGCGCCAATTGCAACTTTATCACCATTTTTAAATAAATTACCATTAATAATGGTATTATGAATTTCCGATTCGAATGCACGAAAAAAGCAGTCTTTGCAAAGTGCATTTCCAGTTTTTGGCCTCTGCAAAAAAAATAATTCTTTTTTCTTACTCTTTTATTTTGTTTTTATTTTTTAATTACAGCTAAAATTGAAGTGTTTTATTTTTATTCCAAAAAGATTGACATTATTAATTATTATTAAGAGTAATATAATGATAAATTAAAATATATATCAACATTAATAAAACAATTTGCGTGAAATAAAAATATTGAACAAAAATTAACCTTCAAAAAATGTCACATTTTGCAGAACACGTAACAGTTTTATTTTAAAGAAAATATTATATAAATAAATATTTATTGGAACAAGAAAACAATACACCTTCATATAATTATTATAAATTAAAAAATTTAATCGAAATTTGGAAATTAAAATATTAAACAAAAATTAACCTTCAAAACTGCTTGCTTTCCACATTTTGCAGAACACGTGACAGTCATATTTTAAAGAAAATATCACATAAATAAATATTAAAAATCAATAAATTTTAGTAAAAAAATAAATTAATATTGATTTTTTTTATTTACAAGTTAAGAAAACAAATAAACAATTCTGACATGATGAAATATTGATCAGGGTTGGTTAGGTATATGCAATATGTAACTTTAAGGGTTCGGTAGCTACAGTTGTAGAAAACGCAGGATGATGGATTCTTTTTCAAAAGTCGAAAGAGCATTATGGCGAATTTACAAATGCCGAACATCAAAAAAAGCGAAAGCGATTTTAGTTTCTACTTTTAATTACCTATTCAATGCAATAATAAAAAACGATTTTATTTTTTTTAATAAATTTTATTATTGCATTAAAAAGGTACTTAAAATAAAAACTAAAATCTTTTAATAAATGAAATGACATCAAATGTAACAAAACGTCTATATATAAACGTTCAAAATTTAACAGGGATGGGTAACTAAAAATATTTTATAAGCGCGCCCTCGTGTTAATCGCGTGAACTATGTTAATAGTTTAAAATAATAGTTTCTCAACCCTGTAATATTTGCAAATCTCAAGTGTTTACCTTTCTCAACCCTGGCAAAACATTAATGTTGCAATGTTATTAAAAAGCATGCGTAAAAAAACATCACACGTATAATTAATGTTTATTAATGTCATTTAAACATTAATACAAAATTCTTGTTTTAAAATACATCTATATGTGTTAGTGACAGTGTTTTTTGTGTAAGTCGAGGTCAAAGAGTTCGTTTTTAAACGTAAAATATATGATGCAAATTTTCCTGCAACTGACGTTTGCAATTGAGAAAATAGAATCGTGAGAAAAAAAAAGAAATGGTATTCATGGATATTTTTCGAAATTTTCTTGGTCTGAAAAAATACGACAATCCAAATGTCAGGTGAGAGAAAATCAATGCTTCCTACGTCTTATATTTTTTTGATTGACAAATACGTTTTAATTTTTTGTATCATAAATTATTTTAAAAAGAAAATTTTATTATTTATGTAATTTTACATTGTTTATATCGATTATATTTACTATATATAACATAAAATGGAGTAAATGTAAAAATTTTGTATTTTAATTTTGAGGTTAAAATATTCAATATGGGATTATATTTTATTTGTATATTGTTCTTAATGTTCGAATGATGCAATGTTTTTATTTTAATTTTAGACCTGAGGAGCCAAATGAAAATAAATTCCGAAAACCAATTTGGATTAATAATGATGATGATGATGACGATGAATACAGTAGTGACTTTAGGTACAGAGAAATTTGTTTTAAATTTAATTTTAAAAATTGATAAATATTAAATATTTTTAAATTATTAATATTATGACAAAGTGAAAAATATATATTTAACATTTTTTAGCAGAGATCAGAATAAAGAGAATGTACATGTCGAAATATTTGTAGATCCATTTGATATGAGTCATTTTGAATCACAAATAAATAATATAATGAAAAGTTTCTTTGGTGGATTTCCAGGACAAGCTGGAGGAATTTTTGGTCAATTTGAAGGTGAGTAAAATTGTTAATTGATTAAAAATTTTTTTAATAATAGACATTTTTTATTTAAATACATTTTTCAAAGATTGGATAATAAATTCAAAAATTTGTTTTTTTTCCTCAAGATAATTCCTCGTCGGTGTTTGCATTACCGGAACCACCAAGGCACTCGAATCGAACTGGAAATAATTTACGTGATCAAATTCTACAGCGAGAATTTGAATCCACTGATAATTTTCAAAATCAAGCGAAAGCAGATCAGGATTTAGATGGAAAGTAAGAAATAAAGTTATATAATTAACTTTTTGTTTGTCGAAAATTTAAATTTAAAAAAAGTAAATAAAAAGAAATTAGTGCCATAAATTTAATAAATAAAAATGCTAATTTTTAAGTCGATTATATTTCAGAATTAATAAAGAATCTCTCCTGAAATTTTGGCAAGATCCAACGAGTCAACAAATTGAATCAATAAATGAACCGCAAAAAAAATCATGCGTCGGATGTTTCTCCGGATCATTGTCATCGACACGAATAATAAAGAGAAGTGACGGTACAATTGAGAAACATCAAACATTTAAAGATAATGATGGCAATGAGCAAACAATTGTTCGCCGACAAATTGGTGATAAAGTTCATGAGCTCATAACAAATCGTAATAAAGCTGGAAATGAAACCACAACCGAGAATTTTATTAATATTAATGAAAGTAAGAAATAAAAAAAAAAAAATAATTAAATTTTTCTTTTATACTAGAAAAATTGTTAAACATAAAAATTTTCTATTTCAGATGAAATAAAAACATTCAATGATTGCTGGAAATCGGATATTGATCAAAATCCACAAATGGACTTTGGTCCAAGAAATTTATTCCCATGGCATGAATTTTTTGGTCCCGGTGCAAAATTATAGATAAATCGTAATTTTCTTTTTGAGATTTAAAAAATTTCTTTTAAACAAAAACTTTTTATTTTAAAAAATAATTTTCTTAATTTTGCAAAACTAACATTAATTACAAATTTTTTAATTGAAAACATTTTAAATTTTTCTTTGTATATTTAATGTCTAAAAATGGAAAATTTATAACTAATTAAAATTAATCCTCTTTTTTTATTTAAAAAAAAAGGAAATTAAAAATCAAATTTTGAAACAAAAAATCGAAAATATATTTTAAGAAAAAACATTTTTAAAGAATTAATTTTTTGTTCTTCCAAAGTTTTTTTTTATGTAAATTTTTCATTCTAATAGAAATTAGTTAAATTGTAATTATATAAAATTAAATAAAATAATTAAATATGAAACATTGAGAATTTAACGGTAAATTGTTTATTTACTGCTTTGTATATATAGTCTGTACATATTACATATATACAATCTAATAAAACATTATTGTACGGGTAATCAAATGTTTGTTCTCGCCTCTTAGAGAAAGAACCATTTTTTTTTCCTGAGCGATTACGACGCTGCGCAACTTACCACGAACAAAAATTAATAATTATCTATCTTTTTATTTTTTATTCAAGGTAATGCACTCACAAAAAAAATTTCCCCTCCCGAGTGTTTTGCCAAAAAAAAAATTTAAACATACATTTTTCCCCCCCGAAACAAAAATAATAGTTTCAGTGCATTTTTTTTAGGTGCATTATTTTTTTCTGTTTAAGTTTCTCACAAAACTATAAATATTTATATTTATATAATATTAAAAATTTAAATTATACATGCAGCACACAAAAAAAATTTACAATACTGCTTAATTCATATTTTACTTAAATTCCATTTTATTTTCTCGATTTTATTAATTTTTGTTAAAAAAAATTCCAGGTAAATTCATAAAATTTCTACTATTGAATAATTTTAGTTGCAAAAATAATATTTGAAAGATTTAAAACAAAACGGAAAATAAAATCGAGAAATTAAAATATTTTTCTGTTCCATCAACTGAAATAATTGTGCTAAGAATAAAAAGATTGATTTAGTTAAATAGTGATTATAAAAAGTAAAACATAAATAAATTGTTTCGTCGTAACAAATATCAGTTCTGCTTCTTTTTTTTTTTTTTTTTTGTTTCATGAAAACAAAACATTTCGCGCATGTTATTAATCTACAAAATGAATACTCGCTACGTTTGTAATTGCTTAAAAAAGAAATAAATTACAAAAATTTTTTTTTATATATTTATCCTTGTGAAATTTCTCGAAAATTGAATTTACATAATCGACAATTTTTCAAGAAATTTGGAAAGGAAAAATCTTTAAAAAAAATTTTTTTGAATTTATCATAAAAGCGCAGGAGCAATGTGTATAATAAATGTATCGGTGCATAAATTTTATATCTATATCTATAATACAAGTTATTTACAAACAAAGATGTATTTATATATATTTTAGAAAGGGAAACAATAAATTTTTTTTTAAATTCGTTTACAATATTTATAAAAAACAATCAAAAGTATAGGAAATTCTAGAAAAAAAATTCTGAGAAATATGTTTTGTAATATTCAAAATTTGACTAAATTTTTACTCGGTAAGAAAATTTTACTTAAAATTAAAAATGTATTTTTTTAAATTTAATTTAATAAAAATTGTATTTGATCGCCAATTGCTTGAAATTTATAATTTTGATTTTAATTCTGGTAAATAACATTTTTCCTAGTAATTCAAAAAAAAATTTCTATTATAAAATGAAAATCGAAAAAGTTATTCTAATAAAAAATTTCTCTCTTTTCAATTCCAATTACAATTTTTGCAATGAGAGAAATAATTATCGGTAAGGCTTTTAAAAATTGATTTCTCAAAAACATTTAAATAAATCTAAAAATGTCAATTAAAATTTTTTAATTTTTCTCTTAAATAATTTATAATTACTTTTTTGTACAATTTATAGTACTGTACAGATGGAAATTAATTTTTTTTATGAGAAAATTCTCATATATTAACTATTATGCGATAAATTATGGGAAAAAAGAAATAAAATTAAAATATCTCAATTTTAAGATTCTTCGTGGAAAAAATTTACTAACATGTCTTGAGAAAATAAATCTCAAGGAAAGAAGTTTTGAGAATCTATAGAAAAAAGAGTATTAAAAAAATAGATTTTGAAGAATCTTAAAATTTGTTTCTTTTTTTCAAGAAAAAAAAAAAGAGAAAATTCTCTTCTTTTTTCTTTTTGTCTATATAAATCTGTTCCAGACAGTATACACAATATTATTGTCCCTGTGATAAATAAGATTTAATTTTTTTTTTTTTTTTTAATATTTACAAATACTCATTGGAAAGAAAAACATTATATTCTCGTTCCAGGGACTCAATTATGTATCGTTAAAAGGAATAATAATGTTTGCCAAAAAATAGCTAAAAATTTGTATGTCCTGCAATTTCAATTAGATTGAAATTTTCTAATTTAACACACGCTTTATAAAGAAAGAGAAAATAATAAAAATTCGAGAAAAATGGATGTTTTACACAAAAAGAAATTCTCTCTGTTCCTTTTCACATTCTCTTTCTTTCTTTCTTTCCTAACAGAAATTTAAATGGATTTTTATGTAAACAAATAATATATCAAGATAAAATTGAATTATAATTCTGGTTTTTTGAATTTAAGTATTAAAGTGTTTAAAAAAGGTAATTTGACTTTCAATAAATGTAAAAGTGGAATTTTATATTTAACAAAAAAAAAGTTCAACTTACGAATTTGACTTGCGAATAAATTGAAAGATTTGCTTTCATAAAAATCCTGATTCATTCCTGTGAAACTTTCACTACAAAACATTAGAACAATTATGCTACCACTTGTATACAGTTATAATTAACGACAGTCAGGTGATTTCTAGTTTTATACAACTTGAGGGAGTTTGGCTTTTGAATATTCAGTACTTTATGTCTGTAAAAAGAAAATTTTTTTAAATCAATAAACGATTAATTTAAATTAAATAAAAATTTCTAATTAAATAATTTGAAAAATTAAATTACCTAGAGGGAAATCATTCTTGTCCAAAACCTTCCGTTTCTTCGATAGCGTAATTCAATTTTTCCACCATTTGATCGTAACTTTTATATGGTGGCAAATCCAATCGATTGAAACATGTGTGCGACCTTGGTAGCCAAGTGTCTTTGCCAACTTTTTCTATACAAAATCTTTGTGGTCCATTGCTTCCTACGATGTCCGAGAAAAAAAAAGTTTACATATATTATACTTTCAATTTGAAAAGTATCTTATTTTTTTTTTAAATTAAAAAATATCTAATTTAAAATTATAAATTTTAGAATATTTAAAAATAAAATTGAATTTTTTTTTTCAATTTTGAGAATATTTTTAATTACGCAAAATTTTACCCATTAATTCAGCAAAACCTCCAACTGGAACTCGACAGGTACCGGTGACAAATTGTAAAAGCCTCGCTCGTTTCTCACTGTCAGTTGACCGAACAAACTGCAAAAAAAAAAAAAAATTCTCGATATTTTCTACTTTTTCGGCTATAAATTTGTCAATTTGATAATAATAATATAAATTATAATTAAAATGAAAATATTTTTAAATAGAATTACAAACCTGCCAAAACCAAAGAACTTGTTTACTATTTCTCGTGTAATGCCTGTAAATTGTATTTCTTTGCCAGTCTTCAACATCAATTTCCTGCATTCCACACAACATTAATTCAAGTTCACGTTCATCAAAATATTTTAACCATTCAAGTGGTACAACTGAATTGAAACCTTCGAGAAATGCTTTTGTTTGCTCTTCAATTCCACGTGTCATTCGCCATTCTGTCATTAAACGTATATATTCCTCTTTATTTTCTTCAACAACACGTATTTTATCACCATTCTCTTTTAATTCATGATGTATAACTTGTCCTAAAATTTCAAAATCCACACTATAATACAATTCAAGACCGCATTCATCAATATTATTCTCCTTTATCCAAACGAGTGATTTATAAAATTCCGGATCAATTGATTCAATGTCTTTCATTATTAATTTTTTATTTAACATCCTCTTGTAAAATGGCATTGTAAAACCACTGTAGATGAAACGACCATGATAAAGTGCCTGTAACAAAAGAAAAATTATTTTTTTTGTTATTTAAACAGAAAAAAGAAATTATTTAATTATTTTATGAAATTTTAAAATTACCATTGCAATGAATCGTCCGATAAATTTGAAATACTGAAGATGATCAGGATTCACATACGAGGCTGGATTAATTTGCAAACTATAATTACTTTTATTGGCGTATTCGAAAAGGCAATACATGGGATTAAGCACCTCGTGACTTAGAAGGAAGAACCATTCTCTGCAAAAGAAAAAAAAATGAATTTTCAAAATTGACAAAAATAATATAAAACAATTGTATTAATTAATAATTCTAATAGAGAATAATTTACCTTGAAACACCACCATAGTCGAGACCTTCTTCACCTTTAAAAATTATATACAATCTACGTCTCAAGGCAAAAGCTTCAGCGTTCATAATTTGATGATATGAATCCTCAAAGAGAGTTTGTCGGCTGACACTTATTTTTATATGATTCGGCAATGCATTCGTTTGACACAAGAAACGAAATTGCGAGAGTTTCCAACGAAACGATCTTTCATAAGCCCTTGGCACACGATAAGCACCCTTTGGTCTGAAAATTATTTCAAAAAAAAAAAGAAAAATATAAATAAATTCAGTATATTTTAATAATTAAATTTTTACTACTTACCCCTTTGGAGCGCCAGGTCTTGGATCTTGGAATGTTGTCGTTCTTGAATTATGATCAACAAAATATCGTACTCCATCTTCAGTTAAACGAATTTCCCAACCATCTGGCAATTGTGGTTCGTCCATTCCCGTTTCTTGTCCTTGTGTTCGTGGATCCTCCCATTGGGTCGTGCGATTTTTATGATTAACGTAATAAACACGTCCCTCGGGCTGTTTTCTTCGTTCCCAACCGGCTGGCAATGGTCCCAATGCATCGTCTTCAGTGTCAACTGTCGCCAATTGTGTTGTTGTTGTTGCTGTTGCTGATGTTGACGATGGTCCAGCAACGGCCATTGGCGCACCATGATGATGATGATGATGATGATGATTGGCACCCGCTGCCTGTGGATAGAGAAACCTTTGATTTCCCTGTTGTACGACAAATTGTCGTTCACCCTGCCATTGTTGAAAATGTTGCAGCCTCTCTGTATTTGGTCTCTGCCACGTTGTACTTCTTGTATTATGATCGACATAATAAATACGTCCACGTGGATCTCTTCTTACTTCCCAACCAGGTGGCAATGGTTGTGGTCTTTCCCATGATGTACTACGTGTATTATGATCCACATAGTATCTGAAAATAATTTCAATTCATCAAAAATTCTACATTTTCCCACCTCAGATCGACTTTAAGGCGCAAAAAAAAAAAAAAAATCTCATCCCTTTTTGAAAATAGAATAGAATTTACCTTCTACCATAAACGTCGTATCGCATTTCCCAACCGTTTGGCAATGGTTCCTCGGCCGATGCTGCCGCTTGTTGTTGATTTCCATTTTCTATTTCGTTCGTAGCCGATGGAGTATCACTAGTATTAACAGTTGTCGATTGATTTGATGGTACAACCAATTGTGATGTTTGTGGTTGCACTGGTGTCGGTGGCACAACAACCACAACATTATTACTCGCTGATGACGAATTATGATTACTCGTTGTTCCATTTGTAACCACGGGACTATTAACTCCAACTAATTGATTATTTGAATTTATTGCCCCTTGCGATGATGAACTCAACGAAGGCGCCGCATTTTCCGTTCCCTGAAGTCTCAATCGTGCTCGAACACCACCATTTAAAATACTTCGATTATTAGCCGCGTCACTATTCGAGGCACCTGTAAATAATTTCAATATTTTAAATTCTTTCACTAACAAATAAATTATAAATCTAAAAAAAAAAAAAACATACCAAGGGGAACGGCTGAATTATTACTGCCATTAATAACGGAACATTGATATTGTCTCATAATATCACCTGGTGGCGTGACATTTGTCATGTCAATTTTTAATCCATCAAATAATGTGACTAATTCGCCAACTTTTGCCAAATGAGATTCATGTTTACTACTCTCGGCAATTAAATCGAGTGTTAATTCGAGATTTTCAATTTTTCCATTATAATGTGATAAAATTTGATAGAGACTTAATTTTTTTTCACCAATTAATGTATCTTTACGGAATGTACTATGATCAAGAAGACGAAAATGCAATTGTGAATGAGGTGTAACGAGCACTGTAAACTCCTCGTTCCACTTTGGTTGATATGTAGATTTTGAGACCTCAGTTTTACGAGGACTTTTCTCGTCAACTGAAAATTCGATGTACGGATTTGGTTTTAAAAACGATGAACTCCTCAATATTGCTGCTTCGACTGAAAATAAAAAATAATTTTAATTATTAATCAACAAATAAACATTTTAATTAATTTTTCTCTATAAAATAGGATTTTTTTTTTAAAAAAATTTCTCTTTTTTTCTGAATTAAAATTTAATACTCACTGCTAACGCTCAACTGGTGAAATCCAGATGACACAGCTTCCTCTTCAGCACAATTATTAGACATTGTTGGCTTTTGTGATAATGCGCGCGCGCACGGAAGTTATCCACGATAATTTGTTTATTCGTTCATGACATCTTCGAAAACTCAACTGTCTTCATAATCTACAATTGTCAAATTTTTTATTTTCAATTTCAATCCTTCAAATTAAATTTTTATTACTATCTAGTGAAAATTTTATAGAAATTATTTTAAAGATTTCCACCTCGTTTACTTAAGGTTTAATTTTTTACATATAAATAAATAATTTCTTAATTTTACACAAAAAAAAGTGTTTAGAATATAAAAAAATCAAAAGAGAAAAAAAAATTGTCTTGAAACGATTTAGAAGGAGAAATGATAAGTAAAAGAAAAAAATATATATACACGAAAATATTTTCGGAATACATTAAATATATTAAAATGTTAAAAATAACTTTCAATCGACTAAAAACGTTAATAAAAAATTTATTTTTTCACATTTATATCTAAAAACAAATCTAAATATATAATTTCACTATTGAAATTAATTTTATAATTAGATTACATTGTAGGGGAATTTTTGTCGATATTAACAAATGATGCAGATTACATTATCGTATTATCAGAAAATGAGAGCGGCATAAATAGCTGGTTGTTTTTTTTTAAATATATTATCGATCAGTGAAATATAATAAATTTTTGCAAAAAGAAAATTTATCATATGAAATATTTAATTTTAATATTATTCATTATTCTAACATTATATTATTAACTTTTATTATCTTATATGCAAACGGAATCTTAGATAATGTTATAATTATTCTGATAAGTCATTCAATTGTTTTCAAAACACATAAAATAATTATTTTAACTAGTAAGAAACAAAAAAGTTATTAAATTTATCATTAAAGAAATTATTTTTCATTTTAACAATAATAATAATAATAATGACATCAACTAAATAGGTAACAGGTAAGAATAGAATAGATAAGAACTTGAATGTTAAAAAAAAAGTTTGACAGTTAACAAAAGGAAAAAAAAACCTAGACCCATGAAACTGATACAATTGAAAAAATAAACTTAAAGAATTCATGATATGTCAATTGAATGCAAAAAAAAAAGGATATACAAATGCGCGGTGTTAAATGACAATAGCATTGGGAGGTATGAAAAAAGAATTCAATTGAAAAACAAACCTATTTTGAGATTGTTAGACGTTTTGGCTGCTTCTGATTTTGCAGCATTCTTCGTACTATTATTTTCTTGGCACAATCGTGAAATTATCAATTTTGTTGAATAAAAGATGTAGAAAACACTGACGATTTCGTTATCACTACTTGATTTTTCGTCACTATCAGTTAGCCACCATCTTGGCCACTCACATACGTCAAACTTGAGCGTAAAATGAAAGTGCGTCAGACAAGTCTTAATAAAAAAATAATCATACACGATAATTGTAAATTTTATTTATCAGAAAATCACTTCATTATTTTTTCAGTCATATTAAAAAGACACTTAATCACTTTATTAAAAATGAATAATTTGACTTTTTAGACAAAGTTGATTTTACTGAAAGAATACGTTTTTTAATGAATTTTCCTATGGCGGCGATTTATTATCACATGACCTGAGTAAAGAGCCAATCACGTGCCACTATTACCATAAACAGACAAAACAAGAAGAAAGTTATTTATTGAAAATCCGGCTTAAGATTTGTGTTGAGTGTCGTATTTCGGATGTTTTATTTCTAATTTGGTGTGAACGTATCTTTATTGTAATTTCCCAACCCTGATTGTCTTAGGTCAGGTTAGATTTAAAGTTTTTGTAATTAACAAATAATAATTAGAGGAAAAAAAATGGAAATAGGACGTGAAGCTGTTTTGAAACTTTATCGAAATTTACTTAAAGAAAGTAAAAGCTGGAATTCCTATAATTACAGGTATTTTCATAGATATTAATATTGTTTTTATTAATCAAATAAACATAACCTATAAATTATTAATTTTAAAATGTTCAGACATTCAAATTAGTTACAAAATTAGTGAAATGTATAATTTTAAATAAACTTTTATATTTTAGAAGTTTTAAATAAATTTTTTTTTAAATTAAATTAGAAATTGTAGTATATTGTAGAAATATATTGTAGGATGTATGCATTGCGAAAAATTCGTCACGAATTTCAAGAAAATAAAACAGTGACAGATGAAGAAAAGCTGAAAGATTGTTTTAATCATGGACTTGATTCATTGGAAATAATTAAGAGACAAGTTGCAATTGGAAATTTATATTTAACGCGACCATTGGTAATAGAAACTCAACAGCATCATGAAGAGAGTGAAATATTTTCAAAGTAGTTTTTAAAGAAAAAAAAATTGTTTCTAAATTATTCAAAATAATTTGTTATAAAAATGTTCACATCGATAAATTTCTGAAAATATTTCACATAGAATTTTGTGATTTTCTTCTTTATTGCGACAATTTTTTTTTTTCTCTTTTTATATTCTTGATTTTGTCATTAAAAATGAATCGATAAAATGTGTAAATAGTGCTTTTCTGTTTGTAAATAAATATTCAAATAATTTTAATTCTGATATTTGAATTTCCCACTAATAATGACGTCAGTAAGGTGTCAAGGAATTAATTAAAAAGGTATTATTTTTTTTTTTAATTGGTTTTTTTTCGCAATTTTACTATGAATATTAATTATTTGAAATAAATGTTTTCTCGATTAATTTAAATGTATTACATTTAAAATATATACAATAGTAAAGAATTTGATTTAAATGAGTGGGGAATTCTTTGTTACGCCCCTGAGTTTTGTCAGCTGACATATATAACCTAAAACTGTCAGATTATGGAAATCGTCAAAAAATGAACGAAATTGTGAAAATAAAGTAAGAAATAAATAAATGAAATAAGAAAGTAAAGATATACAATTATGAGAATTGTTTTTTTCTTGTATTTTGTAAAATGTCATTGAAATTAAAATACAAAAATTCTCCAGTTGACGTGGAAAGTATATTAGACTAATTGTGGATTGTTAATTAAAAGTTCGTGAATTGTTCCAAAAAAGTTTAAAAAAAATAAAACAATGGCAACTAGAAATCTTACCGATGCGTTTGTTCTTATGAGAAATAATGCATTGCAAACTAAACGGATTTATGCTGAGCAGGTTTGTTTCATTTTGCATTCGTTAATTTTTGAAATTAACATTGTATTGTATTAAAAAAATTTTAAAGAACTTGAAAGATTTATTCTGTTATTTTCAGAATCTGTCAGACAGAATGGCTTTGGTGGAAATGGGAAGTCCCGATAGTTTTGAAATGAATGGTACAAATTTAGGTAATAGTGCACCTCCACTTTGGATAGATGCTTTAGAGGAGACACAATATATTTTGAGTCGTCTACGTGTGAAAATTGAAGCATTACTCGATTTACATTCGAAACAATTAACAAGACCAACATTGGACGATACGCCTCAGGTAATTGAAATTTTGAAAAAAATAATTTAACAAAATTCAAAATTAATATTTGAATATTTACATTTAATTATGATTCTTAAATTAGGAGGAGAGACAAATAGATCAATTAACGAGAGAAATAGGCCGAGCATTTTCAACGGGCTATAGACAAGTGCAAACAATAAAAAATGCATCTCAACATGAAACAAGACCAGCAGAGCGACGTCTTGCAATGAGTGCAGTAATGGCTTTATCGTCTGCACTTCAGGATATGGCAATTCGTTATCGAACTGCACAAAATCATTATTTACAACGTAAGACTATTTTATTTATTAATTACTTAATCTATTGAAAAGAAAAATGAAAAACATTTTTTCAGAGGTGAATTCAAGAGAAGAAAGGAATAGAAAATTTTTTGAGGATGAACAAACGCCAGTATTAAATGGATCAATGGATTTGTGGCTTGCTGAATCGTCACAAAATGATGTGAATTCAAGTTTTTGGCAAGAGGGTCAACAAAAGCAGGAGTCAATTCTTTTGAATTTTGACGAGGCTGAAGATAATATAAGACAGGCATTGGAAAGAGAACAAGAAGTTGGTCACATTGTTCACAGTATTTCGGAATTAAATCACATATTCAAAGTGAGTAAATTCGCAAAATTTTCTATTTCTACAAAAAATAAAATTACTTTTTCAAATCACGAATTTCTCCAAATCATTTAGGATCTTGCGAATATGGTTCAAGATCAGGGCACTGTTTTGGATCGAATCGATTATAATATCGAGCAGACTCAAGTTCAGGTTTACGAGGGTTATCAACAGCTTAAAAAAGCTGATTCTTACCAAAGAACAAATCGTAAAATGTATTGTATTTTACTTTTAGCTGGGGCAATTGTTATTCTCAGTTTTCTTTTTGTTGTACTGAAAACTTAGTAAATTTTTTTTTTTTATTCTTAAATTCCAAAGCTATTTAATTATTATACGAACAAACAATTAGAGAATTAAGATTGAGATTTTTTTCGAATGTGAATGAAAAAGATTTTATTGAAATTTAAACTTTAGGCAAAATAGAATTTAAATTTCTAATTTTTTTATTCATAATTTAGCAGAAATATTGAAAATAAGCTACAGTTTAAAATTTAGATAAATTTGTTCGTAAAAAAAGAGGTCCAATGATAATTCGAACAAATCGTTTGTATGTATATACGTGTAATTGTATTTATATAATTGTAAATATGTGCTTTCTTTATTGAATAATTTGTTGTATTTTGTTATTTATCAATTAGCTGTGAAATGAAAAAAAGAAAAATAAATTATTATTTAATATTAACATAATGATTGTGTTTTGATTAATAATTTTCTGTTTCAAAAAAATTATCCTGTATAATATTAATATGTGGTAATAAAAAAAAAATGTTTCAATTTTAGTTTTTGGATAAAATATTACTCTAATAACAGTTCAGATTGTTTATTGATTGTATCAATATAATTTTCAAGGTTTATTGCTTCAATATCATATATAATTCAAATATTCGCAAAGTCACACCTCTTATCACAGACTATATGTCCTAGATTACAAAAGCATTCAAAAATTATGAAAAAAAATTATTTCTAAACGAAAAAAATTTTATTATTATACATTATTTTTTTTAAATAAAAGGAATATGACGATGTTACATAAATTTAGTTTCCTTAAAAATTTTAATTTAAATTAAAAATATTTTAAATACAAAATAATAATAAATGCAAATAAAAACAGACATTATTTTTTGGCAAAAGAATATATATATATTTTTTAAGTTAAATTAAAATTGAAGCAGTAAATAAATTAAGTGGATTTTTATGTTGATTAGAGATTTCTAATTTTAAAAATTGTAATTAAACATTAACATCTTGTGAAACAATAAAAAAATTTAATTCCTTTCTATTAAAAATTTCAGTCTTTTTTTTTATTCATTCTGAGGCAATTGTAATATTTAACAAATTGGAACAATTTTAGAATAAAAAATGTTTCTAAACCTTAAAATGAATCAATTTTCTAAATATAGACATTTAATAAAAAAAAAAGACTATCTTATAAAAATTAGATTATCACAAAATAAGTTGCGCCTCTTTTTTTCATTTAATTAAAATTTCCTTTTTTTTAAATTTTAATGGTAACGAATATATTTAACAAAATTTTACTAGACTGTAAATACCACTAAATATTAGGAATAAAAAAATCAAACGATGATAAAAATTAAATTTTATGATAAAATGATTTTCTAATTGAACATCGTAATTCAATTTTTTCTCTCAAATCACTTTGCACAGCAAAGTCAACTTCATACTTACTTTCTTATAGTAAGTTAATTTTTGCGTAATAATGTATTGGGATTGTCGCAAAAATCATCAATATAGAAAAATAAAATTAAGAGTATTTACAAAATTTCTTAATCCGACGAGAGAATCAATTTTTTTCGAATATATATATATATATATTTTTTTTTTACAATAAAGTCGACGAAGAAAATTCGCCAAATACTATTTTTTTTCATTATAAAATAGTTTTATCTACAAAATTTACAATTCTCTTTTTGAATTTCTAAAGGAATTGAAAGAAAAATTTTCATTAAGGCAGACAGTCTTTGTCAAAAAAAAAGTTAATGTTAAAATTTTATATTAACTATAAAAATATAAATTTTTTAAAATTAAACAAAAATTAAGAATTTATTTATAAAAAAAATTGACTAAAATATTTTTTTCATCATTAACTTTTTTACTGAGATTGTAACAAGACAAACGGCCTTTTAAATATTTTTCTAACAAAAAAAAAAAAAGTGAGAAAAAACTTTTTTTTTTACTTGCGGGAAAATAAAATAGTTTTCTCTACTTATAAAAAAACGTGTAAAAAAAAAATTTAATAAAACAAAAGTGATTTCATTTACACGAGGATGAGTGTATGTGCACTAAAATGGCAAAAGCACCGCCTAAAATAAAACGTACAAAATTATCCCCAACGAGAGGACCAAGTGCGTAAAGGCCATTTCTTGGAGCTTGAATAACTTCATAAGTAAAATCATTTATTTCAATAGGATTCCATTTACTGTCTATTGAAAGATCACGAAATTTTCCTAAGCCAAAGCCATTATTCTCGAGATAAGATAAATCTGGCCTCGCTCCTACAATAAAACAATATTCAAAAATTGACAATTATTTCCACTCATTTATTATTTTATTATCATTATGTGGGCAAATCTAAAAAAAACAATATAATTTTTAACTTTTGTTAACAAGGAAAAGAAATAAAATAAAGCATCTGTTTTTTACATTTACCCATATAAAATTGAAATATTAATAATTTTTATAATTTAAAAAATACAAAAAAAAAAAAATTTAAAAAGGATTTTACATACCGATGAGAATAGCGGCATGAGAGACTTGATAGGAAATCAATTGACCATCGGGAGTACAGAGAGTGACCCTCTTTTCTTTGGATTGATTATCATCATCTTTGGATGTTTCATTCACGTCCATTAGAGTGAATCCCGGTAATGCTTTATAAAGAGGATAATTTGTACCTCCGTCTGCCATCATTTCATAAACTTTATGATATTCCGGATAAATTGAAACAGGAAGCCATTTAAGTCTATCGAATGTTTGCTTCTCATTATTCCAATCTTTAGAGGAATCACGAAATGCATGAAGTACAGGAATTCCACGAAAACGTGCCGCCATTATAGCATCAGCTGCACTTAGACCTGCACCAACTACTAAAATTGGATCCACTGTTTTTTTACTTTTTGTTTTAAATTCACCCATTATTGAACAGGAATCTATTAAAAAAAATAAATAAATCTAATAATATTGATATTTAATATTAATATTAAAAAATCAGTTTCTTTTTTCATACCTTGTGAATTGACCATTTGATTGAGTCTTGATTCAAGAACATTAAGATCGTGCGTTACCCAATCATTATGTGCTTTTTCACCGGGTATTCCAAGACGATTTAACGAGTCAATTGTACCCGTTGCTAAAATTACTTTTCTACATTTATAACTAAAAGTTCGTCTACTTATATTTTCATAACCATGCACTAACCAAACGTATCCTCTTTTATTATCTTTTTCGTCAAAATTTTCTCTAACTGATGTTATAGTCGTTCCACTGTAAATATATATATTTTTTTTAATAAATATTTTTTTCGCTATATAATTAAAATATACGCTGTGTCTATTTAGCCCGCTAACGGGAGGAATAGTAGAGATAGATTATTTAGCCCGCTAGCGGGAGAAATGCAAGATTTTGGCTATTTAGCCCGCTTATTTTAAAAAATCACCAAAATAAGAACTATTTAGTTTGCAGTAAGTATTTAAAATATTTTTTATTTTTCTTATTTATTTATTCAAGAATAATAAAATATATTTTATTATATAAAATGTATATTAAGTGCAATTAAAAATAAGGCAATCGTTTATTTAAATATATTAATGTGATTTAATACAAAGTTTATTTGCTCCAAAATATATTGTTTTGGTAGGGTTGTTTAATTTACTTAATTATTTAATTAAAGTTGTGGTAAAAAAACAATTTTTTGTTTAAACCAAATTTATTGTAAGAAAACTATTTAGCTACAGGTACATTTATTTTCTAATAAATTATTAGAAAATAGTTTATGGAATTATTTTCTATTGAAAATTTAAATTTATAAATAAAAATTAATTTTTGAAATACAATTAAAATTCTTATATTTTATAAATACGTATGGGGCATTCCACGGGAAATTTTCATTCAAAATTTTTTTTGTCCGAATAATTTTTTTCGTAATCTATATGAAAAATAAGAAAATACGTATTTTTTTATTTTTTTATTTGATGAAAATGAAGGATAAAAGGATAAAACTGAAGTTACCAACGTTGATTCAACGAAAAAAATAAAAGTTAAGGATTCTAATTCCCATCAAAGAAATTTATTTATTTTCAACCCTCCATAAACTATTCTCTAATAATTTATTAAAAAATAAATATACCTGTAGTTAAACAGTTTTCTTACAATAAATTTGGTTTAAACAAAAAATTGTTTCTTTACCACAACTTTAATTAAATAATTAATTAAATTAAATAATATAATATATTTTAAATAAACAACCCTACCAAAACAATATAGGGTAAATGCACCAGTGGTGGATCAGGCACCAATGGTGGATCAAAAGCGTTAAAAAGGTTTAAATAAGCTATTTCTAATTAAACTAAATGTTTCAATCGTTTAGGGGAGGTGTATAGATAAGTTTTATGAAATAAAATCATTTGAAAATATTAAGGAAAACAAAGCAATACAACAATTGTTGATTTTATGCTTTTTCACATAAAATCTTAAAAAATAATTGTTTAGTCTAAATTTTTTTAATTTTTAGAGTAGAAAGTAATCAATTCTTTCCATATAGAATACTTTTGGAAAAAAATTTACATCATTAAGTTATTTTTGTGTAGTGTAAAGGGGTAAATGATCCACGACTGGAGCAATGTCATTTTATTGTTGAATGGGGGTGTGAGGGGGTGTAAACGTTACAAGCAGGTCGAAAACTACACGATAGTGTCCTTGAAGACTTGTTAATTCATACTATTGTAAAGATTACCCTATATTTTTCATCTGAAAAAATCTGTACACCTTTAAAGTCAAAATAATAAATTTAGTAGGCTTAATTGATCCACCACTGGTGCAGTTACCCTATTTTGGAGCAAATAAACTTTGTATTAAATCACATTAATATATTTAAATAAACGATTGCCTTATTTTTAATTGCACTTAATATACATTTTATATAATAAAATATATTTTATTATTCTTGAATAAATAAATAAGAAAAATAAAAAATATTTTTTTCGCCATTGACATGAAAAAGTGTCTTTTTTGTGCCTGTTTTGGGCAGATAAAGTAGCACTTTTTAAGGCAGTTTGGGCCAACTGCCTAAAAAAGACTTTTTTAGGCAGCAAACTGCCGTATAAAGTCTTTTTTAGGCAGTAAACTGCCCTATAAAGTCTTTTTTAGGCAGTTGTTAATTTTTGCATAATTTTTTTTTTTGCTTTTATTTTATTTATCAATTTTTATTATTTTTTTTCTTTAAAATTGTTTCACTTTTTCATAACAATGGCGAAAAAAATAGCGTATGTGGCTCGCACGTAGTAATTTTTAGGTTCGGATGATTTCAATACTCGCTGTCTGTGCGACTTCGGTTCGACTCGGCTCGCTTTCGGCTCGACTCGACTCGCCTTCGGCTCGTCTTCATCTCACCTACAGCTCGCCTTCGTCTCACCTACGTCGCACTAACGACAGCTCGTACTGAAAATTACATCCTCACCTAAAAAGTACTACTTTACGTGCTTGCCACATAATATACTATTAAATACTTACTGCAAACTAAATAGTTCTCATTTTGATGATTTTTTAAAAATAAGCGGGCTAAATAGCCAAAATCTTGCATTTCTCCCGCTAGCGGGCTAAATAATCTATCACCACTATTCCTCCCGCTAGCGGGCTAAATAATCTATCTCCACTATTCCTCCCGTTAGCGGGCTAAATATAAAGCTATTTTAATTTTTTATACAAACCAACGAAAATATTTTTCCAATCCCTGTCTGGTAACGTAATCCCTATAATATGCAGCCACTGTACCAATTGAAACTCTTTTCGCTGGTTTACATGCACCAATTTTTTCCTGCATTGAATTTCGATTTAAATTTGTTCTTTGTTTCTCTGCAGTTATTAACATTTCCCAATGCCTTAAATCTAAACCCGGCAATGACATCCATCGACTTAGACTAATTGTCAATATATTTGGATCCAAGGACTGAGATAAAAAATTAGTTTTATTAAAATTTCATTGATAATAATTTTTGAATTTTCGTAATTCCTTTGGAAATGTGAAAAAGAAAATATATTTTCTATAACTCACGTGCCACGCTCCTCCAGGTGGTCCTTTTCCCAAAACAACATGATCAACAATTTTATGATCGGGACATTGTTCAGGTGATTTCCATGTAAGTAACGATGGAAAATCCATACCAGCATCAGTACAAGGATGTTGCAATTGATCCATAAGCCTTGCAAGTGGCCTACTACCTCTACCATCTAAACCAAGTGAAAGACTTTCCAAATTCTCTTGATTATTTTCAACAAGATTTTTCCCCTGTTTTCGATTATCAAATTCATTTTCTTTCAATTCATTGTAATCTAATCGACTTGGTGTTTGTGTTCCCACACTATATTTTAATCGTGCTGTTAACATCTCATCGCCAGGATGTGGATTTCCATTGTAATAGGGCCAATTTCCGGCAAGCATGTACGATAAACAAATACCACTTGGTCCATTTCCTGTAAAAAAAAAAATTACAAACGTATAATAAAATAAGTAAAAATTTTTTAGTGTCTAACAATTAGAGAAATTGTATTCTTTCTTTTGCTCTTACACGTTACCAACCTAAAGTTTTGCCTAATTTGGAGATGTGTGAACGTAACCTTAGGTCACAGTTCCCACCTACCGCACTCTGCTTCATCGGCACTATAGTGCCCTGCGAGTGACGCCAAATGTCAACAGTAATTTTGGAAATGTAATTTCTTTTTATATTTAAGAAAAATTAATTACCATTGTAATTAATTAAAGAGAATTTAATAATAGAACAGCACAATTTAACTTATACGATAAAGGAATATTAGTCAAAAAATGAGAAGTTAATTTTGGATGACATAACCTACTTTTTCTTCTCACAGTTTAAACGTAAGTAATTTAAAAATTTTTTTTTAAATAAAATATCTCAAATTAAAAAGAATTAAAATATTTTATAATTCCTTTTTTTCAAATGCAAATTTTGCAAAATAACATTTTCTTTAGAAATAACTGATTTATTGGGGGAAAAAAATACTACCCCTTATTAAAATTACAAAAATAATTACTTCATACATAATTTGTGGCAGTAAAAAAGATAATGACACTAAAGGATATATGATTAATGAAAGTTTTTTTTTTTTTTTTTAAATTGTTTCTCATTTCGATTTGAATATCTTTAACAATTGAATTGACCTTGAATTCACATCTTTATTAACAAACAGTTTGCATAATTATTACACTGCAGTGATACTATAAAGCAATTTTATCTTTCATTGTAAATTGAAATGGAAAAAAAAGAATTACAATGAACAATTCTAAATAAGGAAAAATATATAGTAATTATTATATTTATATATAAGAACAAAATTTTCTTGATAATTTTTATCACTTTTAACTTGAAACATATAAAACAAGGTCACATGTAATTTTAAATATCAACATTATTTAAATATATATATGAAAAATAAAAATTCATATAATTAATATGTTTTAACAATTTTGAATTAGATAAATTATAAAATATTACTTACCAATAACTACCACATCTTTGTATACATCATCCAAATTTTGTTGCATTCTTAAAATGAAATTATTCGTATAGTTGATAATAAGGCTCGTTGAAAATTTCTAATTTTATTGAATACGTCGCCCCACCGTCAAAGTTAGCAAAAATTCTTTCTCTTTGAAATTTGTCTTCTTCTTCTGAAAATGTAATAAATTATAAATAATTAATATTTTTGTAATTTTTACATTTAAATCAAATCATTTTTTAAAGTAAAAATTAGTTCAAATTAGTTAAATATTATTTTTTTTTCAAATAGTTTTAAAAAAATATAAAAATAAATGATATAGTTTAAAAAAAGGATAAAATAATAAATTTGCATTTTTTTAATCATCAGATATTACAAACTGCACAGTATGCATGACTTTACAGTTTTTTTCGAGGAATTTCATTTTTTCCATTTGTAACCTAATTTAAATAAATTTACATCTGAAACATTATACTTTTTATATTTGTCAATTTTTTCTTTTTAAAAAAAAAAAAAATTGTTCCCTTATAGTATATTTAAATAAATTTTGTAGAATTTCTTGTTTCTTTCAAGAAAATCACTAAAAAGTGCCCAAAAAGTAATTTCTCTATCTTATTAATAAACGAAACAAGTTTAACTTTTTTTTTTTTTTTTTAGTAATAATAATGATTTCATAAATTACATAAAATTGGAAATTTTTAAAATTAAGTGATAAATGTGAACAATAGATGAATTAGGTTGTAAAAATATTTTTAAATCTTGATAGTGAGTTAATAATAATTACAGATCGTAAAAACGTTATTATAGATAATAAAAACTTTAGATCTAATGCGATTTATTTGTTCTCAATTCACAATGAAATCAATATAATTGCAAAGCACAAAAAAATTCAACAATTTTATGTTAACAATATTTATTATTTAAAAAAAAAAGTTAAGAAAAACGATTATAACGTTTCCTACTAAAAAATTATAAAAAAAAATTAATTTAATATTTATTATTTATTTATTTATTTACGAAATAGTAAAATTATTTTTCAAAAAAGATAAAATCTATTGTCCTTGAAACTATTATAAAAAAAAAAATTTATTCTTTTGAAAATTGCTTCAATGTCAGGAAATATATATTTTTTTCAAATGAAGCAGAATGACATTACGATATTAGTTTAGTAAAATATAAAGTGAAAAGATTCTGTTACTGTTCAAGGTCATTAATGGGTCGCCGGGGTCATGGTTCGATATATCGACTTTACTAAGTGAACATGGTCATTTTTATTACACCTCCCCCTCTATTTTATAAAATTTCATACACACGCCGTATACTTTTAAAATGGTTATAAATTTTCATTTTAAAAAAAGATACAAGATTATGAACCTCACAATGACATTGATCGTTCAAGTTCATCATTTACATTTCTTTTTTATGAATCAAAAATATTACAAAAAAAAAGAGCAACATTGAATAAATTAAATTAAATGAATAATATTTTATAAAATAATATTAAATAATACAGGAAATAAAATAATAAATGAATTATATAAATAAATTATTATAGGATATTAATTTTAAAAATACCAACATAAGAAATGAAAAGTTAAATTTGATACTTAAAATGATAAAATTGAAAAGTTAAAAAGTCAAGATGATTAATTGTTATTTTTAATTCCCTCTTAAACTACTCTAATCAACCAACATTTGTTTTTTTTTTTATAGAGGATTAAATCAATTATCTCAACCGGAAAAATTATTATCTGAAATGGACTATAAAATACTTTTGAAAAAAGTTCTTTACAACTACAAAATTTCAAATACATATAGGTAATTATAATTATTATTTAACTTATAGTTAAGAAGTTTGAACAAAAATAAAATATTCTGTTTATGTAACTTTTAGAAAAATTATGACAAAAAATTAAAAGCAATCGTGACTTGTAATTTTTGTTCTTATAATTTTTTTTTCTTTTTTTCTATGAAATTTTTCGCGTCTATATAATGATTTGCGTATACATATATATATAGTTGAGAGTAAAATGGTAATTGTAAACTGCATGTAATATGTTTATGGGAAAAGTATATAGTAATTAGAAATAATAACATGACGGATCTCGTGAACAGAATAAAATTTCGCTTTCGTAAATTTCTTGAATTACACATATGGCATGCATAAATTTAATAATCTCGCATATTATGCGTGAACTGCATTTTACGACCATAATTCATTTCTGAGAGATGAATAAAGTCTCTTATCAATAATTTTTTTTTTTTTCATTATTTACAAATGATTTTAATATATATTTTTTTAAATTAATAAAAAAAAATCTTCTTTAAATAATGGAAAATACAAATAGTGAAAAAAATATAAGAATAAAAATAGAATAAATTTCATTTAAATATTTGTAAAAAAGAGTTAATTTAAAAAAAAGCGGGTTAACTTAAGAATTTATGCAAAATAGTGAATATACGCAGTGATCTGAATTCTCTAATGAAAACTGGGGCTAACGTGCTGCGAAAGCAAAGTTGTAGAATAAACTATATAAACGATCGATCAACAGTCTCGTATACACGACACTTTATATTTATTTAAAAAAAAAAAGAAAAAAAAAACTTCACGAATGTCTTCTTTTATCTGATTCTAAATTCCCGGTACATAAGTTTATAGATAATTAATTGACTACTTATAATAATATTCCGGATATAAAAGTCATATACATATATGACTCATTTCAAATCGATAAATTTTAATGCTAAATGTCAAGTATGGAAAAGTGATAAGATTCTATCGATATTATTTTTATTATTCTTTGATATACTTGATATATTTGATTATAAAGATAATAATCAGATTTAATCTACAATGCATTTAGTTGCATTTTACTGTTTATATAGTACTTTGAAATTTAAAACAAAAATTTCGAAATTAGAAAAATAAAAAATTAAAGTTCTGGATACAATAACTGTTTTTATTTGAGGTTTACTATTTTATAAAAGAAATTAAATTTTAAAATTGACAAAAAGAGATAATTTAACTATAAATGTAAATGAAAATTATTTTAGCAAATTAAATAAACTTTTTTTTTGCCCTCAATTATCAGGAAATAATTCTTTTGCAAACGTTATAAACGTTAGTCATTTTATAAGTTTTATATGATTTCTATTTTTTTTTCTGCCAAAGACAACATTCTTGAGATACGATTGAATTGTATATGAATTATATACACTTCTGAGAAAACTCACGTTTAAACAATTATACTTTTTTTTCGTTCCAAGTTATTTGAATTTGCGTAATTTTTTTCTGTTTATTCATAAATGAGACAACTAAAAATTGCACACATTTCGAAATTTTTGGATAATTGAAATTAATTATATAAAAATTTTTTATACAATTTTTCTTTTAAATGAAATATTGATTGTTTATAAAAAAAAGAGTATACAAAATATAATTCAAAAAATTAACATAAAAGCTCTTATTGCAATACTGATAAATAAAAAAAATTATCACTTGTCAGTGTGAAAATAAAAAAAAAAAACTTACTACTTTGTTATCTATTAATATAAATATTAAAAAAAAAAATGTTTTCCTTCCTGTTGAACGATATTATTTTCTAAGTTTATGCCAAATACAAATTTGTATACCTAACTAATATTTAGACTATTTTATTTAAAATAAAATAGGTTACAATTTCTAACTTAGCTTAGGCTCATTTTATTGGCTACTCTTTTTAATGTCGTAAAATGACGAATCAGAGTTTCACGATTTTCAAGTATAAAAATTGAATAAAAACGGTTATTGGAATTTAGAATCTTAATTTTTTTTTTATTTTGCACAAAAATAAAAAAAGTCAAAATTTCTTATCAGTTGTCGATAAAAGGGATTTGATCCTCTTTAATCAGTATGGCAATAATAATTTCACTGCTATAATCACATTAAAATGTAATTGATTAAAATTTTTTAGAGAAAAAAATTTCACAATTTTGTGATTATTATAAAAAAATTGTAATATTATGAGAATATTTTATTTTTATTCAAAATTGTTAATCTTAATTACAATTTTTATTCATTATAATAATTTACTATATATTAAATTAGTTTTAATTACAAAATTCTCTAAAATTATATAATGGCTTTTATTATTTATGCAAATTATTAAAAATTAATATGCAATAAATAATAAATAAAAAATTACAAAATTTAGACTATAAAAATAGAAAATTCAGAGAATAAATCAACTAACTAATTATTATTTTTATAAAATGTTAATTGCATTTGTAAATAGAAATTTTTTTTTGGAATGATTATGTAATAAAAATAATTTAAGAAGTCACCATGCGGAAAAATTTCTCGCGAAATATTTTGCGCATTAAGCCCTTCAATAAATATATATATATATATAGAATTAACTAATTTGGAAAAGGAAAATGGCTTCTCGTTTCATTTTTTTTTTTGCCCTTCAGATAAAAAGCAACTGTTTTTTGTGTCAGAAGGTTTTAAATGCAACCTAAAGGTAAGAAAAAGTTATACGGCACTGGTACATACCCAAAAGGTTAGCATTCAGGTAAAAGCTAATCGAAAAGGGATTCTCGGCTGTCGAGTTCTTTTTATGCTGATGACAGTAAAATTGTTGAGGTTGCACAGTCTAAAAGAGAACTATTTTTCTTTTTTTTGAAACATCTATAAATGTTTCTCTTTGCATTAACCACGTTTTTTTTTCTATAATAATCTAGAATTTTGCCAGACAACTCGACAGAAAATTTCTTGTTGAGTCCACTCGCTTCAACGGTTGCCGGCGTACTGACACGTTATTGGCAATATACAAGCATGGCTATGTGTTCATACACCCTTATCTCAACTATATATATATGTGTATTATATACATTATAATTCCTGAAAATGACTATTTTTATCGTTCATTCAACATATTCTTAGAGTGCGCGTCAGCAATCAACTTTATATATATATATTTACGCAGATGCAATGTACTATATAATACGTAATTTTATGTAATCATTACATTATTCGTCATTAAATTATCTCACAAGATGTAAAATTATATCCTAAACTTTTTGTTTTAGATGCAGAAGAAGATCACAAAAAATGTTATTAATGAAAACCAAATCCGAAACAAACAAATTTATTTTTTGGATGCTGCAGAAAAATTTTAGGTAAATATTGTATAATAAAGGCAAACATTTTCAAATAGAATTCTACTATTTTACTTTACTAAATCGTAATATTTTTAATAGAAAAATTTCGTTTATACCATACGTTTGCAAAAAAAATAATTTGAAAAATAGGTTTATCAGCTTTTGCAAAAACTGCTCCGAATTTTAATAAATTTTTCGAATGAAGAAAGTATTTGATTGAGTTAAATAGACTTTTATTTAATTCAACCAAAAAATTGTTTATAGCAATACATTCTCAGAGAAATAATTTATTGGCGTATTTGAGACAAATAAAATTTATTTGAAGCAAATAAAAATATTTTTCTCAATGCCTAATAGCTTTTTATTTGTTTTAAATAAAAAAATTTATTTAACACGCAAATAAAAGTTTTATTTAATTTATTAAATAAAATTTAATTAAAGCAAATAAATATTTATTTGACTTTGAGACAAATATATATCTTTTCTCTGAGTGTATTTGGTTGATTTGATAAAAATTTGGTTGTTTCAAATAAATTTTTTTCTATATGTACGTAAAATTTCATTTTTTTGTATGCGAATTATTTACTTTAGTCTTGTCAAAATGACAAAAGTAAAAATAAATTATAATCATTGTTATTTTTCATTACTATATTTTGATTAGTCACTTTATTAATATCCAGAACTGTTTATTTAATTTAAGATATCTTATCCAGTGAACTATAATTAAGACAATAATAAAAATCAAATTGTGACATTTTATCATGTAATACAAAATAATTACTCTTTAAAAACATTAAATATTTATTTAATGAAATTAAATAAATAAAATTAAAATTTATTAAACAATAAAAACACTTTTTATTTATAAAAAAAAAAAAGAAAATTTTTTGTATTAATATTTAGTATCGTTTTCTTTGCAATTTAGGGAAAATATGTAAATTATTATTGACAAATTTTTCAGAAATGTTTACAATGAAAATATGAATTTTTAACATGATGGGATATTAAAAAAATTATATTTTCATTGTACATTTCCTTAAAAATTAATAACTTACAAATTTATAGAATTTTTTAAAATTGTAATAAACTTCTAAATAGGTAATAGAAAAATTTTTTTCCCGTATCTTTTATTCGAAAATAAAAGTTTTGCAAAACTAAGTATGTATATCGCAATCCAAATAATTCAATAAATAAAAAATAGAATATTTTATAGACTTTTGGTTTGATTTATTGATTTTTCATAAAATTAAAAAATTCATATTTCAGATTTTTTACTGACTATAAATATATATACGTATATGCATAGTCATTATTTATCAACAGATAAAAAAAGAATCGTAAAAATTGGAGCATAAAATTCTGTTTCATTCGTATAATACTAATACTAATATATAATAATAATAAAAATAATTATAATAATAATAATAGTACTACTGATAGTAATAATCATCTCTTTTCGAAATATGAATAAAATCAATATTTGACTAATTATAAAATCATTTGGAAATCTTGATGAAATTTTCTTTTTTTTCAGAGGGGGGAAGGGAGGAAATCACGTGTATGAGTTTCCGGCATCCTTCAAATATTTCAAGGTCGGACCTCTCACTATAACCTGTTGAAGAACAGGTAAAATAGTTTACTTTTAGATTCTTTAGAATTTGTAAAAGGTTAGTCAGGTGGAAGTCACAGGTATTTTGATTGTCTGCATTGGGTCTGGTCAAACATCAACAGATGTTACCTACAAATCTAAATCTTTCAATTGCCTAAAAAATCACTGTTGGGCTTTTATGAGATTTTTCTTCTTCTTTTTCTTCTTTTTTTTGACAATAGTGACCTCAGACCACAAAAAAGTGAAAGGCATTTTAAAAAAAGGCAAAGTTTTTTTTTTTTTTAGAATTCAAAAAGATTTTGTTATACTAACTTCTTCTTATTATTTTATTTTTATTTTCATTATATTATTATTATTTTTATTATATTATTATTATTTTTATTATATTATTATTAATTTTTTTAATTTAAATTTTATTAATTTAAAATGTTTCTATTCTTACTTGATATTGAAGATTTTTTCTCCTATTCATTTGGAAAAGAGAGTTGATAGTAGTTTTCATTATAATTAACTTTTTTTTTACACCTGAAACAGAAAACAATTAAAATTCAAAAATTACTGTTATAAAATATAACTAGATCAATGTTATTTTTTTTACAAAACTTTTTTAAATTGTTTTGAAGTTCAATTATGAACCTTTCTCACAAACGATATATTTGTCATTTTTTTTTTTTTTTGTTTTGGTTTTCTCTTTGTAAAACAAAATTTTCTCATCAATATTTTAAACATATTTTGCAATCAATTATCAAGGAATAGCAATGTAATATTTTAATGAAAAATTTTTTTTCTCGTCACTTGTTTTGAAAATTTGTAATTTTTTTTGTTTAATGTAAAAAGCGTTAAGATGCATTTTTGCAGTATATATATATATAGAAGAAATTTTCTATCTACACTCCTGGATGCAATCTCAGCAACATTGAAAAAGGGATCGGTGTGGATCCCATGGAGTATAGTGTGCGCGGTCCCCGGAGGGCCTTGGCGATGGTGGTGGGGTCCCACAATAAACTCTCGCGTTCTTTCAAGGATCTCTTAAAAATTCCCGCAGCCAATGCTGAAAATCCGAGCCGTCGAGAGGGCCAATCCGGGCCCACGTTGGAAATTGCGAGCCGGTTCCCGGGTATATCGTTTTTGTCCTCGCGCTTAGTTGCTCTTGCTTACTCGATCCTTCCTGGATCATATATATATATATACATATATATTGACCAAACGATTTTCGTCGGTATTTGATACTTCCCACAAATGCCGGTAGTGCACCGCTTCACCTGCTATTATTATTATTATCATTATTATTAATCATCTCGCTTCATTCTTATCATTCTCACAGAACTTATATCAACATTTTTTTTTTATTTTTATCATTGTGACTCAATTAAATCGCAATATAAGACGCTATCAGTTTCTTATGAAGAATCGACGCCATGACGCGATGCATTCAGCTTTTTTGAAGTGTCTCAAGAAATTCTCTATTTTGTGTTACGGAAAGGAAAATTTTAATTAATCACCCGCCCCTCTCCTTCTTCTTATTTCGAACTCTATATAATAGAAAAAGGAAAATTTGCAGATTAATGCTTTTTAATTGACGCGATAAAGTTTCATTGAGTCATCAAAGAAAAAAAAAAGTGTGATTGAAAATTATATTAGTGATTTTGTCGATTCACCGTATTTGCAAAAATAATATGAGGTGATTGCTAGAAATTGTATAATAATTTCAGTTTTTTTTTTAATTTTTGTAAATTTAAAATATAAAAAATTGATTATTAAAACAATTTTCACTCTGAATGGAAAAATATCAGTTTTTTAAATTGAAATTTTTTTTTTAATTAACTGCAGTTATTTAATTCTTACAATGTAAATAAAATTTATTCAAATAATCGATTGATATTGATAAATATTTATTTCTATTAAATAATTATTATTTGTGATTGTATTTATTTTAAATACAGAAATTATTCGTTCAAATACATTTTATTTATTAATTTAAATAAAAATTATTTGATTCAAGTAAATATTTATTTGATAATAGTCGATTATTTGTGTCAAATAATTTTTTTTCAGTGTATTTTTAACTATTATCAGGTTTATAAATTATTCTACTATTCTAAAGTGAAAATTGTTATTCTATATATATATGGTTTCACTTAGACGAGAAAAAAAGATACATTCAACAGCTAAAACATTTACTGAAATAGCTATAAATATTTCTCTAAAGCAGTGAAAGTTATAGTTATTCCAGTAAATCTTCAACCTGTTCCAGAGGTGGTTTTTTTTCCCATCTCTTCTTTTTAACAAGATATTTCCTTTTCTCTTGAGACAAAAATAATTATATATTATTTTATTAGTATTATATTATTATATAAACAATTATTTTAAATCATAGATATTTAAATAACTTTTTTTTACTAAAAAAAATTTTTTAAACAGTTTGTAATTTCTTTTTATTAAAAAAAGAAATCAGTAAAACCATATAGACTTCTGGTATTTTAAAATTAAGTCGTCCAAAAATAAATCCCCTTTCAAAAAGTCTATTCATCATTATATATAAATGTATTTATGTATCGTGTAACGTTGATACCAGTTTGCGAAAAAGAAGCCACGGGAATGTGTCACGAAATAATAAATGAGTAGGAAAAAAAAATAATTCGTCTGCTTTTTTTTTTAGTCTCATTTAATGTGGTCACACACGTGGGCTTAAGTATATGTGATATTGTTCGCTTTTTTGAAACTTGTTCGGAGATCGATATATAGAAACCACATATTTGTTTTCTCCCATACCATTTCACACAAGATTTTTAGCAGAGATCTCACGCTTATTCACTTATTTTGAACGTCTCAATTTTTTACTCTACCTTTTTTTATTTTAATATTTTTTTTTTTCAAAATTAAAACACGATTTAAACAATTTTACATCTAAATTTTTGTTAATTTACTGCAAATAAAATAATTTTGTTAATTAAATTTTAAAAAATGATGATGTTCATTTACCTTTTGGAGTATAGTTGACAAAGTTTTTTGATATTTGCAGAAAGGGGAATCTTGAAGGATAAAAAAAAAAACTTCTCCTGAAAGCCGTGAGTGAAAAGGGCCATTAGAATTAACTTGAAAATACAGTGTTTTCTGCAGCGGAATGTGCCTCGAAGTACATGGATCGATGAACTCTCTTGGAATTGCGTTGAATGACCCGGATTGACGTTAGGAAGGACAGCGTTATCCAAAATAGAAAGTCGATGAACCAGCACCAAAGACAAGGTGCGAATTCGTGACCCAGGTGTGGAAAAAAAATTGCAATTCTAAACAAAAAGAAACAAAGAAATTAGGAAAAATAAACATTTTTCCAAAAGAAAAAGAAAAATCCCCCCCCCCCCAAAAAAAAGTGAGAAATATTTGAAAAAGAAGATTGACTCAAGTTATGTAAATTCAGCATCTTTCTCTCTCTCTCTCTCTTTCTCTCTCATCCTTGTGAAGGGCCAGAGAGAAAAGACCTTACCGACTGACCCAGAATTATTCCAACGTTGACCCCAGTGTGTGTGAGGTGGTTTTTCTGAAATGGAACGCGGCACAGCCCGAAGCTAAATTAGCCGTGATGTCCAATAAGAATAAGAGTCAGCAGCAACAGCAACACGTGATCAAGTCAGTTGATCAGGTGCCACCGCGTTATCAGCCGCCTCCACAGCCAAGTTCAGGAATTCTTAAAAATCATTTGCAGCATTTAAACGCTGGTCCTTCTGCACCCAACCTTAATCAACAACAACAACAATTATTACTTCAATCAAGAAACGTTCCGCCTAAAGATGCGCAGGGAAAAATCATCCCAAAGATAGAGCATCAACAACAAAGTGGAAATAAATTAGCTCAATTTCCTCAAACAAAAATTATTGGACAAGGTCAATTATTACCGCCAAATAGTCAATATCCAATAGTGCCACCATCTAGGCAGAGAATCAGCGACGAGGAGTTCCTTCGATTGGGACCCCTGGAGATGCTGAAATTCGTTAGAAAGACTGAGGGTGACATTGCTCGAGTTGCCGCTGAACAAAATCGTCAAATACAAACACTGGTGAGATTTACCTCAGATGATAACGAGACTTCCTTTTCCTTATGAAGCCGTGGGATCTTTTCAAAGCTATAAAAGAATAAAAGTTCAAGGCATTAGTGTGTCTGTGTATGTGTTAATTAGTCTATTTTTCCCTCAGGTTCGCTTTTTAAATTCAGATTAACAATTTTTTTTTTATTTTCCTGACATTGAAAAAATTTTCCCTAACAAAAAATTTATATAGTTAAGAACAAATAACATGTAAAATAATTAATTGTATCTATTCAAATTTTTATTAATTGAAATTTTTCAATAATTATTGAAAGATTGAAAGGTTTAAAATTTGGGTAAATTGAATTTTGGATAAATTAAAATTTGGATAAATTGAAATTTAAATCAATAAAAATTTGGATAAATTAAAATTCGGATAAATTGAAATTCAAAAAATTTTCAACTTAAATCAATTAAAATTTGGATAAATTAAAATTTGGTTAATTTTCAACTTAAATCAATTAAAATTTGGATAAATTAAAATTTGGTTAATTTGAAACTTAAATCAATTAAAATTTGGATAAATTAAAATTCGGATAATTTGAAACTAAAATTATTGAAAATTGGATAATTTGAAATTTAAATCAATAAAAATTTGGATAAATTGAAATTTGGTTAATATGAAACTTAAATCAATTCAAATTTGGATAAATTAAAATTAGGATAATTTGAAATTCAAATCAATAAAAATTTGGATAAATTAAAATTCGGATAAATTGAAATTCGATTAATTTTCAACTTAAATCAATTAAAATTTGGATAATTTAAAATTCGGATAATTTGAAACTAAAATTATTGAAAATTGGATAATTTGAAATTTAAATCAATAAAAATTTGGATAAATTGAAATTCGAATAATTTTCTACTTAAATCAATTAAAATTTGGATAAATTAAAATTTGGTTAATTTAAAACTTAAATCAATTAAAATTTGGATAAATTAAAATTCGGATAATTTGAAACTAAAATTATTGAAATTTGGATAATTTGAAACTAAAATTATTGAAATTTGGATAATTTGAAATTTAAATCAATAAAAATTTGGATAAATTATAATTCGGATAAATTGAAATTCGGATAAATTGAAATTCGAATAATTTTCAACTTAAATCAATTAAAATTTGGATAAATTGAAATTCGGATAATTTGAAACTAAAATCAATTAAAATTTAAATAAATTGAAATTTGCATAATTTTCAACTTAAATCAATTAAAATTTGTATGAATTAAAATATTTAGAATTCGATTAATTTGAAACTTAAATCGATTAATTTTTAAATTTTAAGTTACTTTCGATTGAATTTTTATTTGATCAAAATTTTAATTAATAAATTTGCCTGGACCAATAAAAATTTAGATTGAATTAAAATTTTGAATTGAATAAATTTAATTAAATTGAAATTTAAATTGAATAAAATTGAAATTTTAAATAATGAAAAGAATGACAAGAATCTTTTATAATTTTCAGCTCGCTGAATTACGAACACTTAAAGAAGCAAATCAAAGATTAAGTGACGATAATCAAGAACTTCGTGATCTTTGTTGCTTTTTGGATGATGATCGTCAAAAGGGACGTAAATTGGCACGCGAATGGCAAAGATTTGGACGTTATACGGCAAGTGTAATGCGTCAAGAGGTATCAGCTTATCAAAATAAATTACGACAATTGGACAATAAACAACAGGAATTGATTAAGGATAATTTAGAATTAAAAGAACTTTGTTTATATCTTGACGAGGAAAGAGGAGGTGGTCAAAGAGACGATGGCGATGGATCAAGTTCAAGTACAAATGCTGAAGAGACTGCACCACCAAGAACGAGGCACACTTCTGTTTTTAATGGTATTCACTTTTCTAATTATTATTATTATTTTTTTTTTTTTTTAATAAAAAAATCCTCAATTATTTTAGAGGTTCTGAAATAATTAATAATAAAGTAAATAATATTTGTAAATTCGAAAAAAATTACTTTTCGATCTTACTGATGCGTCTCGTATTTTCTTTTTTCTTTTGAAGATCAAACAATGCAATATGTGAGAAGTTTAGAGCAACGTGTGAAACAATTGGAGGAAGACAAAAGTATTCTTCAAGCACGAGCACAAGGATGGGAAGCGGGTCCAGGTGATGTATGGGAGAATTCAAATAGTCCAGGGGGAAATCCCTATCTCGGCAGTCGACCGGAAGCTGTTGTTCGAGCTCTTCAAGTTCTCGAAGTGAGAGAACAACTCGAAAGAGAAGAAGGACACGATGGAGAAAAGGCATTAGTTCGCGAAATGTGTAATGTAAGTTGTGATTAAAATTCCCTTTTTTTCATATCTTTGGGCAATCGTTTGCTTTTAATACAAAACACGAATTAGAATTTAGATCCTTTTATATTTTTAAAATTTTTCGAAATAATTTCAATTTAATTGTTAATTTTTTTTTCTAGGTGGTTTGGCGAAAATTGGAAGAAGGTCCCCAAACGAGGCACTAACGAGAGAAATAGAAATTAATTAGAAATGCCGTATTCTGTCAAATAATGACAAATTGCCGAATTAAGTATTATAAAAATCGAGATATTTTTAATTATATTTAAAAGTTTTTATTTAAGTCTTTTTATAAAAGAAAATGAGAGATTTTTATATACGTTTTTACTAAGTAAAGACTTACCACTTCCTTTGGAAGAAAATGTAATTTTTTTATATATAGAGCTTTTTGAGCATTGTTACTGTAAAAATCGATTGTTATATATATATATATTTTTTTTATTAAATCAATTTTTATTCTTTCACAAAAATACCTCTATTTTTCCAAAAAATTTCACACTATTTTTGTTGAAGGGTAAATATATTTTCATTTGCCTTATTATAATTTGCCTGGTGCAGTTAAAAGAAGATCTTTTAAAAAAAATTCTTGATAAAAAAATCTGACGTACGTGTTTTTCGATGATGATAATCCAAGGAAAGGACGAGAAGTGAATACTGTTCATTCAAGTCTTTCGTGGGTAATTATTCTCAACGTTTACTCTGGGTGGAAGAGTCTTTATATGAGAAAAAAAAGAAGTTTTTCTCTCACACTCTAAATTTTTACATTCGTCCCTCTTTATTTTTTGTCCCGTTGCTTTTTTCTCCTTATCTTTCTGAATTTTTTTTTTTTAACCCTCTTGCTCGTTTTTTTAGGTATGTGGAAGACGCAACATATATTAAATACGCAACAACTACATATAAAGAGATGTCTTTCTATTTTTAAAAGGCTCAAAAGATTTTCTCTTTCAATGCTGCACTGGGAAATTGCCCCAGATATACATTTTGCAAACTTTCAATGAATCTCAACGAGCTACTTTGCCACTCGATTAAGTAGTTTATTCATCATTATTATTCGGGAAAATTATTCAACAGCGTTAAAAAAAAATCGAAATTGAATTTTTAAATAGAATTTTAAAAATTCGTAATTTTTTTCTGAACAAATCGAATATTTAGTGTAGGTTAAATTAAAACCGGAGGGTAATGAAGAGAATTTAAATTTCCATTTCATTGTCACTAATTCATGGAGATTGAATCAATTTCCTGAGATTTCAGAAATTCAAAGTATTAGAAAATTTATATTTTTTTTTTATACTCACAGTAGAAAAACAGAATATGATCGCAGCGAGACAAACAAAACAGCGCAGATTTCGATTCCATTTCGTTGGTCAGAAACAGGAGAGCACCTGTAATTTAAAACGATTGTTTATAATAATTTTTATTCAATAAAAACTAAAAATTCAAGTATTTTCAGTTTTTATTCAATAAAAATACGAGAGAATTTTCTTCTTCTTCTCTGAAATAAAAAATTTTCCAACTTTTTTAAAAAAAAGATTTAATCTCTTAATAAACTTTGATCTCATTAAAAAGAAATAAACTGTCAAAAAAAAGTTTAATTAATAATTTCTTAATTTGAAAAGTGAAACATGACGACGGCACGTGTTGGTCCATATAATAATTATAGTCATAAGCCGGGAGGAGAATCTTTAAGATAAAAATCTCTCAATGTGAAAAGGTCGTATGTGTTTGGTGTAAAAGTGGAAATTGAAATCACTCACGTTGAGGAGCTTGCGCGAGTTTGGTCCGGAAAGCGGAATCCTGGCTCGTAGTGGGGACAGAATCCGCAAGTTTCGAGTAACAGAGAGATGCGATCCGTCGGGGATGTGCATCTGCGGAAATATCGCGGAAGACAATGCCAGATTTATTCTTCTTGCTTTTGTTCTTGCCGTTTATATGCTCGCTGGAGCTGCCTTGTTCCAAACATTAGAAGCTGACCTTGAAATTCGTCAGGTATTTTACAAAATTTCTCCCAGTGAAATTCAAATATCAGTGTTAATATATTGTGTTTTAAATAAGTGTTTAAATACAAAAAAAAAAATTTTTTTTCGAAATTTTTAAAAGAAATATATTTTATATTGCAAATCTAAATTAGAATTTGATTTTTATTTTTGTAAAATATCTTTTTGAAAAATTTGAATTTTTAAAAATTATAAATAAAAATTAATTTTAATTAATAATTTACCTGTTAGGCTTCTGAATTCTGGAGGATATATAATGCCTTTAAAAGATATCACTTGAGGAATAGCCCTCATGCAATTCAACGTTTACATGAGTTGCTTTACGCTTATGGAAATGCGTCGTCAATTGGTATCATCAATAAAAGACGTCGTTGGGATTTTCCTGGTAGTTTTCATTTTGTTGGAACCATTGTTTCTACAATAGGTGAGAATTTATTATTCATTTATTTATTTCATTAAAAAATTGCTACAAAATTGAAAAATAAAACTTTTGAAAAATTTAAAAATTGTTTTCTTGGAAAATTGCATCTAAATCTAAAAAAAAGTACGGAAAAAATCCATCAAAAATTCAATAAACATTAAAATCCTACGTTTTCTTTTTTTTAATTACTTTCTTTAGATATAGTTTAACAAAGCTAATGTTTTAGGAATTTTTCAAAATTTTAAGCCAATTTTTATTTTTCGACTAGAAGTTTCGACCAATTTATATAAAACTCAATTACGAATAAATTCTGAATTAAAAAATTCAAAATAATTTTAATTTTTAATTTTAATTTAATAGAAACATAAATAATTTTTAAAAAATAATATTCTTATTTTTGTGTTCTAATAAATTAGACATAAAAATTCACTACTACTTTTTGTTAGGGAAAATTTACTTAAACGATTTTTAAAAATTATTTCTATGACAAAAACTTAAAAGATGGTCAGTATATTATACAAAGTTAAAAGAGGGGGAAGGGGGTTGTAAACCCCTATAAATGAAAGAATGCTATTTTAAACGAGGGTGAGAATGCTAATATCTCTTCAGCGACCTAGTCCCGCTCGGCATGCGAAATAACATTTTCACAATTATGATTTTCACATCTCGAAAATAGTACAATCGTAAAGTCGACCCAATTTTATATTTTCCTTTCTTTTCTTTTTTTTTTAATACATCGGTCTAATTCTAGAAAATTATTTTTAATTCTTTAACCTTGAATTATAAAAATTCTTCCCAAATTTTTTTGATACATTTCATTTTTTCTTTATCGAATTTTTGAATTTAATAAAAAAAAAAATGTAGAAATAAATCACTTAGGAATTTAAAATGTAAAAAGAATTTGAAAATAATTTACGTACCTGTAGGTTATGGAAGTACGGCTCCTCAAACAACTGCTGGAAGAGCTGCAGTAGTTCTTTATGGATTTTTTGGATGTTCAGGTAATTTAAATGAACTTCTCATTCAGTCCAGAAAGTGACGTATGCAAAATTATCAAGATTTCTTCTACATTTCATATTTATTTTTCAGTAATTTTAACTTCTTCTTCTTCTTTATCTGTGGATAAATTTCGTTTTTTTTTAAAATAAAAATTTTTCAAGACTTTTTTTCTGATTTTAAAAATACTTTTTAGGTGGAATTTTATTCTTTAATTTGTTCTTGGAGAGAATTATAACATTTTTGGCATGGATTTTGCGAAGTCTTCATTTGCGTCGTTTGAGAAATCGTTTACGACAAACGACACTTGCCTCGCGAAGAAGCATGAGAGGTGGATCAACAAGAGATGGAAATAAAAGTTCTCTACCTGATATTCTTGATGATGAGGAGGACGTTGGTCTTGAACATTGGAAACCAAGTGTTTATTGGGTGATGCTCTATCTTTCATTGGCTTCATGTGTGATTGCTTGTAGTGCCGCTGCTCTTTATGCTCCACTCGAAGGCTGGAGTTACTTTGATGCCATTTACTTCTGCTTCGTCAGTTTTGCAACAATTGGCTTTGGGGATTTTGTCAGCACTCAACAGACCACTTATCCATATCTTCACTTGTACGTTCAAAACACGAAACCACAGAATGGCACGTAGCGTTCCACTATTAGAAAACAAAAAATTAAAAACAATTACACAGTCCTTTTGAATCTTAGAATTTAAAAAAAAAATTTATTAACAAAAAAAAAACTAATAAATAAATTTTATAAAAATAAATTCTTTAAAATAATAATACTGCATGATTTAGTTGAAGAAAAATATAAATTCCCCTAGAAAGAAATCGTAAGGAATATAAGATTGATTTTCTTTCAGTAAACACTTTTAGATTAAAGCTTCTATTCAAATGCACTTTGCATGTTCAAAAAGGATTTGATTCATTGATGAATGTTGACTTCGCGCTCAGTAGAAACTTATTAAATAAATCTAAGAAAATCAAATCCTTTTTAATTTTCATTTTTTTTAAAAAGCAAAAATTTTCTTTTAAATCGATTTAAAAATTTTGAATAATGAATCTCACCTCTAGTGATTAAATCCATTGAATATTTTGCAGGTACAGAATCGCCAATTTCCTCTTCCTAGTATTAGGTTGCTGTTGTATTTATTCTCTATTAAATGTGACGTCAATTGTCATTAAACAAGGACTCAATTTAATAATACAAAAATTTCGTTGCGGACCACGAGGAATGGCTGCTCCACATTTACCAAGAAGAAAATCATCAATCGCAGCAATTTACTATCCAAAGAGAAGATCAACAAAAATTGTTGCACGTGATTCAATAAGAGTTGATGATGAATCTGATAATTCACGACGTATGTCAGGTGAATTAATTTCAATGAAAGACTTTCTTTCGGCAAATAAAGTGTCACTTGCTATTATGCAAAAACAACTTTATGAAACAGCTCAAATGAGTAGAGCCGATAATATTCCCATTGCACCGACACATCAAACAATATTTAAACCAGGAGCCGTTGGTCCTCTCGCAATTGCCAGTGAAAAATTCGATCATTCCACTGGTCGATAGCTTTTTTTTTTTGTTGAATTGTGCGGAAAAAAAATGTCTAGAAAAAAAAGCAAAATATAGAACAATTTAAAAAAAGCGTAGAAATATATTACAAAAATTTTTTTTTTAAATTTACCTCAAAATTATGTTCCAGAAAATAAATTTTGGATTATATTCATGCGCCTTTGAAAAAAAAAAATGCCTGTAATATTCAATAGATGTAAATTTAATGGCCAGGAAAAAAAATTATAGCTTGCCAATATTTTTTTAAAAGAACTCTCTCGTCAAAAAAAAAGACGAATTTCTAGAAATAAGATTTTGCTGTAGCTAATTTTGTAAAAATTAGTGTCATCAAATTTTCTTCATACAGAAAAAGAAAGTAAATATTATTTTCAAAAATCAAAAAAAAAAATGGGAAATTGTATAATCAAAGAATAATTTCACTATACACATCGTAAAGTAATTTTATTCCATGCGATTGTTACAATATTTTTTTTTTTTTTTCGTCCGTTTGCCCTCGGCACGGAATAGCAAAAAACATTTTTCTTGCACATGAGAGAGATAATGTAACGGATATTGTAATTACTACGTGTAAAATAAAATATCCTTATTTCGGCAAAAATTCGCACACAAATGTTTATTAGAACATTACTTTCTCTTTTAAAATTGACCCATTTATTGATTTTTCGACTTTTTCTTTTATTTTTCGAACCGATTCTATTGAAATCCACTTTCTACTATTTTTTTTTTTTAACTTCCAAATGGACAGAAGTATTGCTACAAACTGACATCGAAATGTAGGCAGGAATTCACAATTTTTTAAGCTGAAATCTAACAAACCATTTTTTCTTTTTCTTTTTGAGCGTCGAATTCATTTATTTTGAAATCACAGAGAAAAAAATGACGCTGCTCAAAAATTCTATTTTGTGAAATAATTTCACGTGGACTCTTCTATTCGTTAATTTTTTTTTTTTTCACAAATTCAAGAATCCGTGCACATCTTTGAGAGAGATTTATATTTATATTTATTATATGTATAGAAAGAGAGTAAGAGAGAGCTCCACTTTCGACAAAAAATTTGCACTACTCACCGGATCGACTTTTTTTTTTGTGGACTTTTTCTTTTAACCGATCAAGATGATGAAATAGACACGACGACACCCGAAAAAATAATTCCAGGGTGAGCGACAACGTTTCGCGTCGACGCCAACAAACTGCGTACCACAAATACCCACGGGACGGAAACTTTTTTTTTTTGATTTCTCCGTCTCGATTTTAATTTGGTATTTAAACGGCAGCAGTGAAAAGCACAGCCGTTATTTTTTTTTTTGTATTTAGTGCTGTGCACAAAGCCAAGAGATTCATATCTCGAGAAATTTTTGTTTGTTTGTTTGTTTTTTTTTTTGAAAGAAAACCCACATTTTACAAATGTGAATCGAGTGTCTCTTCAACGTATATCACGCATACGAACAAATTGTTGACTAACCGAGTCGAATTCATCATTTATCAAATTCACATTGTTTGTCATTACAAAGTTAATATTACCCAATACCAATTCATCATTTGAATTATGAGTAGGTCGATTTCGCGGTCGTGGAACCTGATCCGCTGGCTCCATTAATGATGAATGCTTTTTGCGTTGATGTTGCAATAATTTTGCCTGAAAAACATTTTGAAATTTACATTTTGAAATTATTAATTAAATTTAATATTTCTTTACTTACTTTACTAGCATATTGTTTATGACACCATTGACAACCTTGTGGTGTTGTCGTAACACTTCCGACAGTTTGACTAAAAGTAGAATTCGGCAAGCCAGGAATGTCTGTTTCCTTATGACGATTACTCGGTGGTAATGCAGCACCAGGATGATTTTTCATAATATGTGCTTTTCGTTTGCTACTGCTCTTGTAAACCTAGAAAGAAAAAAAAATCAATTTTCTTCCACAACAAAATTTGAAAAACAAAAATAATTCTCCTAAATATAAGAATAAAAATACCTTTTCGCAATATTGACAATAATAATCTCTCGTCTGTCTTAAAATTGGTAAATTAAGTTCAGGTACAGATTCTGGCGGAACATCTGGATGTCTTTTCGCCAAATGATTAACGAGCATACCTCGTCTTTTGAAACCAACTAAACATTGATGACATTTGTATACAAAACGATCGTATTCAGTTGGATTAACTTTTGGCACAAATTTTTTAACTTGATTTATTGGCGACGTTGCTTCTTTATTTGGTCGTTGAGAATTGTGCATTCTCGTCACGTGTTCCTTTAATTTGTCCTTTCTTTTGAATCGTTTTCCACAGATAGCACATTGAAATTCTCTGAAAAATTAAAAACAATTTTATTTTTCGAAAGAAAGAAATAAAAAAAAAAAAGTAAGAAAAAAAATCACCTGTGATCTGAATGTCGTAATAAATGCATTCGTAATTTATCAACAGTGGGAAAACGTTTTACACAAAATGTACATTTATGTTTACGTTCACAATGATGAGCTCTAATGTGTTTTCGAATAACTGAATATTTAGTAAAATTTCGCTGGCAGTGAGGGCAAGTAAATGTATCGTCCTGATTTCTGTGCGTTTCAACATGATCTTTAAGCATTAAAATTTGATCGAATAATACTTTGCACATTGGACATTCGAACATTTGTTTCTCTTCTATATAAAAAAAAGGTTTTGTATTAATTTTTTTAAAAATTTATTTGATTGAAAATAAAAACTTACTTCTGTGTGTTTTGAGATGACAAGAGAGTGCCGAATTATTCATAAAACGTTTAAAGCAAATATTACATGGCAGTGGTTTTTGATCCTCAGCACCGTGAACCAAACAATGTTGTTGAAGTCGAACTTTAGTGGCAAAACGTTTATAGCACATTGAGCATTTATAGGCAGCCGATGTATTATTAGTGGTGTTTGTAATTTTTTTCATTGGCATTTTACCATGTTGTGATACATGTTTAATAAGCTCGTTTTGTTTTTCAAATTTTACTCCACATTCAGGACAAACGATAAATTTACATCCATTCTCTAAAATATTATCATTGTGTCCAATTTTATGTAGATCAAACAACGATTCTTTATAGAATGTCAAATTACAAATTGTACATTTCCATTCAGAATTTTGACCAGAATTTTCCTTTCCCTTCTCCTTATTTTTTTCATTTTCATTTTGACATATTTTCATATGACGACAAAGATTATTTGAATATAAGAAATTTTCACCACACTTTGAACATTCATAACATGATGATGTTGTTTTATTATTTGGATGTATTAATAAATGACGTTTTAAACTGTAACTTCGTGAAAATACTTTCGAACAATGTGGACATGTGTAGAGAATTTTTTGATCGTTAACAACTTTGAAGAGTTTACTGTGAGAGAAAAAAATAATTAAATATTTAAATAAATAAAATATTAGTTTTTATTAATAAATAAAAATAAATTCTTACTTGGAAGCGATATGAAGCTTCCTGCGTTTGCTTCTTGCTTTTGATTCATTACGAGGACTGTCATGAACATTCAAGTGACTTTGTAACGTTCCCGACGTTGGAAATTGACGATTACACTCGAAACAGGGCCATGAATCGCCATTTGTGTCTAAAAAAAAAAAACAAAAATATTAATATTATTCCTTTTTTTGTCAAGAAATTTAAATTACCATTTGCATTTTCTGTATCAGCTTCCAAAATTTTTAAATTACGCTTTTTTGCATATTCCGGATTAGGACCGGCTCTTAATTCCTCTTTTGGTAAAATATCCCTTGTGGTGAGAAAAATAATACCTTCATTCTGCTGACAAATCATTAAATTCTGATCTTTATAAGTTAAAGCTGGACGAACAAAACGCATCCAATTTGAAGTGTCTGAAAAATTTTCCAAAAAAATTTATTATTTACATAAAAAAGAACTATTAAAAAAAAATTTTAATAGACTCACTTTCATTTGATACATCAACTTTGAAGAAATCACCGTCTTCATTCTCGAACAATAATGGTAAAACATTTGAAAACAAAGTGCCATCATAGGCACACAAAATTCCTTCAATTGGACCAAATTGTGTTCGTTTACGAATAATTTTCTTCGCAAAAACACCATAATTCTGTTCCAATGAATCGTTGGAATTTAATTTATTAATCGACAAATAAGAACTGGGAAGTGTTGCTATTGCACGCGAAGGAACTGGTTGATCTGCAATTGTCTGAACATTATGTGACATACAACCGTCTTCATCGGCACAAATACTATCACACTCTGTACACCCTGAAAATAATAAAATTAAAATATTAAATTGAAAATTAACAATTTTAATTAAAATTAAAATAAAAATTAACTTACAATAAGTCTTTTTATCATTAATCTGTCGTTTAGATCTACGAACAATTTTTTTTGATGTCTCCTCATTCTTTGTTTCTAAAAGATTGTCAACAATTTTCATTGTATTTAAAATTTTTTCCGGCTCAACTGTTGAACATAAATCAATTTCCTCGCTTGTATTGAGATTTTGCATTGGACTTGGAATGTAGGTTTCGCTAATTTCCAAATTTTCACTTTTAAATGAATTCATAACACTTATTTGATCATCGTGCATTACAAGAAAATCACGAGTTAGCGCAAAATCTGAACCCGTTAACATTAATGGTGGTGCCGATGGTTCCAATTCAGAATTTGTACCTAAATTTAAAAAAAAATTCGATTAAATAATATAAAAAGATGTAAATTAATAAAATTAACATACCCTGCATGAGGATTAATTCATTTCCAGGAACGAGGCCCTCTTCATTGTTTGACTCAACGAAATCTGTTGTGTTGTCATTTTGTGGAATGTTTGGCGAAGTATTTTGGTCAGTTAATTCGGCGACAAAATTTATATTTGTTGTATTATTCGTTTCTGATGAGGAATTTAATGATGTTGATGAATTTTGAAGAACAACAACGGAATTTTGAAATGGCGATGGTGGTAATTGAACGGGAGTTGGTGAATATCTTGCTGCTGAACTCATATTTGGATCATGAGGACTAACACGATGTTCAAATTCAGAAAGTGGCGATGATGCTCTTGGTGAATAGGAAACAGGTTCATATACCGAAAACATACGAGCATAATCACGCGTTTGATCCTCCACATACTCGACCTATTTAATCAAAAAATAAATTTTTTATATTCAAAAAATTTAATAATTATTTTTAAAATAAAAAAGAAATTTCATTCACCGTTAAAAATAGTAATTTGTTGTTCATTTTCTTGCGTTGCTCACAGAGAGGCGATGGTACATTATTGTCAGAGGACCAAGTTTCATCGGATATTTTGTCGATGCCAGCCATCTCCAGAGTATCACCAGGGGCCCCTTCTGGAGGGGCCCTCGGGTCCATTGTCTTCTTTACTTTTTCACAAACTTTATTGAATCACTTCTCATTTCTTCCTATCAATGAAATAATTTTTTTTTTAAATATAAACTTCCATTGGAAAATAATTAAAAAATTTTTAAAAATAAATTATCCCTACACATTTTAAAATACCCCCTAACATTATTAATTTAAAAAAGATAAAATTATAAACATTTTAAATAGTAAATAGAAATTATAAATAAATTCATTTCCATGGGATTTATAGGTTAAGAAATTTTTAACTAAAAATATTGTTGTATACCTATAAATTCTAAAAAAAATATTATAAAAAAAAAAATAATAATTGTTAAAGTGCATAGCCATAATGTCCTCAATCAAAAGTAATGAAAATACAATTCCAATTGGTCAAAAAATGATTCCTTTTAAATGCGGAAAAAAATATAAACAAAATAAACACTCTTACAATCATAACAATAATAATAATAATAATAATTTGTGTGTCCTACAAAACGCAACAATGCCCTCTGAAATTGAACAATGTTTCTAGGTCAATGTTGTCTTGTCCTTGTAAAACTGTTGGCATGCAATTGTATATATACACGATTAAGTGAATTGAATTAGTGAAGACTGAATAATAAATAATGACGTAAACACTTACATTTACGATATACACAAAATCCTGTCATTGGATTGTAAAAGTAACACACACACACACCAAAAACAAAAAAAGAAAACGAAGACAAAAACAATATTAATTTATTGTTGTTGCAGGAAAATGTCTTTTCTATGAGAAAATACACTCACAAGGAAAAAGTCAATAATTGACAAGGTTCTGGTTTGCATTTCACTTGGATAATTACAATATTTTGAGTAATTATACTTGAGTGTATTGATAAATAAATACGTTTCTCGTCAGCTGCTGAAAACTGCTGATAACTAAAAGCGACACATACGACATCAATACTTGGTGGCAAGGTTTCAAACTAGGTCGTTAGAAACGAAAAATTAATGCAATTGTTTTTATTTAATAATGAATTATTAATTAAAAAGTGAATTTTTTTACTATTGAATTTAAAAAATTATTTTTTTATTTATATTTACTTTTAAATTTGATAGTTTACTTTTGTGATTATTGTTCTTATGTGAAAGTCAGAACATCATTGCACAGGGTTGCCTGCCCCTGAAGTAGATCTACCGTTCCTACTTTAGGTTAATTGAAATTGTTTAATTATTATTAAATCAAATATAAATAATTTTATAATGTAAAGAATATTCCGAGATAATAAATAGTTATTTATTTTTTAAATTATAATTTTATTATTATAATTTAAATTATTACATTTTAAATTTTTTCATAAATCTCTATTTGAATAGAATTTTAAAATAATAATATTGATTACAATTTTTTATTTTTTAATAATATATAAATGGTAGGGCAATAATCGTACCGAATCTTAAGAAATAATATATAAATATTGATCGATGAAAAAATTATTTTATGAAAATGTGTTTCATGATTGTAACGGTTTATTAAAATTTAAATTCAAGAACACTTAAAAATATGCCACATTCTTTATATGTATATACGAATGACATATATTTTATACTCTATATTATTGGCTCTCATAACTAAAAAGTAAAATTTACAAATCTAATATTAAGTTTAATTTTTTTTTTCAAATTCATTATTTTTGAAGAAATTTTTTTTTTATGTACTATTTTTTTTCTCATCAAAATAATGAAAGAAAATTTTAAACACGTGTTAATTTAAATTGTGTTCGTTAACAATATTAATCTTGTCAGATGATGTAAATGATTTTTTACTGGAATTACATCGATTTCGTTGACTTTGTAATTTGAAACGTTGACAAACTGGCGATGTGTCACCGTTACTCGATACATTTTCAAAATCTAAATTTGAAAAATGTTCCTCAAATAGTTGTTCCATTTTTTTTGAAAGTGAATCAATTTTTGACAAATATTCTCCATTATTCTAAATTGAAAATAAAAAATATTTCATGTAAGTGAAGTTTGTGTATCAAAATTATTTTTAATTAGTTTTCAATTATTTAATTTGTAATTATTAATTGAATTTTTTAAAATAATTATCTAATTTCTAATTATTAATTTATCATTGTTAATTGTTAATTATTAATTTAATTTTTAATTAATAAAATAATTTGTAGTTACTAATATAATTTGTAATTATTAATTATTTAATTAATTATTTTAATTATTATTAATTATTTTTAATTATTGTGAATTAAAAAAATATATATTTAATATCAAACCTTGTGATAGATTTTAGAATTGGAAACAATTTTGCGAAAATCTCTAACAGCATGCTCGACTTTGAGATAAACTCGATTCTTCAATTTTTGACCAATTGTTTCAAGAAACATGGGAGTTTTCACAATTTTACAGTAATTGTCAATCTGCAATTAGAGAAATAAACATTTTTTTAATTTTTCAAATAATAAAATAAATATAATAAAAAAAATACTAAGTAAATAGAATAAAAATATTTTTTTATTTTTCTAATAATTGCAATTAATTAAATTTGGAAGTCAAATTATCAAATTTAAAATAACTTTACCAAAAAAGGCACAAAATTAAAAAATTGCACAATTAATTTAAATAGCAAAAAAAGTAGAAATTTTTTTTTAAAATAACACGAACCATTTTGTGCTGTGACTCTCCAATTCCAGTGGACGATGGATATTTAAAAAGACACGTTTCATCCATTTTCCAAAGTGTTTGATGAATTGTTTCCAATTTTTTCACACTCAATGGATTCAATATTTGTTTTTTCTTTGAACTATACCAAACGGACCATCCTCTATCGGATTTATATTTTCCATCAATAATCAAATTATTATTATCCTTTCTTCGTCCTCTTCCCAATGTTGATTTGCCACTAATTATTTTTGTCTCATCCCTCAAATATTTACCCTTTATTTTATCATCAATTTGAATTTCACTATCAATTGTATCATTAAAATAACGTTTTCCAGAAATTTTACAAAATCTCTGTTGATCTTTTTTATTTATTTTCTCCTTACAAAATGGAATATAAATATCGTCAGTTAATTTTGTCATTTCATTTTTATTTTGATTTGATCGACGCACAGTTTCTGAATATGTTGCCTTACCATGATTATGTTCATTAATTGGTAGTTGATGAATTTTGGAAAAATTTGGAAAAATAACTTTTGATGATTTTGTTATTTGATCATTTTCGTGTATTGAACTATTTAGTGAATCAGAACTTGCGAGATTATTTTCTTTACTAATATTGTTTAGAGTACGAATTAACCATGAATCTGTTTTAACATTTGTTTTACCAATTTTCATTTCATTTAATCGTTTAAGACTGCGTGATGATGTTTTTGGTGATGGTTCAGAATCATCTTCAGAAGCCTCGTAACTTGATGCATCTTTTTTTGATTTTGTTCGACGATTTTGATTACGAATTATTTGTTGATCTCGTTCCCTTAATAGTTCATTACATTTTTTCTCAATTCGATCATCATTATTGATTTGTTCTTGATTTCTCATTCTTCGATGATTTTGATAATTAAATTGTTCACGATTTTTTGAAATATTTTGATTTTCAATTAAATTATTATTATTATTATGATTTCTTGTAATTTGAGAATCGTGTTCAATAAATTGAATATTCATCATTTGATCCTGTTCACTGATTATATAATTTTTATTTATTCTCTGATTATTTTGTTCTTGATTTCTATATAAATCTTGTTTCTTAATTTGTTCCTGATTTCTAATTATTGAATTTTGTTTTATTATAATTTGACTTATTTCATTTTGATATTGTATTAAATTATCATTTATCATTGACTCATTATTTCTGGCAGTTTTAATTGAGAATTTATCTTTTATTTTTTGGATTTCATTTTTTTTTTTATCATTTTCGTTAAATATTTTTTTATTTCTGAAAATGTGATCCTTGTTATTGAATTCGTCTCGATTATCTGAAATTTGTTCCTTAATTAATGGTATATCGAAATTTTTTTCCTGCTGGGAATTTATATTTAATGCACCGAGTAATACTTCGGCTGATGCACAAGCAGCCTTCCATGTGATATCCTGAGAATTATTTGTTTCATCGAATGAATTTATTTTTCGATAAAAATTTGTTTCAATTTTCGACGATTTATGACGGGAATTATCTATTTTTCGTTGTGTTCGTTTTTGATGTCTTTTTTTTGGAACATTGTAACTTCCTGGTTTCATATAGATACGAACATCTTCAGAACTATCATTGTCGTGTGTTTGTTGTTGATAATGATTGTTGATTAAATTTGCAGCATTCCATGGGGCACTTTGAATACTTTGCATATTTTGAAGTGACAAAAGTTGATGATTAAATTGTCGACTCAAATCAATTTTATCGCGATTAATTTCTGTTTCTAAAAAATTTATCTCACTTTCATTGGAATCATTTCTCATGCTTGCAAACCAAGCCGATAGATTAGCGGTCATTTCCTCTTTTTTCGTTGCTGTTGTATTGGGTTCAATTTGACTCAAAAGTGTCATATTGGGTAATTTAAAAATTTTCTTTTCAAAATTTTTAACATCTGATTTATTGCCACTGTCTTGAAAGTATATTTTATTTTTGAGATTAAAAAATTCGTCGTTTAGTGATGTTTCCTTTTTTATATCGAATTTATTTTTTGATTGTTGTAAATTTTCTTTACTATGACTTTCGGTGATTGTCCATTTACTTTTGGGTTTTGTGCCTTTTTTTTGATATTGAAAATTTTGTATTGGTGATATTATCGCTGTTCCGGGTGCTGGATTAAATTTTACCGGTGGTTCTAAAAGATCACATTTTGTGTATATTGAAACATCACCGGGAAATGTTCCCGGTGTGCCGGATGTTTCAATTTCTTGTTGTTCGGATTTTTCCTCAAGTTGAAGAAATGTTTTAATAATATTTTGTAATAATTCATTGGTAACACTTTCCCAGAGATGGAAATTTTTTATTAAATTTTCATCGTATTTATCATTGTTAATTGAATTTTGTTTATTGAGATAATTATCGAGAATTAACCAACCGTTACTGATTCTCAAGAGGGAATTTATTAGATCTTGAATGAGGATACGATCGCCGGCAAATATTGAAAAACAAGTTGATGATTTTGTTATTGCTGTTCTTGTTGCAATTGAAAGATTCATTAGCCATTCGAGTTTTGTTGTTCGATGATATTTGGCGGAATTGAGAATATTTTCAGCTTGATTGCAACCCCAAATTGTGGTTTTTCTTATTAGTTCGGGATATTTTTTGTTATTGTCATCGTTGTGTGATTTTAGTGCAACTGATGATTCTGATTGGACAATTTGAGTGTTTGTGAGATTTTTGTTGAATGCAACATCACCGGCTCCATTGTGTGTTTTAGTTTTGGTGTTTTTATCCAAATCATTTGATGATGTATTACAGAGTGCTGATACCATTTTTTCAGCTTCTATGGTAAAATCAAAACTCGTTGATGAATCATCGGATAAGTCTTGTGTTTTAGTGGAGGAATTGGCTTTATTTTGTACTTCGGCGCAAAATTGTCTATAATCGGATGATGGATTTTCATTTTTCTCATAATCATTTCTTTGAGTGATAAAAGGATTTGATTTAGTTTTTGGATATTTTAACGAAATTTCCATAGCGGATGATTGACTATTTTCTTTTAGTGGATTGAAAATATTTGGATTTGGAAATAATTGATTTGTATGAAGGGATAAATTGTTGGTGAATTGAGGATAGGATGTTATTTGAGTGGGAAGTTGAAGATTTGTGTTGGCAGTGACGGTTTGAAGTGTTGAGCTGAGATTATAATAAGGATTATACTGATGTGTTTGTTGTTGAGTGATGAATTGTCTATCTTGAACGAGACAAAGAGCTTGAACATCAGGAGGTTTAAAATAAGGTTGCGATAATACAGTGAGTCCTGAATTATTCTGATCTGTCGAATATGGTCCATGACAGAAATTTGATGCGCTGAGAAGATATGGCGATTGAACAGTTGGAAGTTGAGGATTTATTTGCTGTTGATCAAATGGTTTTGTTGAGTAAAAAATTTTTCGTTGATTTCGCAAATTCACTGCCTGGGTTTTGTTCTTCGTTTGCCATTCGCATAATTGGCTACCTGTTAAAAAAAAAAATAAAAATTCAATTTGAAGCATTTTTATTGAAAAAAAAAAAAAATTATTTAAAAATTTAAACCTTGTGGTGTCATGTGTGCTGCACTCGGACCAGTATTTCTTTGAGTAGAATAAATACAAGTGGGATGCAAAACAGCTGTAAATGGTTGCAGCGTAACTGGTCCATAAAAAGATTGAGGCTGATGATGATGATGCAGCAAAGTTGAACTTGACGTCGTACGAGTTTGAAGACACGATGGACTTGAACGATTGTACGATGGTTGCATGATCCAAATAATTGTTTCTTTTCTGAAAATATTTTTTTTTCCAAAAAAACAAATCTAAAAAAAAAGAAGTTATAAAATTGACAAAAAAATAAAACAAAGAACAAGGTTAATTAACAGTGTATTAAAATTTGTTTTATTTTTACTATTAATAATAAATATTATTCACCTGATGTGGGATTTCAAAATTAAATCCCCCCCTCAAAAAAAATGTCTTTACAATTAATAAAAGACAACACTTATTATCGTATAATCACTGACATATTTTTGTCATTAAATAAATAAATGACATCTCGTGATTAAAATAGTAAAAGAAAAATTATATAAGCAAAATTCACGAGAATTATATAATAAAAAATAAATGGAACAAAAATAAAACTTGACAATTCATCTCATAATTTTCTCACTAAATCTTCTTGTCAAGAAATAATTCTTGAAAATCATTTTACTGTTTTTTTTTAACTTTCACTTTTATCTCTCTTTTTTCAAAATTTTTCAAATACAACACGATACACAAAATGAACAATTAATGACATAATCTTGTTTTTTTAGGCAAAAAATTAAATAGAAAACACGGTTGTGAATATACGAACAAAATAAAAAAAAATATGGCTGTTGTCTGAAGGCTGTATAGAAACAAAAGTCTTCATATGTGCATTGTTTAAAAAAAAATTGACAACTGTTCACATTGGTTTTTTTAATTTTCGTAATGGTAGAACAATTTTTGTAACGATAATAATAATTATTATTAATTATAATAAAATTAAAATCACAAGACAGTGAATTAATTTATTGAAAATTTATTTTGACCCAGATAAGTCTAGAAAAAAATGTACAAGTAATCGTTGAACAATTTTAAGAGAAATTGTTATAATTAGATACATTAAATATATATTTATAATTTTATATATATATAGAGTTTTTTTTTATTGAACTAGGAATTATAATAATAGTAATCGACTCGAAATTAAACATAAAATTTCTTTTTTTTGTTTTTAAATTGTAAAATTCAAGCATATATATTATTGTAGATAAATATTGTAGAGACTAAAAAAATATTAATAATTAAAAATTAGAAAAAGGTTTTAAAAAAATTATAGAAAATATTATTTTCTTTGGTACAATTTTATTTTTTAACTAATAATTAAATAAAATTTTTTCACTATTTTTATTGTGTTTTTCGTTAAAAACACTTTTTTTTCTTAATACAAGTTTTGTAAGAAGAAAGGAGAATTTTTTTTTTTTTGAGAGATAAAATAAAGAAAAAATTAGATATAATCTAAATTCTAAGTGAAATTTTTAAAATGAACACAATGTGTCTTTTCGTCGACACTCTCACGCTATATTTTATTATAATGTTTAAAATCTGTAAGCTTCTGCAATCCCATTTTTTTTTCTCTGAAATTATTTTACATTCTATCAACCTAATTATATTTATTTTAATGTAATTATTTATTTATTCGCAATTGGATTAGGTTGACGTACACCTGAACAGGTCTAATTTTTTTTTTTTTTACAGCTATTCATTAACAATTGGACAATAGAGATCTAAATTGACTATATATATATAATTATATATAATCAATCATGTAACTGGAATATTTTGTCAAATTTCTAGTTTACTAATTTTTAGTTTCAAAGGGGAGAAAAAAAATTCAGATATCATTATTTAGTTTTATTTTTGCGTTACATGTCACGGGATTTACTACTTAAGGGGAAAAAATGTAATTTTTTTTTTAAAAACTTGTATTTTTATTCACAATGTGGAAAGTTAAAACACAAAATTGGAAACTAAATTTTCCCCTTTAATTTGGCTTTCATTTTCACCTTATAAATAATTTATTGGAATTATTATATGATTTTTTTTCAACTTTTACTGAGACAATGAATTTTTTTTTCCATGAGCGTGTTTTTTGTGCAGATTGTCTTGAAAAAAAGGGACTAAATTTTTTTTTTTACCAGTTTTGAACGTTCCACATTGACGTAAAATAATATTTGATTTGAAATAAAATTTTTGCTTACGAAGTCTTGATTTGTTTTTCTCAACACAGAAGACATTATTTGTGCCTTAAGGGCAATTTCCGAAATTTGTCAAAATTCCCTTTTTTCAGCGATGTGCAAAAAAAAAAAATTAAAATAAGTTAAATTTTTGATATAAGGATGAAAAAGTAAACTTATTTCGAAAAAAAAATTTTTTTACAGTGTGATTAATCAATTAATATAGAACTCGACACAATTTGTGCAAAAGAATTTTTTTTTAAATGTCAAGCTCTAAATTTTAAGTGAATTGATCTGAATTTCAGACTGAAATTCTTTTTTTTTTTTTTTTTTGAGCAAACTCGTAATGCGCAAAATTAATTCGTTTGTGCCGATGCAATTAATGAAGACATTTTTCCTTTTTTTTTGAAAAATTTCCCATTAGCACCAAAATTTTTTTCTTTACAATTAAATTGTAAATTTGAATTATAATTATTGAAAAATATAACAATAATACAAATAAATAAAAATAAATAATAAATGAATGTTAATTTATATTTTTGACATTTTCTTTTTTTTTAATTACCTCCAATCAAAAACGAAACGAAATTGGCCTAGCGAATTTAATTAAAATTAATGCATAGGAACTGCTTTTGTTTTGACAGCGAGCAGTGCCTCTAAAATAAATTCTTAAGGCACTAGTGCTTAAAAATCTACATAATAGTCGTGTTTTTGAAATGGAGGTAATATTTTCTTTTTTTTTTTTTTTTGTCAAATTTTTGATTAATTTTAGTTAGAGGGAGTGTTTTTCGTTCTAATGACAAATAATTCAATGTCCTTTTTTTTTTTTTTTTTTGACCGCACTTATGCGAATTTGTTCTAGAATTTTGGACGATCGATTATAATCGTCGCATTTTTTTTATATGCTATCTAGCAGCAAATATCGGTTTAATCCTCGAGATAATTGAGGCCGATTTTTCATTTTTTTTAATTCAACAAATCATTTTATTAATCAGATGCGATTAATTTCGAATAAAAGCGTAAATTACGCTACCAAGTAAACATGAGAGTAGAAGGGATTGAGAAATTGGAATTGCACCTGGTGTGGCAGCATTACAAAAATCTTCAAGACATGAACAAACTTCTTGTCGTCCACCAAAACCACCCCTCTGGTAACAATTGCCCTTGTAATGTGACTCGTCCCAACCGCAACCACGAATTACCCTCTTGTTTGGTGGCACTGAAATATTCAAAAAAAATATTTCTTTTTCTAAATTTTCGAAAAAACGGAAAATTTTTCTCAATTCAAACAAAAATTTATAATAATTTTCTTTTTTAAATTAATAATTAATATTATTTCAAAGTTTAGTAAATATGAACTTTTTTTCTAAATTTTTCTCATTTTTTTTCTCTATTCAAACAAATTTTCTAAATTCAGTAAAACGGAAAAATTTTCTAAATCCAAACAATATTTTACAAATTTAATAAAACTGAAATTTTTCTAAAAAAAATATTCCCAAGTTTAGTAAAAGTGAAAATTTCCACAATTATTTAAATAAAAAAAAAAAAAAAAAAAATCGTTAGAGAAATTAGAATATATAAAAATTATTTATTAAAACTCACAGCCATTGACACTGAATTCAATTGTTTGAACAATTTTTCTGCACATTGTATATTTGGCTCCGTCTCTTTTTGATGAACAATCCACTTTTAATTCCTCGGGAGGTTCTTCTTCTGCACATCTACTGTCGTTATGACTGTTACAATCGTAACATCTCACAGCTTTTACACCTAAAATCAAAAATATTCATAAATTATATTGAAAAACAAAAAAAAAATTTTTATCAAAAAAGCAAAAACGAAATTATAGTGATATTTTATCATTATTGAAACAATATAAATTTATTTATTTTTTACTATTTTTATTTATTTCCTCTACACCTTCTAGTAGCAGATAATATATTTTTTACTATTAATTTTAAATACAAAAAATAAATTTATATAACTAATTATTTTAATAAAATTTGAAAAAAATATTTTTATCAAGGTTTTGTTTTGCCTTTATTTTTTATTTTATATTTATTTCATCTTATTATGATGACGCACAGTATTAAGTAAAAACTAGTTGTGACCACCTAAGTCTTGCTAAAGGCAGAAAATATATCTCGAAATGTTGATATGCATTTATGGAAAACAATTTTTAATTTTTCTCAGAAGCATTCATTTTTGTTTTTCACTCTTTTTTTTGAAATTAATTTAATACATAAATCGTTAAGAGTATTAGAAAAATAATTTAAAATAATTTTGATTTAAAAAAATGAAAACTATAAATTTGTAAATTTCAGAAAAATTGGTACAAAAATCATTACACAATCTTTTGTCATCATAATTTGTGACAATATGAATATTATTATAACCTTCGAACTTTTGTCGCTCTTATTTATTATCAAGAAAAAAAAAATTTGTTAGTTCATACTAGTAATGCAAAATTAACTGATAAAAGTAGGTTAATTTGTTTATAGATTATATTAAAATTGTGATTATTATAATAATTATAATAATTATAATAATTATTATTTTTATATTTATATCTGTATATATATTTTTATTTTTACTTTTATTTCTAATTATTATTTTATTATTATTTTTATTATTAATATTATTTAACAGAGACCGATTAAAATTGAAATAAAGAACAATTTTTATTTTAATAAATCGAAAATAATTTATTTTCTTTTAGTAACAAAAAATGAATGCTAATGGAATTTATAAATAATTTTTTAATATGATTTTATTAATGATATGTTTCTCAAAAGAGCAATGCACCGCACCCAACCAGCGATGTATTATACCTCTCTATATAAAAATCAATGAAGCTGTCTGGCCTAGAAAGACTTAACAAGACAATTTAAAGTTGAAAATTTTTTGTTTTCTTTGATTTTCTTTTGAAAAATTTGAATGTATAATTTATCTTTTTTTTTTTTTAATTATTTCCACTTTCTTCATTTTTTCTTTCGAGTTCCTATTACAATAATAGTTTTCATTTTTGTCAAATGATTCCAATTTTTCTCTATATTTTGTAAATTAGTCTTTCAATTGTGTAAAATAAAAATTATTAAAATTAAAAAATTTTTTTTTCAATTTTCACAAGATGTTTTATAAATAATTTTCAAAATTATTATTATTATTTTTTTCTATTACTATGTATTAATTTCTATTATTTTTTTTACCCCTCTCAAGGGTGATAATAACATTGTAAAAAAAAAATTTTTATTTCATATTAAATTTATAATTTATTTATTGTAATAATTTTATTATAATAATTGTATTTTAGTGAAAAGTGAAAATTTAATTTAATTTGTAATAATTAATATCTTAACTTTGTTAAACAAATTCGAAAAATTTCATTCAAGATATTTAAATAAACTTTTATATCCAATTCACAACTTCTTCCCCTTCTCAAAGTTTTGTGACCCTGAGATCAGTTTGATCGTTCAGAGTGAGTCATCAAATGTACCCTCTGTAATAACTCCCATAACCTATTTTATCTGCTGTATTAAATTATTTTCTAAATAAAGATATAGATTAACAATAACAAAAAAAAAATGTATAATTATTTTTTTCTATTTAAAAAAAAATTTAAATTCAATTTCAAAATTATCTTAATCTAAATTTTAATAAAATACAAAAATAAAAATAATAATAAAATTTCAACTTTTTCGACTTTTTTAAAAATTAATAATTAATTAATAATAAACTAATAATTTTTTTTAAAATAAATTATAAAATAGTTTTAATAGTACAAGATTTTTAGAAAATTTTTTTAAAAATAAATTTATATTTTCCTGTAATGTTTATTTATTTTATTTATTAGTAGTCCACACCTTTCGGTTTTTACATTCTTTACATTTTCCTTGATTATTTTCCTGGTATGTTTTTTTATTATTATTTTTATTATTATTATTATTTATTCCAAAATTATTTACCTCTAATGAGTTTTTAAAATATCTAAAAATATGTAAAAATAAATATAGTATTTTTGAGAAAATATTTTCAAAAAAAAAGAAAAATAAATCAAAAAATAGTAAAATAGTAAAAAAATTAATTCCAAAAAATAGTTTGTTTGCTAAAATATATGAGAAAAAAAAGTCACTTAAAGCTGAATAAAAAGAGTTCTCGTATAAAGGGGAAAAATCAATAGAACGCCCTTTCAGCCCTTACTGCTTATGGTATTAATCACTCAATGTATATATTTATATATTGAATGAAGAAATTTTTTAAAAATATTTTTCAAAAAATTGGAATTTTCTGGTTTTTTTTTAAATGACCTTTTCTAATTTGTTGATTACGTCAATTGTGAGCGAATTTCACTCACATCGATTTCATTGACGCTTGCGCCAATCAATTTTTCATCCCTCTGATAAAATTATTTCTCTATATATTACACTATTACCCCTAAAAATGTAAAAGTCACATAATCCAAGGATACACGTGCCAAGGGTGCGTGAAAATTTACATTTAATTAAACAAAAATATCCAACAAAATTTACTATCACAAAAAATTGTTTTTTTTTTTTAATAATAAATTTTTTATTTTAGATTTTTTCAATTTTAATTTCTTTAACAGCATTTTATAGTGACAACAATTTAATCATTTTATAATAATAAGAAAATTATAATTATTTTACAATAGTAAAAAAATATTTTCTACTAAAAAAATATTTTCCTAGTAAAAAAAATATTTTTTAATAAGAAAATATAATTATTTTATAATAACAAAGAAAATAAATAATATATGTACATAAAAATTATAAAAAAAATATCAAAAGTAGTTACTGTTTTTATTCTATTTTTTATGAAGTAATTTTGGAAATTAATTTTTCATGTTGAAACTTTCATGTTATTAAAAGTATTAGTGACAAAATTAATTGAGAAAAAAATAGAGTAAAGAATTAATTTAAAATAAAATGTAATGAAATTTTAATAAGAAATAAATTTAAAAAAAAAAATATTATAAAATTAAGAATGAAAGATTTTTTTACAAAAATTAAGGTAACAAAAAGAAATAATTAAAAAAAAATTAATTAACAAAAAGAAATAATGAAAAAATTGCAAGCTTCTGAATGCAGCGAAAAAAAGAATTTTGAACTCGTCAAAGACACTATGGACCACTTCTTCTATCAGTGCAACCGGATAAGAATACTTATCAATGATCATTGAATAAAAAAAAAAAATTATTTCACACACACACTTTTGTCTTTTCACTAGAAAAAAAGGTATCTCCACTATTTTTTTTTTCAAAAATAAATTTACACTTCCCCACTTTTTTTTCTCGTAATTAAAAAAAATTTCTATATTAATATTTCTTTCAATGTAAAATTGAAAAAATGTATTTTTCAACATTTTTTGTAAATTAATCGAAAAAGGAGGAAAATTTGTCGAGAAAAAAAATTTAATATTTACCGCAATTTTCCAAGATGAGAAAAGCACAGCAGGCAATTGTCAATAAACGCAATTGCAATCCCATATTGTAATCAGTGTATTGCACTTTTATTGAAATGTGAATAAAAAAGAATATCTCGAATCGCGAAAAAAGTGTATGAGATTCACTAGATTTTAATAATTTTCAATGATTTTCAATGATTTTTTTAAAAATGATTTTCAATGATTTTAATGTGAAAATTTAAGGGATGCTTTAAAAGGGCCGACCTCGCGGCCACAAGAGCTTGAAACGCACTGTTGATCCCTGGTTGGTACGAAGCAGTCGGCACCCCACGCATGAGTCGCGTGCATATAACCATTTCTGATGTTATACACGAGATTGAAAATCTAGGTGAAATAGACAAACATTCTATATTTAAAAAATATTTAAATTAATTTTCTATTTTTTTTTCGCGGGAAATTTGCATTAAAAAAAAAATTTTTTGAATTGCAATTCAAAAATTGTTAATTTTATCGTAAACTTTATTGTTAAACTATTTGAATGAATTGATTTTGAGATATTGTGAAAATTTCTAAAATTTTATGAGGAACGTCTGTTTTTTATACGAAAATTAATGATATTTTATTGTATTAATTATTATATTTGGAATTTTTTTTTTGCAAATATGAGGTCAAGTGAGACGTCACTGTTGAGTATTTTGTAATAAAAATAAATAAAGAAATAAAAAAATTAATTAATAAAAAAAATAAATTCAACAGACGTTCCTAATTATATTTTAGAAATTTTCACAAAATCTCAAGATCAATTCATTCAATATTTTTAAGAGTAGAGTTGACGACAAAATTACCTAACAATTACATTTTGTTAAATATTTTGTAAAAACTTTTTTTCATACATGGAAAGAAAATAAAAATCAAATTTTGTAAAATTATTTTCAGATCGTGAAAAATATGGTAAAAAAAAACAAAAATTTTCGTACAAAAAATTCTAAATTTTGGGAAAAATTTTTATAAACTTAACAGAATATTTAATAAATTATATTTATTATAATTAATTTATTATTAATTTATTATAATGATACAAATACGTTTTTCCAAAATTTAATATAATTATTGTAGTTTTTGTATTAGTTTTTTTGAAAATTATTATTTTTCTTACAGTGGAAAAAAATATTTATTTGATTCAAATAATTGGTTACTTGGATATTATCAAATAAATAGATATTGATTTGGACCAAATAATTTTTTTTTTTGTATCAAATCATTTCTATTTGTATCAAATAATTTTTTTTGTACCAAATCATTTTCATTTGTATCATATAATTTTTTTATTGGACTAAATAATTTTTATTTGTATCAAATATTTTTTTTTGTATAAAACCATTTCTATTTGTATCAAATAATTTTTTTGTATCAAATAAATTGTATTCGAATCAATATAATATTTGTATTTAAAATAAATACATTTTAATTTTATCAAATAATAATTATTTGAAGCAAATAAATATATTTATTTGGTAATAAATAAGTAATAATAAAAAAATAACAGCAAATAAATAATAATAAATAAATAAATTAAGTAACATTATTTGATTGAAATAAATTTTCTTTCACTTTATATATGAAAATTTCGCTTTCTACCATATTTCCTACGACTTGAAAATATTATTATAAAATTTGTTTCTAATTATTTTATTTCCAAATTGAGAATATTTCATTTTATCCAAGGATCGAATTTTTGAAAATCTTACTTCAGATTCGTTATCAGCGATCTCAAAAACTTGTAGATAATAAATTTCATAAAAATCGTAAAATAAAAAATAATTCCTCTTCGATTTTGGATTTGAAACTTCTTTTTCATTCTCATTCCAATGTTCTTCTATTCGTGTTTTCTGTAAAAAAAATTTAATTTTTTTATTAGAATATAGTTTAATATTTTTTTGAAAATAAATTTTGATAATAAATAAAAAAAATTTTATAAAAATTGTAAAATAAAAAATAATTCCTTATAATTCCTTCCAGTCCGCCATTTTGCATTTGAAACTTCTTTTTCATTCTCATTCCAATGTCCACTCAAATTCGTGGATTCTGTAAAAAAAAATTCAATTGTTAGTTTAATATTTTTATTTGTTAATTAAAATTTTCTTTTTCGAAAATTTTAATAATTTTTTTTGGATTTGTTTTCTTTTTTTGGTAATATTTTGTAATTCTAGAAAATTAAGAATAAATAAATGTTTTGGAAAGAAAAAAATTTTTTTTTTTTGCAGAAAAAAAAATAAGGACCTTGCGAGAAATATATTGGTGGATTAAAGAGCGCAATTTTCAAAGAGAAGGATTGAATCGTGAATGGGGAAGGCCGTAGGTGGTACCACGAACAATTCGAGCATAAAGTGGTAGCTCCAAGTAGTGCACTACTTTGAGTGGATAATATCCCTTTTCCTGTAACATATGCCACATATACGCTCATATAAGATTCTCGCACGTACGTGCGCGCGAACACCCGGATATATCCGAATTAAATCCGAAATTATAACAAAAAAAAAAAAAGAATACCAAAATTGCAAATATTATACACAATCGAATTATAAATTCTAATATATAATTTCATTTAATCAAAAAAAAAAATTTACAATTTTCTATATTCAAAATTTTTTCCATTTTTCAAATTTTTTTATTTTTCTATTGACATAACAACCTTATTTTGAATATTTAATATAATAATACACTAAACGGTGTAAAAAAAAATTTTTTAAAAAATACAGTAATGGTAACAAATTTTTTTATTTCGAGATTAATTTATTTTATAATTTTTGCGATTGTTTATTTATATTAATAATTCCTTTCTAGATAATTTATTTTTCGGTTTTTCAAATAATAGAAAAAATAATAATAAAATAATAATAATAACAATAAAAAATAATAGAAAAATTTTTTTGAATTATTTTAAGCTATTTTAAAATTTTTATCAACCCACGCGCGACATTTTGCGATATTCTGAAATTAAGGTATAATTTTTAAACTTATTTTACAGCTTGAGTAGAACTTCCAGTCACGCAAAGTTTATAATAGAGGAAACAGAATTTTTAAGTGATGTTGTTTTATTAGGAACTATAATTAAATTGCCAATTTTAAACAAAGAAGGTTTTTTTTTTTGTAAATTTTGATTATTTTACTAATAAAATAAAATTTTTTTAAATTTTATTTTAATAATCTATAAAATAAAAAAAGTATTTTTTAAAAAATTTATTTAATAATAATTTCATTATTATATTTTTCATTGTAAAATAAATTGTTTTTTTTCAAAAGGAAGTTTTTTTTTTATATTTTTGTGCTTTGGTATTTTATTAATATTTTGAAAATCGAAAATTTTCGAAGATTGAAAAATAAATATATTCAATTGAATTTTAGCAGGTAAAGGTTGAATATTCATTTTACCTTCGATAACCCTCAGACGATAAATGTTCTAACGATGTTCTACATAACAACTATAATGAACCTAATGATTCTATAGTAGGTGAGCGTTTCAATTTAGTATATAGCATAAAAAAAAGTCAGAGCATTTGATAAATGAAAAATTTTTTGTTTATTCTTTCTACAAACGTTTTTGAAAATTTTTTTTTTATTTATTAAAAATACAAAGAAAATTTTAATGAAAAAAAGAAATTTTAATAATTAATACATAATTTAATAATTTTTAACTGTTGTCAGTAGAAAAAGTTATACTCAGAAAGAAATGAATTAATTTTTATTATTAAATTTTTCTTTATTAATTAAAATTAACAGTCAAATAATTAATTTAATTAATTAAAAAAAATTAATTTTTTTATTAAAATTTATTTATTTATTTTTAATAATTAATTTAATTTTAATTTTACTTAATTTAATTACCTAATAATAATTAAATTTTTTTTGTTATTTTAATATCGTCAGTAGCTGTTTAGTATAAATTCATATTTATTTTCTTATTAGTAGTAAAACTCAATAAATGTCAGACAATGTTTAATTTGAATTAGTAGTAAAAGTCAGCCACAGTCAGACATTATAAATTCTTATCAATTTCAAAAAGTAGTAAAAGTAAATTTTTGTCAGAGAATTGAAATTCTTGTAAATTTGAATAAGTAGTAAAAATAAATTATGGTCAGACATTACAAAATTTTGGTACTTGTATTAAACAAATAATAATTTTAAAAAAAATCATTGTTATTTTGTATTTTATAAAAAACGAGTGATTATCATTTTTATCAATTGTTGCTAAAGTTATCATTTGTTGGTATTTTATCAATCGGGAATAATGGTAACATAGGGATTTTCTTTCGCTCGTCTCGTTCGATAAAACGCGCAAAAGTGACAACTACTGACATTATACAATTCAAATGAGAATTAATTTGATATTTAAAAAAAAAAATATTTCAAAAGAATAATTAATCTTCAATCCATTTGATTAATATTTTTAAAAATCTTTTTTTTTATTAATAGACAATGTTAATTGTTTATTTATATTTTCAGATAAGTATTAAATATAAAAAACGGATTTTTTATAAAAAAAACAATAAAAAAACTTATAAATTATTTTATTTGTAAATAATTTGTTTAACTTAATCAAATGTATCAGTAATTTTTTTATATGTATTTATTTTCTTTATAATAATTATTAATTAATAATAATTAAAATCGAAAAAATTAATATTAATTTTATATAAATAAAAATTTTAAACAACATATTTATTTTTGTAAACTATGTAAATATTAAGAAAAAAATATAAATTCTAATAAATATTATTTTGCAAAATAATAGGGCAAAAATTTTTAAGAGTAATAGAAGAGATGTACTTATAAGGAGAGAAATGTACTTTAATATGAACAGTTTGACTTAATGAATAAAATTAGCTTTATGAGTGAGTAGACTAGTTTGTAATATGCTCTTAAAGAAAGGGACAATGTCGTAAGATAGTTGCGGTAAAATGTATATTATATTTATTTGACTCATAAAATTTTCTTAAACGCATTTAACGAATGAATAATATTATTTTTATAGAAAAAACACAAATTTCTTTATGACAATATTTTTTTAAAATAATTTTTAAATAAAATTAAATTAATTTCAATAAAATTAAAAATAAATAGTAAAAATAGATTTTAATAAATTAAATAAAAAAAATAATATATAATAAAAATAGATTTCAATAAATTAAATTTAAAAAAATTAATAGTAAAAATAGTTTTTAATAAATTAAATGAAAAATAAAAAATAAAAATAATTTTCAATAAATTAAATGAAAAATAAATAAAAAAAATAAATTA